TGCCATAGTGACTTCACGTTCAGCAGCCGGTTGAGCTTTGGATGCTCCTGCGCCTTTTGCTGCCTTTTGCTTTTTAGCATCTGGGTGAACAACAGCAGTTTCAGTACATAGTCAAGTTACAGAGCCACAAATCACTATGATGAGCTCGGGATATCTAATCAATGAAAAGTCTATAGAGGATGTTGAATAGCATTTTGAGAACAAGAATATAGAACCTGAAAGTTTTGTTTTCTTAAGTTTGTCCGCTGCTGCTTCTACGTCCCTAGCACGTCTATCAGCCTGACTTCCAGCAAACTTTTCTCTGTACTGTTGCACTTCTTCGTCTTTCTGTGATCATATCATTTCACAAGATATAAGTCAAATGCTACATGGCATTACAACATACAACAAGCCCAGATTCATATGAATAAAATCAGAGAGTCATGTACCAATTCGTTGAACAATGGTTTAGGGGAGCCAATCTTGTGGCTGGGAGGCAGAATCTCCCAAGGTCTACTTGTTAGTAATACCTCTCCTCTCTCGTCAGAGAGTGAAAATTGTGGAGGCAAATCAAGCTGTTTAAATACCTACAAAATGCGAGAGACAACTCTAATCACGCTTGGCGTTGGTTATAGTAAAATTAAATAAAATCTATGTTTCCAAACAATCAATAAACCAACCTCACGAGAAAAGGATGGCATGAAAGGTTCTAACAACTGTGCCAGAATGTGTACTAAACCAGCAGCCGTTCTTATAACAATTGCACACGAAGGTTTATCTTCCTTGTAAAGTTTCCAAAATTTGCTTTCCTACAAGGAGACAAAACAACATAGCTGATTAGATCGAACAGCCAGTAAAGCTAACCTATAGACTATAGTGTGTTGATGAAAACAGAATTACCTGCAAGTATCCATTCCCTTCAGTTGAAATGCTCATAGCAGTTTTCAGTCCTTGCTTGAGCTTAACCTGCATGAAATTAAGAAAGACAGTTATTGAGAAGATAACCAGACACTGAAAACAAGATTGCCATTATAGACCAAAGTTTATTTCATATTCCTCACGTTTTCCATGGCTTCAACGTATTGGTTCACCAGATTTCCAACTTTTTCACCCAGTGATTGCGTTAGAGGATGAGATTCAGCACCAGGAGCATCAGGGATCACAGACCCATAACCTTCACGCCAGTTAGTAAAAGATATATTAAGGCAGGGTAAACATAAGAGACAGAGATACGGAACTCTGCCCAGTATAATCAAAAGCATCACTAGAAGGTAACCAGGATCTTCGAAAGTGATTCCCGTCTAAGTGTTCTTACTGTTTTTATAAGAGCAATGAATTTTCTACACTATCCACTAATCTCATGCTCAAATAATTTTTCGGGAACATCAAATCCAACCTTTGAACTAATTATCCCTGTGACTTGCACACTACCTGGCTGGTTTTAGTAAACGAATACAACACATCCCATATTTTAAAATGGATATGCCAATCTAAAAAATCATCTACAGCTACCACCCATAAGGAAACCCAATACTTGAATTCGGAAAAAATAACCAACCTGCAGGCTCAGGCTTTGCTATAAAACTCAGAACTCGATTAACAAAGTTGCCTAGATTGTTCAACAACTCGCCAGTCAGTTTTGCTTGCAAATCGTCCCATGTAAATAATGTGTCAGACACCTGGATGGTCAATCCCCAGAATCAATCAGTGTTGGGTAAAATCTACACACTTGGATGGTCAATCCCCATAATACATGTCCATGATAAATGAAGAAAAAAAATATTTCCACTTTTTAGCAGCAATCATTACCTCAGGCCTGTTGATCAGTAAGTAGTATCTCCATACTTCGACAGGGATATTTGTATCTTTTACATCATTACCAAACACTCCAACACCTTTACTCTTGGAGAATTTTCCTGAAAACCAATACAAACAACATGCTCTCGTTATTTATGAATGGCAGAACAATCAAAGCACTCGAAATAAATTTAACATAAAATCACTCGTCTACTCCAAGTTCTAATGAAAAACATGGTGAAATGTCAACTGACCTGCTTCGTAATTCAAATATTCAGTTACACTGATTGTTTTCATCATTGTCCAATTTTCTTCAGTTCCAAGCTGCGTAGATGGAAACATCACCTGCATAACAACAAATTGGCAGTTAAAGCAATCCACTTTACATAGATGAACCTTTCTCCATCAGGATAGCTTCAGAAAAGACGAGACGATAACCAAACAAGAAACTATAAATCAATATCCTGTAAACTCAGGAAAACCTCACGAGCATATAAATTCCACATATGCCGTCTATAACAAGGACGTCAGAGAAAAAAAAATTGCAAAAATTACAGAAGTGTGTTTCTTCGAACATATTCAAAACAGAACAAATCTTCGTCACTGGAAATTTAAGAATGTGCAGGTATTTTTTCTATTTTCGATGTTTTATTTCAGAAAAATGATGAACAAAGAGGAAGTAACTAAAACCGTTGGAACAAGTCAATGGCGGTATTGGTAAAAAACAATCGGATATGTTATATACTCACAGTGTGAAATGGCACATTGTCTTTCCCCATAAACTGATAAAGCTCCACATTCTCAGGATTCTTCCACCACTTCTCCCATTCAGATGTGTAGCATGACGTTATTGAGACGTATCCAATAGGAGCATCAAACCATACATAGAAGACCTGAAATCACAACTCGAATTAGTATATGTAGTTTAATACCGTTTGCAAGATTGGTTGGTAGTGAAGTTCTTACCTTTTCCTTATAGTTCTCATGTGGAACAGGAACTCCCCACTTTAGATCCCTTGTAATGCATCTATGTCTAAGCCCATCCTTAAGCCATGCATTTGTTGTTTGAATAGCATTTTGACTCCAAGATCCGGAAACAGATGTCTCCTTAATGTACTCTTCCAACTTATCTTTCAGCAACGGAAGCTCAAGAAACAGGTGGTCTGTATCGCGAATTCGGGGTGTGGTTCGACAGACCTGTTGGAGAGATAAACCATAAGTTTTCGCAATGACAATAAGATAGGAAGAGAAATGAAGCATGCACACGACAAACAGAACCAACTAGCCATTACCAGTAATATGTATCATAAATCATAATCATAAAAATATGCAATAAGTAAGTACTGTCACGGAGCATCAAAATTGCAAATTTCTAGCATGATAACTGTGCAGTTGAGCCTCGTGTTAGTTCATTAGATAGCTCTACAATATAAAATATTTCTACCCATTCCTCTAGACACTGCATGTTTCAACCCAAGATCTTGTTTATAACCAACAAGAAAAGAAAGCATACCAGCTATTTGTGAAATAAAAATTCTACTAGCATGAAGAAGCATGCAATGTCCAGAGAAACTTTGTGAACACTGTATTGCAGTGATGTAAACAGTATAATACCACGCATACACAATCTCTTAATGAGATGATGGCCAGAAGAAGAGAAGCATAGCTCACCTTGCACTTTGGATCTATGAGTTCGGTAGGATTCAGGAGTTTTCCACATTTTTCGCACTGATCTCCACGAGCAGAATCATATTTACATCCTTCAGTTGGACAGGAACCCTCAACAAGCCGGTCAGCTAAGAACTTCTTGCATGTATCGCAGTAAGGCTGGAGAAACAATGGGGAACAAAGATTTGAGACTTAAAACCACACAAACCGAGTGATGTAGATCCTTATACTTAAGAAGAACATATAGATGCTGATGCGATCGAATAAGGCTAACTGGCATAGGAGTAAAATCATTCACCTGCTGAATGGTGTCCTCTGAAAGACACTTCTTTTCCCACAACTTGTTGAATATTGCTTGACACACTTCTGTCTGCTGTGGAGATGAAGTTCGCCCAAACTTGTCAAAACTTATATCAAACCAGTCATAAACTTCTTTATGAATGGCATGGTACCTAAATGCACAAAGCAAAAGAAACATTGTAGCATCAGAAATGACAGTGTATCATGGATGCTACAGTGCAACAACAGTAGAACAACAAAGAAATCAAGGTACATTACTTGTCACAGATTTCCTTTGGAGTGCATTTCTCCTCCAGAGCTTTAGTCTCAGTTGCAGTTCCATATTCATCAGTCCCACAAATATAGATCGCATTGTAGCCACGGTTACGGCAGGACCGAGCAAACACATCAGCACTAAGAACACCTGTAACAAAACACACATAAAAACATTGCATAAACCCATCAAGAAACCTGAAAATAGCAGTCGTGTGCCAATTTTCTGTATTCCGCCGACATAAATTTTGCAATTCCATACACTAATCAGCTCAAATTTCCGAATCAGCTTCAGAAATCGAAACGCAGCTCAAATATCAAACGAATTCAAAAGCTAAAATGATCTTAACATATCTGCATCTGAACAAAAACGAAGGTAGAAATCTGGGAGATAATTGACTTTTAATCAATAAAGCAAAGCGAGAGAAAGAGATCACGATAGGATTTGATTGCAACAGTTTCATCCGAGCTAAAACAGTATGCACAAGACACACACGACTACAAGCAAACGATTTAAACGCACAGATGAAAGAGTAGTATGAAGGGAAAGAGAAAGGTATGAATCAGTTACATCCAATGATGTTTCCGAGATGAGGGACGTTGTTGACGTAAGGCAGAGCACTGGTGATTAGTATATTTCTCTTGCCCGGAATCGGCAACTTGGGACCGCTTTGGTCATCTTCCATGGCGAAAACAACGAGAACACGAGAGAATTAGGGTTTTTCTCGAAGAATGGGAGACAGGGGAGAAAGATTAATCAGAGCGGCTTCCGGGAAAAAAATGAAGAACAAGCTTTCTTATGATAAAACCTAAGTAACCGGTTTAGGAAAGATCCGGTTTAGTTCGGATCATAGGCCGGTTTGGAACCTGAAATTGTAAGTTATTATTGATTTTACTTGGTATGGAATTAAACCGGAATCTAATAGTATCGCTCCAAATAGACATGACGTAAATGGTTTTTTTTGTTTTTTTTTTTTTTTGACAACGAAAGGCTCCATGTATTATTAGAAAGCACCGATGGTAATGACTGTGGCAGCCGTACCGATCGGAACAATAGGGTCTACATGGGAAAAAGAAACACCTCGTCCACGAGCTTGTTTTGACAAAGCATCGGCACGGATGTTACGCGTACGTGGAATAAAAACTATGGAAAAGTTCTGGAAAAGAGATCGAGTAAAAAATAAATCATCCAACTCAGAGGCCATAGAAGGCCATTCTTCTTCGTCCTCAACTAGCTTGATTAGCTGGAGGCAATCCGATTCAAACCTCATGGAGGTGTATCCCATTTGCAAAGACGCCTTCATGGCCCATAGCAGCGCTTGGGATTCAGCATGCAAAGGTGAGATAACCTGTGTTTTGGCAAAGAAACCAAAAGAGGTAATATCTTGATCCATATCTAGAGCGAGTCCTCCTCCAAAATTTTTTTGTCCGTACGCCCATGATGCATCTACCTGGCACCGTGGGTATACTTCGTTTTCCGGGAATGGAGGAGGTTCGGTGGAGTCTGTGGAACCGTCTAGGGCATCTGTAATTTCTTGTGCGATTCTCCATGCTGTCGCTTCTGTTTTAGCCGCTTGTGATGTATCCATAGGCTCAACGTCCTTGCCCTTGAAAACCTTGTCATTCCTAGCCTTCCAAATGAACCAGGCAGTCCAGGGAAAAGGTGCGAATCCTGTGTCCGCTGGTCCCTGACGCGTTGCGATACATAGGAGGTATTCAAGGTTTAAAAAGAGAGCATTACACGGGAAAATTCCCGGATCCGGCAGGCCGTGTGTGAGTGCCCATGTTTGTTTTGCCAGGGGGCACTCAAACAGCATGTGGTTGATCGTTTCCTCCTCTGCTCCACATCTAGGGCAGGCTCTCACAATGCCACAATGTCTATCAGCGAGACGACTACACACCGGTGTAATGCCGGCTATAGCTTGCCATATGAAATGTTTAAGCTTTTTTGTCGTTTTCAGGGTCCATACCTTACTTTTCAGAGCGTCGACACTTGGCTGTAGCAGAGGGTTGGAGCTTAAGGTCTCTTTTAATTGCACTGCAAGCAGGTAGCCTGATTTTACCGAATAGAGACCCGACTTGGTTTGCGTCCAGCAGAAGCTATCCTCCCTGTTTCTAGTGCTTGGCTTGAGGCTTAACACAAGATGGATATCTTCGACAGTAAAGTGGTCAGTAAGCTTATCTAGCATCCATTCTTTCGTTATTGGGTCCAGAAAGTATGACACGCGGAGGAGAGGGTCATAAGGGAGACCACTAGCAATGGGGGGTCTCGGTAGGCTGTCCGGAATCCATGCATCACTCCAGACATTGGTGTTTTCTCCTGAACCAATGGTTCGTCTTAGCCCGCTCTTTAAGAGATCTTTCGCTGCCAGAATGCTTCTCCAACCATAAGATGGCATATTTGATTTCTCCACCTCAAGAGGAGAGGAGTTTCGATAATATCTTCCTTTGAGAACACGCGCCAAGAGAGATGACGGAAAGTGTAACAGTCTCCATATCTGTTTTGCCAGGAGAGCTAAGTTGAATAATTGAAGATCCCGAAATCCCAAACCGCCTTTATCGAAAGGGATGCATATCTTATCCCAAGCTATCCAATGTATACCACGGCTGGTTTGCTTATTGCTCCACCAGAAATTTGAGATGGCACTCTGTAGTTTTTTAATGATCCCTAGGGGCAGTAAGAAGCAAGACATAACATAGGTTGGAAGAGCTTGAGCAACCGACTTAAGCAAGACCTCTTTTCCCCCTTTTGATAGGAGTTTAGCCGACCAGGAATTTATGCGTTGACTGAGCCTATCTTGCACAAAGGCAAAAACCTTTTGCTTTGACCCACTTATATTCTCTGGTAGCCCCAAATAAGTTCCCATACCGCCTTCATTATGGATCCCTAGGGCATTTTTTAGGGAGAGGCGTACATCTTGTGGTACTTTACTTCCAAAGAACACAGAGGATTTGGCTGTATTAAGTTGTTGTCCCGACGCCATCCCATAACATTGGAGAATCCTCATTAACTCTGCACATTGCAGGACATCAGCTTTACAGAAGAATAAGCTGTCATCAGCAAAAAGGAGGTGGGAGATTGGTGGGCATGCTCGTGCGATTTTTAATCCTGTAATCTTCCCTTCTTCCTCAGCTCCTTTCAGTTGGGCAACAAGGGCCTCTGTTAGGATAATAAAGAGGAAAGGTGATAGAGGATCACCTTGTCTGAGACCTCTGGATGGGTTTATATTCCCTTTTGCCTCACCATTTATCAAAACTTTATACGAGACAGAGGTAATACATGTTTTGATCCATGTGACCCATTGAGATGCAAAACCAAGTTTAAGCATAAGGGCCTCTAGGAAGCTCCATTCCACTCGGTCATAAGCTTTACTCATATCAGTTTTGACTGCTATAAACTTTGCCTTGCACATCAAATTTGTTCGCAGAGCATGGAAAGCTTCTTGTGCAATGAGGATATTGTCAGTGATAAGTCTTCTAGCCACGAAGGCTGATTGGGTCTCCGAGATTATTTTCGGCAGGCATCTCTTTAATCTATTGGAGAGAATCTTGGAGATAATCTTATAGCTCACATTGCATAAGCTGATGGGTCAAAATTCTGTCATATCCCTTGGTCTCTCTGTCTTCGGTATCAAGCAAATGTTTGTCTGGTTCAGCTGCGGGTATAGACTGCTCGATGTAAAAAATTCATGAACCATGGCTATGATATCTTGAGCCGTGACTTCCCAGAATTTTTGATAGAAGAGACTAGTCATCCCGTCAGGTCCAGGAGCCTTGTCCGGGTTCATATCCGCAATCGCCTTCCGGATCTCATCATTTGATGGAGGTTTTGTGAGCGAGGAGTTCATTTCAAGGGAGACTTTCTCCGTGACATACTTAAGTGCATCGTCAAAAGATCTCGGATTAGATGACGTGAATAGATGATGGAAATAGCCTGTGGCAGTTTGCTCGATATTATCTTCGTTCTCAGCCCAGGAACCATCGGTTCTTCTTAACTTGGTAATTCTGTTTCGAGCCCTCCTCTGCTTTGTGGAGGCATGAAAAAATTTTGTGTTCTGGTCACCCTCTCTAAGCCAATTTACTCGGCTTTTCTGTTTCCAGAAAAGCTCCTCTTCACGGTGAGCCAAACAGAGATTACCCTTTAGTTTAAGTACCTCAGCATTCGTAGTAGCATCATCTGTCTGTGCTCGCTCGAGTTGCTCTTTAAGCATTTCGATCTTCTTTGCAGTATTTGTCATATTCGTTTTTTTCCATACAGATATGGCACGTCGACATGTCGATATCTTTTTGTGGACCTCTCCGGTACCATTAGCGTGATTTGCACTCCAGCCTGACTTCACTGTTTCCTGAAAGCCTTCTTTTCCTAGCCAGCGTTTGTCAAAACGGAAGCTGCGCTGAATCGAAGCGGCCTTAGACTGTATTCTGGCTATTACCGGCTGATGGTCAGATCCCCAAAGCTGGAGATACTCCACATTCGTGTGGGAGAAGGCATGATGCCAGTCTTCATTGCCTAGGGCCCTATCCAATCTGCATTGGACCTTTCCAGAGGCTCGATATCCCACCCAAGATAGTGGATTACCTTTGAAGGGGAACTCGAGCATGCCGCAGTCATTGATCATATTTCTGAAGTCGAGAAAGGACGACTCAGCTCTACGTCGACCTCCACGTTTTTCATGGTTTCCCATGATCTCGTTAAAGTCTCCTATCATGAGCCAACTTCCTCTCTGGTGGAAGCTTAATTGGACTAGGCTCTCCCAAACTCTACCTCGGCACTCTCTGACCGGATCACCATAGACAAACGTCATATAGACTTTCTTCCTCTCGATCACAGCTTCAATATCTATCATACGATTCGAGGAGGACAATATAGTAACATTAAAAGAGTCAAAATAAAAAAGAGCTAATCCACCGCTTTGCCCCTCTGGCTCCACAGTGAAAAGCTTATCATAACCAAAAGAAGTTTGAAAAGATTGCATGAAAGAAAGAGTATTCTTAGTTTCTGAAAGGAAAAGAAAAGAAGGTGCAAAAAAACGGTGCAGCTCTCGAAGGTGGTAGTTGGTAAGATCAGCTCTTGCACCTTGACAATTCCAAGCTATTGTCTTCATATATTCTTACTGGGTGGTTTCTGGGACACCACCGAACCTGAGGGAGTTGTAGTTTCTTGCTTATCGCAGAAGGGTACACCTCATGACGAGGGACATGTTGTGCTGTGGCCACCAGAGTCGAGGCTCTACTTGCACCGGGTTTCTTTTTTGGGGAGGCTTTTACACCGAGGGAAGCCAGCTTTTTGGATGCTAGTTTGCTTCTAGTAGTTGGACTCTGGTTTACCTTCCTTCGTGAGTTCACAGCAGGTTGAGAACTCGTTATCTGCATCGTCTTTGAAGGGAGAGCCGGAGACTCTACACGCACCTTCTTAGGCACTTTTGTTTTAGGTTTCTCCGGTGAGAGCTGGGATATGGCTTCTATCTGCTCCGCCTCTTGCTCCAGTTCGTCTCCCAAGAGATCATCGTTTTCCAGCATCTCATCATCTATCCTCTGTGCCTCGAGGTCCTCTTCCATTTGCGCAAAATCATCTGCTGTGAATTCCCCTTCCTCATCATCCAGGAGAGTATCTTCAGCCCTGCTGTCAAGTACACCATTATCCTGCATAATATCATCTCTCTGCACTAAGACAGGATTAGTCTCTTGAGGCCTTATGTTCCTCGGTTGATGTGGCTCCTGAATAGATAGCGAACCTAGTTTTCTTCCAAGGAGAAGATCGCGTTCTCGCTTTTCAGCTATCTGTGATGCCTCCGTGACATGTGCCTTTCCTTTAAGTTTACGTCTGCGCTCCTCCTCAGTCTCCTTTGAATAAACAACCAAATGGCCTGATGGACGGTATAGGTCATCCCCCACTCTGTTTCTATTTTCTGATAACGTGCGCTGAGAATCAGTAGGAAGGTGTAGCGAACCCCTACTTGGAGCTGAAATTCTGGAATTAGGAGTATCAAAAGGTTGGGTCTCTCCTTTTCCATAACCCTGCCCACGTTTTGGTCTCCACTTTTGGTGGGAATGAGGTACAGTATCGTACTTATAACGAGAATCCCTTCCTGTTTCGTGGACATAGCGGGTATCACGTCCCCTATCTAGTGGGGATTTATTCCTTCCTTGTGTACGATGATAGGGATGAAAACGTTCTATTCTTTTCCATACATCCTTCCCCTTTGACTCCCGTCTGTCCCTTAGCTCAGAATGTAAATCCCTATTTGGGGTTTCCCAGCTCCCCCGACTGTGATAGTCAACATGTCCGTAGCGGGGCTCATTTATAGTGTAGTCACGTCGCTGTCTTTGAGATCTGCTATTGATATCCAGCCTAGACGACAGCTCAGTACTTCCATCATATCGTCCACGTTTCTGACCCGCAGTACGATCATGGGGCATGTTTAGTTGTATCCCATTTTGTTCCGCACGAAGGATTTTGTTAGTTTGTTTTTGCTCTTCTGTCAGCTCCGGACAGGCTCCCTCTTCATGGGAAAGTAACTTAGATGTGAAACAATGTCACTGTAAGCCTTCATATTCGAAGGTGACCGTCCCAACATCACCGTTTGGGAATCCAACTTTCCTCTCAAATTGTAGAGGTTCGTCGGCATTTAGGGAAACTTGAAAACGTGAGCGGTGCGCCTCTATCCCTCTAACCTCACCTAGGGCTTTGCCAATTTCCGTGAAGTTCTCATTGTTCCAAAAGTGGACCGGGACACCCGTTACTCTAACCCAAAATAGCATTGTATTGGGAAAGAGCTCGCTTGTGAAAGGTTCCCAACGTTCCAAAGAGAAACTCCATCTATTGAAGTGCCACGGACGCTTCTGCAACACTCTTTCCATGTCTTCCTCATTATCAAAATCGAACTGGAACTGTCCATTGCCCAGATTCAGACCTCTAACTCTGCCCTCCACGTCCCAAATCTTTGGTTTTGGAATCATCGCAATGACCGCATCCATGCTTCTGCCCTCCCTGTAGAACATCCTTCCAATCACTGTTCTTTTAAATCTCGTAGCAGCCGCAGATAGGTCACACGCCGGGAGGTTTATAACTTCGTTCTCCATCTCCAGTCTACGACGGGTCGTGTTTGAGGACGTACCCCGACGAGCGTTATTGTCAGAGTTACTCATTTCAGTCAACAGAAAATAGATCTAGCCACCACACGGAAAACGATTCCGGAAACAGTATAAGGGAAACCGGCAAACAGGTTCGTTCACAAGACTTAGCACAAACGCTAGAGAAGCAAAGGTAACGTAGCACACGCTAGATTCTTCCGGTTCACAGATCCACAAAACCCTAGGAGAGAAAGTACCTTAACGACACCTTTCAGCTGTTACACAGGCCACAGGGATGGTGAGCTGTGGAGGAGCGAGCGATATCGATGGGAGATCTCTCTTTCCGCCGTTACGTGGTTCAGAAACCTAGGAAGAAAAAATCGCCCTGGGGATCGCCAAAAACCCTAGCCGCCTCATTTTTTCACACACGTACATGAACTTTAATTTATGACATGACGTAAATGGTTACAATGAACAAATCGTATTCATTAATCGTACCACACAAATCACAATGAACAATCCCAACAGAATAATAAGACCACCAAACTCATTAAACGCTTAAGAAAACACAGACAAGATCATCTCGAGACTTTTTTGTTCTTGCTCTTGTTCTTGCATTCAATAGGCAAACCCTGAGAGAACCTTTTCTTGTCCTTACAATAATTATAAACCATGAACTTCCTCTGGACCCATCTAAGAACTTTCTGGCTTGAAGAATCCATCCCTCTCTGCGAAAACCACTCGCTAGTACTGCTCGAGGAAGAAGAAGACGAGCCACCAGGGCTACAAGAAGTAGTACTAGTCGTGGTTCCATTATCACTGGACCAGATACAAGCATTGTCGGAGTTGTAGTTCTTGAAAGAGGCTACGAATGGTCCTTGTGACCAGTTTGTCTTGACCAAACCCCCCCTTGTGGCCCAATCATCTGCGTTCCATAAACTACCATACATTCTCATGGGCTGGTTCTTTGGATAAGCCACATTCATTGCTTCTAAATTATTGAATTCTCTAATTGGCTTCTCATCAACATAGAACCTACATAGAATTTCAACAAATCACCCCCCAAGAAAGTAATTAATATTATAAAAATAACTGAAAATATAATACATTTACATGTTCAACTAAAGAAATCTATATAAAATTAAAAGTTATGGAGCTAGTGATTTGCGATGCAAGAATTTTGGTTCACATCTCTAGTGATCGTGTGGATTTTGTGGTGTATACTTACACTATGTGACTCGGGTTCCAAAGAATAGAATAGTTATGGAACTCAGCGGTGGGATCGAACCAAAGATAGAATTGTTGCTCTCTATCGCCTTTGCCTTGAGTGTAAACATTAGTGTGAAGAATGTATGGATCTCCACTAACATTCCCCAAGAACTCGAAATCTATCTCGTCCCATGTTAATCCTTGAGACTTCAACTATAAACACACACACAAAATAAAATACACCAAAATCCATCATGCAGACGTATAAACACGTATTACTTGGTCAGATATATAAATTTAGATGAACTTACATAGAAGGTAGTCACGGTCCCGGCAGAGTTTCCAGGGACAAGTTTGATCTGCATGTCGACTTTTCCATACAAATACTCGGCTTTCGATTGAAACCCTGATCCCGAAGATTGATCAAGAGCGAGATTTACAAGAGTTCCATTGTTCAATATATTTCCTCGACCATCACCCCATGTTATGTCAATGTCTTGGTTGAAATCGTTAGCTTGTGCCGCAAGCAATATCTTAAAACCAACAAAAAGAGATATTGACAAAACCAAAAATGTCTGAGAAGCCATATTTAAGCTTTTGTGACTTTTTTGTTTGCCACTTTTGGGAAGTCACTTCTTGAAGATTTTAGGTGGCTTTGATTTGAGTTTGAGACACTCAGACGACTACTGATTAGTGGGTATATATATATAATAATGAAGTTTGATTCTCTAATGATAAAATATTGTCTTTTCAGTCTTTAAATTTACTTTAGATTTCTTAAACTAGAAAAAGGTCAGTTTAGTGTGGGTAATGTGAGAAGCGAACAGCCTGGAGAGCACAAATCAAAAGCTATAGTGCTCTACACCTTCACCATGTAAATAATAATCATTCTTTTATCTTAAAGTTAAAATAAATATTGTTAATGTGTTAGTGTGTTACATCCTAATCTTAGCCAGCCCAGTTTAATCATTTTACCTTATTATATATATCGTGGAATTTGAAAAAAAAAACACAAAAAACAGATGTTGGACTATTGATTTGTTGTTTGTAACATTCGAAACCTTATTATTTATCGTGCGATTCAAGGTCATGTTGCTAACAAATCTCATCTTATGATTATTTTTGCAACAAAACTCCCAAATATTATTAATAATATTTATACAACAGATAATCGAACAGAGGAAAACAAATCCACAACGAAGCAAGTTCAAAAATACATCAATCAAAAGCCCGAAGGTTAGAAAGGAAAGGTGTAGAAGGTAGTAGTAGTAGATCAATAGTCATGATTTGTATTGAATTGTCTAATTGTCTCAAGTAGCTCACGACTTGTAATGCTTCATACTGATAGTCCAACTTAGATAATCGAACATTCGATTGAGGTTCCATGAGGACCTTCACATTCTTGCAACTCTTCTCAACCATTTCTATCATCATCTCTCCTACTCGCATAATGAACGTCTGCTTACGTGATTTTTAGCAAAGTTTTTTAAGTAACTTTGTTGTTACGCTAAACTTGTGACTATAATCAAATCAATAAAGTCATTTCCTAATGATAATGAGGTTGCTTGGATAAGACGCTACAAGATTCAGTCAATAAACAAACCTCACTCTAAGAGGCCCTAACAAGATTTCAACATCCAAAATCCTCCCAACAAATATTATCACAAATCATAACCTTCATGTACAAGAAAAGACTTCTTTAAGTGTATGATTGAAAGCTTACGTACACATTTCGGCTCTCACGGCTTAACATAATCTCTGATGAACTCTTGAACCTGATCAGTTTCTCCTGTTAATCCAGATGCTTCAGCGACCGAGACTTTGTTTAAGCAATGCGTAAAGGAAAACACTTCTCCTTCAATCCCGAGCGTGAAGTCATTAGCTATATCAGCAGTTGATACCGCGCTCCTCGAAGCCCTAAGTTCCTCTCTGCAGAAAAAACCACACATAAGATGAGAGCTTTCATCTAACGATTTAGAAACAGATAAAGAACCAATCTTCTTCTTTTTTTTTTTTACATTTCTTTCTCCATCTGCTTGCGGATGAAATCTTTTGTGTGGGCAGTTACTTTATCCGTCTTGTTACAGCAGAGCAGGACCGGGATCTTGTTCTTAACCACGCTCGCATTGGTCAGAATGTCGTAAAGGTACGTGGAGAAGAAGATTTTAAGTACAAAGCCAATGTTTAAGTGTTCCATCTCTAAGAGTCACCTTATGCAGTAAGCAGTAAGCAATTCATTACTCTGAAGCAGCACGGCAATTCGGGAGGAACTCCAGTGCGTCGACTACAAACACAACAGCGGCTGCTCGAGGCAAGTATTCTTCTAGCTTAGATCTAAGCCGAGAGTGCCCAGGGACATCAACAAGAGGAACAGGCTTTGTTTTCTGTCAACCACAAGGCAGAGTCTGTTTGAGTACGTGAGAAAACACTTTTACAATTCTTGGACAAAGCCAAAGCAAAAAAAAAGATGTTTCTTTTACCTTGGTTCGGTTCCATTGACGTTACAGCACCCTGATGCGAAGATCCATCTCGAAGCTGTCACCATTTACAAAATGATGGTATTTTTTTTGTTAGGTGTTGCATAGACCTCAAAAACTGGAAATAACAGATGTAAACCAAGAGCACAGAGGACAACTTTTACACTCAATGAGCCTAATGTAAATCTCAAAACCATGATCAATGAAGAAATGTCCTGTCTACTACTTAGCAGAGAAGAACAAGATGGTGGTTAACAGCAGAACACCAATAGCAGCGTAAAGCTGAGACGGTGGTATCTCTTGAACAAATTCAATTATAAATGTAATTATAATTGAAATCACAAATCTTAAGATACAAAGCAAGACAATGTAATTATCAGCTTCTTTCACGCATTCTAACGAACAGATCTTGTGCATTAATACATTATAAACCTCTCCGCTACGTTCGCGAGTGTACGAGTAAGAGATCAATTTTCTACAATCTTCAAAATAAAATTTACGACGAGGCTCAATTATTCACCGATCAACAAAAAAACACAATTTTGATTCCAACACTGTTTTCCTTTATTGGCGAACAAATTCTCCAAAATGCTTACAAAATCCAGATCGAAAACAATAAGGAAACGTAAAACTACTAATATTTTGGCAAAATTGCGGATCACGAAAACGAATGCCAAGCAAAACGAAGAGGAATTATAAAACCTAGATCCAGAATTGAACCATAAATGATGGTATTTTTTTTGTTCAGATACAGAAAATGTGGTTTCATTATCTCTCTCATAAGAAAATACCATAGTAAGAAGAAGCTTCAAATTAATCAGAGCGGCTTCCGTCAAAAAAATGAAGAAGAAGCTTTCTTATGGTAAAACCTAAGTAACGCCGTTGCGGCGGCTCAGGATAGATCCGGTTTAGTTCGGATCATAGGCCGGTTTGGAACCTGAAATTGCAAGTTACTGTTGATTTTACTTGGTATGGAATTAAACCGGAATCTAATAGTTTCGCTCCAAATAGACCTGACGTAAATGTGGTTTTCGCTTTTGAATTGAACCATAAATTATGGTGTTTTTTTTTTTTTTGAGATACAGAAAATGTGGTTTCATAATTTCTCTCATAAGAAAATACCATATCGTAAAACGGTAAAAGACACATTTTTTTTCTGTTAAGAACACAACTACACAAATTTTTCATCGAAATCGGCCTTGATTATGTTAAGATCACAATGTGGTTGTGATGATAAATTGATAACAATATGATGGTATTCAACCTGAGCAGGGTACACTTTCTAATATAATAAATCCACAACTTAACAAATAAAGCGTGATAGATTTAAAAATGAGTGTGTTTCCTCCACAACATGATTCTTGGTGTGGGCTCAACGAATCTGATCAGTAACAGCGAAGAAGAAAGCTTCATCGCAACGTAGACTCAAACCACCGGTTGGATGATCAAAACCAAACTCGTCTTCTGCTTTCGTCAACAAAGCTTGGAAAGTTGGTTTGCTCAAGTAATAAACCGGAACAAAAAATCTCTTCTTCTTCAGAGTTTCTCCAACGTACACAGCCAAGAACCCTCTCGGAGTTGATGCGTCTGTAGTAAAAGACCGGCGAATGATTTGCTTAGTGGCAAAAAGACTCATCAAGAATGCCATTTTCAAGTAGTAGAAACAAAAAATAGATAAAAGCTTTGAATGAATGGCTCAACTTAAGATATCTTTTTTCTTTATGAGAGAAGGTTTGAGTTTGGTTTATGAGCCAAAGGGAAATGTGGGTCTATATATACTGGTGAAATTAAAAAGGTTTTATCAATAAAAAAATTAAAAACTAATTTATGTGAGTTAGTAAATGTGTGCATGTGTGAGCTAGAGCAGGGCCATGCAAAAAAATAAGCAAGTGCCATGCCTCTCAGGCCCCCACTTTCCAAATTTAATTTTGGGAGTCCAACTTCCACATTATATTTTCACTTATTTCATTTGTTAAAAAAAGTGATATACCTTATTTGGGTATCGACTCTTGTTATTAATTATTTACAAAATGATTTTGATTAATTAGTTTCATGTCCTATATTTTTTATAGGTTTTCAGAATTATATTAACCCATGCATTGATTGTTTTCCGTTTGCATTTCTTTCCTTTTTAAAATTCTTTTTCAGTTACAACAGTTACCACTTAATTGGATCTTTGTGATATTGACTTTTTTCTTGTCAATATGCGCATTGAAACTTGATGATAACAACTACGGTAAACACGAGTACAAACCTTCTAACTTGGATATCAACTTACATGTCCAGGTCTTCTGGTGACTTGTTAATATCTTTTTAACGTGTTTCAAGTAATCAGTAGTATGTGAATGGTGAACTTAATGACGTAAACATCGCATAACTTGAATTCACAAGCATTTTGTGTTCCATATGTTTAATCTGATACGTATCAGGTCTAAAATCAAGATATTATATCGTGTGGCAATTAAGTACCCACCAAAACTCGTTAAGTATCATGTCAGTTTCTTAGTTGTTCGTCCTACAATACCCAACTCAGAACACTCGTAGTCCTCAAAGATCAAATTAAAAATATCTTAGAATCTAAAAGAGTCCAAAAATATCTACCCAAGAGACAAGTACGACGAATTTTCCTTTTCACGAAACAGGTCACGCCAAAGTACGTGCCGGGTACCTTTTAAGGACAACCATTATCCAACAAGGATCGATATAAGTGAGTGGCGGAAGCATACAGGCTTAGGGGGGCCATATGACCCCTACAACATTTACATGTATATTATTTTTAGTGTAATTTACTAATTTTGATTGAATCTGGGAATATATTTGGGTAGAGTTGGTGTTTGACCCCATAATTTTATTTCAAATGCGTTATTATGCATCCATTATTATATTGATTTTACATCATGACCCTTATGAAAATTATTTCTAGCTCTGCCACTATAAGTGACTGCAATTGATCTAACCATCGATATGTGATGAATCTGATGTTTTAACAAGTGTATAGATTTAACTAAGTGTTAGTAGGGTAATGATTCCCACTTTTTCATTTACATTTAGGTCAAAGATTTAGGCGTGGAATTATCTAACTACTTATATATCACTTGTTGGAATTTGGTCTTCTTTATTTCTATGTTGAATAACAGCATATATCACCCCAACCAAGAAAAAAACTTTTGAGTTCTTATGACTTCCTTTCAAAAGGTTACTAGGCCTTACGGGCTTAATCGGTAACTAATTATGCATAATGTGGCTAATACAAGATTGACTGCATCTAAAATATACTGATGGGAAGAATAACTCAACGTATACAAAATAGTAGCTCAATGATAATTTATGCTTTCGAACTTCACAACTTCACAATATAATAAAATTGCAGTTTACTTACAGTGTGTCTTTCTCCTAAGCAACTTGATTATTATGGGCTTATGGGCTTAATCGCCTAATCGGTAATCTTTGTTTTTTGTTTTTTTTTTCATGCGAACGATAACCTAATCGGTAATCTAATCATGCATAATGTGACTGATACAAAGCGCGTGTATAGTTGACTGCATTTAATCATTTAATGTATGGAGCAAGGAAAAACATATGGAAATCGAAACAAGAAATTGTCATTGAATTACTATATTTGATATTCTTCTCAGCAGTATACTGTATATATGTATATATCCACAACTTCACAATATAAAATTGTAGGTTATTTACAATGTGTGTTTTTCTCCTAAGCGCGCAACTTGATTCGTGTGTGGGTGGGCTCAACGAATCTCAGAAGTAACAGTGAAGAAGAAAGCTTCATCGCAAGGTAGACTCAACCCACCGGTTGGGTGATCAAAACCAAACTCTTCTTCTGCTTTCCTTAACAAAGCTTGAAAGGATGGTTTATTCAAGTAATAAACCGGAACAAGAAATCTCTTCTTCTTCAGATTTTCTCCAACGTACACAGCCAAGAACCCTTTCGGAGTTGATGTTTCAGTAGTTAAAGACCGGCGAATGATTTGCTTGGTGGCAAACAAACTTCTCAAGAATGCCATTTCTTTGAATTAATGGCTCAAGTTAAGATATATCTTGATCTTGTTTTTGATGATAGAAGGTTTGAGTTTGGTTTATGAGCCAAAGAGAAATGTGTGTCAATATATACTGGTGAAGCTATTAAATTTTTATTAAAAAAAAACTATGTATATGAGTTAGTAATATGTGCATGTGTGACCTACAAGGACATGGTTTTGGCAAACAGATTAGTAAACGTATTTGGATTTTAGGAAGCTTAGTTTAATTAATGTTGGGGTGTTGAGAAGTAAAGTGTGTCCTACATGGCTCCGTGCATGTGGCCAATGGCTACATTGGTTCTGTCTTCAGCTGATAATCAATGCCAAGACTGATGAACGGAAACATTAATAGCGAACACTATAATTTGTTGTAACGCGGAAATGCAACGTATAACACCACTTAAATTGATATTTATGATATTGACTATTTCTTCTTGTCAACAACATGCAATATATATATATATATGCTGGTTGATTCTAGATTATAATAACACTAGTTTATGTTATATGTCTTGATCTTGTGATGATTTTTCATTATTGCTTTTAACGTGATTTAAGTGAATAATATGTGAGTGGTGACCTTATTGACGTAAACATTTCAGACTTGAAAACTACTCACTAGCAATTTCTGTTCCACATACGTTAACATGATTCTTATCCGGTCTGAAATCAAGACACTCGATATGAGTATTGTAAGATCGTATATATAGCAAGTACCAACCAAAACTCATCAAGTATCATGTCAGTTTCTTTGCTGTTCGCCCTAGGTACAATACCGAACTCAAAAGAACCCGTAGTACTTAAAATATCCGATTCAAAATATCTTAGAATCCACAAAAGTTCCAAAATATTTTGGAATCCACAAAAGTTCCAAAATATCTAACCCAAGAGACAGAAAAGTTATTATGATTTTTCCTTTTCACGAAAACAGGTCGGGCCAATGTACGTAGGGGGTTTTCTTTATGGGCACCAGTCTCATCTCGAGACCCTTATGAGTCTTGTAGAGAGGTCAAAGAAGGTTTAAAGAGGCTCTTAGGCGAGTAATCTGAATTAGTGATGGTCCCAAAAGTGTGAAAGAAGAAGATCACATGGCAAAAGCGTAGAAGAGTCGTGGAAGTTTGTTTAGTTAGGGAAAGTCAATTTTTTAGTTCAAATTTGTATTAAAATTTAATTAAAATCGACCCCAACTCTCATGTCCCATCTTCACTTGTCTGCTTCTTCAATCACATCTACACTACGGAAGATGATGGATGATCCAACAAAAAAAGTGCCTATTATTAGGTCTTTTGTCCGGTCTATTGTTCGGAAAATGGCATTAAAAACTACTTCTTCATAAGACAGTACCATGTGGCATTTTATCTACAGCTCACTAAACTAACCTCTCAATTTTTTTTCAGGGCATACATATTGAACCTATAACTAGTTAGGTTCTTCTTGTTATATGCTCTTCTCCTCAAATCTCTTTTGTGATTTTCCTAACGGTCACATTGCATTATTCATCAACTAAAGCTAGAGAACAATAACAAAGTGATGCCGGTCAGGCGATTAAGTTAGAGTGAGGGAAGGATTTGTCCTTTGGGTCGAGGTCATGGTTCGAATCATACCAACTAGGCATGGGATTATTAACCGAACCGAAATTTCTAAACCGAACCAAGTTTTCGGCAAGATTCTATGAACCATTGAACCTACACTTGCCACATTATAAAGGCCTTGAATGATAAAAATATGTCAAAAGTTTAGGTTTCGACCCATTGCAAGAATATCATGCTATGTACATGCTTTGAGGATTAGTATCAAACAAAACCTAAAAAAAAAGGCTAGAGAACAAAGACATTGTTGTTTTAAGATGTGCAAATAATTTTTTTGGATCTTGTTACAAAATGAGAAAGACAAAAAGTAAAGCTGTAATCCTTAACCCTGTGTTAGTTTTTTTCCTTTATATCTCATATGAGAAACAAAAAAGAAGAGAGAGGAAAGAAAGAACATTAAGAATTCAATCAAATATCATCCCTAACAAATCATTTTACTAAACTTTCCCTTCTCCACAAAACAAATATCATACCTTTAAAACCCATTACCTCCCCAATCAAAAAGAGCTCTCTTTGAGGCTTCTGTTACTCGTGTTGCCTCTTCTCTTCTCTAGGCCTTTTCAGATGATCTCTACCATCTGAGCCGTGGGATTATAAAACTGTAAAAGGCTAGAGATTGGAATTAGTACTGCGACCGGAAGCTGAGTTGATGAAGACAGGAGTCTCTCTAGGTGAATGTGTCGTAGAACCGCCGCCACGTAAGCTACCACTGTTTCCCATGTCTTTTGTCTTGTGGAGAAGAAAAGTTCCTGATAAAATGGTCACAAAGCCACATAGCTCTGTCGCAATCTGCAGTCCGCTCTGAGAAGCCCAATCCTGGTCAAACCATAAACAACATGTTGTTGATGATCATTGGTTCTAAAAAAATCGCCTTTTTAAGTTACTAGATTTTTACTTTACCTTGAACATGATCATACTAGCTAAGATGGTGAATGTTGTAAACATAACGTAGTACACTGGTGATATCACCGCGGTGTTGAAATTATCCAGAGCCTGCAGAGATAAGGTTACTTAGAGGATAAACTTTTGCAATCTGTCAAGAAAATGCATTTCAAGATCTTGTTGTTATTACCTTGTTCAAGTAGTTGATTTGCAAAATGCAACAAATGGTTACTACTATAATGAAAATCCATGCGTGGAAGTACTTGAATTGGTTCATCCCGGAAAACGTCAGCTTTATGGCGATTGCAACAGCTTTAACACTCATAACCTAACATAGAAGAGAAACAGAGACATTTACTTAAATGCAAAGAGAGATATCATATAACTAAGAGATGGTTCAAGAAAAAGATGAAAACGTACAGTCAGAGAACCCATTAAAGAGCAAATCCCAACATATACTATCATATGCGTCTTCCCATAACGCGGCTCGTAGTAGAAGATCAGTACAAGCACCACAACCAATACCACAGCAGAGTAAGCAAGGAAACCTGGTTAAAACATTCAAGCAATAGAACATGTTTTCAGTTCCAATTAGAGAATCTAAACAGAGAGACCTGTAATTTATAGCTTATATACCTGGTTCAGTAGCAAGATGCCATACTTGCTTGACGGATTCAATGCCTTGCTCATGAGGAGCATGTAAGACAATCGTTGTAGATCCAACAACACAGAGGACGCAGCCAAGTATACCGAACATATGCAACTTCTCTTCCAAGATAAAATGTGCAAGCACTGCGCTGCATTAACACGGTTATTGTTTTCAGGAAACTTGGTTGTCTTATGCAGATACAAACAAGAGAAAGAGAGAGAGAGATAAGGCATAGTGGATACAGATACCTGAAAATAATACTTAGAGCTCCCAAAGGTGTCACTAGAATAGCCGGTGCAAATGCATAAGCTGCAAAATTAGCTATCTCCCCCACAATCACTGCAAAAAACAGGAACACAGTCTTATTAATTATCATAAAACCAAGCTCCATCTCTGTCTTTACAATTCATCGAAATCTTGGATTTACATCTACTTGTCATGCTTTTGCTTTTGTTGAATCTTTTTATTCTAAAGAAATAGCTTAACAATTGATTTGGGATCAATCTAATGACGTTACTCTTCCAAGCTATCAGATTACTGTCATAGAGAATCCATGAACCATTCAACAAAGACCTAAAAACAACATCTCGGTAAAATAAAGAGATCATTTCATAGTGATAACATACAAAACATGTCCCAAAGACGCACAAAAAAAACTCATAATTCAATAAACTCGTTAATGAACAAAGCTTACTTGTTATCATTCCAGCCCACCACCAAGGCTCATATAAGTATCCATAACCTCCTTCACCTAATCACAGCAAAGAAACCATAAAGAAGCAAGATTAGTTAAACAAACAAGAGTAACAATTCTGAGGTAAGAGTATAAGTAATAGCTCTCTAATGAATGAGAACCTGCTCTGGCTCCGCTAACACCAGCCTTCTTAAGACCTTTCTTCTTGATGATGAAGCTAGAACCAATGAATATACTTGAAGACACAGCTAAAATGACTCCATGTATATTATCTGGTGACATCTCCTCCATCTTGATAATCTTTTTTTTTTTAAATAGTTTTGCTTATATACAGTAATTAAGATTATACAGGCTTGTTAATGATGAAGTTTCCACTCTCAGCTTAGCTTATTGCGTCTACAAAAAATACAAAGAAAGAAGAATCAGAGTTAAATCCACTCAAGCAAACATTGTTTATAATAATCAAGAATCAGAGTAAACAGTGTTTGTAATCAAGATTCAACATAAGACCCATACATTTTCCGAATAATTATTGACTAATTTAGTGATTTCCCTCGCCAATTGTGTCATTCTGAATATAAAAATCTGAGTTTTTGAAAATACTCATTGAGGCAGAAAAATCTATAACCAGACAAATGGCGCAAGAAGAATACAACGGAGAGAGCGACAAAACAAAACGCAGATATGCAAGCAAAAGAAACCGACAAATTCTACAAAAATCAATCAAACGATGCCTTAAGAAACAGAAAAATCGAGGATCTTTACACGAATTGTTTGTGATTCTAACCAAAAAGGGATTGAGACCCACACAAAAACCTCTCGCTTTTATACGTTACATATTGCTAGCATTAAACTATTACGACGCATCGGAATTACCTTAATAAAATATTCCCCAGTAATTGAAAACCCACGATATTAAAGTTAAGAACACGAAGGACTTCAAATCAAAAATCATTTCAACAATCCTCGACGAATCGTACGCGATTTCTCAATTATTTCAACAACAAATTTCTGGGATTTTTATCGCTTAAAGGAAATGGAAAAAGAAATATCTGGGAGCTGGAAGTAGCATTAGAATATTCGAATCGTAATCTAACCTTTTTCATTGGTTCCGTTTCTGTACACCAAAAAAAAAAAAATCAACAATGTGGAAGAAGAAGATGAGTCTCAGACAGTCAGACGTAGAAGGTAATGAGAAATTTAGGGTTCTTTGTTGTTTCTGCTGAAACTGAATCTGGGAAAAAAGAAAAAAAAAATTGAAAGCAAAAGGCAGAGACAGAGAGAAGCGAGAGATTGTGTAATATGTAACGAAAATATGGGAAAACTTTAGAAAACAAAACGCACACACTCACACAATACAACAACTCAAAAAAACATTTACAACTTTTTAAATTTAGGTCCTTGGATTTCAACTTTTATTGGTTTTTGTTTCAGAAGTTTATATTTTACCCTCTAACAAAAACAACTCAAATTCAGACGAACATATACTTTCACAACAATTATACAAATCTGTTTCTCCATACAACATTGCATAACAGATTCTTAACGACATTGAAATATTAATTTAAGAACGACATGGAGATGATTATATATATATGTAGATATCATATCAAGCAAATGATTCTTTGATTGATTAAGTAAAAGAGTGAAAGATCCTCACGAACCAGTAAGGTTTATATGAAGCGAGAATGTGACCGATGGTGAGACCACAGAAAACACCAGGTACGTAGCCTATTGCAGCTGCGATCCAGCTAAATGCTTCATCTTCTTCTTCCTCTTGCTTTGTTGCTTCTTCTTTTTCTTTTCTGCCGCAGGTTTCTTGGAGAGGAGCACCGCAGAGCTGGGGTTCTCTGCGAAAGCAGAACTGTTCTGGCTTTGAATCTGAGTGCCTTGCGGTATTGGACCTTCGAGCCTGTTGTAAGAGAAGTTCATCCGCTAGAAACGTGAGCTTCCCGAGCTCTGGTGGGATTTTGCCGGATAATCGGTTTTGAGATAGATCCAATGATTCGAGATTGGTCAAGTTCGCTAGAGATGGTGGAATACGGCCAGTGAAAGCGTTGTTTGACATGTTGAGCACAATCAGTTCCTTGAGTAAACCGATGGATTCCGGAATATCTCCTTGGAATCTGTTTCCAGAGAGATCAATGGTTTTGTAGATTGTGAAAAAATCCCAACCAGCTCCATCTTCAACCCTTTGTTCGTTAGACCCACCGATTTATGATAGTATTCTGAAAATGATCCCATCGGAAATAATCTACCGATGACATTGCACCAACCAGCAAAATAATCTGATGGCAAGACTCCAGTGAAGCGATTTTCTGAAATGTCAAAGATTCGCAGTTGGGAAACTCAAAGAATCTCCAGGAGAAGATAATTGGCCCATGGAACTCGTTAGAACGAAGGACAAGAATCTGTAGATTCGGCAGAAACCTCAACCAGAGAGGAAACGTGTCATTGAAGTTGTTGTCTTCCACGTTCAGAAACTCGAGAGTGCATTGATCAGAGACTTGGGAGTTCTCCTGATAGCTTGTTGCCACCAACATCAAGTGATCTCAAGTAAACACCACCGATAGATTCCTCTGGAAGAATACCAGAGAGCTGTTATTCCGAAGATGCAAGACCGTAAGATCTAAATTCTCAAAACACGAGGAATGGAACCGCTGAAGTTGTTGTTTGATAAAACAAAGTGTATCAAGACAACCAATTCGCATAATGCCATAGGAATCTCTCCTGAAAACCCATTTTCGGAGCCTAAGAAGTACCGTAAAGCCTTTGGTAATAGAGGAAGGTCCCGGAAAATGTTCGAACTTATATCAAGTATTGATAAGTTCGCACTTTTTTGAATGACATCCGCTGATCCTTCAAACCACTGAAAGAATTATGAGAAATGTTTACGTACCACAACTCTGGCAGACTCCATAACCACTCTGGTACTTGGCCTTCAATTCGATTGGCAGAAATGTCTAAAGACATCAGTCTGGTTTGGTTTTGTAGAAATTTTGGAAAATCAGAAATATTGCACGATGATAGATGCAAGTGTTCTATGGTTGAGGGAAGATGGAGACTTGGACTGATCCTCAGATTAATCCCTGAAAGATCCAAGTCTTCAAGTGACATGAGATGTGAGAAAAGACTCAAGTCAACTATACTTCTTGTATTCAGATAAGAGAGGTGAAGTGTGTTAAGTGACTTGAGATACAAGAAACTGCTGAAATCAACCATTCCCTTCTCTGTGTTCCAAAAAGATAGGTCAAGATACCATAGCCCGACTAGCTTTGATATAGAACCCGAGATTGGCCCATTGAAATTGTTATCTCCAAGGCGAAGTACTTCTAGTTTAGATGGTGAAGAGATATTCCCAATCTCAAGAGGACCGCTGAAGTCGTTTCTTCTTAGGTCAAAGTGGGTCAACGAAGGGATCATGACAAGAGACGACGGCACAGATCCATGAAATGAATTTTCATGTAAAAATAAAGACTCCAATATCGTTAAGGTCGAACAAGGTGAGCTCATGTTAGACGGGAGCATACCTTGGAACTGATTATAGCTAAGGTCGATCAAGGTGAGCTCGCTCATATTAAGTATCACATGAGGAAACTTCCCACTGAGCTTGTTCCGCCAAAGTTGTAACTCTGTCAGCTGGTTTAGGTTGCCCATCGAATTCGGTAGTTCACCGGTGAAATCATTCTGAGAAAGATTAAGATGAGTGAGATAAGAAAGATTTCCGATTGAAGAAGGAATCTTTCCAAATAGATTGCAACTACTAAGACTCAAAACCTTCAAATATTTGAAGTTGCCAATCGAATCCGGTAGTTCACTGTTGAAATGATTATAAGAAAGATCAAGATCAGTGAGATATGAAAGACTTTCAAGTGAAGAAAGAATCTTTCCAACGAAAGAGCAACGTTTAAGATTCAAAACCTTCATATATTTGAAGTTGCCAATCGAATCCGGTAGCTCACCAGTGAAATCATTAAAAGAAAGATCAAGATCAGTGAGATAAGAAAGATTTCTGAGTGAAGAAGGAATCTTTCCATCGAAATCGCAACCACTAAGACTCAAAACCCTTAAATATTTGAGGTTGTCGATGGAATCTGGTAGAACACCAGAAATATAATTCCAACTAAGATCAAGGCTCTGAAGATGTTGTAGTCTAAACAGGCTACTATTAGATCTCAAAGGGCCACTGAGTCTACTGTCCCAGAGGCCAGAGCAGTTGAGATCTAACTCAATGACCATACCAGTGTTATCATCACAAGAAATACCATCCCAAGAACAGCAATCAGTGTTGTTTCTCCACGTCGCTATCTTCGTATTAAATGGGACTTCAATGAACTCGCTCTTGAACTCCCACAAAGCATCTCTCTGGTCTGGACGACACAAGTGCCTTACAGGAGAAGCAAAAACAGACACCGAGTTGAAAAGGGAGAAGATTAAACACAATCTCCATATTATCTTCATCCTCTTCCTCTCACTACAAGATTGTATCATTTTTTTTTTGGGTTATTTTGCTGTGAAACAAGTGATGTTGGTGACTCTAGATCATGGGATTCTCTTTAGAAATTGTGGAGGGAATTAAAGCTTGACTTAACAAGTCTCTTGTGAAAGACAAACTGATGAATGGTCCACAGAGTCAAGTCTCATCTTGTTAGAAAAGTAATCCTAAGAAACTGAAAATTCATTAACACTAAGCTACAAATACAATATTCCTTGCCGTGTGGTGTGGGTTAATCGCTGAAACGCGTTATGCAGCCTTAAGATTCCTTTGATTTTTCAATACTGCAAACATAATTTCTCTGCCGTGTGGTGTGGGTTTAGCAGTTTAATCGTTCAAACGCTTTAAACAATTCAACAGGATCTTGGATACAAACCATTTTTCCTATGCTTTTGCTTATTGCGTATCTTCTTCTTCTTCTTAGGATCAGCTTATTGTTAATTAACCAGATTATTACAAAAGTGTGATTTCAGATCAACCTTAATGATGTTACTCTAACAAGATTTCAGATATTGTCATACATAACCTAAATACAAAACTAAAGTTTTTTTTCAGATTATAAACGACAGAGTTTTCCAAGAACTATCAGACAAAAGACTAGAAACTACTGTTTGATAACAGAGATATCATTAAGATCAAAAACAAAAGTTATGCATTTATAGTCAGTAATCAGGATGGAACACATACACTACTAATTGATTTAGCAATCATGGTGATTCTGTCTATTCTCACCGAAATCAAACGGATCGAGAAATCCTTTAAGACACCCATCAACAAGAGCGGAAATTTCTGAAACAGAAGCGAACCCAAAAGCAGAAATAGCAAAATACCAATGGAACGGACAGAGATTTCACCTGCCAGCGACGGAGACAGATCGTTCTCTCTCAAGCATTTCTCCTTGCGACGGGACGGACATAGTTTAACAGAATTTCATTTATGCCCCTTTAGTTCTCAGGTTATTCGATTAAAGCCTCAAGATTGTTTCTATGACAAATAATTCCATACTCTGTTTTCATTTATAACTGTAATTTACAGATACATAATCAGACAGCTCTTCTTTTTAAACTTTCAGTACAAGTTTCCTTTCAAAAACTGTTACAAAAAAAAAAGGTTCCCTTCAAAATCTAACCTTTCAGAATCTTGAAGCTTATACTTACGAAAATGAAAAGAGTAGAAACAAATATATATAAATGACCAAAAAAACAAGACTCCCTTTGAAATAACTAACTGGTGAATGGTCCACAGATACAAGTCTCCTCTTGTTAAGTAAAGTAGTCCTAAGAAATTGAAAATTCGTTAACAAATGCAATATTCCTTGCCGTGAGAAATAATGGCAGAGAAATGGCGTCTGCAGTTTTTGAATAATCAAAAGATTCTTAAGGCTGCATTTGTGGTCTAGTGTTAACAAAATTTTAAATTTCTTAGGATTAGTTTTTTAACAAGAAGAGACTTGACTTTTTGGACCATTTATCAGTTTGTCTTTCGCAAGAGACTTGTTAAGTCAAGCTTTAATTTCCTCCACACATTTTGAAGAGAATCCAATGATCTAGAGTCACCAACATCACTTGTTTCACAGCTAAAGAACCCAAAAAAAATATTATGCAATCTTGTAGTGAGAGGAAGATGATGATAAAATGGAGATTGTGTTTAATCTTCTCCCTTTTCAACTTAGTGTTTGTTTTTTCTTCTTCTGCTAGTCACTTGTGTCGTCCAGACCAGAAGGATGCTCTTTTGGAGTTCAAGAGCGAGTTCTATGTCCAAGACTTATATGCTAATGGGCGTACAAAGAGCTGGAGGAACAACAGTGAATGCTGTTCTTGGGATGGTATCTCTTGTGATCCTAAGACGGGCATGGTCGTTGATTTATACCTCAGCGTCATCATACTCAATGGCCCTTTGAGATCTAACAGTAGTCTCTTTAGACTACAACATCTCCAGAGCCTGGATCTTAGTGGGAATAATCTTTCTGGTACTCTGCCAGAGTCCATCAGCAAGCTCAAACATTTGATGGTTTTGAGTCTTGTTGGTTGCAATTTCTTTGGTAATATACCTTATTCACTCGGAAATATTTCTTATCTCACTCATCTTCATCTTTTTGAAAATGATTTCACCGGTGAGCTACCGGATTCGATTGGCAGCTGGATTAATTGGATTAATTTTTCCAATTTTCTGCAAATTTATTCTACTTATTTTTTGCAGATTATCAGAATTTATGGAATTAATTTTCTGGGTTTTAAGAAATTTATTATGATTATATTTTGCAGGTTATCAAAGGAAGAAAATATGATTTAATTCTTCTAATTTTCTGCAATTTATTTTAATTATTTTGCATTATTTTTCAGAATTATTTCAGTGTTTTTATCTGAAAAAAAATATTCTGCTATGCATTAATATTTTTTTTATTTGTTAAAATTGATATGAACTGGTGTTCATGAAAGAACTAAGTTCTGGAAAATTGATTAATTTTCTGATTATTTTGCAGCAATATTGGAGCAATTATTTATTTGTGACTAACACAAGTTCTTTGTTGCATTTTTTTTGTATTCGTTGATAAATGCATTTGATTACTCAGATTGATGTTTATTTGTTTGTTTAGCATTGATCATATGTTTTTGCATTTATCTCTATCGTTGCAAAGAAGTTTGACTTTTGTTATTAAGTCATTCAAAATGCTTTAATTATTTGTTGAATATTGCATCGTGGTTATTCCTAGTATTATTTAAATAATTAATTGATGCAATTTATTTTAATTGTTTAAATCGCTGTTTCTGCCTTTGATTAAATTGTTAATTCCTGAATTCATTTGGAGTTTTAATTTAATTAATTTTTGCAATTTTTAGAAGTGATTAAATTGCATTATATATATTTGATATATTTCTAATATTTTTGATATGATGCTTCAGGTTTGAATGTGTGTAAATTGAATTAAAAGGTGTTACAAAAAATTAGAACATTTATAAAAATGTTTCTAAAGTGGAAAAATGCGAATTGGTTGCTCTTGATACACTTGTTTTGTCTAACAACAACTTCAGCGGTTCTATTCCTCGGTGTTTCCAAAATTTCAATGCTAGTATTTCGGTGTTGCATCTTCAGAATAACAGCCTCTCTGGTGTTTTTCCAGATGGATTATTCAATCGTCGGTTGAGATCACTTGATGTTGGTCGCAACCGTCTATCAGGAGTACTTCCCAAGTCTCTTATCAACTGCACTCACCTCGAGTTTCTGAATGTGGAAGAAAACGGATTCAGTGACACGTTTCCTTTTTGGTTGAGATTGTTGCCAAATCTACAGGTTCTTGTCCTTCGTTCTAACCAGTTCCATGGGCCAATGTCTTCTCTTGGAGACTCTCTGAGTTTCCCCAAGCTACGGATCTTTGACATTTCGAAAAATCGCTTCAATGGAATCTTGCCATCAGATTACTTTGCTAAATGGAGTGCATTGTCATCGTCTTATTTGGAGAGCCAGACAGTTTTTTACATAGAATACTATCAGAAATCGGTGGGTCTGACGAACAAAGGGTTGGAGATGGAGCTAGTTGGGAGTGGTTTCACAATCTACAAAACCATTGACGTCTCTGGGAACAGACTCCAAGGAGACATTCCGGAATCCATTGGTTTACTCAAGGAACTGATCGTGCTCAACATGTCAAACAACGCTTTCACTGGCCGTATCCCATCATCTCTGGGGAACTTGACCAATCTCGAGTCATTGGATCTATCTCAAAACCGATTATCCGGAAAAATTCCACTAGAGCTCGGGAAGCTCACGTTTCTAGCGCGTATGAACTTCTCTTACAACATGCTCGAAGGTCCAGTACCACAAGGCACTCGGATTCAAAGCCAGAATAGTTCTGCTTTCGCAGGGAATCCCGGACTCTGCGGTGCTCCTCTCCAAGAAACCTGCGGCAGAAAAGCAAAAGAAAAGGAAGATGAAGAAAAGGAAGAAGAAGAAGATAAAACATTTAGCTGGATCGCAGCTGCAATAGCCTACGTACCTGGTGTTTTCTGTGGTCTTACCATCGGTCACATTCTCTCTACATATAAACATGATTGGTTCGTGAACATCTTTCACTCTTTTACTTAGTAAAGCAAAACAATGATCACTTCTTATAAAATCAATAAACTTTTGTAACAACTTTCTCAACGTTCTGTTTGTTACTTAGAGAAATATTGCATTTGTAGCTTAGTGTTACAGATTATTAACGACAGAGTTTTCCATGAACCATCTGACAAAGGACTCGAAACATTATTATTGATAATAGAGCGATCATTAAGATCAAAAACCAAAGTTATGCATTTATAATCAATAATCAAGATGAGACCCATACATTAAAAATTGATTTAGCAATCATGGTGATTCTGTCGAATACACCCACAATTTTTTTCACCTAAATCAAACGGATCGAGAAATCCTTAAGAAACCCATGAAGAAGAGAACAAATTTCTGAAACAGAAGCGAACCCAAATGAAGAACAAATTACCAATCGAACGAACAAAGATTATTCTCTTTACCAATCGACGGAGAAATCGTTCTCTGATTCTCTCACCAGCGTTTCTCACAGCGTTTCTCATACTTTAACAGAATTTCATTTATACCCCTATATTTCTCAGGTTATTCCATTAAAGCCCTCAAGCTTTGTGTTATGACGAATAATTCCATACTCTGTTTTCATTTATAACCCAAGTAATTCAACCAGTAATTTAGAGATACATAATCAGAGAGCTCTTCTTGTCCAAACTTACAGTACAAGTTTCCTTTCAAAATATAACCTTTCAGAATCTTGAAGCTTATACTTACGAAATCTATCAACAAAAATGAACAGAGTAGAAACAAATATATAAATGATCGAAAAACAAGACTTCCTTTGACATTAACACACCATGTAACGATTCGTCTGTAAACAACGTTTTACGATTTTATTAAAATACAATTAACTTAAAACCGACATGGAGATTATGATATATATGTAGATATCATCAGGCAAATGATGCTTTGTTAACAATAACAAGTAACAAACAAAACGTTAAGAAGTGATCATGCTTCATTAAGTAAAAGAGAGAAAGTTCCTCACGAACCAATCATAATTATATGAACTCAGAATGTGACCGATTACGAGACCACACAAAACACCAGGCACGTAGGCTATTGCAGCTGCAACCCAGCTAAATACTTGATCTTCTTCTTCGTTTTCTTCATCTTCCTCTTGCTTTGCTGTTTCTTCTTCTTTTCTGCCGCACGTTTCTTGAAGAGGAGCACCGCAGAGCCCAGGATTCTCAGCAAACGGAACTATTCTGGCTTTGAATCTGAGTTCCTTGCGGTAGTGGACCTTCGAGCATGTTGTGAGAGAAGTTCATACGTGATAAGAATGTGAGTTTCACGAGCTCTGGTGGGATTTTGCCCGATAATCGGTTATGAGATAGATCCAATGACTCGAGTTTTGTCAAGTTCCCTAGAGATGATGGAATACGGCTAGTGAAAGCGTTGTTTGACATGTTGAGCACAATCAGTCCCTTGAGTAAACCAATGGATTCCGGAATATCTCCTTCGAGTCTATTTCCAGAGAGATCAATGGTTTTGTAGAGTCTGAAACCACTCCCAACCAGCTCCATCTTCAACCCTTTGTTCGTCAGAGAAACCGATTTTATATGGAATTCCGAGACATATCGTCGTAGCCTAATCGGCAAATAATATTCTGATGACAATGCATTCCAACAAGCAAAATAATCAGATGGCAAGACTCCAGTAAAGCGATTCTGGGAAATGTCAAAGATCCGCAGTTTGGGGAAGGTCAAAGAATCTCTAGGAGAAGATAATGGCCCGTGGAACTGGTTAGAACGAAGCACAAGAATCTGCAAATCAGATAACAATCTCAGACAAAAAGGAAACGTGTCATTGAACATGTTGTTTTCCACGTTCAAATGCTGGAGCTGAGTGCAATTGATCAGAGACTTGGGAAGTTGTCCTGATAAACGGTTGTGACCAACATCAAGTGATCTCAAGCTATCACTGAGTAATTTGTCTGGAAGAATACCAGAGAGGCTGTTATTCTGTAGATGCAACACCCAAAGAGTAGCACTGAAACACTGAGGAATGGATCCGCTGAAGTTGTTGTTTGATAAAAAAAGTGTATCAAGCACAACCAATTCGCATAATGCCATAGGAATCTCTCCTGAAAACCCATTTTCGGAGCCTAAGAAGTACCGTAAAGCCTTTGGTAATAGAGGAAGGTCCCGGAAAATGTTCGAACTTATATCAAGTATTGATAAGTTCGCACTTTTTTGAATGACATCCGGTGATCCTTCAAACCCACTGAAAGAATTATGAGAAATGTTTACGTACCACAACTCTGGCAGACTCCAAAACCACTCTGGTACTTGGCCTTCAATTCGATTGGCAGAAATGTCTAAAGACATCAGTCTGGTTTGGTTTTGTAGAAATTTTGGAAAATCAGAAATATTGCACGATGATAGATGCAAGTGTTCTATGGTTGAGGGAAGATGGAGACTTGGACTGATCCTCAGATTAATCCCTGAAAGACGCAGACTTCCAAGTGAGATGAGCTGCGAGAAAAGAATCAAGTCAACCATGCTTCTTGAATTCAGATACGAGAGGTGAAGTAATGTAAGTGACTTGAGAGGAAGGAAGATGTTGAAATCGACAATGCCCCTCCCTGTATTCCATAAAGAGAGGTCGAGCAACTCGAGGCCGATTAGTTTTGATATTGATTCCGGGATTGGCCCACCAAAATTGTTATCTCCAAGGGATAACATTTTAAATTTAGATGGTGAAGAGATGTTCCCAATCTCAGGAGAACCGCTCAAGTGGTTTCTTTCCAGACGAAGCTCGGTCAAGGAAGGGATCATGAAGAGAGAGGAAGGAACAGATCCGTGAAATGAATTTCCAGCTATATGAAAAGACTCCAATTTAGAGAGGCTACTCATGTTAGACGGGAGCAAACCTTCCAACAGGTTAAAACCAAGGTTGATCGAGGTGAGCTCGCTCAAATTGCGCATCCAATCCGGTAGTTCACCGGTAAAACCATTAAAAGAAAGATCAAGATTTGTGAGATAAGAAAGATTCCCGAGTGAAGAAGGAATCTTTCCTACGAAATTGCAATCACCAAGACTCAAAACACTCAGAAATTTAAGATTGCCGATGGAATCTGGTAGAATACCCGAAATATTATTGGTATATAGATCTAGATTCTGGAGATGTTGTAGTCTGAAGAGACTACTGTTCGATCTCAAAGCGCCATTGAGATAGCTGAAGCTGAGATCTAACTCAACCACCACGCCCTTCTTAGGATCACAAGAGACACCATCCCAAGAACAGCAATCAGTGTTGTTCCTCCACTTCTCTGTCGTCGTATCAGACTCCGTCCACTTTTTGATATAAAACTCGCTCTTGAACTCCCAAAGAGCATCCTTCTGGTCTGGACGACACAAGTGCCTTACAGGAGAAGCAAAAGCAAGTACTGAGTAAGAAAGAGAGACGAATAAACACAAGCTCCATATTATCTTCATCTTCCTCTCACTACAATAATGCATCATATTCTTTTCGTTGATTGTTTTTTTTTTTAGGTTACTTTTTCTGTGAAAGGAGAGATGTTGGTAACTCTAGCTCATTGGATTCTCTTTTGAATTTGTGGAGGGAGACTAATTCATGAATGGTCGACAAAGTTCAAGTCTCCTCCTCTTGTTGAAAAAAAAAATAACATGCGTTTATCATGCGTTTCCGCTATTTTCGTTATGAAAAGAAGAGGGTCAGACAATGTTTGTTACCAATGTGAAATGTTACAGTTTGTCTCTTGGAGTTTAGTATTCAGTCAATGATTTCTGCGTCGTAGTCGTAGATGTTATTATGATGTCCATTGAATAATTTACAAACAAACAAAAAACTGAGTGTTTTAAATTATTGAAATTTGGAAATAATTTCCTCTGAAAATTTAGACCAGCAAAATATTTGTGATGAATGATCTAAATAGTACCTACTCTAAACTCTCTTTTTGCATTGTGTTCAATCATCATGGTTGAATTACGTCTATGTTATGTTCTAAGGCAATATGTATTGCTTCGATTTAGAAAAGAGAGCAGTAATGAAACTGTAATTTTGTGTTTTTGTTACCTCTCTTTGTGCCTAGCAGGACTGAAGAAAAAAAAAAGTATAGAAAAAGAGATCGATCGAGTTGATACTATCAAGGTCTTGTTGTTATTGACTTGTTCATTTAATTTGCATCAAATAGTATATGATGAAAATCCATGCATAGAAGTATTTAAAATGGTTCATCCCTGAAAATGTCAGCTTTATAGGGATTTCCACAGCTTTGAACACTCATAACCTAATAAGCAAGAGAGACAGAGACAATTAGTTAAAAATGCAAGGATAGATATAACTAATGTTTCAGACTTCAGTCCAATTAGAGAATGAGAGAGACCTCTATAGCTCTATATCTGGTTCAGTGACAAGGTGCCATACTTGCTTGACTGATTCTGCTCCAGCCTCCAGGGTAATGTAAAACAATCATCGTTGTTCTAAGTTCTAACAACACAGTCACAAAGAACATACCAAACCGTTCTCTCTCCAGCGTTTCTCCTTGCGACGAGCATACCTTAACAGAATTTCATTTAAGCCCCTTACAGTTCTCATGTTATTCGATGAAAGCCTCAAACTCTGTTTCATGAAAAAAAGAATTCCATACTCTGTTTCCATTTATCTCTTATAACAAAATTCCTAACCAATTCAACCTGTACAGATACGTGATCAGAGAGCTATTGTTGTTCAAACATTCATTACAAGTTTCCTTTCAAAATCTTGAACTGTTGAAGCATATACTTGATCTATATATCAACAAAAACGATAATTTTGAAAAGAAACAAATATATAAATGACAACAAAAAACAAGACTTCCTTTGACGTTAATACAACATGTAACGATTTGTCTGTAAACAACGTTGTTTTACGGAAGTTTATTGACGTTAAAACAATAAAAATATATATATATATTCTCTCTGTAACTCATATTATAACGGGTTTAAGAGAATTTTTTTTGTTTTAATTTATAAGGGGTTTTTCAAGTTTTTATGCAAAATTAAATGTCTTTTAGTGATGCAGATTATTTTTTCATTGGTTAAATTGTTTTGAAATTGATGATAAAACATGTTTTATTTTGAAAACTTAAAAAAAAATTGATTTATTAATCTTGTGTCAAAACATAAAATCCCATAACAATATGAACAGATGGAGTATTAGAGATCATCAAACAAATCATGCTTTATCAAATAAGAAACATACATTGACATAGTTGTTACAAAAGTTTAATGATTTTATTATTCTTGCAAGTGAAATCAAGTAAAAGAGTGAAAGATCCTCACGAACCAGTAAGGTCAATATGAAGCGAGAATGTGACCGATGGTGAGACCACAAAAAACACCAGGTACGTAGGCTACTGCAGCTGCAATCCAGCTAAATGCTTCATCTTCTTCTTCTTCCTCTTGCTTTGTTGCTTCTTCTTCTTCTTTTCTGTCGCAGGTTACTTGGAGAGGAGCACCGCAGAGCTTGGGGTTCTCTGCGAAAGCAGAACTGTTCTGGCTTTGAATCTGAGTGCCTTGTGGTATTGGACCTTCGAGCATGTTGTAAGAGAAGTTCACCCGTGATAAGAATGTGAGTTTCACGAGTACTGTTGGGATTTCGCCGGATAATCCGTTGTGAGATAGATCCAATGATTGGAGATTGCTCAAGTTGGCCAGAGATGATGGAATACGACCTGTGAAAGCGTTGTTTGACATGTTGAGCACAATCAGTCCCTTGAGTAAACCGATGGATTCCGGAATATCTCCTTCAAATCTGTTCCCAGAGACATCGATGGTTTTGTAGATTGTCTAACCAGTCCCGACCAGCTCCATCTTCAATCCTTTGTTCGTCAGAGCCACCGACTTATGATAGTATAATTCATTTCGTTGTACGATGACATTGCATCCCAGCCAACAAAGTAATCAGATGGCAAGACTCCAGTGAAGCGATTTTCCGAAATGTCAAAGATCCGCATGTTGGGGAAACTCAAAGAATTTCCAGGAGAAGATATTGGCCCATTGAACTGGTTAGAACGAAGGACAAGAATCTGTAGATTCGGCAGAAACCTCAACCAGAGAGGAAACGTGTCATTGAAGTTATTGTCTTCCACGTTCAGAAACTCGAGAAAAGTGCAGTTGGTAAGAGATTTGGGGAGTCCTCCTGAAAAATGGTTGCGACCAACATTAACTGATATCAAGGCAACACCGATAGATTCCTCTGGAAGAATACCAGAGAGGCTGTTATTCTGTAGATGCAAGACCGAAATACTAGCATTGAAGTTCTCAAAACAACGAGGAATGGAACCGGTAAAGTTGTTGTTGGATAAAACAAGTGTATGGAGATCAACCATTTCACATAATGCCGTAGGAATCTCTCCTGAAAACCCAATTTCGGAGCCGAAAAAGTTCAACAAAGACTTTGGTAATAAAGGTAAATCCTGAAAATTGTTCGAACTTATATCAAGTATTGATATCATACTTTTTTGAATGACATCCGCTGATCCTTCAAAACCACTGAAGGAATTATGAGAAATGTTTACATACCACAACGCTGGCAAACTCCATAACCACTCTGGTACTTGGCCTTCAATTCGGTTGGCAGAAATGTCTAAATACCGCAATCCAGTTTGGTTTTGTAGAAATTTTGGAAACTCAGAAATATTGCAAGATGATAAATACAAATGTTCTATGGTTGAGGGAAGATGGAGACTCGACCTGATCTTCACATTAATCCCTGAAAGATCAAGGACATTAAGTGACATGTGATGTGAGAAAATACTCAAGTCAACCATGCTTCTTGTATTCAGAGAGGAGAGGTCAAGCGTCTCAAGGGACTTTAGATGAAGGAAGATGTTGAAATCGACCTTGGCTCTCCCTGTATTCCATAGAGCGAGGTTAAGAGAGACGAGGCCGACTAGTTTCGATATAGAACGTGGGATTGGCCCATTGAAATTATTATCTCCAAGTGATAATCTTTCAAATTTAGATGGTGAAGAGATATTCTCAATCTCAGGAGCACCGGTGAAGTGGTTTTCTCCCAGGCCTAGCTCTGTTAACGAAGGGATCATGAAGAGAGACGATGGAACAGATCCGTGAAATGAATTTCCACTCATATCAAAAGACACCAATTTAGAGAGGCTACTCATGTTAGACGGGAGCATACCTTGGAACTGGTTAAGATAAAGGTAGATCGTAGTGAGCTCGCTCATATTAAGTATCACATGAGGAAACTTCCCGCTGAGGTTGTTCGCCCAAAGTTGCAACATTATCAGCCGGTTTAGGTGGCCCATCGAATCCGGTAGCTCACCGGTGAAACCATTAGCAGAAAGATCAAGATCAGTGAGATGAGAAAGATTTCCGATTGAAGAAGGAATCTTTCCAAACATATTGCAACCAAGGAGATTCAAAACCACCAAATGTTTGAGGTAGCCAATCGAATCCGGTAGCTCACCGGTGAAATCATTATAAGAAAGATCAAGATCAGTGAGATAAGAAAGATTTCTGAGTGAAGAAGGAATCTTTCCATCGAAATCGCAACCAGCAAGACTCAAAACCCTTAAATATTTGAGGTTGCCGATGGAATCTGGTAGAACACCAGAAATATCATTCCAACTAAGATCAAGGCTCTCAAGATGTTGTAGTCTAAACAGGCTACTATTAGATCTCAAAGGGCCACTGAGTCTACTGTCCCAGAGGCTAGAGCTGTTGAAATCTAACTCAATGACCATACCCGTGTTATCATCACAAGAAATACCATCCCAAGAACAGCAATCGGTATAGTTCATACCCGTGTTAAAATGGAATTCACTCATTAACTCCAAAAGAGCATCCTTCTGGTCTGGACGACACAAGTGCTTGACAGGAGAAGCAAAAACAAACACCGAGTTGAAAAGGGAGAATATTAAACTTAAGCTCCATATTATCTTCATCATCTTCCTCTCATTACAAGAATGCATCATATTTATTTTCCGTGTTTTTTTTTTTGGGTTCTTTGGCTGTGAAGCAAGTGATGGTGGTGACTCTAGATCCTGGGATTCTCTTTAAAATTTGTGGAGCAAATTAAAGTTTGAGTTAACAAGTCTCTTGTGAAGACTAATTGATGAAGAAAAGTCAAGTCTCCTCTTATTAGAAAAGTAATCCTAAGAAACTGAAAATTCGTTAACACTAAGCTACAAACGCAATATTCCTTGCCGTGTCGTGTGAGGTTAATAGCTGAAACGCTATGAGCCTTGAGATTCCTTTGATTTTTCAAAGCTGCAAACGCAATTTCTCTGCCGTAAGGTGTGGGTTTAGTCGTTCAAAGCTCCGTAACCTGATATTTCCGTTGTTAACATTTACCTTTGAACATTGTTCAAGTAGTTTAATCGTTCAGACGCTTAAAACAATTCAACATGATCTTGGATTCAAACCATTTTTCCTATGCTTTTGCTTATTGCGTTTCTTTCTTCTTCTTCTTCTTCTTCTTCTTCTTCTTCTTATGATCAGGTTAAAGTTAATTAAGCAAATTATCACAAAGTGTGATTTCAGATCAACCTAAATGATGTTACTCTTGCAAGATATCAGATATCTGTCATACATAATCTAAATACAAAACCACAGAGTTTTGTAAAACGACAGAGTTATTTTTCAGATGATAAACGACAAAAGACTAGAAACTACTTTGGATAACAGAGAGATCATTAAGATCGAAAACCAAAGTTATGCATTTATAGTCAGTAATCAGGATAGAACACATACACTACTAATTGATTTAGCAATCATGGTGGTGATTCTGTCTTAGCCACTCACGATTCTCACCGAAATCAAACGGATCGAGAAATCCTTAAGACACTCATCAACAAGAGCGGAAATTTCTGAAACAGAAGCGAACCCAAAAGCAGAAATAGCAAAATACCAATCGAACGGACAGAGATTTCACCTGCCAGCGACGGAGACAAATCGCTCTCTCTCCAGCGTTTCTCCTTGCTACGGACGTAGTTTAACGGAATTTCATTTATGCCCCTGTAGTTCTCAGGTTATTCGATTAAAGGTCTCAAGCTTTGTGTTATGACAAATAATTCCATACTCTGTTTTCATTTATAACCCCAAGTCCAAACCAATTCAACCTATAATTACCAGATACATAATCAGAAAGCTCTTCTTGTTTAACTTTCAGCACAAGTTTCCTTTCAAGATTGTTTTTATAACAAATAACTCCATACTCTGTTTTCATTAATAACCCAAGTCCAAACCAATTCAACCTGTAAATTACAGATACATATCAGACAGCTCTTCTTGTTTAAGTTTCAGTACAGTTTCCTTTCAAAAATTTTACAAAAAAAATAAAAGTGTCCTTTCAAAATCTAACCTCTCGGAATCTTGAAGCTTATACTTACTGAACCTGTCAACAAAAATGCAAGAGTAGAAACAAATATATATTGTTCAAAAAGAAAAAAGAAAAAAAATGACCAAAAAAACAAGACTTCCTTTGGCATTAACACAAAATGTAACGATTTGTAAAAATCGACATGGAGAATTTTATATATATGTAGATATCATCAAGGCAACCGATGGTTTCTTAAGTAACAAGCAAACGTTGAGAAAGTCGTTACAAAAGTTTGTTGATTTTATAAGAAGTGATCATGCGTAATTAAGTAAAAGAGTGAAGATCCTCACGAACCAGTAAGGTTTACATGAAAAGAGAATGTGACCGATGGTGAGACCACAAAAAACACCAGGTACGTAGCTATTGCAGCTGCGATCCAGCTCAATGCTTCATCTTCTTCTTCTTCCTTTTCTTCATCTTCCTCTTGCTTTGTTGCTTCTTCTTTTCTTTTCTGCCGCACGTTTCTTGGAGAGGAGCACCGCAGAGTCCGGGAATCTCAGCAAATGAAGAAATATTCTGGCTTTGAATCTGAGTGCCTTGTGGTATTGGACCTTCGAGCATGTTGTGAGAGAAGTTCATACGCGCTAGAAATGTGAGTTTCCCGAGCTCTGGTGGGATTCTTCCGGATAATCGGTTTTGAGACAGATCCAATGATTCAGATCGGTCAAGTTCCCTAGAGATGGTGGAATACGGCCAGTGAAAGCGTTGTTTGACATGTTGAGCACAATCAGTTCCTTGAGTAAACCGATGGATTCCGGAATATCTCCTTCCAGTCTGTTTCCGGAGAGATTGATGGTTTTGTAGATTGTGTAAACACTCCAAACCAGCTCCATCTTCAATCCTTTGTTCGTCAGAGCCACCGACTTATGATAACTCACTGAGACACGTTGTGGATACCTAATCGGCAAATAATCTACCAATGATGATGACATTGCACTCCAACCAGCAAAATAATCTGATGGCAAGACTCCACTGAAGCGATTTTCGGATATTTCAAAGATCCTCAGTTTGGGGAAACTCAAAGAACCTCCAGGAGAAGATAATGGCCCATGGAACTCGTTCGAACGAAGGACAAGAATCTGAAAATCAGGCAAGAACCTCAACCAGAAAGGAAACGTGTCATTGAAGTTATTGTATTCCACGTTCAGAAACTCCAGCTGGGTGCAATTTCTCAAAGACTTGGGAAGTTCTCCTGATAAACGGTTGCGACCAACATCAAGTGATCTCAAGTACACACTGATAGATTCCTCTGGAAGAATACCAGAGAGGCTATTATTCCGAAGATGCAAGACCGAGAGACTAGTATAGAAATTCTCAAAACACAGAGGAATGGAACCGCTGAAGTTGTTGTTTGATAGAACAAGTGTATCAAGATGAACCAATTCGCATAATGACCTAGGAATCTCTCCTGAAAACCGATTGTCGAATCCTATAACGTACAGCATGGAAGGTGGTAACAAAGGAAATGGATTCTTGAATGTGTTGGAACTTATATCAAGCACTAGTAATATCTTTGCACTTCTTTGAATGACATCCCCTGATCCTTCAAAACCACTGAAGTGATTCTGAGAAATGTTTACATACCACAACGTTGGCAGTCTCCATAACCAATCTGGCACTTGACCTTCAATTCTGTTGGCAGAGATGTCTAAATACGCCAATCCTATTTGGTTCTGTAGAAACTTGGGAAACTCAGAAATATTGCACGATGACAAATCCAATCGTTCTATGAGTGATGGAAGATGGAGAGTTGGACTGATCTTCAAATTATTCCCTGAAAGATTCAAGTCTCCGAGTAACTTGAGATGCGAGAGAAAACTCAAGTCGACCATGCTACTTGTATTCAGATAGGAGAGGTCAAGTGCAACAAGTGACTTGAGATGCAAGAAAATGTTGAAATCGACCATGCCCTGCTCTGTATTCCAGAAAGAGAGGTTAAGAAACTTGAGCCCGACTAGGTTTGATATAGATCCTGGGATTGGTCCATTGAAATTGTTTTCTCCAAGGAACAATTCTTCAAGTTTAGATGGTGAAGTAGAGATATCCCCAATGTCAAGAGGACTGATGAAGTGGTTTCTTCCCAGGTCAAGCTTGATCAATGAAGGGATCATGAAGAGAGAGGACGGAACAGATCCATGAAATGAATTTCCACTCATATCAAAAGACTCCAATTTAGAGAGGCTACTCATGTTAGATGGAAGCATACCTTGGAATTGGTTAGAACCAAGGTTGATCTCTGTGAGCTCGCTCATATTAAATATCACATGAGGAAACTTCCCACTGAGCTTGTTCCGCAAAAGTTGCAACGTTGTCAGCCGGTTTAGGTTGACCATTGAATCCGGTAGCTCACCGGTGAAATCATTATAAGAAAAATCAAGATCAGTGAGAGAAGAAAGATTTCCGAGTGAAGAAGGTATATTCCCAAAGAAGAAACAATCTCTAAGACTCAAAACCCTCAAATGTTTGAGGTTGCCAATCGAATCCGGTAGTTCACCGGTGAAATTATTAACAGAAAGATCAAGATGAGTGAGATAAGAAAGGTTTCCGAGTGAAGAAGGTACATTCCCAAAGAAAAAGCAACCACCAAGACTCAAAACCATCAAATGTTTGAGCTTGCTGATGGACTCTGGCAGAGTACCAGAAAGATAATTCCCACTAAGATTCAGGCTCTGAACATGTTCTAGTCTAAAGAGACTACTGTTAGATCTCAAAGGGCCATCGAGTATGTTGAAGTTGAGGTCTAACTCAACGACCTTACCGGTGTTAGGATCACAAGAGATACCATTCCAAGAACAGCAATCAGTGTTGTTCCTCCAGCTCTTTGTATGCCCATTAGCATTAAGCTCTTGGACATAGAACTCGCTCTTGAACTCCCACAGAGCATCTCTCTGGTCTGGAAGACACAAGTGGTTAGCAGGAGATGCATAAACAAGTATTGAGTCAAAAATGGAAAAGATTAAAGACAAGCTCCATATTATCTTCATCATCTTCCTCTCACCACAAGAATGCATCATTCTTTTTTCGTTGATTTTTTTTTGGGAGGAGGTAACTTTTGCTGTGAAAGGAGTGATGTTGGTAACTCTAGAACATTGAAAACCCTTTATCAAAAAAAAAACTCTACAACATTGAACATTGCTCTGAATATTGGACTAATTGATGAATGGTCGACAAAGTGAAGACTGGTTTGATCTTACGATAACCTTCGTTTATCATGCGTTTCCGCTAATTTCGTTGTGAAAAGAAGAGGGTCAGGCAATGTTTGTTATCAATGTGAATTGTTACATTTTGTCTTGTGGAGTCTAGTACGTAGTCAATGATTTCCGCGTCGTAGATGCTATTATGATGTCCATTCAATGATTAAAAAGAGTTTTAACGTTTAACTTATTTAAAACAAGGTGGTTGTCCCGCACCTTGTGGAGGTACAATATTTTTAAAACACGTTAATTAATAAAACATTTGGATAATATAAATAGTAGAATTTTTGTTTTCGCCAACTTCTTATTTTTTTGTAATCTTTATATGTCTTATTTTTGTTTTCTCTTTCTCATTCTTCTACATAATCTTCTTCAATCACTTTAAGAAATACAAAAGAATTTCCACTTCTTGTTTTCTTCTCCCTCTTATTCTTCTCCAATTATCTCATCTTCTTCTTTTTCTTTCAATTTTATATTCATTCTCATCATCTTTTTCTTCTTTCAATATGTGTCTTTCAATCTTTTGTTGTTTCTTTATATTCACCAATTCCCTCTTCTTCTTTTTATTTTTAAAATTCTTTACATTCTTTTTCGGGTTTTTCTTCTTCCTCATTCCCCTTTCTCTATCTTTATCATCTTTATATTCTTTATCATCATATTATTCTAATTTTTATTTTTATTTTCTTTGTCTTTTTTTCAACTCACATTCCATTTTTCTTTGATTTTTATTAATCATGTTCGAGTTTTCTTCTTCTTATTTTTTCTATCTTCTTTTTCATTGTCTTCTTTTCTTTTACTCGTGTTTTTCTTCGTTCTTGTCTATGTCTTGTATTTCACCTATCAATTCATCGATAGTTTAGATTTTCAAAGATTTGTGAAATAATTTTTATCTTCATATAGTCGAGATCATTTAAAATTATAATGGTTTTGTTATCTTTCGATTCTGGATTTACTTTAATTTTTTAATTTTTTCTATTTATGAATGCAATTTAGAAATATAGATATAATTTTATAATCAATGATTTTTAATTACAAAATTCTTCCATAATAATTCAAATTTTAAAAATGCACTAAAAACTAAACTCTACACCCATCAACATAAACTCAAACCCACAATGTAACATCAGCCCCCCTAAACAACCCTACACCCTAAACCCAAACTCCACATTATAACACAACATCTCCCCCCCTCCAATCCACCAAACTGCACACCCGAACCCCACATTTTACAAATTAGTTCAGGATTTTCTTTTTTCTTTTTTCTTTTTTTTTAAAAGAACTTTTTTTTTTTTGTTTTTGTTTTTAATCGGTAATGTAAAGAATTCAATTTTTTTACAATGCACCAAAATCTAAAATTTACTCTTGCAATATAAACCGTAGATCATAGACCCCAACCTCATTTTATCTTCTTCTTTTACTTTGTTCTTTACTTCTTTCATATTTGTTTCCTTCATTTTATATCGTTTTTATCTTATTCTTATCAAACTTTCTATTTATTTTTCTTTTCCCTCTCTTCATTTGTCATCTTTTTATTTCCTGTTTTGTTTTTCCGTTTTGTTCCTTTTATTAACAATTTATTTTTCAATTGACTTTGTGTTCTTATTCTTCATTTCTTTTTATTTTTTGATTTTCCCAGTTTCTTTATTTTTCACATATTCACAAATTCTTTTTGTTTTTGTTTTCGTTCTTTTTTTTTTCGTCTTCGTCTTTCAACTTTCATCTTTTCCTTATTTCTATTAAGTTTGTTTTTTTCTGATTTTATCTTATATTTTTCATCATTTTGTATTATCTTTTTCTTTTTTTGCAACATCTTATTTATCAGTTTCGTCTTTATTTTTCGTTTTTATTTATTTATTTTCTTACTATATATATGAGTTGCATAATATTCAACAAAGGCCGAAGACACAAATACACAATTTTTCTGCTTATATATCTGTAGTCTATAACATAAGAATCAACTTTGGTTCATTAGGGAATCTACATGATCTTAGCAAGCTCGGGAAAATGCCATCCATACAATTCCCTAACCCTTATAGAACATGTGTTTAGTTATTTGTCAAGATCATCGAGCAAACCAAAATCATAAAAATATTAGGAGGTGCAAGAGAAGCACAGACAACACACACAATAAATCAAAAGGTCATATGATAGTTCTACTCAATAGATCAATAAATTACCAAAACATAGCTCAAATCAATACACAAATCAAAAGCTGAATCGCCCTTAAACCCTTGGAAATCAGCCTCAAATTCATAGTCCAGATCAAAGAAGTCAGAGTTATAGCACCTCCACACACAGATTCACCTTTCCCTATCTTTATTCCCTTTTATATCAAATTACACTTTGCTTCCGATCTCATTAACATATGTGCTGTGCTGTCTTACTTAAACATGATACAATTACAACTCGTGAACAGATTTATGGTTCTTCAACGGATGTCTTACAACAACCATCACGTCCAACCACAAAAATTATCATATAATCGTGGTGTTGACATGAACCTCGATGAAGATTTTATCTTCCACAGATTTTTCATGTGCCAAGTCATGCTTTAAAGCATCCGTCTCCAAACACGCTATATCGTTTCAAATCAAAAACACAATATGTAGATGATGGCTCAGACCAAGTTCATCAATCCAAAAATTCCAGCAAAGCCATGACCAAATCGGTAGCATAATGGATCATATCATTCGAATTTTAAATCTCTTTAAAGCCAAAAACTCATCTTTATTCAATATCTAGTATAAACAATAAACCTACATGACAAAAGATGAAATATGGACTCGAAGAAATTATCTCACCTCTAGGTAGAAGAATCGTAAATTGTGTTGATTTTGATTGTTACTATCTATTTATATAATACAAAGTCGGTTAAAAAACCTAGGTTTTCCTTTTTTTCCAATTTTTTTTAATTTTTTTCCAAAAATATGGCGCGGAATATGGTAGTTAGCCTTTTTATCTAAAAAGATTTAAGTCAATAATCAAATTCTTTTTAATAAAAAAAAAGAAAAATTCGAAGATTTAATAATAGATTTTCATTAAGGGTACTTCGGTAATTCCGCGGCTGAGAGTTAACGTGGTGGCTCCATTCGAAATTCTGACTTTGCAAATAATAGTATGATTTGGGAATTATTTACCGTTCAATATGTAAACCAGCAAATTTGTTGTGATGAAAAATCTAAAAAGTACCCACTCTTCATTAAATAGTTTTTGCATTCTGTTCAATCATTATGTTCTAAGGAAAATGTAAATTTGTGTTTTCTTTACCTCTCTGTGTGTCTCCAAGTTCATAGCCACACTGAAGAAAATGTAAAAACATAAAAAAAAAAAAAAAAAAAAAAAAAAAAAAAAAAGGAAGAGAGAAGGACTTGTTGTTATTACCATGCATGAAAGTATTTAAACTGGTTCATCCCTGTACAGAGAGAGACACTTAGTTAAAAAAAGCAAAGTGAGAGTAACAACCATAGAGATGGCTCAAGAAAAAGCTGAAAACGTACAGTAAAAGAACCTATTAAAGAGCAAACCCCAACATATACTATCATATAACGCAGTTTGTAGTAGAAGATCAGTACAAGTACCACAACCAAGACCTACAACAGCAGAATACGTAAGAAAACCTGGTTAAAACATTCAAGCAATAAAACATGTTTCAGTTCCCATTAGAAAAGCTATGTTGTTTGACCCAAAACAATGAGACATTTATAGCTCTATACCTGGTTCAGTAACAAGGCGCCTTACTTGCTTGACTGATTCTGCTCTTGAGGCGCATGTTAAACAATCGTTATAGATTTAACAACACAGAGGACACGTCCAAGTATTCTTAGAATTAATCAGATTTTTGCAAAAGTGTGATTTCAGATCAATCGAATGATGTTACTATACACAAACATAATGTCTTAATAAATATAAGAATGAAGATATCAGATTATAAACGAAAGAGTTCTCCATGAACCACCTGACAAAGGACTAGTATTTTCACAACATTAAAATATACTATTAATTAAAAAACCGACATGGAGATTAATTACTATATATTTGTAGAATCTGTAGATATCATCAGGCAACCGATGCTTACAAAAGTTTACTGATTTTAATCTGTTTACTTGTTCTTGCAAGTGAAATCAAGTAAAAGAGTGAAAGATCCTCACGAACCAGTAAGGTTTACATGAAAAGAGAATGTGACCGATGGTGAGACCACAGATAACACCAGGTACGTAGGCTATTGCAGCTGCGATCCAGCTAAATGCTTGACCTTCTTCTTCTTCCTTTTCTTCATCTTGCTCTTGTTCTGTTGCTTCTTCTTCTTTTTTTCCACAGGTTTCTTTGAGAGGAGCACCACATAGCCCAGGATTCTCTGCGAATGAAGATATATTCTGGCTTTGAATCTGAGTGCCTTGCGGTATTGGACCTTCAAGGTTGTTGTAAGAGAAGTTCATCCACGCTAGAAACGTGAGTTTCCCGAGCTCTGGCGGGATTCTTCCGGATAATCGGTTTTGAGATAGATCCAATGATTGGAGATTGCTCAAGTTCGCAAGAGATAGTAGTATATGTCCTGTGAAAGCGTTGTTTGACATGTTGAGCACGATCAGTTCCTTGAGTAAACCTATGGATTCGGGGATATCTCCTTGGAATCTGTTTCCAGAGACGTCAATGGTTTTATAGATTGTGAAACCACTCCCAACCAGCTCCATCGTCAATCCTTTGGCAGTCATAGACACAGAGTTTCGATAGTTTCCAGAGTCACGTCCCTCAAACCTACTCGGCATTCGATCTACAATGTCTAAGACCGATGACATTGCACCCCAACCGGCAAAGTAATCAGATGGCAAGACTCCAGTGAAGCGGTTTTCCGAAATGTCAAAGATCCGCAGCTTGGGGAAACTCAAGGAACCTCCAGGAGAAGATATTGGCCCGTGGAACTCGTTATAACGAAGGACAAGAATCTGCAGATTCGGCAGAAACCTCAACCAGTGAGGAAACGTGTCATTGAAGTTATTGTCTTCCAAGTTCAGAAACTCGAGAGAAGTGCAGTTGATGAGAGACTTGGGAAGCTTTCCTGATAGCTTGTTGCCACCAACATCAAGTGATCTCAAGGGAGCACTAATAGATTCCTCTGGAAAAACACCAGAGAGGCTATTATTCCGAAGATGCAAGACCGAAAGACTAGTGCTGAGATGCTCAAAACACCGAGGAATGGAACCGTTGAAGTTGTTGTTGGATAAAACAAGCGACTCAAGAGAAACCAAACCGCATGTTTCTCTAGGAATCTTTCCTGAAAACCGGTTATTGGAGCCTAGAAAGAACTTTGTAGTGTTTGGTAACAAAGGAAACGGATCGTGGAACTCGTTAGAACTGATATCAAGCAGCAGCATCTGGCTTCTTTGAATAACATCCGCTGATCCTTCGAAGCCACTGAAAGAATTCTGAGAGATGTTTACGTACCGCAACTCTGGCAGGCTCCATAGCCACTCTGGCACTTGACCTTCAATTTGATTGCGAGAAAGGTCAAGATATAGCAAAATGGTTTGGTTTTGAAGAAACTTGGGAAACTCAACAATCTTGCAGGATGATAAAGCCAAGGTTCCTATAGGTAAGGGAAGACTGAGAGGTTCACTTATCTTCAGATTATTCCCTGAAAGATCTAAATAACCAAGTAACATGAAACTTGAGAAAAGACTCAAGTCAAACATGCTTCTTGTATTGATATAAGATAGGTCAAGGAAAATAAGTGACGTGAGAGGCAAGAAAACGCTGAAATCGACCGTAGCCTTCTCCGTGTTCCATAAAGCTAGGTCAAGATAGAAGAGCCCGACTAGTTTGGATATAGAATCCGGGATTGGCCCTTTGAAATTGTTTTCCGGAAGTGATAAAGCAATAAGTGTAGATGGTGAAGAGATATTCCCAATCTCAAGAGTGCCACTGAAGTCGTTACTTCCCATTGCAAGCTCAGATATTGAAGGGATCATGAAGAGAGACGACGGAACAGATCCATGAAATGAATTCTTTTCTATATGAAAAGACACCAATTTGGAGAGGCTACTCATGTTAGATGGGAGCATACCTTGGAACCGGTTAGAACCAAGGTAGATGAAGGTGAGCTCGGTCAAGTTGAGTAGCGGAAGAGGAAAGTTACCACCGAGCTTGTTGTTGTCAAGACGCAACTCTCTTAGTCGGTTTAGGTTGCCCATGGAATCTGGTAGCTCGCCGGTGAAACCATTACCAGAAAGACCAAGATTAGTGAGATGGGAAAGATTTCCGAGTGAAGAAGGAATCTTTCCAAAAAGATTGCAACGGGCAAGACTCAAAACCCTCAAATATTTGAGGTTGCTGATGGAATCCGGTAGATCACCATAAAGATTGGTATTGTTGTCAAGATTCAGACTCCGGAGATGTTGTAGTCTAAACAGACTACTGTTTGATCTCAAAGGGCCATTGAGAAAACTGTCCTCGAGGTCTAACTTCACCACCACGCCTTTCTTAGGATCACAAGAGACACCATCCCAAGAACAGCAATCAGTGTTGTTCCTCCACCTCTCCGTCTTCTTGTTGACCGGCGTCCCATCAGAATGAAACCCTTCGACGTAGAACTCACTCTTGAATTTCCAGAGAGCATCCTTTTGGTCTGGACGACACAAGTGCTTAGCAGGAGAAGCAAAAACAAGTGTTGAATCAGAAAGGAAAAAGATTAAACACAAAGTCCATATTATCATCATCTTCCTCTCACTACAAGAATGTATCATTTTTTTATTTTTCTATGTGGAACGAGTGATGATGGTGGTGACTAAAAGCTTGAGTGGTTTATAAAGGAAACTAAAGCATGAAAGCCTTGACTTAAAAAGTCTCATGTGGAGCCTAATTGAGTCGTCGCCCGACAAAGATATACTTTTAAATTTCTATGAAAGCCCCCACAAAGTCAAGTCTTCTCATGGAGAAAAAAAAAGTAAACCTTAAAAAATAATTAATAGCGACTGCCACAGCTTTAACACTCATAAGGAAGCAACAGTGAATTGCAGATTTGCAGCAGTACAAGTAGTAATGATTTAAAACAAGAATTGGTAAAGTTATTACAAAAGTTTATTTGATTTATTTTTACATCAATCTAGTTCGTACGCGCGATGTGATGCTTTGTCTGCTTTGATTACGTAAGAGATCCTCATGAGCCAGTCATGTTTATATGAGTCCACAGAACACACCAGGTACGTTAGCCTATTGCAGCTGGAGGAAAATAAAGCTTGACTTAACAAGTCTCTTGAGAAAGACAAACTGATGAATGGTCCACAAATGCAAATTTTTTCCTGAAGTGCGTTGTGGTTTATAGCTGAAACGCTATGTAGCCTTAAGATTCCTTTGATTTTTCAAAAACTGTAGACGCGGTTTTTCCGCCGTGTGGTGTGGGTTTCATCGTTCAAAGCTCCGTAACCTGATACTTACGTTGTAGTTATTTACCTTGCTCAAGTAGCTTAATCGTTCAAACGTTTTTGTGCTATACACACACACAAATATGCTTTTATATCATCACCATTAGAAATGTCTCATAAGCTTTGTCAGACACACATATACACACACGGATACTTATGATGATGCATTGATCATTGATTTCATTCGTCATCATCTTATCTCTGTTTTTTTTTCCCCCCATAATGACGAAAGAGGAGGGGAAAATGTAATAATGTAGATGTAAGATAGTATCATAGTACTATTGGAGATTGATTGGTCTGTACGTATCTATGAGTGTGAAAGAAACATGAAGCGGATTCTATGCGTGTGGAGATAAAAGATGTGGTCTCTAGCATTTTGAGTTTTGACTTTACATATCCTAGGAACATAAAATGGCCCACTGGCTTCTCCCTTTGTTTAATTGAGATCAGAGAGTGTCCTTTTCTTTTTTTTTGTAGATATAATCAAGCAAATGATGCTTTGTTGAGTAACAAACAAATGTTGAGAAACTTGTTACAAAAGTTTATTGATTTTATAAGTGATCATGCTTAATTAAGTAAAAGAGTGAAAGATCCTCATGAACCAGTCAGGTTTACATGAAAAGAGAATGTGACTGATGGTGAGACCACAGAAAACACTAGGTACGTAGGCTATAACAACTGCGATCCAGCTCAATGTTTGATCTTCTTCTTCCTCTTCTTTCGTTGCTTCTTCTTCTTCTTCTTTTCCACCGCATGTTTCTTGGAGAGGAACACCGCAGAGCCCATGATTCTCTGCAAATGAAGAACTATTCTGGCTTTGAATCTGAGTGCCTTGCGGTATTGGACCTACGAGCCTGTTGTGAGAGAAGTTCATACGCGCTAGAAAAGTCAGTTTCCCGAGCTCTGGTGGTATTCCTCCGGATAATCCGTTTTGAGACAGATCCAATGATTGTAGATTGCTCAATTTCCCTAGAGATGATGGAATACGGCCAGTGAAAGCGTTGTTTGACATGTTGAGCACAATCAGTTCCTTGAGTAAACATATGGATTCCGGAACATCTCCTTCGAGTCTGTTTCCAGAGACGTCAATGGTTTTGTACATTGTGAAAACACTTCCAACTAGCTCCATCTTCAATCCTTTGTTTGTGAGACCCACCGAGTTATGATAGTATGGAGAGCTACGTCCTGCATACTTAAACAACGTACTATCAACAATGTCTACAGCCGATGACATTGCACTCCAACTAGCAAAGTAATCTGATGGCAAGACTCCAGTGAAGTGATTCTCTGATATGTCAAACATTAAAGAAGATAGTGGCCCGTGGAACTTGTTAGATCGAAGAACAAGAATCTGTAGATTCGCCAAAGAACTCAACCAGAAAGGAAACGTGTCATTGAAGTTATTGTCTCCCATGTTTAGAAACTCGAGAATAGTGCAGTTGATCAGAGACTTGGGAAGCTTTCCTGATAACCGGTTACGACCAACATCAAGTGATCTCAAGTAAACACTGACAGATTCCTCTGGAAAAACACCCGAGAGGCTGTTATTCTGTATATGCAAGACCGAAATACGAGCATTGAAACACCGAGGAAAGGAACCACTGAAGTTGTTGTTGGATAGAACAAGTGTATCCAGATTAACCAGTTCACATAATGCCCTAGGAATCTCACCTGAAAATCGATTATTCGAGCCAGAAAAGTATACCGTAGAGTTTGATAGCAAAGGAAATGGATCTTGGAAAGTGTTTGAGCTTATATCAAGCATTACTTTTTCACTTCTTTGAATAACATCCGCTGATCCTTCAAAACCACTGAAAACATTCTGAGAAATGTTTACATACCGCAACGCTGGCAGACTCCATAACCACTCTGGTACTTGACCTTCAATTCGATTGACAGAAATGTCAAGAGAATACAAACTGGTTAGGTTTTGTAGAAACTTGGGAAACACGGCAATATTGCAGGATGATAAAGCCAAGGTTTCTATGGTAGAGGGAAGACTGAGAGTTTCACTGATCTTCACAGTAATCCCTGAAAGATCGAGGTCGCTAAGCGACATGAGATGTGAGAAAAGACTCAAGTCAACTATACTTCTTGTATTCAGATAAGAGAGGTGAAGTGTTTTAAGTGACTTGAGATGCAAGAAACTGCTGAAATCAACCATGCCCTTCTCTGTGTTCCAAAAAGAGAGGACAAGATACCATAGCCCGACTAGTTTCGATATAGACCCCGAGATTGGCCCAATGAAACTGTTTTCTTCAAGGGATAAACTTCCAAGTGTAGATGGTGAAGAAGAGATATTATAACCAATCTCAAGAGGACCGTTGAAGTCGTTTTTCCCCAAGGCAAGAATCATCAACGATGGGATCAAGAAGAGAGACGACGGAACGGAACCGGAGAATGAATTTCCTGTTATATCAAACGACGCTAGCTTGGAGAGGCTGCTCATGTTAGAAGGGAGCATACCTTGGAAGTGGTTAAAACGAAGGTCGATTCCATTGAGCTCGCTCAGATTGAGTAGCTGAAGAGGAAACTTCCCGGTAAGCTTGGCCACTGCAAGTTGTAGCTCTGTTAGTTGAGTTAAGCTGCCGATCGAATCCGGTAGCTCACCGGTGAAATCGTTTTCAGAAAGATCAAGATTAGTGAGATGAGAAAGATTTCCGAGTGAAGAAGGAATCTTTCCGAACATATCGCAACCGCGGAGATTCAAAACCTTGAGATGTTTGAGGTTGCTGATGGAACTTGGTAGAGTACCGGAAAGATTGTTCGAGGTAAGTTCTAGCCTTTGAAGATGTTTTAGTCTAAAGAGACTACTGTTAGATCTCAGAGGACCGTTGAGAGAACTAGCCCAGAGGAATAACTCAACGACTTTACCGGTTTTAGGATCACAAGAGACACCATCCCAAGAACAGCAATCAGTGTTCTTCCACTTCTCTGTCGTCGTCTTCGTATCAGACTCCATCCAATCAGGCTTTTGGATATAAAACTCGCTCTTGAACTCCCACAGAGCATCTCTCTGGTCTGGAAGACACAAGTGGTTAGCAGGAGAAGAAAAACTAAGTATTGAGTTAAAAAGGGAGAAGATTAAACACAAGCTCCATATTATCTTCATCATCTTCCTCTCGTTACATGAATGCATCATATATTTTCTTTTCTTTCTTTGCTTATTTTTTTGTTTGGCTGTGAAACGAGTGATGTTGAAGACTAGAATCATTGGATTGTCTATTTACATTCGTGTACAAAAAATGAAGGTTTGGCTTAAAAAGTCTCCTATGGAAGACTAATTGCGCAGCAAGACTAATTGTGCAGCAAGATTGTGATGTTTTCCACAAAGATTAATAATTTCAATATGAATGCCCTCCACAAAGTCAACAAAATCAGTTAGTAGTGTACGTGTTTCAGACTATACGAAGCCGCGAACACAAAATTTTCCCAGACTGATCACAGTCTTACTGTAAGTGAAAATTTATTTACAAATTTGTGTATAAAATATTGTTCGTTTGTTTATATATAAAAATATGATAAATTTTATGAAATATACCTTTTAAGGTGCAAATTTTCAAAACTACACCTACAGTGTGGAAATTTTCAAAAATACATCTTTCCCCAATTTTAATATATATATTTGGGTTCACTATTCCTAGATTAGGGTTTAGATTTTGGGATTTAGGGTTTAGATTTAAGGGTTCAATGTTAGATTTTAGGGTTTTGGATTTATATTTTAGGGTTTAGAGTTCTTTTACTCAATGAAAAAGTGTAGTTTTGAAAATTGGCACCATAGAAGTGTATTTTTGAAAATTGACACCTCAAGAGGTATAGTTTTGAAATTTCCCCAAAAAATATGCGAGAACAAGCATAAACAGCTTCCAATTTTTACCATCGCTAAAGAAAAGAGTAGCATAACTGGAGTTTTGAAGGAGAAGACTCCGAGCTCTGTTCCGAACCACACAGAAAACTTTTTGAATATTCATTGGATGAGGCAAAGTAATACCATAGTGGATTTGTCAACACTTGTTAAATCAAAACACCAAATACCATTTATTAATTTGCATAAGATTTACTCTGACATGAAATTCTAAAATCATACATATTGTATAATATAAAGATTAACAATCATTTATTTTTGTTTATTTTGTATTTTTTTTTCTTATTTTAACAATATGGTTTATTTTTCAAGTGGTTTGAACGAAGTGAGATTCATTGATTTCAGCCATGGCTTCTCCCAAACAATCGCCTCGTAGTTGTTGCTCTCGCCGGTATGATTTGCTGTTATCACAAGTTTGTAATTCATGCCAGCGACTACCTGAGACTCGCCGCTAACAACCGTCACAAAGTTGAGGTCTGATTTCGTCTTCCTGACGTATTCAGAGACCGCAAATTCACCGATTTCTATGACATGAGGGTCCTTGATGTCCTTGATGGGGCTCCAGCCGCCGACGCGCTGCACCAAATGCGTAGAGAGGGAGGAGGACCAGAGATAGAAGAAGATAGAAGATTGTTTTGTTATTCATTTTGAAGTTTTTATGGATTATGTTTTCTTTTTATTGATTAATAATGGGCAGAGCAGAGAAGTTTAAAGATATTTTATAGTAGAAGATTTTACACAGAAGATGACGTGGCACATATTAATTTCTTGCTCTTTTATGTTCATACATAGCTACAACATGGAAGCAAAATGTTGAAATAGTCAATGCTCATTATTGAAATGTATTTTAATTAATTTCTTACTCATTTATGTTCATACATAGCTACAATGTGGAAGCAGAATGTTGAAATAATCAATACTCATTTATGGACATGTATTTTGATTATAACTTATTTATTTTGAAATCTAAGTTATACATTTAAATTATACAAAAGCTAAAAGCTTATTTAATTTATCAATAATTTAGTTTCACTAAATTCATTTCTATTTAATTAATTTTTTTTTATTCTACAAATGATCTGAAATTATATATTCAAATAGTGATATTAATTATGAAATTTATGAGTTTTATATGGGCTTTTTATATAATTGACCCAAGACTTGGGGTCAAATGTAAAAGAAACTCTATTAAAAAAAAAAATTCTCATTCTCCATCCTCACTAAGTTATGATATTATTGGGACTATATTTTACATAAGAGTTTCAAAAAAATTATTATTAATTTCTTGCTCTTTTATGTTCATACATAGCTACAACATGGAAGCAAAATGTTGAAATAGTCAATGCTCATTATTGAAATGTATTTTAATTAATTTCTTACTCATTTATGTTCATACATAGCTACAATGTGGAAGCAGAATGTTGAAATAATCAATACTCATTTATGGACATGTATTTTGATTATAACTTATTTATTTCGAAATCTAAGTTATATATTTAAATTATACAAAAGCTAAAAGCTTATTTAATTTATCAATAATTTAGTTTCACTAAATTCATTTCTATTTAATTAATTTTTTTTTATTCTACAAATGATCTGAAATTATATATTCAAATAGTGATATTAATTATGAAATTTATGAGTTTTATATGGGCTTTTTATATAATTGACCCAAGACTTGGGGTCAAATGTAAAAGAAACTCTATTAAAAAAAAAAATTCTCATTCTCCATCCTCACTAAGTTATGATATTATTGGGACTATATTTTACATAAGAGTTTCAAAAAAATTATTATCTTATCGAATGATGTCATATTTTACATCATCCCAACTCGGTACCGGCATATTTTATAATTTATCATGTTTTTTAATTTATCGAGTATTAGAGCGTGATTGGTAAGTGCTTTGAGTGCTTTGTAGAGCAATAATTTTTTTCTAGAGCACTAGTGTTAAAGAATCAAGCTTTGATTTCATTTTTTAAGTTTAGAGCCATAATTTTAAATACGGAAATATTTTGACTCTGCATAGCAGATTTTTCATAACACAATTTTAAGGGCTCTCGGAATTATCTCTCTTCTCATTCCTTAATCTCAATTTTTATATTTCTTTTTTAATGTTTTTTCCTATATCTTTTTTATTTTTATTTTTAATGCTATATTTATGATATTTTCTAAGAAATTATTTATAATAAATATTCTACAGTACTAAAATTTACAGTCAAAAAAAAAAAAAATCAAAATCTACAGTCTAAATTTTACAGCAAAAAAATCCAAAGCTACATACACAACTAATCAGTCCCTTAATTTATAGAGTTTCTACTTTAATTACAGAAAACAAAAAAAAAGCACAATCCCTGAATCCTGAGTTCCTGACTACTCCATTTTATCGCCGTTGATTCATAGTAATCGACGCTTCGTATTCCTTCCTATACATTCTCCCGGATCGACATCTGTGACCGTACATTAAAAAAAAAGAATCGAACGGCTACGAGTTTGTTTCCTGGGATTGGCGTCTTCTTTATAAATCTCGATCTCGCTTTCTCAATTCTCAGATCAGTCAATCATCTGAAACTGAATACTTCATTCATCTAGCTTCCCTTTCTTCGAATTCTCGAGAAAACCCAAAATTCCCAAGGAAAAATGTCAGGAAGAGGAAAAGGAGGGAAGGGATTAGGAAAGGGAGGAGCGAAGAGGCACAGGAAAGTCTTGAGAGACAACATTCAGGGAATCACGAAGCCTGCGATTAGGCGTCTTGCTCGCAGAGGAGGCGTGAAGAGAATCAGCGGGTTGATCTACGAAGAAACAAGAGGAGTTTTGAAGATCTTTCTCGAGAATGTCATCAGAGACGCTGTGACTTACACTGAGCACGCGAGGAGGAAGACGGTTACTGCTATGGATGTTGTGTATGCGTTGAAGAGGCAAGGACGCACTCTCTATGGATTCGGTGGTTAAAAGCTCCTTTTGATTTTTGTTATTTGGTGTTGGTTTTTAGATTTACTTTCTTCTCTGTTGTTTCGATTTGGTTTGTAATTAGGGTTTTCTGGGTAATGGAATGAAAAAGTAAGGGCCCTACCGGATTCGAACCGGTGACCTATTGATCTGCAGTCAATTGCTCTACCACTGAGCTAAGGACCCTTTGTGTTAAATGGTTATGCAGTGTGTATATAACTTATTAGTATATAAATTGTTCCCGCTAACTTATCAGTTATCACCAAATTGTCATTGAGTTAAATAGTTGGCCAACAATATTTAGTTAGTTACATATAAGTTATATGTCATTTCTTGATTAAATTGTCATATATCAAATATTGTGAAAGTGGTGGTTATCCATTATATTACATGTCTAAAGTGTTGCCATTTCATGAAACACTTATCTTAATAATCCTCTCCAATACTTATATACTTTCAATAAAATTTTACAAATATAGTATTATTATTTTAAATAAAATTTAGTTAAATAAATAAATTTTGAATGATAAATAAGAGTGAACCAATCAAAATATGACATTACTTAAAAAAGTATGTTAGATTTTTTTGTTGAGGTTTTTATATGGGAACCATGTCTAATTCTCTCTACCTTAATTGATTATTTTTATTTTTTGCTCTTTCTAATTATCTAATTCATCATTTAACTCTTAAAACTTATCTAAGGCATGAGGAATAATCATTCATCATGTCTAATTATCTAATTCATCAATTAACACTTATCTAATTATCTTTACATATACACATGTTTTTGTATTGTAAGTAAGTTTGATCCTCATCACTTTACACATGTTAAATGGTAAATTAAGTTTTTCCACTATATATATGTTGCTATATCAAGTAGAGATAACTCAATTCAACACTTCTATCATAATATAAGAGTTTTAAAATTCTCTTTTCTTTTGTTCTTACTCTTTATTAATTTTAATATTCACAAGCATAAATTATTAACTTCGTCAAAGTATTCATAACACTAAAATATTTTCTTGAACCTTAAGTAAAATACTCCAGAGGATTTGACATTTGAGCTTTAAATGTAATAAGCCCTTTCTTTTTCGATTATGCACAGAGTTAGAACTATTTTGTTTTTTCATTCTTTTTGCCATCCTCGGAACTCTTTTCTAAAAATACAGAAGAATGAAACTGAAAGAATTAAATTATTATTTTAATTAAATTCCCTTCTCAAAATTTCAGTCGCAAAACGACGACCATCTTTAACGATTATATAACCCACAGATTGCTACGACTCTTCAACTGTTTCATCTACCTTCCTCTCCTCATTTTCTTACTACAAGACTCAATTTTCCAAAGAACACCAAAAAGTCAAAACCTTAAATCGACACAATGAAGTGTTCTTACAAAGGATCAGCCATTCTCGCTACCGATTATTACCCATTCCTCTACAAACGACCAATCTCCTCTCTACCCGCTTCGTTCCCTTCCACTTCCCTCTCTTACCCGACCCGAACCCGATTCTTATCAACCCGGATCCAAGCCCGGCTCATCCACGACGATCCGGTCAAGCAATCGGAGGATTTAAGCTTCTACGATCTTCTCGGCGTCACCGAATCCGTTACTCTTCCGGAAATCAAACAAGCGTATAAACAGCTTGCTCGAAAATATCATCCCGATGTTTCGCCTCCGGATCGGGTCGAGGAATACACAGATCGGTTTATTAGGGTCCAAGAAGCTTACGAGACTCTCTCCGATCCTCGCCGGAGACTTCTATACGACCGAGATTTATCGATGGGATTCTCATTTTCTTTCTCCGGTCGTCGCCGGAATCGGTACGATGAGGTAATATAATCAGAAAAATTCTACACTTTCCGATGATTAATTTTGGTAATTTTAATTTGTGTAATAAACAGAAAATCAAAAAAATGAGGACCGGTGTTTATTAGCTTTATGGTTTAGAAAATTTTAAGAGTAGACACAAATTTAATTATGTCACACTCGATCATTTATCGTAGCGATGTTGATATAATTGATTAGGATATTTCTGTGTATATACGGACAAATACTATTCAGTATTATCCACAAAAAATTCTTACATTTTTTCTTTTCAGTACATTAGATTTACTGAAAGATTCGAGAACATTATGTGCATCACTGTCGCCAAAATTGACCTTTGTTTATTGTTATGGTCCCAAAAATTGACCCATTTGTGAATTATATGATGAAAGGTTGTCGGTTTTCTTTTGCGAAAATAAGAAGTTGTCGGATTTTAATAAAGATCGGATAAGTTTGAAAAGTAGTGGAACAGAAAATGTCGACATTTTCAAGCTGAGATTATATTTGACCCTACATGAATCAATGAACCTATAGAATCCAATTATATGTTTAACAATTCATGGTTGTAAAATGTTGAACTAAACCGTTTGTACAATCCAGAATTGATTTGAGTTTTGGTGATTGTTTGTGAAAGCAGGAAGTGGTGGAAGAGAAGAGTGATTGGAAGAAAAAATGGCAAACTCAGCTCTCAGGGCTAAAGAGAAGAAGCAGTCATAGAGACAACAACACAATGTCTTGGGCTGCTAGAATGCGCCGTCAACATAACACGTCTGAAGATTCTTCTCCTTAACCCACCACCAACAACCAAATCTCGCCTCCTTAATGTATAGTGTTTTAATTATTGGTCCGATCTTGTAATATAGAAAAGCTTAGCATCATACAGTTCGCAACTTTGTATAGATATGTATATATACTGTATACTCTTTTTGTGTGCAATGCCGATCGGCAAGCACATCTTAAACCCTAATCACTACTTAAGTTTATTTTTTTGCTTGTGGTATTTTTGAAAGATTTGGATGCTTCTGTTATAAATCTAGAATATTGCCCATTTTATAATGAAATTCAGTTCGAGATAAACCTGTAAAAACCATCATTCATAGGACGTGTCAAGATTTCCATCAAAATCCAATAATTTTGGATTACGTATGTTATTTAAGTTCACATTACAACTTACGTAGCTGATAAAAAGATACACATACAATACAAAAGTTTATAATTACGTGGCACATGATAAAAAGCTTAATCATCGGAAAAAAAAACACGGAAACGACCAACATTCACCTCTTGGTGTTTTACTTATTTTAGCCGTTGATTTCTTGCGGGGCGATCATCAAACCACATTTCTTAAATTCCAATTTTACCCACTCCATTTCCTCCTCCGGCAACGTTATCGTCACAACTCTCTCCTCCGATTTCGCCGCCTGGAAAACAACCACCAATCCCTCCTCCCCGATCCCCTCAACATTACAATACACTGATTCCGGCGACTTCCCTTTCACTTTCGCCTCATACAAATCAACTTCGCTCAGATCCAAAAACGTCAATTTCGCTCCATAAACAACGAAATCCGAATTCCCATCGCAGCTCTCTCCGATCTCGTCGATTCCACATCTCTCGTCCGTCGCTTTCTCGATACACTTCACCAATTCCTCCACATTCGCCTCCGCCACCGGAAAACTTACGTGGACGGAGCTAATCATCTGGCTGTTGCGAATGCCTCCAGGTTTCAAATCGTTCGGATCCTTTCTGATGATCGTGACAGTTACAGGCTCCGCCTCTTCCCTAACCTTAGCTATGCATTTCCATATAATCCCGGCCAGAATCTCGAACACCGGGAAATAACCATCTCCGATCGCCGGAAAATGTGGTAAAACCTGGTCAGCGACAGAGAGACTAAAACAGTAATTTGCCATTTTCTTGTCGTTGGGAGTGACCCAGAGATCTCCCACCGGGTCGACCCGTTTGATCGAATCCGGATCTTTAACCCTCGGGTTTAGGCTCCGAAACCTTCTGTCTTCGTCAGAGGTTTTCGGGATATAGATCTTTCCCCCGGAAATGGCCTTAGCCCATAAGTTAAAGGCATAGAATAAAGAGAATGAATCTCCCATTATATTCGCCCAGCTAAAGCCCAAAGCTAATCCTCCGCACTTAAACCGGGTCATCTGCGGAAACAAAACCGAGATAAAACCGGTTATTTATTTTTAGTTTTGATTTGATCTGATCAAATCCAGTCTAAAACCGGTTTTATTTTTGTCGCCTGACCATAAATTCTGAATACAATGGTCTGGCCGTCTGAAATGTTTATTAAATTTTGGCAACCAACTATCGTTTTAAAGAGGCAATGTTTTTCCATGCAAATTAATGGACCGCGGTCAGGTGTTTCTTTCCTGTATTAAATTTTACTTATTGCACAGGTCATACATTAAATGATTCTAATATTTTATCTTTCTCGATTTGGACATATATAGTGAATCCCAAAAATAGAATTTCTAATCCAGTTGACCTAATAATTGCCGTTGTTTAAAGATCAGATCCAATCAGTACGGAGTATAAATTCAGTTTCACTTGTTGTCTAAATTATATACAGTATATAGTGTATATCTATATATTGTACTAAGAAAATGATAAGATTTTCTCTTTGACCCTTTTTTAATATACTTCATCCATTTCAAATTAGTTGTCCTTTTGAGAAAGTATATATGCAATTATTTAGATATATATGGATGTATTTTGAATTTAATACATCCAGATAATTGCAGATACATTTTCACCAAAACGACAATTAATTTAAAATGCATGAAATAATAGTTTATAATTTTTGTTAATAATTAATAAAAATAAAAGTTAGGGATAAAACTAAAAGAAAAATAACCATACATTTGCATTAAAAAATATAAAATGGCTTTTATTATGAAATAAAATATTAATATAAAACGGAAATCTTTTTAAACTTTTTAAAAGTTACGGGATCTTATTATATAAAGCTGGATGCACGCAACGTGGTTGCGACACGTAGGATTTTTATAAAATATAAGATTGCGACATGTGTCACTTTTAATGTTAAGTCCGTTAAGATCGTGACACGTGTCTTAAGAAAATTAAAAAAAAAAATGTTAAAAAAAAGTTTTTATTTTTATTTTTTATATCTATTAGAATAAAAAGAAAAATCATATTTGTCATATCCTAATAGAAAAAGGTTTTCCATTCATCAAATTTATATTATCTAAACACATATTAAATTCAAAATAATGTAATAAATAAAATCATATTAGTACATTAGCAAAAATCAGAAAAAAGGAAACAAACAATTAAACGAAAAATATAACATCCATTAAAAAGTATAGAAAAATATAATTCTATTATGAAAAGTAAAAAAACGAAAAATCAGAAAACATGATGAAATAATTAAAAAATATTACATCGAGTAAGAAAAGGAATAAAAAATCATATTCTCGTTAAGAAAAGGAAAAAAAACCAATATATAACAAGCTATATTTAAAATATTTTTTTCTCATTAAGAAATCAAAAATCATATCCAATATTTAATCAGGTGATGAAATGTGTCAACAAAAGAAAATTGAAAAAATGGAGTAACATAAATAAATAAACTAATAAAATAATTGTAAAACAACTAACTAATAATGAAAATGAAAATTGTAATGGTTAGAGGCAAAAACAAAATTGAAAAAGAAACAATATAAATAAAGAACCGACGAAAATAATTATCAAGGAACTAAAATATTAAAAAGAAAATTTTATAATGGACCGATCTTCTAATATTAAATAGTTTAGTTGGAAAATTAAAAACATTTATCTATTAGAATAAAAAGAAAAAAAATCATATTTGTCATATCCTAATAGAAAAAGGTTTCCCTTCATCAAATTTATATTATCTAAACACATATTAAATTCAAAATAATGTAATAAATAAAATCATATTAGTACATTAGGAAAAATCAGAAAAAAGGAAACAAACTAAAAAAAATATAATTCTATTACGAAAAATAAAAAAAAAACGAAAAATCAGAAAAACATAATGAAATAATTAAAAAATATTACATCCAGTAAGAAAAGAAATAAAAAAACATATTCCCATTAAGAAAAGGAAAACAAAAACCAATATATAACAAGCTATATTTAAAATAGTTTCTTTTTCATTAAGAAATCAAAAATCATGTCCAATATTTAATCAGGTGATTAAATGTGTCAACAAAGAAAATTGGAAAAATGGAGTAACATAAATAAATAAACTAATAAAATAATTGTAAAACAACTAACTAATAATGAAAATGAAAATTTATAATGGTTAGAGGAAAAAACAAAATTGAAAAAGAAACAATATAAATAGAGGACCGGCAAAATAATTATCAAGGAACTAAAATATTAAAAAGAAAATTTTATAATGGACCGATCTTCTAATATTAAATATTTTAGTTTCCATTTTTTTCTTAGGTAAAACAATATTAAAAATAAAGATTTCATCAATATTTAAAATAAAGATTTCATCAATGGAATAATCAAAGTTTCATAAATTAATGAGTCATTAGATTTAGACACATGTAAGTTTTTCTATTTCATATAATGAATTCAAAAAGTGATCAAATTTTGTTTAATAAACCCGCGTGTACGCGGGACCTTATCTAGTTAATTATAATATCGAATTGAAATTGTGAGAAAAATAAACTCAATGAAGGCGAATTTCTATATAAAAAGTTAAAAACACTTCAAACATAAAACTTTAACAAAGTAGTTTTTGTTAGCTATAAAAAGTATTAAAGATTGAAATTTACAATACCATCACCCTTTCTCAAAAACAAAATATACTTTACCATATCTTCTAAGTTATATAGTCAACCATAACTCAATCAGTGTGATACACACTCAACAGACATATATATCGACTATAATTAAAGAGAGTGAGAGCAATAATGCGATTTGTCTGTGTGTGTGACTGTGTGTGAACTAAAAAATAGACAAACTCAACAAGTGAAACTTGTCTGTAGAGAAATTACCTGAACATAGATTAAAGGAGAGAAAGGCAACTCCGGTCCAATGGGTTGATGGTAAACCAGAAACTCATCAACTGACTGGTCCGGTTTACTGAGCCACTCGTCGACCGTAAGATTGCATTCACCTTCCACGAAACGCGTGCCAGAATCGTTGCACTTTATGTACGGACGGCCCGAGTCTCTCCGCCAGAACCTTCCGGTGGTCCAAGCGATCTGGTCGAAGAGCACGAACATAGCCGCTTTCACGTGTGCCACGGTCAAGTCACGTGCTGTCTCGGACGAGTAAATGTAAGCCGCCTTGAGGTAATGGAGCTTCATGGCTAGGTCTAAACCGGTTGGTTCGTGGGTCGTGCCGGTCTCCGATGGCCGGGTTGCACCCACAGTCGATAACCGGATGTTGTAAATCGGACCCCGTACCTGTCCTTGAGATCGACCCATAATGTCTCAGTGAAGCTGAGTAGATATTTTTTAATTAGCAAAAGAAAAAAAGTGGAGTTGATATATTATATGCTAGTAGATTATATGTATGCAAATTTAGCATAAATTGTATGAAATTTCTTCTTTGCTTCGACTTGTTTTTCTTTTCTCTCTCTCTCTTTCTGCTGTGTAATACATATTTGTAGGTGATGAGGCTCTTGTGTATATATAGAGGAGAGAAGATTGATGATGGTGTTAATTAATTTGTTATGTTACGAGTAGGTGAAACCGTTTAATTAAATTCGTGGTTCATACTTTTTATATTGAGTGATTTACGTCAAGACACATTATGGCAACTTATTCAATCATATGAGTTAAACTATCAACACATTATGGAATAGAGTAAAGACCAACTTGCCTCTGACTTATTTTACTCATTTAATTCAATCAAAGGAGTATGATCTATCGTTTTTCACCTTTCTTATTTTACGACTTCTTTTTTTATTTATCTCTTCATTAAAAACCTATTTATACTGGCGGAGACCACATGGAGACGACAACGTCGAGTAAAACTATAAAAATAACGGCATAGAAGTATAGAACACTGCCAGCGACCAAGACGGAATCCTGACTCACTACTTAGGCAGTTAGGCTATTCAGATCTAGTTCATCTATTTGAGCATATAAGGTAAACCCTAAACCTCCTTCTAGTTCTGCATTTTCAAATAAAAGTGCATGTACTGCCAAAATAAATCGATTAATAATATGATTTACGTTAATGAAATTTATATTTACTCACGTGTATTTAATTTATATCGGAGATCTGTAATTTTTTGTGGTTAATACTACTATTTATGTATATATCTGACTGAAACATTATCTTTTTTATTCACTGATACTACATCAGTTTATGCTGTTGGTCTAAATAAATATGCTGATGCTGATGTTTGGGGGATAGGGACAATAGGATTTTTTGTTTTGTACTTGGTGGTATTTCTGATAATTCGGAATCCGGATGATTGCATGAGCCTCCAACCCAACCATCGACCGTGAAACGCGGTACAAAACAAACATTCACGTGGATAACAAGTTAAAAGCTTTTCTTCTAAAAACAACAAAAAGGTTAAAACTTAAAAGCAAGAATAAAAAAAAATATTCAAAGTTATAGTACAAATTGTGATTTCACTTTCTGAAAATCAAGTTATAGTACCATATTTTGTGGTTAGATGGGGCAAAATCTATCACTGGGATTGTATGAACATATGAAAAGTGGACACCCGCCTTCTTAGTTTTCTTATAGTAAGAATGACATATTTGATTAATGTAATAAAAATTATATATACAAATTAATTCATCGAAATGAATTAGACGGCTAATCAAATCTTATGTTACAATGTATGGGTTGATTTGTTAATAAATTGTTCATTTATATTTGTCAGATCTCAGATACTATCATTGTTAACTAGTTCATGATGGACCCAATGGTTCATAAATTATTCTGTGGATCTATGATCAAAATTCTAGTTATCATTTTAATTATGGATAACTATTTTAGGCAACTAAAACAAAAAGAATGTCTAATCTTTTCATAAGATACGATCAATTAGTGCAGATTTCGGTGTAGATTTCCTACCAGTTAAGAAAGTGATTTAAGCAATCTTTCGCTAGACAATAGACGTTTGCAATCTTTTCATATGTTTCTACTTCAAGTAAAACCTTTAGATATTTTTCAAGTACTATAAATATTGGTTAGCTGGAATGACATTTAATGCATTGTCTGCTCGATTCGACAACCGATTTAAATTTCTTGTAAATACTCTTTACAGGATCCGTTCACAACTCTTTTACAGTATTTATCTCTTTCTTATAGTAGTTGGCAAAGTTTTTCTACTATTATTATACCTTGTGGTCAAGTTTGTATATCTCGTTTATTCAGTAAAACCTACATATTACTCTCATATAATAGTGGAGAGAAGTGGCGTGAACCATAGTGGGACAGTAAAACTCCATTGAAGCAAATTTCAACCGTTTTTTTTTTTGCATGAATGTCAAGATAAATAGTTGAAATTTGCTTCAGTGGAGTTTATTTGTGGCGTGAATGGATGTATTGGACATGTTACAGTGGGACATTTGTCTCTGCCTAAATTGGTTTGAGCTGTAGTTCTACCATTTATTCTTTCAAATCAATCTGGTTGGAGTAGTATATTTGATTCGATTATAGTGGAGTATATGACTATATGTGTATCCAGCTCGTGTCCCGTGTCTATTTATTGTAAAACTTTTGAAACTGGCCACATGCAGTAATTTAAAGCAAATCAGCCAAGTGGCCAACCTAAAAGACATAGGTTTGTAGATCTAGGCGCCAAGTTTAATACGTTGAACGCATCACAACATTTTTTTTGTTAAAGGGCATAAACGCATCACAACATGATTCTGAATTTCTGATCGAAAAAGGATTTATAATACAAACAAGAAGCATCCACAGATAAATAAGTACGCTTAAAAGGTACTTATTGCCTTATTGCTATGCCAAACCAACGCTTTAACAAGTTTTTTTTTTAAGAATGATTTTTTTTTACATGCACGTATAACGAACTTCTTGTTTGTGGTGTTATGGGAGTGATCTCCAAAGGCTCCTTAAAACACCTATTTATGAGCTCGTATAGTCTTTGTCAAGTTTAATGGATTTATACAGTAATTTGAACAACAATTGTTAAAAAATACTAGAATTTGACCACATCATGATCAGTATCTAGTTTTATAAACAGTAAGTTTGTAAAGTTCAGAACTAAGAAACAATAACGATATTCTTAATTACAACCCAATGCATTTATATTTTTTTTTCTTTTGTGTATGTAGAAAAATATTAAAAATATTTGATAGTCATTTTGAAATGTGTTCTTAAGATAAATAAATAAAGCATTGGATAGTTTGGGAATGAATTATGTAGATAAATACTGAAAAGGATGTAAACAAATAAAGAGATGCCACATGGATTAAAATTGGTTGAACGTTAATTATGATGATATCCGTGAAAGTTGATGATATCGATTCAAGGTATTAAAAAACCACCAAGGACCACTCCACATGGTTGCTAATACTGAATCGGAGAACTTAAGAAGATTGTGAAGCAAGACTGAGACTGTTTTTGACTTCTGGTGCGAGTCTAATTAATGATCAATCTTTCTATTTCTTATCCCACACACATTTGCATAGGTATCTTTAATTATAGGTTAGAAATTGATGTTCTGGTTTGTTATTTGTTTCGCACAATGATATCGTGTTTGCATGGCCAGAGAAATATCTATTAGTTTGGTTTCGATTTGATATTCGAAATTCTGTATAAGATCAATAAAAGTTATGTGTGTTCATAAAATATTAGGGTATGTTTATTTTATTTTATTTTTTTCATTTTTATTTGTATTGAATGGAACATATTAGATGACCGCAATTTGTTTTTGAGATACTTTATAAATCCGGATATCCATTTCTTTGAAAAGCAAAACAAACCATAAAGTTTGATATTCATAAAAAAAAACTGAGCAGATCATAACTATTTTGACTTTCAAAACATATTGCTTTGCTCCATACACTACTGCTGGCTGCTCTATTATATGTGCATGCTTTTCTAGAAAACACGAACCACTGTCGTACAACTACAAGCCGGATCTGGCGACTCTGAGATGAAACATTTGAATTAATTGAATTTAATAAGGTATGTGTGTTAATGTGACAAAGAAGTAGAAAGTGTAGTGGAAGATAATAACTAAAGTATTTTGGTGGGTTGGAAGTTGGAACGATATAAAATGTCGAAATGAGTTTACTGAATTATGTTATTTTGAAGACAAACAAAAAAAGTGAGTTACCTTTTGGTCATTCTTTTTGCATTCCACTAAATTAGAGAATAAGATGATTCATATACTTGCTGAAGACTAATAGTTTAATATTTTCTATATATTTCGTATATGACTCCATCAATTACAGGACCAGTAACATAAATAGACTGATTTGCGTTACAGCCGAGGATTTTTTTTTTTAAATAAGGTTGGATCACTGATTCACGATGCACATCATCAGTACATCACCGTCAATAATAACTATTTTCTGTTGTTGTTGTCACTTTTGCAATATCAATTCCAATGTCAAATGTTGTACAAATAAATGTATTCATGGTTTCATCTGCAACCACAATTTTCATATAGATGCTCCTGGTCCATGCATAAAGTAGTGTGGGAATCTTTGGAAGGATTTCGAAATAGGCGGCTTTTAAAAAAGATAGATATATATTAGTGTTTGATAACATAGTTACCATTAATAAGTTCAATTTGAGATGATTATGATGAACCTCATGAACATGGTGAGAGCATTTCAATGCAAATTTATGAGTTACATAATCTCTATCCCTCAAGATAATCTCTTTGGATATACAGAAATATTATCATGTTATGATCATTTACGTGACGTTGTATATACATGCAGTTATATGCCGCTCGTAAATCGTAATGCAAACAATGAATCGGGAACACTCTTGCTAACAGGGTTGCAACACCTTTCCATTGACCTTGTACAAACATTGGCCTACAGTAGTATATTTATGTGTGTGTTGTTTGTGTCCAAAACATTTTCTCTTCCGTGGCCCATCAACAACAATAGTCTAGTCCATATATATATACTAATACTTCAACCAAGGCCCAATATAAAAGTCCCCTTTTTTAAGCAAATAAATCAGTTAAAATCGACTCGAAAATTGAAAATTTCAAAACCCAAAAAATTGGATAAGTCCGAAAGATTATTCCTCTACACCGACTACATCGTAGTATCGCACACTAAAAAGGAAGATTCGTATTACAAAGGCTGCTTTACTCACGTGTAAAGCATCTGACCACTAGTACACACTAACTAAATACACCGACAGGCACCAGATCATTATTTTAGCGAGAAAAAAAATCTTTAAAAGAAAATGAGATATTTTTTGGTGACCTTTGTATATATACCCCCTTAAACCCTACACCTTGGCTTCATTCTCCATTTCCTCTGCCTCCCTCTCTCCGTTCACAAAACCCTAGTTTCATAGCTCTTTTCAGGTACTGTTCTTACTCTGTTTTCTCGATCCTATTCTTCCTCGTTTGCTGTATATCGCTTTTGATTTGTTTATTTCATTGGAAATTTCGTTCGCGTAAGTGTCTCTGTACGTTTGTTTCGATTCATTTCTAATGGATCAGGAGCTTTGATTTAAGTCGAATCTAGATCTGCGCAAATAGATAACTGATTCTCTGTTCTTGATGTGAATTATGTTTGAGATTGATGGTGATTTACACTCTCCGAAGGGTTTTAGGTTATTTGCTTTGTTACGGTTTAATTGAATTGGATTTGTGGTTTTGAACGTGTGTAGAAATGGCTTTCTCCAACAAAATCGGTGGTCTATTGAGACAAGGAGGTCTTTCCCAGGCCGGAAATGTTCCGGTTACGTATATGCTCGGATCTCTCCGGATGATGTCTACCAAGCTTTTCATCGGAGGTAAAAATCTTACCTTTTCTTCTTTACATGTCGAAAGTTTCTTCATTTCTTCATTTCCTTAAACCTGTACTTAGATTTGTGATATTGATTTGCTTTCAGGTCTCTCATGGGGTACTGATGACCAGTCCTTGAGGGATGCTTTTGCTCACTTCGGTGAAGTGGTTGATGGTAAGCTACTGTTGAGATTACAGTTGTGAAAGAGTTTTGAGATGTTTCGTCTCTGGAGATGAATAAAGTTCCGTTTTTTTTTTGTTGGAATTGTGCAGCTAAAGTCATCGTTGATAGAGAATCAGGAAGGTCAAGGGGTTTTGGATTTGTCAACTTCAGTGATGAAACCGCTGCTAATGCTGCCATTTCAGAGATGGACGGAAAGGTTTGGATTTTGTATTGTTGTCTTGTCTCTATTTTGTCTGTTTAGTCTCTGTTTGATGGTTAATTTTAATGCGCCTGTGTTTTGGTAATTGCAGGATCTGAATGGTCGTAACATCCGAGTGAATGTTGCTAACGACAGACCAAGTACTCCCCGGGCATCATATGGTGGTGGCGGCGGTGGATACGGAGGTGGCGGCTACGGAGGAGGTGGTGGTGGTTACGGAGGAGGTGGCGGTGGCGGTGGCTACGGAGGTGGTGATGGTGGTTACTAAACAGAGGATCTGCGATTTTATTATTAATGGTTTTCTGTTTAGTTTTGTTTCTTCAATTGAATCTTGTGTTAGTATAAAACCTGAATGGGATTTGTTGAAAAGCTCCATTACTCTCTTTTTTTTTTTTTGGTTAACCAATTTGGTTTAATATTTTATATTGCCTCCATTAGGTGCGTTTAAATTCGTTTATCGATTCCATAGTTTTCTACCCTTCAGTAGTGTTTGATTATTACAATTACCGTTTCATTACTCTCATTCAAGTACAATCTCTCGTTTCGCGATTTGGGTCAATCTGTGTTTGATTACACATGTTGAAACTGATTTTTAAAAAAAAATGAAGCAAGAAAATGATAACTCGGATCTCCACTTACAACTCACTGTTCACTGATTTAGAGAGTTTACAAAGTTACGAAGACAGATTTGTCTTTGTATAGAGGGTTTATCAATAACTTGCACTGTAACTCTTGTAGCGACTCATTAAAAGAGTGTGAAAAGAGAAATAGACAGAGAACAAAGTCTTACACCACACGGCTAATCGAAGGAATCTTTCAGGCTGCTGCTGACCTACACCACGCTGCTAGAAAAATTGCGTTTGTGGTTTTGAATTTTCAGTTTTTCAGAGTTACTGTTCTTTCCAAGAGGAGACTAGACTTTGTGGATAGCATTCATATTTAAATATCTCATCACTCCTTTCACAAGAAAATAAGAAATAACAAAATACAAACAAAGAAAAGAAATATGATGCAATCTTGTAAAGAGAGGAAGAGGATGATAATATGGAGATTGTTTTTAATCTTCTCCCTCTCTAACTCAACACTTGTTTTTGCTTCTCATGCAAAGCACTTGTGTCTTCCAGATCAGAAAGATGCTCTTTGGGAATTCAAGAGCGAGTTCTATATCCAAGGGTTCTATGTCAAAGGGCTCCATTCGGATGTGGTGTATGTAGACGAGAAGACAGAGAGGTGGAGGAACAACACTGATTGCTGTTCTTGGGATGGTGTCTCTTGTGATCCTAAGACAGGCATGGTCGTTGAGTTAAACCTCTTGGGCGGTTCTCTCAATGGCCCTTTGAGATCCAATAGTAGTCTGTTTAGACTACAACATCTTCAAAACCTGGATCTTACCATGAATAATATTTATGGTGTTCTACCAGATTCCATCGGCAACCTCAAACGTTTGAGTGTTTTAAATCTTGCAATTTACAATCTTTATGGAAAGATTCCATCTTCACTCGGAAATCTTTCTCATCTCACTGATCTTGATCTTTCTGCTAATGGTTTCACCGGTGAGCTACCGGATTCGATGGGCCACCTAAACCGGCTGACAACGTTGCAACTTGACGGCAACAAGCTCAGCGGGAACTTCCCTCTTCCGCTACTCAATTTGAGCTCACTCACAGAGATCGACCTTGGTCCTAACCAGTTCCAAGGTATGCTCCCTTCAAACATGAGTAGCCTCTCCAATCTGGAAGACTTTGATATAAGTGGAAATTCATTTCATGGACCTGTTCCATCATCTCTCTTCATGATCCCTTCGTTGACCGACCTTCGCCTGGGAAGAAACCACTTGAGCGGTCCTCTTGAGATTGGGAATATCTCTTCACCATCCATACTTGAAAGTTTATCCCTTAAAGAAAACAATTTCAGTGGGCCAATCTCGAGATCTATATCAAAACTAGTCGGGCTCACGTTTCTTGATCTCTCTTTTTGGAACACAGCAAGGGGCATGGTCGATTTCAACATCTTCCTTCATCTCAAGTCACTTGAGAAACTTCATCTCTCCCATCTGAATACAAGTAGCATGGTCGACTTGAGTGTTTTCTCGCATCTCATGTTACTTACTGAGTTGGATCTTTCAGGGAATAATCTGAAGATCAGTTCAACTCTCCATCTTCCCTCACCCATATGGACCTTGTCATTATCATCTTGCAATATTTCCGAGTTTCCCAGGTTTCTACAAAACCTAACCAGATTGGGGCGTTTAGACATTTCTACCAATCGAATTAAAGGTCAAGTGCCAGAGTGGTTATGGAGTCTGCCAGAGTTGTGGTACGTCAACATTTCTCAGAATTCTTTCAGTGGGTTTGAAGGTTCACCGGATGATATGCTAACAAGTGACAACAACTTGGTACTTGATATAAGTTCCAACATGTTCCAGGATCTTCCTCTATTACCAAAGTCGTTGTTGCACTTTTTCGGCTCCGAAAATGGGATTTCAGGAGAGATTCCTACGGAATTATGCGGATTGGTTCATCTTCGTATACTTGTTTTATCAAACAACAACTTCAGCGGATCCATTCCTCGCTGTTTCAATGCTACTCTTTGGGTGTTGCATCTACAGAATAACAGCCTCTCTGGTGTTTTTCCAGAGGAATCTATCAGTGTTAACTTGATATCACTTGATGTTGGTCACAACAGGTTGTCAGGAGGACTCCCCAAATCTTTGAGAAATTGCACTCAACTGGAGTTTCTGAACGTGGAAGACAATAACTTCAACGACACGTTTCCTTTTTGGGTGAGATCGTTGCCTGATTTGCAGAATCTTGTCCTTGGTTCTAACAAGTTCCACGGGCCAATATCATCTCCTGGAGAATCTTTGAGGTTCCCCAGACTGCGGATCTTTGACGTTTCAAAAAACCGCTTCAATGGAGTCTTGCCATCAAATTACTTTACTGGTTGGAGTGCAATGTCCTCGGTCGTAGACGTTCTAGAACCTGGCTCATTATACTATCATCAATCGGTGGGCCTAGCGAACAAAGGAATGAATATGGAGCTGGTTGGAAGTGGTTTCACCATCTATAAAAGCATTGATGTCTCCCAAAACCAATTCCAAGGAGACATCCCTAATTCCATAGGTTTACTCAAGGAACTGATTGTGCTCAACATGTCCAACAACGCTTTCACTGGCCGTATTCCATCATCTCTGGCGAACTTGACCAATCTCCAATCACTAGATCTATCTAATAACAGATTATCCGGCCAAATTCCACCACAGCTCGGGAAACTCACGTTTCTAGAATGGATGAACTTCTCTTACAACAGGCTTGAAGGTCCAATACCACAAGGCACTCAGATTCAAAGCCAGAATAGTTCTGCTTTCGCAGAGAACCCGGGGCTCTGTGGTGTTCCTCTCCAAGAAATCTGCGGCAGAAAAGGAAAAGAAGAAGCAACAAAGCAAGAGGAAGATGAAGAACAGGAAGAGGAAGAAGAAGATGAAGCATTTAGCTGGATTGCTGCTGCAATAGCCTACGTACCAGGTGTTTCTGTGGACTCACCATCGGTCACATTCTGGCTTCGTATAAAGATGGCTGGTTCTTGAGGATCCTTAACTGTTTTACTTGATTTCACTTGCAAGAATATAATAAATAACTTATGTAGCAACTTTCTCAACGTTTGTTTGTTACTTAACGAAGCATCAGTTGCCTGATGATATATCTACACATATATAATAATCTCCATTTAGTATCTTTATGTTGTAACTAAGTGTTCTGTCTCAAGACTTGTTATGACTATGAGTGTTAAAGCTGTGGCAATCGCCATAAAACTTGAACAAGGTAATAACTAATAACAACAAGACCTCGTTAAGTATTACATTTTTTTTATTTAAGTTTTTTTACATTTTCTTCAGTGTGGTGTTGCTATGAACTTGGAGACACACACATAGAGGTAACAAAAACACAAATTTACATTTTCATCACTGATCTCTTCTCTAAATTGAAGCAATACATACTGCCTTAGAACATAACATAGACATAATTCAACCATAATGATTGAACACAATGAGAACAGAGATTTTAACTATTTAAGAGTGGTACTTTTTAAATTTATTTCATGAAATCCTTTTTGCTGGTCCAAATTTCAAATAAGTTAAATATCTCTGTTTTTTTGTTGTAATTATTCAATGGACATCATAATAGCATCTACGACGCAAAAATCATTGACTGAATACTAAACTCCAAGAGGCATTCTGTAACAATTCACATTGATAACAAACATTGTCTGACCTCTCTCTTTTTTTCATAACGAAAATAGCGGAAATGCATGATAAACGCATGTTATCGTAAGAGGAGATGACTTGACTTTGTGGACCATTCACGATTCATCACTCCCTCCACAAATTCAAAAGAGAGTCATTAATGATATACCAACATCATTTCTTCCACCGCAAAAGTAATTAACCAAAACTCTTGATGACATTTGCCATGTCGTTTAAATTATCATGTAATTAAGAGTATATGTCGTAAAGAGTTTTTTTTTTTTTTTTTTTTTTTTTGTGGGTAAAATGTTAAATTTTATACCATTTTAAGTTTGGGAGTTTAAATGGGCAGCCAGAGATACCGCCTCGGACCACAATCTCGAGCTCGAAAACTACAAAGACACATCTCTCTCATAATCAGCAAAGACGTCATAACAAAAACCGTCGCCTCTATTCATCACCATAAACCCAACCAGAGCTGATGGAACCGTTTCCTATCAAATTTCACCCGCTCTAAGAATCGTCGCACAAACACCTAAAAAGAGAAAACAAACCGGAAGAAGTTGATGGAGCCACGTCGGAGACCAACACAGAGTTTGTCGTAAAGAGTTTCTTTCACACACAAAAAAAAGAGCTTCTTTCACAAAGTTTTATGTAGAAGCTTTTAGGATCCAACAAGAGTATAACCAAAATAAATATATACTGAATATAACAATATTGGTGTAGAGCAATGCTTAATAACTCTGAAAGACTGACAGCCTTTTTTAAAAAAAGGTAATGATTATTACTCTACGTAAATCATCATCTACACATATCTGGACAGCTGCAATGAATTAAAAATTGTACATTATATTTTAGTAGAAACGAGTAGACAGCTTGATTTCGTATCCAACAAAAACATAACAAAATTGGTGTAAAAGCAATGAATTAATACTCTGTTTAAATCAGATCAATTAGCTGCTTGACAGTCTTACTATGTTATTATAAAGCCAATAAAAGGCTACAATACTACGGTCAAAGATCAAAGGTGATTTGTTGTTACTCAGACACGAACACAAAGGTCAAAGAAATCGTTACATAGCAGCGCAGGGGAGCCAATGTGGTGCAGCGACAATTGAAAAGATTGCAACCAAATCGTTAGTAAAACTGCATTGGAAATACAAAGTGACATTCTTTGTGAAACCAGATACAATATTCAAATACTAAAAGATTGCAACCAGATACAATGTTCAAATATCCATTGCATATCCTCTAGAATTTGCATACAGTGGACTACCACATCATTTAATACCATTATTACAAGACTTAACTTTTGTGTTTATTATAGGCCAACATTTAAGCTCCCTTCTTCACGTTATGAGGAATTGACGGCATCAGGAAGGTCCTTTAGAACCTAAGCAGATACAATGTACAACAATGATCTACTTTAGGGTTTTTTTACTCACCAAAGACAAGCCTTGTGCAGCAAGTTACATGTAAAAAGTGGGGTTTGTTTGTCATGTTACCTGGTAAAGATACTGATATATCATGGTTTTTATGGGTTTTTGCCATGATATAAGTCTTGTATATAGAGTCTTTTTAGTGTTTTTGGAGTCTTTTTGAGTCTATTCAGGTCTAAGCATGTTTTGGAGCACAATTGGAGATTTTGGAGCTATTTGGAGCATATTTGGGGAAGCTGCTGGAAAACAAGACAAACAGACGATTTCAGAGTCTTGCGTCGACCGACGCAATTCATCTGTGTCGGTCGACGCAAGCTTTTCCCAGAAGTGCAGCGTTTATTTTAAAGACTTTTGAAGATCTGCACTTTGGCCCAGAAGTTCCACTTATTTACAAGAAGGCCCAATTCGTGTTTTAGAGATTTTTAGGTTTTTAAAGCCATTGTTAGGCTAATACTTTTCATACTTTTATTCTATTGAGACTTAGAGAGAGATTTGTAGCAGAGCTTTGGAGAGATAGATCAAACTCCTTCAGAGAAGATTTTGAACTCCTTTATCTCTATTCTTATTTCTTTTATGCAATCTATTTATTCATGATGTTTGTCTCAATCACCATGTCTGAGTAGATTCCTTGTTAGGTTTAGGGTTTTTCAAAGGTTGAAGAAGAATTGCAATTGCTTAGGATAATCATTAGAGTTCTTCATCTGGATTGTGTTTATTGCTTATTCTAGCTTCGCGACCTAGAATCTGATCTTAGGTTAATTGGTAGACACGAAAGTGTTATTGATTTCCTGAACTATCTTAGATGAGCAAAATATCTATCTGCAAAGGAATTTGGTTTAGAGATTTTGTGAACTTATCAAACCTGATCATTAATGCTTGTTTGAATTGTTGAATTTGCAAAGAAATTTGGGATTCTAAGTTTAGACATAGATAATCTCTGCAACGAAAGTTGATTGGTTTTACAATTGTGATTTGAGTTCTAGAATGGTTCTTCATTAATATCCTGATAGTTTACTCTGCAATTCGGATTCAACCTGCGAATTTCCCAAGGCCTAACCTTTGTCTCATTGAATTTAACTTCGTTAATCAATCACCTGCTACTTTGTTTTCTTTTATTTGTTTTACATTACTCATATCTTACTTAGCCTGATTTGAATCTGGAAATTCGTTGTGCAACTGATAGACGTTTGGATTCGATAAACCCTTTATACTACATTGATTTACTGTGCACTTGCAGTGATAATATAGGGTAAAACTTAACCTATCAGATACCATGAAGCATAAGCATCGGTTGCTGCGTATTCTAATTGCTTCTTTGACAGAGGATAGGCTTCCGAGTTTCCGAGCATGATGCATTTTGGCTTCAAGACCTGCAAAGTAACAGATTGTTACTAAATAATCAATATCGACAAAGCAGAAGAGTATTTGTTTAGGAGATCGGAAAGTGATAAACCAGACAAGGTGGATAACAGATACCTCTTTGGAAACAAGTGTCTTAGTTAGCGAGGCAAGACCCCATTTCTTCGAATTTCCACCAAGTTTTTTGTCGGCTAAATCCGAAAGATCTTCGACATCTTTGATAGACACTCCATGGTCACGGAAAAGCTTCGCAGAGTCATCACCAATCCCAACACCGACCTATATACATATTAAAATTAACTATGTTAAAAGTGAGCATATCAATGGCGTTAAACAAAAAATACTTGACATAAAAATTATATCAAACAAACCTTTACAAGTCATGAATCCTCAATAAGATGTTTGAGACTTTGTGGGATACCAGAATAGATAATGTGCATAACATCGCAATAATCATCATCTACACATATCTGGACAACTGCAACCTTACTTGGGATAGCTCCTAAACGACGACCAAAAATATTGTCATGTAAATCTTAATTTTGTTCTTGCGAGATTATGAACATACTAGCAAACAACATGAATCGAACTTTATTCGTACTGTTGTTATTTATGTTAACCGAAACTACTATATTTGACATAGATGGAACTTGCAAACAGACAAATAAAAAAAAATAAAAGATGAAACAAAATGATGCTTAAGACGAAACCTTTCGTAAAATCTGGTCTCCACTCAACATCAAAGCCAACAATAGCTCTTCCAGATTGATCTCTCTTGGTTTCAAGATCTCTTAGAAGCTGCATTGCTCGCATATCAACCTCACTAGCAGTCTTGCTATAAATAATTCTACCACCAAACCTCATCGCCGGAAGGTTCGTAGATTTTACTATAATAATCAAAAGGATAAGTTCATTTGCTTCATACTCATTAATATCATAATATATAGATTAGGGTATGTTTTCAACTGAGAGAACAAGAACGTGGAAATCGAATCATATTAGAAACTGAGATCACCAGGAATAAACTGATCTAAAGATCACATAAGTTACTAAGCAACCAAGACATGGAAATTCAAAAATGCAATAGATAAAGATCCATTTAGGAGTGATGAACAAAAGAGGACTGTTGTTTTGGGATTTTGACTATTCATTTACCTCCGAAATAAGAGAAGGAACGGGGAAGTTGGTGGTCAGCATCTTCGTCGTTCCAACTTGACGACATTTTCTTTTAGGTCAAATGAAAACCTTGGAGGGAGACAGAGAGAAAGAGAGTGGTGATGCGTCTCTTATAAATCTTGGGCTTCTTGGAATATTCTTATTTGATTTTTTTTTTTTTTTTTTTTTTACAAGAAAGAATTTGGCGCAACTTCCCAAAATCATTACGTACTTTGACCGTGGATGTTCCCGGTATATAACACTTTCCGATATGGACGCCAAGGAAAGATTCTTGAAGTTGGAAGATAAGACCAAACCTCAACTGATTAATGTGTACTACTTCGAAGAATTGAAACACAATCTAATTCTAGTATCAGTCAGTTGGGAGATGAAGCATTGAAGGCTATTTTCACACGTGTTGATTGCCAAGTTATGGATGAAAATAGTAATATTTGGAATAAGTGATGGTTTTAATCTAAAACATTTTGCAAGTGCACATGAAACACATTAGCATTTAGGGGTTGAATTCCTTCAGACGATTAGGATTAATATCTTCTGAAAGATATTATTCTGTGAATATATCATATCGTTGTATATTTGTAATACTGGGTTAATTACTTATTTACTTTGCATATTGACATATTGTGGGTAACAGCATAATGGATTAAAACTCGTACATTAATTTATTTGAAACGAGTAGGCCTCGTGAATATTTCCTATAAATATTTGATAGATACTTGGCGTGCTTCTTTAAACCATAAAGACATCTTTGATAGAAACTTCATTGCCATGAAAAAGCTCCATTGAGTCACTGTCACGTTCCAACACTAACATATCGATATTATATACTAGTACATAATACATTGATTAGTTGGACTTTGTTACAAAAAAAGACAATGATTAGCTTTAGGATAGGGGTGGGGATGTGAATTGAAAAAGATAAACCTACAAAAGCAAAAGCATTTTATTATACCGATAAACGAGAAAGATAAAATACTTGTAAATATATGCCTCTCTCTCGGTTTTATATCGAATATAAAGATTTTATAGGCGATGGCTACTTTTTTCTGTTAATATGCATGTTCCTGAACCTAATCCAGATTATATACATAGAGTGGAAACGTTAATAATAATTGTTTTTTTCTTTCTAAATAACATATACAGAAAAATAGTCTTTTAATACGCGGTTTCAAAATCCTAAAAACGAATCACCAGAGGGATACCACTATTACACTATTACACAATTATATAGTGGTATAGTAACATACCTCTTTCAAAACAACCCTAATTAAAATAAGTTAATCATAAGTCAAGCGATACATTACCGCGTTTACTTCGCTGTAAATTAATTTATAATTTTTCCACGGTTTCCACCTGATCGATTTTTAAATCAATTGAGAGTTTGAGACCTAAAGATACTAAACCCAATTAGCCTATTTAAACCTTTTCACATGGTTCCTTCCAGTCCACCTATCATTGAGTTCTTCTATCCACCAAGTATACACTTCTACTTCATTTTCTCCTTCTTAGCTTTGTAATGTTTTGATTTTTTTGCTTCACTATTTTGTTGGGTTTTTTTTTTCTCTCTTTGTTAATTATTATTATTAAATTCTACTCCCTCTTTCTGTGTAGAATTAAGCTAACTTAGACCAAAATCTGTCTGTTCAAGACTTCGTTACATGGCTACCAAGGTTTACGTCGAAAGTAATAATTTCTTTCTTATATAACTCTAACATGTTTCATTTTCAAATTTGCTTTAGCTAGGTATTTTGTCAAATTCTGGTTAAACATGAGCATCCAACCTAAAACTAATTGGTAATAGGTGGAGAGGCCCTAACCCTTTATATATTAGTTAGTTATTTCTCCAACTTCCGATGTGGGACTTTCATCATTAACACCCTCCCTCACGCTCAGAGGTCATCATCTGAAGCGTGGGCAATTGTGGGAACAACATCCACGGGGTGGCCCAACATCGGGTGGCTCATCATTAACACCCCACCTCACGCTCAGAGATCATCATCTGAAGCGTGGGTAATTGTGGGAACAACATCCACGGGGTGGCCCAGAATCGACTGCTCTGATACCATGTCAAATTCGGGTTAACACATGGACATCCAACCTAAAACCAATTGGCAATAGGTGGAGAGGCCCTAACCCTTTATATATTAGTTAGTTATTTCTCCAACTTTCGATGTGGGATTTTCATCATTAACACCCCCCTCACGCTCAGAGGTCATCATCTGAAGCGTGGGCAATTGTGGGAACAACATCCATGGGGTGGCCCAACATCGGGTGGCTCATCATTAACATATTGTGATTTGAAACGCTTCTCTATCTTTTGATTGCTTCAGATCTCTCATGGGACACTACGGATGATACCTTGATGCAAGCGTTTTCTGCCTACGGTAATGTTCTAGATGGTAAGTCTTTAATTGGATCACCCACGATTCAAGAATGTTACCTACAGCTACGTACTTGTTTATCATGTTGAGTGTGTTGGTTTTAAAGATTCTCATTAGTTTTTGTTTGTTCTTTGCACAGCAACCGTCATAAGAGACAGAGACACAGGGAGGTCCAGGGGTTTTGGATATGTCAATTTCTCCACTAATGATGAAGCCGAAGCTGCGATTTCAGGGATGAATGATCAGGTATGGATGCCTCCATTTATTATATGCATTGTTTATGTAAGTAAATCTATATGGTCAAACTTATGTGATTGCTTTGGTTTTGAATTTTCAGGAGTTGGATGGTCGTAGGGTGAAAGTCAGTCTTGCTAATGCGACACAGACAACACCAGGATACTCTGGTGGTGGCGGCGGATATATGTGAATATGTGATGCAAAACAAAAACATACGTCGGATACATTCTTGTGCTTGCTTTTATGTGTGTTTCCGGTGTCAGTTTCGGTTTCCTTGTTGAGATCGATATATAACTTATTTGCTTTCAAGTGTTGGTTTCTTTCCTGATTTGTGCTTTGGTTTCTATTTCGTTTTCCAAAAAAGTTCCCTCGCTATATAGCAAGGCCTTGTGATTTGTGTTTATGGGATCTTGTTTAATAAAGAGTATGAGAAGAGTTTTCTCAAATCTTGACGCCGGTAGTACTCATTCAAATCAACAAACTTAATTAAGATATAAGTTTGTGTGTTTAAGCCCATGATGACATTAGTTTATGCCATAAGTATTATTACCATAACTTATAAACATTACAGGTACACTAAAAACATTATCAAAGCATTGAAACCATATCTAGATCTTTGTTTATCTTCAAACGAAACAGAAATCCAAGTGGAAAATAAATTTTAAAATCATAGGAACTCACATATCCTTAAGAACTTTGTTTATATAACCACCCGTTGAACACATGAAACGAACTTGTTAGGTCAAGTATTTTTGAGGTTTTTAGCCTTTTCTCTTTGTTAATTTGTATAGTTGTTTTTTCGTTTCAAATTAACAGAAATTGAGAGAGCATGCATGTTGACATTGGCGAGACAATCGCGTTGTACGAATGTAAACGAACATTCACAATTAATTTAACTTCACCTTGAAACACTAATGGCTAAACCAAGTCTATATGATTAAACCAACTCTCAAGATGTCAACAACGACTTTTATTTTGCCGATTCAACAAAGAGTTTTATAAAATAAGAGAGTTTTTTTTTTTTTTTGCCAGCAATATAAGAGAGTTTCAAATCCGAAAAACTAATCACCAGAGGGTTATCACTTATCACAATTATACAAATCAATTACATATGATTTACGTGTCAAGTTCAGAGCATACAGTCGATTTACGTGTCACGTTCTGAGCATAGACTCAAATTAAATAAGTGATCTTAAGCTAGGCTAAGTTATAGTCATGCGATGCGTTACAAGCAACCGCGTTTGATGCGTTGTAAACTAATTTATAAGGGCCTGATTGGTTCTCCCGCTACCACCCGCAAACGCAGCGTTTGCGGTTCGTAGCGGTTTTCGGCGGTTTATAACAATCACGACAACCGCTTTGAATCGCTCTATACCACTCTGTACCGCTCTATATCGCTGAAAATCAAAAGCTCCTTTCCGCAAGCGTTTGCGGTTGCGGGCGGTTGCGGGTGGATAATTAAAAAAAAAAAAAACACAAACTTATATAAAATCCGAAAATAAATAATAATATTTATTAAAAAATAAGATTTGGATAATAAAATCACAATATAAATAAAAAATTAGTACTTTTAGTCAATATTCATTAAAATCATATAATACTTATATATTTATAAGTTCTACAAATCAAAATTCTCTTCATAAATATTCTTTTCATACTAATACATATATATCTAATAAATAAAATTGTAAAATAAATTTAATTTTCACATTAAATATATATTTTGAAAATAAAATCACATTTTTATTTAAATTATAGAAATTAAAAGATAGACGTAAGTATTATACACATATTATTATTTATAAAAAAATATTTTTAATTATGTTGAACCATAAATTTAAAATTTTCATTATAAAATATTTTTGATATTTTTATAATTATATAATGTGTTTATATTATTAATTTATTGTTTAACCGCTATTGCATCCGCAAGTGAACCAGTCATAAGTAACCCGCAAACGCATCCATTTTCAATTGTTATGCCAGTCGTACAAACCGCTTAATAACGCTACTAATCACAACCGCCCGCTTCTGCAAACTCCCGCACCCGCAACCGCAACCGCAGCGGTTAAACCAGTCAGGCCCTAATTCCTCGGGTTCCACCTGGTTATTTATTTTTTTTTTAATTATCACTATATGATTTTTAAAAAACTAACCCAATAAGCCTCTATTTAAATCATTCTCCTTCCAATCAATCCACAAATCATTCAGTTCTCTTATTCACCAAGTACACTTCTACCTCATTATCTCCATCTTCACTCTATAATGTTTTAATTTTTCTTTCTTTTTCTGCTTCACTATCCTGTTTTCTTTTTCTTTTTAATTACTATCACTGAATTCTACTCCTTGTTTCTATGTCTAGTTAAGCCTTACTTGGATCAAGATTTGCGTTACATGGCTACCAAGGTTTACGTCGAAAGTAATAAAAAAAAATTCATATATAATAAGATATGTTACATTTTTTTCAAATTTGCTTTAGCCAGGTATTGTGATTTGAAACGTATTTTTACTGTATATTTGATTGCTTCAGGTCTCTCATGGAACACTACGGATGAAACCTTGATGCAAGCTTTTTCCGCATATTGTAATGTTCTAGATGGTAAGTCTTCAATTAGATAATCCACACCATTCAAGAATTGTTTTGTTTCCAATAGCTACTTGTTTATGTTGTTGAGTGTGTGGTTTTTATGTTTCATATTAGTTTTCTTTATTCTTTGCACAGCAACTGTCTCGAGAGACGAAGACACGGGAAGGTCCAAGGGTTTTGGATTTGTCACATTCTCCACTAAAGATGAAGCCGAAGCTGCGATTGCAGGGTTGAATGATCAGGTTTTTTATAGCTCCATTAGTCCATTTACGGTAAATATTGGGTTATGTAAAATCATATGGTCAAAACTTATGATTCCTTTGGTTTTGAATTTTCAGGAGGTGGATGGTAGTAAAGTGAAAGTGAGTCTTGCTGATGAGGGACAGATAACTCAAGATCCCTCTGGTGATGGTGAAGATGCTTGAAGTAAACTAAAAACATAAGTCGAAAACATTCTTGTGCTTTCGATATATATAACTATTTGCATTCAAGGGTTTGTTTCTTTTTCTTTTCCAAATAAGTATCATCGCTATGTATCAACGTCTTGTGATTTGTGTTTATGGGATTTTATTACTAAAAGATTCTGAGAAGAGGTTTCTCAAATCTTCTCATCGCTATTCCAAGTTTGAATCAAAGAACTTACTATTCTAACTTTTGGAAGGGTTACAGGCAAACCCTTAAGCTTCTTCCTTCACGTTATGAATCATTGACAGCATCAGGAAGGTCCTTTAGAACCTAATTAGATTCAATACTCTCCATTAGCTTAATACAACAACAACATTTTTGATCAGTTTGTTAAAAAAAGGTTAACAAACCTTTACAAGTGTTGAATCCTCAATAAGATGTTGGAGACTCTGAGGGATACCAGAATGGATAATATGCATCTCATCACAATAATTATTATCTACACATATCTGAACAACTGCAACCTTCAATAATAATGTTTCTGGTCCTTTGTCAGATGGTTCATGGTAAAATCTGTCGTTTATAATTTGAAAAAAACTTTGGTTTTGTATTTTGTTATGTATGACAGATATCTAATATTTTGTTAGAGTGACATCATTTAAGGTTGATCTGAAATCACACTTTTTGTAATAATCTGCTTCATTTAACTTTTAGCTGATCCTAAGAAGAAGAAGAGAGGAGATACGCGCAATAAGACAAAGCATAGAAAAAATGGTTTGAATCCAAGATCATGTTGAATTGTTTTAAGCGTTTGATGAAACCCACACCACACGGCAGCGAAATCACGTCTGCAGTGTTTGAAAAATAAAAGGAATCTTAAGGCTGCATAACGCGTTTCAGCAATTAACAACACCACACGGCAATGAATATTGCATTTGTGGCTTAGTGTTAACGAAATTTTCAATTTCTTAGGATTACTTTTTTAACAAATAGAGACTTGACTTTTTGGACCATTTATCAGTTTGTCTTTCACAAGAGACTTGTTAAGTCAAGCTTTAATTTCCTCCACAGATTTGAAAGAGAATCCCATGATCTAGAGTCACCAAGATCACTTGTTTCATAGCGAAAGAACCCCCAAAACAAAAAAAAACATCGGAAAAAAAAATATGATGCATTCTTGTAGTGAGAGGAAGATGAAGATAGTATGGAGACTGTGTTTAATCTTCTCCCTTTTCAACTCGGTGTTTGTTTTTGCTTCTCCTGTAAGGCACTTGTGTCGTCCTGACCAGAGAGATGCTCTGCGGGAGTTCAAGAGCGAGTTCATTGAAGTCCAATTTAATACGAAGATAGCGACGTGGAGGAACAACAGTGATTGCTGTTCTTGGGATGGTATCTCTTGTGATAATAACACGGGTATGGTCATTGATTTAGACCTCAGCTTCAACTTCGACTTCATGGACAGTAGTGTCAGCCTCAGTGGCCCTTTGAGATATAACAGTAGTCTGTTTAGACTACAGCATCTTCAGAGCCTGAATCTTAGTTGGAATAATTTGGATGGTGTTCTACCAGATTCCATCGGCAACCTTAAATATTTAAGGGTTTTGAGTCTTTTTGGTTGCTTTTTCGTTGGAAAGATTCCTTCTTCACTCGGAAATCTTTCTTATCTCACTGATCTTGATCTTTCTTTTAATAATTTCAACAGTGAGCTACCGGATTCGATTGGCAACTTCAAATATATGAAGGTTTTGAGCCTTCGTGGTTGCAATTTATTTGGAAAGATTCCTTCTTCAATCGGAAATCTTTCTTATCTCACTGAGCTTGATCTCTATTATAATGGTTTCACTGGTGAGCTACCGGATTCGATGGGCAACCTAAACCGGCTGACAACGTTGACACTTAACAATAACAAGCTCAGTGGGAACTTTCCTTTTCTGTTACTCAATTTGAGCTCACTCACGAGGATCGACCTTTCTTCTAACCAGTTCCAAGGTATGCTCCCATCTAACATGAGTAGCCTCTCCAATCTGGAAGACTTCGATATCAGTGGAAATTCATTTCGTGGACCTATTCCATCATCTCTCTTCATGATCCCTTCATTGATCAAGCTTGTCCTGGAAAGAAACCACTTCAGCAGTCCTCTTGAGATTGGGAATATCACTTCTTCACCATCTAAACTTGAAGAATTATTCCTTGGAGAAAACAATTTCAATGGACCAATCCCAGGATCTATATTGAAACTAGTCGGGCTTCGGAATCTTGGCCTCTCTTTTTGGAACACAGGGAAGGGCGTGGTTGATTTCAACATTTTCTTGCATCTCAAGTCACTTGTGGCCCTTGACCTCTCCTATCTGAATACAAGCAGCATGGTGGACTTGAGTATTTTCTCACATCTCATGTCACTTGAAAGGCTGTATCTTTCTGGGAATAATTTAGAGATCAGGTCAAGTCTCCATCTTCCGTCACCCATACGGCTCTTGACATTATCATCCTGCAATATTTCTGAGTTTCCAAAATTTATACAAAACCAAACTGGATTGGTGTATCTAGACATTTCTACCAATCGAATTGGAGGCCAAGTACCAGAGTGGTTATGGAGACTGCCGAGGTTGTGGTATGTAAACGTTTCTGGGAATTCCTTCAGTGGTTTTGAAGGATCAGCGGATGCCATTCAAAAAAGTGAGGACTTATTCGTACTTGATATAAGTTCGAACAAGTTTCGGGATCTTCCTCTATTACCAAAGTCTCTATTGTACTTTTTAGGCTCCGAAAATGGGTTTTCAGGAGAGATTCCTATGGCCATATGTGAACCGGTTTATCTTGATACACTTGTTTTATCTAACAACAATTTCAGCGGTTCCATTCCTCGTTGTTTTGAGAATGTCGATGCTAGTATTTCGGTCTTGCATCTACATAATAACAGTCTCTCTGGTATTCTTCCAGAGGAATCTATCAGTGTTTACTTGACATCACTTAATGTTGGTGGCAACAAGCTATCAGGAGAACTACCCAAGTCTCTTATCAACTGCACGCGTCTCGAATTTCTGAACGTGGAAGACAACAATTTTAATGACACGTTTCCTTTTTGGTTGAGGTTCTTGCCTGAATTGCAGATTCTTGTCCTTCGCTCTAACGAGTTCCATGGGCCAATATCTTATCCTGGAGATTCTCTGAGTTTCCCCAACCTGCGAATCTTTGACATTTCAGATAATCGCTTCACTGGAACCTTGCCATCAGATTACTTTGCTGGTTGGAGTGCATTGTCATCATCGGTAAATAATTTGCCAATTAGGCTTGAAGTTCCATCAACCTTCTACTATCATAGATCGGTGGCTCTGACGAACAAAGGATTGAAGATGGAGCTGGTTTGGAGTGGTTTTAAAATCTATAAAACCATTGATATCTCTGGAAACAGACTCCAAGGAGATATTCCGGAATCCATAGGTTTACTCAAGGAACTGATTGTGCTCAACATGTCAAACAACGTTTTCACTGGCCATATTCTACCATCTCTTGCGAACTTGAGCAACCTCCAATCATTGGATCTGTCTCAAAACCGATTATCCGGCAGAATTCCGCCAGAGCTCGGGAAACTCACGTTTCTAGCGTGGATGAACTTCTCTTACAACATGCTCGAAGGTCCAATACCGCAAGGTACTCAGATTCAAAGCCAGAATATTTCTTCATTCGCAGAGAATCCTGGGCTCTGCGGTGATCCTCTGCAAGAAACCTGTGGAAAAGAAGAAGAAGCGACAGAACAAGAGGAAGATGAAAAAAAGGAAGAAGAAGATGAAGCATTGAGCTGGATCGCAGCTGCAATAGGCTACGTACCTGGTGTTTTCTGTGGTCTCACCTTCGGTCACATTCTGGCTTCATATAAACCTGACTGGTTCCTGAGGATCTTTCGCTCTTTTTCTTAATTAAAATCAATAAACTTTTGTAACGACTTTCTCTACGTTTGCTTGTTACTTAACAAAGTATCATTTGCATGGTATCTACATATATGTAATAATCTCCATGTCTGTTTTAAATGAACAGTATTTTAATAAACTTTGGTAACACTTTGTTTACAGACAAATCGTTACATTTTGTGTTAAACTTTAATAAAGGAAGTCTTGTTTTTTTTGTCATTATATATTTTTTTCTACTCTTTTTGTTAAATATTATATACATCAAGTATAATCTTCAAGATTCTGCAAGGTTAGATTTTGAAAGGAAACTTGTGCTGAAAGTTTGGACAAAAAGAGCTCTCTGATCATGTATCTGTGATTCTCTAAATTACGGGTTGAATGGGTTGGGACTTGGGTTATAAATGAAAACAGAGTATGGAACTATTTGTCATAACACAAAGCTTGAGGATTTAATCGAATAACCTGAGAACTATAGGGGCATATATGAAAATTGTGTTAAATTATGTTCGTCGCAAGGAGAAACGCTGGAGAGAGAATGATCTGTCTCCGTCGCTGGCAGGTGAAATCGCTACAAGAGTATGGAATTATTATTTGTCATACAAAAAAGCTTGAGGATTTAATCGAATAACCTGAGAACTATAGGGGCATAAATGAAATTCTGTTAAACTATGTTCGTCGCAAGGAGGAGAAACACTGGAGAGAGAACGATTTGTCTCCGTCGCTGGCAGGTGAAATCTCTGTCCGTTCGATTGGTATTTTGCTATTTCTGCTTTTGGGTTCGCTTCTTTTTAAGAAATTTCCGCTCTTGTTGATGGCTGTCTCAAGGATTTCTCGATCCGTTTGATTGCTAAATCAATTAGTAGTGTATGTGTTCCATCCTGATTACTGACTATAAATGCATAACTTTTGTTTTTGATCTTAATGATCTCTCTGTTATCAACAGTAGTTTCTAGTCCTTTGTGAGATGATAGTTCTTGGAAAACTCTGTCGTTTATAATCTGAAAAAGAAACTTTGGAATTAACTTTAAGCTGATCCTACGAATAAGAGAGATACGCAATAAGCAAAAGCATAGGAAAAATGGTTTGAATCCAAAGATCATGTTGAATTGTTTAAAGCATTTGAACAAGGTATATAACAACGGATATATGGAGCTTTGAACGACTAAACCCACACCACACGGCAGAGAAATTGCGTTTGCAGTTTTGAAAAACCAAAGGAATCTTAAGGCTGCATAGCGCGTTTCAGCAATTAGCCACACCATACGGCAAGGAATATTGCATTTGTGGCTTAGTGTAAACGAATTAATAGTTTCTTAGGATTACTTTTCTAACAAGGGGAGACTTGACTCTGTCTGTAGACCATTCATCCGTTTGTCTTTCACAAGAGACTTGTAAAGTCAAGCTTTCATTTCCTCCACAAATTTAAAAGAGAATACCATGATCTAGAGACACCAACATCACTTGTTTCACAGCAAAATAACCCCAAAGAAAAAACCAACGGAAAAAAAAATGATGCATTCTTGTAGTGAGAGGAAGATGATGAAGATAATATGGAGCTTGTGTTTAATCTTGTCCTTTTTCAACTCGGTGTTTGTTTTTGCTTCTCCTGTTAAGCACTTGTGTCGTCCAGACCAGAGAGATGCTCTTTTGGAGTTCAAGAGTGAATTCCATTTTCATACGACGGCTGCTGGTGAGAAGATAGCGACGTGGAGAAACAACACTGACTGCTGTTCTTGGGAAGGTATCTCTTGTGATAATAACACGGGTATGGTCATTGAGTTAGACCTCAACAACAAATTTGGCCTCTGGGACAAGAGCCTCAGTGTCCCTTTGAGATCTAATAGTAGTCTGTTTAGACTACAACATCTTCAGAGCCTTTATCTTAGTGACAATGATATTTCTGGTGTTATACCAGACTCCATCGGCAACCTCAAATATCTCAGGGTTTTGAAACTTGAGTTTTGCAGTTTATTTGGAAAGATTCCTTCTTCAATCGGAAATCTTTCTTATCTCACTAATCTTGATCTTTCAGAAAATGATTTTTCCGGTGATCTACCGGATTCGATTGGCAACCTCAAGTATTTGAGGGATTTGATTCTTTCCATTTGTAATTTATCTGGAAAAATTCCTTCTTCACTCGGGAATCTTTTCTCTCTCACTGATCTTGATCTTTCTGAAAATGATTTCACCGGTGAGCTCACTGGGAACTTTCCTTTTCTATTACTCAATTTGAGCGAGCTCACTGGGATCAACCTTCGTTCTAACCAGCTTCAAGGTATGCTCCCGACTAACATGAGTAGCCTCTCTAAATTGGAGGTTTTCTATATAGATGGAAATTCATTTCATGGATCTGTTCCATCGTCTCTATTCATGATCCCTTCGTTGACCTACCTCAACCTGGGAGGAAACCACTTCAGCGGTCCTCTTGAGATTGGGAATATGTCTTCTTCACCACTGAAATTGTTATCCCTCAGAGATAACAATTTCAGTGGACCAATCCCAGAGGGTTCTATATCGAAACTAGTCGGCCTCGTCGAGCTTGACCTGGCTTTATGGAATACAGGGAGGGGCATGGTGGATTTCAACATCTTCCGTCATCTAAAGTCTCTTGCAGCACTTGACCTCTCCTATCTGAATACAAGAAGCATGGTTGACTTGAGTATTTTCTCACATCTCATGTCACTTAATTCCCTCTATCTTTCAGGGATTAATGTGAAGATCAGGTCAAGTCTCCATATTCCATCACGCATAGAAACATTGGCTTTATCATCGTGCAATATTTCAGAGTTTCCAAAATTTCTACAAAACCAAACTGGATTGGCGTATCTAGACATTTCTGCCAATCGAATTGAAGGACAAGTACCAGAGTGGTTATGGAGTCTGCCAGCGTTAGGGAGAGTCAACATTTCTCATAATTCCTTCAACGGTTTTCAAGGATCAGCGGATGTCATTCAAAAAAGTGCGAACTTATCAATACTTGATATAAGTTCGAACATTTTCCGGGACCTTCCTCTATTACCAAAGGCTTTACGGTACTTCTTAGGCTCCGAAAATGGGTTTTCCGGAGAGATTCCTATGGAAATATGCGAATTGGTTGATCTTCGTGTCCTTGTTTTATCAAACAACAACTTCAGCGGTTCTATTCCTCGTTGTTTTGAGAATTTCAATGCTAGCATTATGGTACTGCATCTACATAGTAACAGTCTCTCTGGTTTTCTTCCAGAGGAAATTATCAGTAGTGTTTACTTGATATCACTTGATGTTGGTCGTAACCGGTTGTCCGGAGGACTCCCCAAGTCTCTCATCAACTGCACGCGTCTCGAGTTTCTGAACGTGGAAGACAACAACTTCAATGACACGTTTCCTTTCTGGTTGAGTTCTTTGCCGAATCTACAGATTCTTGTCCTTCGTTCTAACAGTTCCACGGGCCAATATATTCTCCTGGAGAATCTTTGAGTTTCCCCAAAATGCGAATGCTTGACATTTCAGAAAATGGCTTTAGTGGAGTCTTGCCATCAGATTACTTTGCTGGTTGGAGTGCATTGTCATCGGTAAATAATTTGCCACTAGAAGAATATTCTTCAACATTATACTATCATAAGTCGGTGGCTCTGACGAACAAAGGATTGAAGATGGAGCTGGTTGGGATTGGTTTCACAATGTACAAAACCATTGATCTCTCTGGAAACAGACTTGAAGGAGATATTCCGGAATCCATCGGTTTACTCAACCAACTGATTGTGCTCAACATGTCAAACAACGCTTTCACTGGCCGCATTCCATCATCTCTAGCGAACTTGACCAATCTCGAATCATTGGATCTATCTCAAAACCGATTATCTGGCAAAATCCACCAGAGCTCGGGAAACTCACGTTTCTAGCGCGTATGAACTTCTCTTACAACAGGCTCGAAGGTCCAATACCGCAAGGCACTCAGATTCAAAGCCAGAACAGCTTCTGCTTTCGCAGAGAACCCGAGCTCTGCGGTGCTCCTCTCCAAAAACCTGCGGCAGAAAAGAAGAAGAAGAAGAAGCACAAAGCAAGAGGAAGATGAAGAAGATGAAACATTTAGCTGGATCGCAGCTGCAGTAGCCTACGTACCTGGTGTTTTCTGTGGTCTCACCATCGGTCACATTCTCTCTTCATATAAACCTTACTGGTTCGTGAGGATCTTTCACTCTTTTACTTGATATGATATCTACATGCTTTGACAGTGCAAAAGCACCGGGTAAGATGCATGGTGTAAACTAAAAACATAAGTCGAAAACATTCTTGTGCTTTCGATATATATATATCTTTGCATTCAAGGGTTTGTTTCTTTTCTTTTTCCAAATAAGTTTCATTGCTGTGTATCAAGGTCTTGTGATTTGTATTTATGGGATTTTTATTAATAAAAGATACTCAGAAGAGTTTTCGCAAACCTTTATGCCGGTACTCAAATTTCAAATCAACAAAATTAAGTTATGAATTTTGTGTTAAGAGCATGATTAATGCCCATGATGACATTAGTTTAACAGTACCAAGATCTTATGCCCCATACGTAGGGGTGCCATACGTACCATACGTATATCTTACGGCATAAACTAGACCCTTGACTTCAAAATTTAACAAACATTATCAAGTGTTGAATCCTTTATAAGATGTTTGAGTCTTTTCTCGGATATGTTCACGTAACATATATCTGATGTATATAGATAGTTCTTCAAAATGATTATTGTGCATAACATCATAATGTACTGAGTAACGATAAAATGGACTGCAACTAGATACAATGTTCAAATATCCTTTAGCAAATCCCATAAGAACTGCATCTAGTGGAGAAGATTGTAGCACATCATTTGATTCTAACACTTGGAGGGGTTACAGGCAAACCTTTAAGCTTCTCTTCTTCCCGTTATGAGTCATTGACAGCATCAGGAAGGTCCTTTAGAACCTAACCATATGTAACCATACTCTTCATTAGCTTCTTACTTAATCAAAGACAAGTTAATAAATTGGTTGAGAGACAGTTGCTTCAAGGTCACTGAGTATGAGAAGAAGCTTTACCTGATAAAGATGCCATGAAGCATAAGCATCGGTTGCTGCGTACTGTAACTGCCCCTTGGACAGAGGACGGACCTCCCAGTTTCCGAGTCTGATCTTGTTCGGCTTCAGGAGCTACAAAAGGATTCCAGAAGTTCAAAAAGTGTTTGCTACTTTGATAAATCCAGTTCTCAAGAATCTTTCTCAAATTCCAAACCAACAAGACGAGGTGGATAATGTAATACCTCTTTGCAAACAAGTGTCTCAGTCAGTGACGCAAGTCCCCATCTCTTAGATTCTCCACCAATTTTTCTGTTGGCTAAATCCGAAAGATCCTCAATATCTTTGATGGACACTCCATGGTCATGGAAAAGCTTCACAGAGTCACCATCAATTCCAATACCTACCTATATATATCTATCAGAACTTTAGCATACAACAAGAACATTTTGATCACTTATAAAAAAGAAGTTAACAAACCTTTACAAGAGTTGAATCCTCAATAAGATGTTGAAGACTCTGAGGGATACCAGAATGGATAATATGCATCACATCACAATAGTTATTATCTACACATATCTGAACAACTGCAACCTTCCCAGGGAGGACACCTGCACAAACATCAAAGAGTTCACATTCTCATTATAACGAGCTTGATAAAGATAAATCAAAAAGAATAAGGCTCTAATAGCATGAATCAAACACACAAAATGGAGATAAAGAAAGTAAATGATGCGTAAAAATATAGACCTTTTCTAAAACTTGGTCTCCACTCGATGTCAAAGCCAACACTAGCTTTTCCAGATTGATCTCTCTTGGTTTCAAGAGCCTTTAGAAGCTGCATTGCTCTCTTATCGACTTCATTAGCAGTCTTGCTATACAGAATTCTACCACCAAATCTCATAGCTGGAAAATTCTTAGCTGCATTAAGAAAATCAAAAAACAAACGTTCAAATGATAAGTTGCTTTCCTACAGAATCATGAATAACAACAATGTAGGGGAAAAAAACCCCTTCAATTTATATAGATTAGGGAAAAAAAAACATTTTTTCAGATTGAGATAGTGGAAAAAGGTCCTTAAGAGAGAGTGATGAATCAAGAGGAGCGTTGATTTGGGGATTTTTATTACCTCTGCAACGAGAGAGAGGGAATCGCTTGGAAAGTGTGGGAGAAGTGATGGAACGGGGCAATTGGCGACGGATTTGATTCTGATTCTCGTGACCATAGCCGCCGGAGGTCGATGTCCGTACGATCGGAGTAACGGAAGAGGAAGAAGAAGAAGAAGAAGACGAAGAACGAGAGAGATAGGAGGCTTCGATGGCGTCAATAGCGAGAAGCTGCTCTTCCGTAAAATCCTCGCCGTCGTCCCAACTTGACGACATTTGGAGTTTGGAGGGAGGGATACGAATCGAATCGCGGTGAATTATGAAAAATGCCAAAATGATTAGTGTTTAATTGACCAGAGCTCTAACCGATACAAACTTCACCCAAGCACATTTCTCTAATTAAGTGAATTTAGTTTAGCTTTGTAATCAAGTTTTGGTTTGGCACTCGGATACCAATATTTTGTGATTCATACCACATATGGTTGGATTGTTCACTTTATACAAAGTGATTTTAGGGATTTCGACATCATAAATATTTCAGGGATTTTATGTTAATATCATGGTCAGACCATATATAATCTGGTACATAATTCATGAGAAACATATAAAGCCGTTTATGTACTGCAAGACATATCTAGGTCAAATTTTGGTAACCTGAGATGATTCGCTCAAGACAGGTTAGATTCATCGTTAGCTTCAGTATGATAAAATTTGATGTTCGGGTTTTCAGTTTTTTCCAGATATTGCATAATAATGTAGAGTAGAGATTATTACAGTAGGTAAATAAGAGCCTTGCTTGGACTTCACATCAGTTACTTCGGATTTAGTTTCGACCAAAACGGTTCAGTTTACCCGAATTCACCAGCTATGAGATTATGAATGTGATTAAAGATTATACACTCGAAACGTAAGTATTGACTACCCAATTAATTACAAAAATAATTAACACAGCCATAAATGCTAAAACGACGACTACTTTCTTCTTACTACATATAAACCCAAGTCGAGTAACCAGTTGACACCTCATACTTCACACATATGGCAACGTCGTCTCTCATGGAAAATTCCGATGATTCATCCTTGTCTTCCGATCTTCCAATACCAAACGAAATCTCTATCAGCTGTTTTGCCTTGGTTCCAAGACGCTACTATCCAGCACTATCTCTTGTCTCCAAGCCCTTCTCTCGTCTCATCTCTTCCCGTGAGCTTTGCGTCGCACGCTCACTCGAACAAGGCGCTGAAAAAGTTATTTACGTCGCCTTGAGACTCCGCCTCGAAGAAACCCATTGTTGGTACTCTCTCAACCAAAAGCCTTTCAAAGACGAATCTGTTTTGGTTCCTATACCTTCTTTCCCTCGTATTCCTTTTTGGGGATCTTCCGTGATCGCTGTCGGTTACGAGATGTACGTTTTTGGTGGATGCGTCGATGGAGAGCTTACCTCTAATGCCTTCGTAGTCGACTGTCGGTTTCCGTGTCACACGTCTCGTTCTCTCCCGAGCATGCGTGTGGCACGTGGCTGCGCGGCTACGGGTATTATAGACGGGAAGGTGTATGTGATGGGAGGGTGCGAGGCGCGTTCCGTTGATTGGATCGAAGTGTTCGATCTCGAGACGAAGACTTGGGAGAGTGTTTCTGGTCCATGGAATGTGGAGTTGTATGAGAGAACGATCAAGAGTTTTGTGATGCATGAGAAAAAAATACGTCATGGATCGAGACAATAGCTTTGTTTATGATCCTAGAGAGAAGAGATGGGAGATTGAAACTGCGTTGAATAGAGGATGGAGGGTTGCTTCATGCGTGATCGACGACATGTTGTACTCTTTTGGAGAGAAGAATCATATTTACGTGTATGATCCGAGTACAAAGGTTTGGAGTGTTTTGAAAGGTGTGGAAGATCTACATGAGAAGTATTTATGGTCTAGGCTGGCGAATTATGGCGGTAAACTCGCGGTTTTGATTAACGTTGGTGATAAGGGGGTTACGGAGATTATCAGTACGGTGATTGAATTGGAAAGGCGCCAAGAAGGAGAGTGGTTTGGGGAAAGATTTTGTCGTCTAATCGTGTGCTTAATTTGGACGTTACATCCACGATTGTTAAATGTCTTACCGTATCCATTTGATGAAAGGTATGTTTCTTTTTTAAAACATTTTTGATGTTCAAATTATATTTTGAGCATATAGAGAGGAATGTCATGACATGAATGGATGTGGATTTGCTGATCATGCTATGTTATATCTTAATTAGTTGCGTTCTCTTATCATTTGTTTTTACGACTCTCATTATACTATACCTATGCATTTATAAATCTTTTAATGTTGCAACTCTTCTAGACTGAATTTGGTGGATGTAGCAACAAACTGGCCTTGTAAATGCTATTGCCACTGTAGCTTTCAAATGAAGAGAGAACTTTTGGATCTTATATAGTTGAGGAAAATGCGCAAATGTTTTTGCAGTATTTTCTTGTACATCAAACTATGCAAAGAGAGATTCATTTTGAGTGTTTTTCCATGAATGGTAGTGATACTAAGTCATTAAAAATATTTTTATGAAGATAAGAGTTATTATTAAGATTGAACAATAGTGCACCAAAGAAAAAAAAGATTGAACAATAGAGCTTATGGTCGATATTTTGTTACCAACAATCAAAAACAATAGAGCTGACATCAAATCTTTTTTCTGCTTTTTTGAGCTGGAAAGGAGCATTGGGGGAAAGCGCTGATCATTTAGAGCAAAGATGGTCTCAGTCTGAAGAGTTGTCACGTTAATGCATGTTTTTTCGAACAAGGGTTTCGTTAATGCACGTTTGATCGTTTGAGTTCGATATGTTTTAAGGATATTATCATAAATTAAATCGTCCTTGAGATATATATTTTGACTGTCAGAGTTTATGATAGGAATTGTTTTCTTATATGTAGAATAGTACCCAAATTTGAATGGTAAAATTGAATGTTAAGCTTTATGAATGATTGATGTATTTTTAATAAGATGGTCATAAGCAAATAGCATGTTTGAAAACCCAAATTCACCGTTTTCTTCTTACTAACTTCGAAAACTCCGGGGTAGTTTTTTTTTTTGGCTTAGGTCCTTTTGTTTTTTGGCTTAGGTAACATTATTTTGGCTTGTATTTACAGTTTTGGTTTGACACTCAGATACCAATATTTTGTGATTCTTACCACATGGTTGGATTGTTTCATTTTATACAAAGCTTTTTCTAGCTCAATATTTCAGGGATTTTATGTTATTATCATGGTTAGAGTTTGACCATATAGATAATCTGGTACAATATTCATGAGAAACATATGAAGCCGTTTATGTAATGCAAGACATATTTAGGTAAAATTTTGGTAACTTGAGATGATTCACTAGTGACTAGAGAACCAACACTACATAAGTAGTATTGGCTTGTTTGAAACAAGACTTGGTAATCTACAGACTACATGTTTAACCAAAACAAGAACTGAAATTTTTTAATCGCTTGCTGCATACAACCCGAATCGATTACAATCTCCTTTCCACTATCTAATAGCTTAACTGTCCGAAGTTCTCTCTTCTCCGATTAAATTTCGTTTGATCATTTTACGAACACGCTTTTTAAATTTAAATCAGAGGATTAAAAAACTCGCTGATATTATTAAAAAAAGCCAACAAAATACAACAATTTCAATAAGAAAACCCAAAAAAATAAAAACATGAAGAAGAAATAACTCAAGAAAACCCTTTTTTTTTTTACTATTTGTTTCTTCATATCTTCGCCTTGTGAATTCCACCAACAGGCGACCCTACAAAAGCATATTATACGTAGATAATAGAAGATTGCTCTTCATTAGATAGACAGAAAGAGAGACAAAGATCTCTCTAGTCCTTGTACTTCATCTCGGTCATGAGAAATCCAGGCATCTCATAAGAAGCAGAGAACTTCTCAACATCAGCCTTAAGGTCCTCGATCTCCTTGTTGTTCACCAAACCCTTGTTAAAGTCCTTCAACAGCTTCCCGTGCTCCTTCTGGATGCTCAATGTCAGTGTCACTGCTCTGCTCAAGAACTCTCCTATCTGCTCAAAGTCCTTCTCCACCAATCCTCTAGATGTCATCGCCGGTGTACCTACATAAACCCGCATAATGATTAAGATCCTGCAATGAGATTCAATTAGCCATTGTTAAGAACAACATCATTTCCACTCGCTTACCGATTCTTACACCTCCAGGAGCAAGAGCACTGCTGTCTCCAAATACAGCGTTCTTGTTCAAAGTAATGTTGCACAGATCACAGAGCTTCTCAACCTTGTTACCTGGCAGAAAATAGAGAAGCATATATAACATCAGGACTAGTTCCGTACAACATAGGGTCGCAAAAGTTTTTTTTATAATAATCACTAACCGGTCAATCCAAGAGGACGAAGATCCCAGAGAACAAGGTGGTTCTCGGTTCCATTGGTGACAATGTTGTATCCCTTGGCCATTAGGAAGTTTGCGAGGGCAACAGCATTGGCTCTCACTTGTTTTGCGTAGGCCTTGAAACCAGGAGTATTAGCCTGCTTCAACGCAACAGCTAGAGCACCGATCTGGTGGTTGTGAGGTCCACCTTGAAGCGCAGGGAAGACAGCAAAGTTGATTTTGTCCTCAAAGTCGTACACTGCACCCTCTGCCTGTCCCTTCTTTGGTGGTTTTGGGCCCTTCCTGTAGAAGATCATACCGGCTCTTGGACCCCTCAGACTCTTGTGGGTTGTTGTTGTCACAACGTCACAGAACTCAAATGGGTTTGCAGCTTCCTATAAACAAGAATAAAACTCAATCAGTTATGTGGTTAAATGCACAAAACTCAATCTTGACAACTAACATTAGAGTAGCCACCGCACTTTCTCAGGCTTGAAATGATCAAATTACAATGTCATCGGAACAAAGCTTATTCACACACTAATAAAACACTAGATTTAAAAGATGAGTGCAGGCAAATATGAGATAAGACGAGTCATTACTAACGGAAATATGTACATGATAGTATAAGTTAAGGATAATGATGAATGCAGACAAATATCAGAGTTCCACAAATTTCAGATCTTCGCTCTACACTATCGAAGACGCTAAACAAAAGCCAGATCTAACAAAAGTATAAGATACACGAAGAACAAGATCGAATCAATATACCTGAGCAGCAACGAGACCACTGATGTGAGCCATGTCACAGAGCAAAAGAGCTCCAACTTTGTCAGCAATAGCTCTCAATCTAGCGTAATCCCAATCCCTAGGGTACGCACTACCACCACAGATGAGCAACTTAGGCCTGAAATCCAACGCCTTCTCCTCGAGCTTATCGTAATCAATGTAACCGGTGGTAAAGTTCACCTTGTACGGAAGGCTCTCAAAGTAGATCGAAGTGGCTGAGATCTTCTTCCCGCCGGAGGTATAGTAACCATGAGTGAGATGACCACCTGAAGGTAGATCAAGCCCCATGATACGGTCGTGCGGCTGAAGCAAGGCGGTGTAGGCGGCGAAATTCGCCGGAGATCCAGAGTAGGGCTGGACATTGACGCCCCACGAGGCCGAATCCAGACGGTAGGCCTCGAGAGCGCGAGATTGGCAGAGCATCTCGATCTCGTCGATGAACTCGTTGCCTCCGTAGTAACGGTTACCAGGCATACCTTCAGAGTATTTGTTGGTGAGTGCGCTTCCGAGAGCCTCGATGACGGCGAAGGAGGTGAAATTCTCGGAGGCGATGAGTTCGATTCCGCGGCATTGTCGGCGCTTCTCTTTCTCGATGAGGTCGTGGATCTCTGGATCGACGTTAACGAGGGAGGTGTTTCCCCAGGATGAGACTGGATCCATCTTAACGAGAGCTCTTAGATCGGAGGGAGGGAGAGAGAGAGATCTGAGATCGGAGGGAGTAGAGAAATGGGAGAGAAGTGGAAGGAAGGCGGTTGGGTTTAAAAGCGGAGAAGTAGTGTGTGATAATTACGGTTTTGACCCTGATAGCTAAATTTGGTGTTGGTTGGTTAGGTGTGTGTGGTAGGAGAAGTAACGAGTGTGTTTTCACTATTTTACCCTCATGCCAAATGTTTTCCTTAAACTATAAGCATGATTAAGGTTTGACTGTATTTAAGGTTGTTTTGGTAACTCTTGTCTCCGAGTTTTTTGTATTTGACACACGAATTGAAATTGTTGGTTGAAAATTTAGAAACAAAAATTAAACTGCTTTTTTCTTTGACGTCTTTGTTAAACAAGAGCAATTTTTTTTCTTATGTGCTGTTGAGCTAAAGTTTAATTGTTTATGATTTTCAGTGAAAATTTAGAAAATAAACAGAAATTTAATGTATCAAAAAAAATATATTTTTATCAGTTCATGTCATGAAACACACATTTTCATAAACAAACATAGTTCTCGGGAATCTTTGGTATAATCACCTCTAAACTTTTTTTAGCAAACAACTAGGCACTACACAGAGTGGTTGTTGTAGTCGGAGTGTATGAGAGGGAGTTTTTTATTATTATTTCATCGTGCCTTGATAAAAATATTCATCAAGAAACGAATGAATAGCATAACATGGGCCATGTTGGTGGGGGAAGAGAGTAGGTGGTTTTGTATTTTAGTGAGTCGGTGAGGGTTAGATTCGTCTTCTGATATTGAAAATTGATTCTGTGGTGGCTAAGTGGTATGCGTGTAGTGGTGTTAGTAGCAAGATCTGAGGTCAAATTTCTTAATCACATCGCAAAGCCGATACCTTAGAAGTCCTTTCTACGTGCGTTTTGTTTACTTAACATGTAAAGTTATAGGTAAACAAAGAATATAACGGTCTCTTTCTACTAACATCTACTCAGTTAAAAGATAGTAGTTGGCAAAACACAACTTTGTGACGAACTCAATTCTTAAGTAAATAAGTATTTATTTGCCATGTAGAACATTAGAACGATGATATTAATATGTATAGAGAAGTCAGAAGAGAAGAATGTTGAATAGAAAGAAATTAAATATTAGAAGAAGTGAGCGAGAGTAAATCACGTTTTGGAGAAATATTCATGTGGTAGATAGATTAGAGACTTTTGTTATTGGTGAAGCTTCACCAACCTCCGATTTAGACTGTATAATTGGAAGCCTAGCTTTTTCTTTTGACAACAATTGGAAGCCTACCTAACTCAATAAAAGAACGAAAAGTATGTCCTTGTAATATTTTATAATGGAAACAATTCTTTTTGGAGTCATAAAGAACTATTGTGGTGTCGACATGGTGACACATACATAAAAGAAGAGGTGAGACCGTGAGAGTTGAGAGTTGAGAGTTGAGACTAGTCTTTTACTATGTCAGTACAAAAATACATTGATATCAAGAAGGAACTGGTTATTTTTCATATGTCATGGTTTGTTTAGACAAAGACTATGCTCAAAAATAAACTGGAAATAATTAAAAAGAATTCCAATTTACCAAAAGTAGACAAAAACAACTTTCATCTCACTAGCCGGGGGACAAAAACAACGACAAAAGTAAATCTAACTAACACTAGATCTAATGGTGGTTAGAGAGATTTATATAGACTATGAGCTTGTGGGGTTTCTGGTTTGAATGTATAGGGGTCAACGTTTTGGACATAAGGATCTTCTGCAAAAAAAAAAACTGAGTGTGATGATTGGTACTTGTTATAATTAGCATCATTGGATGACAGAGCTATCTTTTTTTACGGGAGACAAGAACATGTCGTTTTAAGCAATAGTCATAGTCAATGTGGCATGGTTCATCTACGTATCGCCTCAACATTACATGGTGTAAAATCATCCCAACACTAACACAGTTATGAAAGTGTACAGGTTACGTGTTAGTTGTTATGTATGACCTGAATATAAAACATTATAGCGATTAATTAACTAGTATGTAATTCCTACCGAGACCGATTAACGATGTACTCAACAGTACTTGTTATTCATAAACAAAGAGAAGAAAATGTTTTAGATCTGCGTAATGTGAAAAGAAAGAAAGAAAAGAAGAAGAAAAAACAACCCACATCGTCGCATAATTGCTGTGATTCTCGCTGTCGGTTGCTTTATTTATTACAAATCTTCTAGCAAATCACAACATAAGTGAACCGTATAATTAAATTGTGTCACCCTTTGTTTAATTCTGGTTTGATTCTTGAATGTTCAGACTTCAGATCCACCGACGCTCCTCCACGCGCCTGTTCAGATCCAAACAGCACTCAGTGACACAGACACACTAGTAGTGTAAACACTTTCTAGTGGCTATAAATGCATCTGCACCTATTCTTTTAGTCTTCAAAATTGTTTTTCTTTCTTTTCAATCTAGTAGTATCAAAATTGTGGACTTTCATACTAGGGTTTATGTTTCAAAATATCGAATTTTGTAAACTTTCATCTAAGCTATTTTTGTATCGTATATTCGTACGTATAATTTTTTTTTTTTTTTTTTTTTAAACATACAAATTAGAATCGGTTGTTCTTCGCTCCACTTATTAACCAACGGTTAATCATTTCTGTAAAATTGGTTTACAAATGAGTTGTTCAAATCATTTCCTTTCAACGGTTCGATCACTAATTAACTCACTTGTTTGAATCTAGATTTTACGGGAAGTTGGGAACCCCCAAAGAAGTGGAGCCACCGGTTCACATGTTGGACTACTCTCTTTACTTTCAGGGCAGCTTCAAAGAAAAGAAGAAAACATAACAATTTCGTTTAGACAAAAGAGCAAAATAAAATACAGAAAATTATAAAGTCACATGTGCTGGATCCAAGGCATTTAATTTGTTTATGAAAATATCTCGTTAGCAATATTATGCGGAGAACATGGAAACACGCTCGTGGGCCAATGAGACGAACAAGATCTCTTAAAATGCAAGGACGTCAAACTTGGGGTTTCATGGCAGAATGATTAATGCAATTTATGCGATTTTAATGTGACAATGATACGAAAACGGCGCGATAACAATGCACCTTTTTTTCTCCCAACAAAAATGTTACAAATATGTAGTTCCGTTACAAATTTGCAACAATCAAACTGAAAGTCTTGAACAGTCTTAGATCAGATGGAATGATAAAAAATTATAATAATGTTCTTTAGCGAGCGAGGAATATATAATATTTTTCACTTCAGCTCTTATAGGTATACTTTTAGTCACGAAATCATCTTCTTATTAGAGATGTCCAATGAAAGAAAATGAATCAGTGAAGTAGTTTATGGAACAAATCTTCTTTCAATGATGTGTTGCCTTAAACGTCATTTCTTAAACTAGGAAAGCAATATTTTCTTTATAGCGCAACTAATCCCAAAGTTAATGCTAAAGCAAAATAAAATCCCAAAGTTAATGCTAAATCACCACAAAATATCTTAGCACTATACACCCTGAGGAAACTTTATGAAGTGTTTTAAAAATAGGTGAAGAAAGAGAGCTCAAATAACAGGTTGCTTCCATCACTCTAACAAAACGACTCATTTGTGGTTTTACAAAACTACAACAAAGGTCTAAAGTCAATTCAGTTTTATCAAACCAAAACATGCAAACTTTGCCAACTTTACTAACAACATTTGAGAAAAGGACGTGCTTCATCTTAAAACGTCAATAAACTTGCTGAAAATATATGACATGAGCTAGATTGCTTCTGAATCTTATGAACATGGTTACTCTTTCTTGAAAATGTTTTGACATTTTATTTTTGTAATGTAGCAAGAATCAAACATTTTTGGTCTTTACAAAAAAAACCTCCAGATCCAGTACAAGCTTTTAGCTAGGTAATCCTAAAACTTCAAAAAATTGATTTCTAACTAAAACATAAACAACTGATAAAAAAAAGATTATATAGTCAATTCAAAGAAACAACGAAGGAATCTACTAATCCGTGGGCTACAATTAAGGCCCGTTAGGGTTTTTCATATTTATGATCTTCCCTTCGCTGAAACGAATGCGACTCAGCCACGTAAACATCCTTCACAGATCACCGTCCGATCAATCCACAAACATCATAGAACACGGGTCACGCTGCTTGTGCACCATGTTCCGCGAACTACGGGATTATAACTTCTACCAGATCCACCAAACCCTCAAAGATATCTGAACCGTCCATTTCATTTTGACCTCATCTATATAATACTCTCTCACTCCCTTCACCTTCTCGTCGCACACTTCTCTCTCTATCTCTCTCTCTGCCCCAATTTTCAAATCTCAGATCCGTAAAATGGCGTTGCTCGTAGAGAAGACGTCGAGTGGCCGTGAGTACAAGGTCAAGGACATGTCTCAGGCCGATTTCGGTCGTCTCGAGCTCGAGCTCGCCGAGGTCGAGATGCCCGGACTCATGGCTTGCCGTACCGAATTCGGCCCAGCTCAGCCATTCAAAGGCGCCAGAATCACCGGATCCCTCCACATGACCATCCAAACCGCCGTCCTCATCGAAACCCTAACCGCTCTCGGCGCCGAGGTCAGATGGTGCTCCTGTAACATCTTCTCCACTCAGGACCACGCCGCCGCCGCAATCGCTCGTGACTCCGCCGCCGTTTTCGCCTGGAAGGGAGAGACGCTTCAGGAGTACTGGTGGTGCACGGAGCGCGCTCTTGACTGGGGTCCAGGTGGTGGTCCAGATCTCATCGTTGATGACGGTGGTGACGCGACGCTTTTGATCCACGAGGGTGTTAAAGCCGAAGAGATCTTCGAGAAGACTGGTCAGGTCCCAGATCCGACTTCCACTGATAACCCTGAGTTCCAGATCGTCCTTTCGATCATCAAGGAAGGTCTTCAAGTTGATCCTAAGAAGTACCACAAGATGAAGGAGAGACTCGTCGGTGTTTCTGAGGAAACCACCACCGGTGTCAAGAGGCTTTACCAGATGCAGGAGAGTGGTGCTCTTCTCTTCCCCGCCATTAACGTCAACGACTCCGTCACCAAGAGCAAGGTATTGATTACTTCCTCTCCAGATTTGTCATCGATACCATTTACTGATAATTGATAGATCTTAAGCAGAAACTGGTCACTCACTCATCGTCCTTGGGATCTGTAGATCTAAAATCTTATCCTGCATTTGTTACGATAGTGTAAAACGATCTTGTAGCTAGTGTGATTCAGTTGATGTTTATCCAAATGTATATAGAATCGCTGATGATCTCGTTTTTTCTTTATTCACAGTTCGACAACTTGTACGGTTGCCGTCACTCTCTACCTGACGGTCTCATGAGAGCCACCGATGTCATGATCGCCGGAAAGGTTGCTGTTATCTGTGGATACGGTGATGTTGGAAAGGGTTGTGCCGCCGCCATGAAAACCGCTGGTGCTCGTGTCATCGTGACTGAGATCGATCCCATCTGTGCTCTCCAGGCTCTGATGGAAGGACTTCAAGTTCTGACCCTCGAGGACGTCGTCGCAGAAGCTGACATCTTCGTCACCACCACCGGTAACAAAGATATCATCATGGTTGACCACATGAGGAAGATGAAGAACAACGCCATCGTGTGCAACATTGGCCATTTCGACAACGAGATCGACATGCTCGGGCTCGAGACTTACCCAGGAGTGAAGCGTATCACCATCAAGCCACAGACTGACAGGTGGGTGTTCCCAGAGACCAAGACCGGAATCATCGTTTTGGCTGAAGGTCGTCTGATGAACTTGGGATGTGCCACTGGTCACCCGAGTTTCGTCATGTCTTGCTCCTTCACCAACCAGGTGATTGCTCAGCTTGAGCTCTGGAACGAGAAGTCGAGCGGCAAGTACGAGAAGAAGGTGTACGTTTTGCCAAAGCATTTGGATGAGAAGGTTGCTGCGCTTCACTTGGGCAAGCTTGGAGCTAAGCTCACTAAGCTTTCAAAGGACCAGTCTGACTACATCAGCATTCCCATTGAAGGACCTTACAAGCCTGCTCACTACAGGTACTGAGAGAGAATGGAGAGACAACCTGGTTTGGTTCTGCATCTGGTGGTTTGTGGTCTTCTGATGAAGTTGACCAATTATCGTTCTGAATAATAGTTCTTGGCTTTTGAGATTTTAGTTTCTTCTTCCCTCTTGATTTGATTTTGTGTTGCTATCACCCGTTGTACTCTTTTAAACAAATGAGAAACAAAAAAACGAAAAGTGGGAAACTGTTTTCCGCATCTTTGGACTTTATTCTGTTATTTGTTGCTCCATTGAATGTGATGTGATACGTTCATCTTAAATGTGTTTATGCTCATGCATAATTAATAGTGCGCGATTCATGGGCATTGCGGTTGCAATTATGATTGTACACGTTTAAAAGCTAAACTTAGGGATTCATTTATATCAAATCGCTATCCTATTGGACGAACATTAAAATCTCACCAACTACATTGCCAAAGTTTTTCGGAAAAAATAAATGCCTCTTCCAATCAGCACAAAAAACCTAAACTACAAGTATGCCATTTAACTAAAACACACCTTATAACTCAAAAGTCACTTCATATCACATTCTTATCCCTCTTGATAGTAATTTAATTGAGGTATTCATACTGCAACCGAATCTCTATTTTCGGGATAAAATTAAATTAGCCATTGATGTGGATCCCATCCAAAGAAGGCTGATTTTTTTTTTTCATCCTTTACCCGCTATGGCTAAAGGAAAGGTGGTCCCAAACATCAAATTCTTTCAGGTTTGAAACCAAAAACAAGAAAACTACTCGTAAACGCATTATTGGGTTAAAGGACTCCAAAGGATCGTATGAACAGCGAAGGGACAGTGAGGTGGAGACTCTTGACTTCGAAGTTTTCTCCACTTGAGTCGGGACTATGTTAGACTTCTCCACTCGCACGTGGTAAAAGGCAACTTTGCTTAGAGTTTGTGCAATAAACTGAAACAACACGTTTTAGTTCATGAGGAGAGGCTGCGTTAGAATACTTATAGCTTGTATAAACCATTGGATGTGTGTATCCAGAACCTATCTTTTGGATCTTTGGGCCAAATTGCGAATACTTATGCAATTTCTTGCCCTTTGTTTTTTTTGTTCTTAGTTGGAAAACTCTTTTATGTATGTAAGTTTATTGTTTGATGAGAAGTTACTTGTAATTATATGTAACCTTCGAATCTGTCTCTAATTATTGTTTAGTAGTAACACTCAAGCCGGAGAGCTCTATTATCAGTACTTAGCAAAATACGTAATCTGAGATTCTGAGTTGAACAATTCTTGCGAGCAAACAAATTCTAAAACCAAATTTCTGTATGCTTTCACCAACCGATTAGAGGTCTTGAAATCATTCTAAGATTAGATACGTTGAGTTTAGAAAACAGACATAAACTTCAAAACTACTAAATACAGAGTTATAAAGTTACAAGAACAAACTCTTTTCTTCACCAGAGAGCAGAGGACATAAGAAGCGTAAGGCTCAGAACTGAAAACAGTCGACATGATAAGCGATAAGAAATTAAGATTCCAATATGTTCCAAATTCTCTAAATTTCAATCTACACTAGAGCGCTCTGAGACCAATTCGTTCCTTGATTCATACCACACAAACGCACAAATATGCTCAATTCTGTTTTTGGAATCAACATAGAATCAAGTCAACGTTCACTCATTCACTTGTCACTTATATAAAACATGAACCGACAATGGATTCCTATAACTACACAATTGACAAGCTTGCTAATTAGAAACTGCAAAATTTTATCTGTACAAGAACCATCAAGATCCTCTCTGCAACCTCAGTGAAAAGAATCTAATTTGCAACATAAGCACCCATAAACAAGCAAATGAACAACGAATCTACTGAAAAAACTTGATATAATATATATAGATCTCAATAAATTGAGCATTGTTAACCAAATAGTTGCAGGGTTACATATATATATAAGAAACTCTAATGTCAAAAGACACAACACATATATGACAAGAACAATACAAAAAAGCTTAATTCATGTAGCCAGAAATACAAATAATTTACTTGCCTCTTAATTTCAAACACAAAACCCCAAAAAGCTCAATCATTTTCTTCAAGTGGTGATGTCGCTGGTGTCTCTAGCACACCTTGTAATGGTATCGCAGCCTCTGCTGTAAGAATTGGCTTGTCCGGATCGGCAATCGTAGTAAGAAGCGCCTGGTTTCTGACAAGGAACCATGTCCCTCCTTAGGGTTTCGTAGCCGATGTACCGTTTCTGAGCCATCAGCACTCTCCGGCTGATCTCCGACGGCATCATCAGGTCTTCATCTTCTCCGACGAGGCTGTTTCGGACCAGCACCGAGTCGATCTTGCTGTTCGTCGGCGGAATCGGGATGGCGTCGGAGATTGAGAAGTGGGTTTGGAGGAAAAGAATGGCGAAAAACACCAAAGCCATAGAGTTTAACATGTCGTTGCTGGTAAATGCAGTTTTTTTCCGGCGGGATCTGTATGCGTCAGCGTCTCTCTCTCTCTCTCTCTCTCACTATTGAAATCTAGCAGAAGCGGAAGAAGCAGAAAAGGAAAGAAATGTAGTTGGTGAAAAAGAAACTCGCTGACTAAATGTCTCTAAAATTAAAGCGAACAGGTTTTGGTTTAACTGTTCGGATTGCGGAAAGGCAATTTAAACCAGTCGGTTTGCAAATATAAGATTTGTTTTTTTTTTTGTTAATTTTGGTTATTAGTTATTACTTACACAGTAGACAGTGGATACTGCTGGTGTTGGATGTGTGTGACGCACATATTACATAGGCTGGTGTAAATTTCAACTTTTCAAGAACAATTATGTATATAATAATAATATTTTCTTTGTAATTAGTCATATTTTTGAACATCTGTCGAATATATATGTTATCCTTTCAACATTGAAAATAAAGATGGGATTTTCAGTTTGCTCTGGATATGAATAAAACCTACGCTCGAACTTATAGTTTAAGATTTCGATATGTGTAGCTTATCAGACACAAATACAATGCAGATGGCAAGCTAGTCGTTTGCACACAAAAAATGTCCTAATTGCTAACTTACATACTAAGTGCAATATACATAATAGAGTGTTTGATCAAGATCTTATTATATAAAGTAGCAAATAAGATTTAAAACTTCTCTTATTATATGTAAGGAAAACAAATTTCTATTAAGAATCCGCTAAAATAAACTTATTCAAATTTATTTATATAGATTGCAAATTTAATTTAAAAATATAAGTAACTAATCAAGTATTTGACCAAGAATTGCTGTTTAAATAAACCAAATAATGCTACGAAAAATCTCATGTTATGGAAAATAAGAAAGATACATTAAATATTGAAAGATGAATTGTATATAGAGTTTATTGATTTTTAAAAAATCGAAAAATTTGTTAAAATTGTTGAAATTATTTATATATCAAAAATGTAAAGAATCAAGTATTTGACCAAGATTTATTGGCTAAAAAACCAAATAAGACTACGAAAAATATCTCCTATATGTTATGGAAAATCCTTTATATATATTGAAGTTACCTTAAAATAACTTTGAATAGCTGATATGATGTTAATCATTTATATAGTATGATATTAACATATTGTAGGTGAAATCAAATGTTTGACCAATATTACGGTCTAAATGACAAATTAAAACTTTAAAAAACTTTTGACAAAAAAAAGCCTTAAAAGGGAATCTACCTATTATACAAAATTCCGTAACCTATGAATATTGGAAAAGACGAAGATCTGTTTATAAAATCGTGTAAAGACAAACCTTTAGGATCGACTTCTCTTTAGTATCTGTAAGTATTAATGTATCTATTCTTATTAAACATCTAACTTCTCTTAACGTTGCCTTTAAACCTTATTTTCTATTGACATTTGCATCCTCTTAGCAGCATACTTGATGGCGACCAAGAAGTTTTTATCTCTCGTCTCGTTGATGGTGATTGCTCTCATCTTTCTGCCCATGATTTCAGGTAATAACATGTATATTATTAAGGTTTAATTTATCTCTAATGCAATCATATACTTTTATTTAACTATGATATCACGGTACGAATGAGACTCAAACTAAAATTTTATTGAAAAGAAATGGACTCTCCAATAGACTCAAAAGAAGAAGAAAAAAATGTTAGTATTTCCATAAAATGCATGGAAATGTTATCTTTACATTTGATTTTTATTAATGTTATATTTTCAAATTATAAGTAAAATAATATTTTGGTTGTGAATGTGAATTAACGTGGGGTTATTTATTCTAAGATATTCATCAGGTTAATTGTTCTGTTAAATTTTATAATAGCAAATATTCCGGATCTAGCTTGGTGTTAGTATTTTTTTTAACTTATAATGCAAATGAGATATCTTAGAAATTTAAAGTATTAGTGGAAATCATCTAGAGTTTTTTTTATTAATGAGATTTTCTCCTTATTTTTAAAGTGGTCACAAATTTTGGCTTGTGCATTTGAGAAGCCAAGACTGGATTAAATCTAACTTGAATCATTGTTTATGAACTAAACAGGTGACTGTTATGACTTTCAACCATGTAAAAACAAGGGGACATGCAATGAATTTTGCAGATACAGAGGATACAGATTATTAAGTGGGTTTTGTAACAAATATCCACCTGGCTCAAAGACCGGCATTTGTTGCTGCAATCTTTGATCTCAAGACTCTTCCAAAACCGATGATACCAATATAAAAATATATTTTCAAATAAAAATATGTTTCAATATGGATTATATCTATAATTTTTTTTTTGTTAAAGGATTTTATCTATAATTTTATCAACAATTACTCAATTGCTTATGGATATAGTACTTGTTTCGTTTACACATTTTTCGGAAATGGCTCTTCAAAATGTAAAAAAATTCATGATTACAAACATGAATCAGGGTCATTCGTGTTGGTAATCATGAAAATTTACCAAATATTAGAAATGGCAAGAGTAAAGAAATAAAAACATTGCATCTCTTAAAATCATAATCATCCAATTTACATTTCGATAGTTCTCCTATTAGTGGCTTCCATAATCTATTCACCATGAAACAGAGCTGATGAGTACAAGACACTCAATCACTGGATTGCTTGAGAGCCGTTGTTGCTTTTACACCAAAAGCAAATGTACACTTGAGATGGCTCAATCACTTTGAAAGATCAGAAGCAACGACGGTTTCTTATAGTTTAATTTCCTCTTTGTAAAAAGCCTTTCTTCCTTATAGCTAATGAAGTGGCTGCTCACTGAAATCAAGTTTCCAGAGACTCATACAGATGTTGCATCTCAGTTTTGTGTATGCTGCTCACTCTAAACCTTGGAAATTCTGGCTAAGTTACCACCATTCATTCACACACCCCCTTGCTCAGGTACTACAAAGTTTCAACCTTTTTGCATCTCTCTCACAATTATCGTTCGTCCTCTCTGTCTCATCCTCTTAATTTGTTAAATTTGTTAAAAATTATTTATATATCAAAAATGTAAAGTACAAATGTAAGTAAAGAATCAAGTATTTGACCAAGGTTTATTTGCTAAATAAACCAAATAAGACTACGAAAAAGTCTCCTATATATTATGGAAAATCCTTTATATATGTGGAAGATACCTTAAAATAACTTTGAATAGGATAATATGATGTTAATAATTTACATATTATGATATTAACATACTATAGAGTATGATATTAGCATACTATAGGTGAAATCAAGTATCAATGTTCTTAATAAACATCTAACTTCTCTTACCGTTGCTTTTAAACTTTGGTTCTCTATAACGTTGATGGCGACCAAGAAGTTTCTATCTCTCGTCTCGTTGATGGTATTTGCTATCATGTTGCTTCTACCCATGATTTCAGGTAATAACATGTATTTTTTTTCAGGTTTAATTTGCCTCTAATGCAACCATATAATATTACTTGTCTATGATATCACGGTATGAAAATAAATGATTTCTCCGTAAGACTAAAAAAAAAAACAAAAATTGTTTGCATTTCCGTAAAATGTATGTTAAAATGTTATCTTTACATTTGATTTTTTTTTAATGTAGAATATACAAATTATAAGCAAACTACTATTTTGGGTGTGAATGTTGTTAATTAACGTGAGGTTATTTTATTCTAGGATATTTATCAGGTTAATTGTTCTGTTAAATTTTCTATAACGGTAAATATTCCGGATCTAGCTTGGTGTTAGTATTTTTAATTTGAAATTTTAGAAATGCAAATACAATATATTCCGTATCTAGCTCCGTAGATTTTAAATAAAATGGACCCTAGACAAAGCTTAGAGGTTACATGATCGAGTGTCGTTTGGGACGAAATCAATATTAAATACTGTGGTTTTACCGAGATATGAATTTAGGCTGTCGATCAAAAAAAAAAAAAAGAAGTGTTAGTGGAAATCATCTTTATTTTTTTCTTATTTAAATGAGATTTTCTCCTTTTTTAAAGAAATGTTCACAAATTTTGGCTTGTGCATTTGAGAAGCCTAGACTGGATTATATATCTAACTTGAATCATTGTTTATGAATTAAACAGGTGACGTAATTAGAGACTGTTTTGAGGATCAACCATGTAAAAACAACGGGACATGCAATGAATTTTGCAGATACAAAGGATACAGATTATTAAGTGGGTTTTGTGAAAAACATCTACCTTCAGCAAAGACCGCCAGTTGTTGCTGCTGCTATCGATGATCTCAAGACTTCCAAAACCGATGATACCAATATTAAAATTACTACTAAATTCCTCATTCTCTATGTATTCTCTCTATTATCCAAAACAAGTAACAATATATATATTCAAATAAAAATATGTTTCAACATGGACTATATTTATAATTTTATCAACAATTACTCAATTGCTTATGGATATATTACTTGTTTCGTTTACAAATTTCTAGGAAATGGCTCTTCAAAATGTAAAAAATTTCATGATTACAAACATGAATCAGGCTCATTCGTGATGTAATCATGAAAAATTTACTTAACATTTAGAAATGGCAAAGAGTAAAGAAATAAAAACATTTGCATTTCTTAAAATCATAATCATCCAATTTACATTTCGATAGTTCTCCTATTAGTGGCTTCCATAATCTACTTCCGACTTTTTGTCTTGTGGACCGTGGCATGGCAACCCTTTCTCATCCACATGCTTGTCGCTGTTGTAGATTACTAAAGCCACATTTGGTTCTGCAATAGGCGTTTTACAATGAAGTGACACCTGCAGCCTCTCTTGGAATTAGGTCGGCCTGCGTTGTTCTTTTTCGGAACACCAATACCTGCTCACAGCAAAACACTAATATATAACCAAAGATCCTGTTACCATAAAAGCTGCACGCAAAACACAATCCAAACAGATAAACGACCTACAATTAGTAGATTCAACAAGCTTCCAGCAGGTGACACTAACAAGATATATGATCTAAACTTGTCTTGTGACAAAACAACAAAACAAGACTTACATAATATACTCCAAGATGCCATCTACCTTTGGCTTACATTTCTTCTCTTTGGTTTTACGTAGTCTAGCTTCAACATGGAAACTCGTAGGACAATCTTTATTAGCGGATTCGCCTCTTACGAAATCATCAACCCTCGCGTAACCTTCAACCTTGGACCAAACAAGATCGGCAGAAGAAAACTCTGGCAAGGTTGGATTTTGCACAGGTAGGGAGAAAATCTGATCCCATCTAGCCATCTGCATTCATGAGTTGAAAACATTAAGACGTGATCCTGGAACTATGTACTCCAACGAGACATGTCTAAGAAGAGATTTTGATTGCAAGTTCGATAATTTAAGCAAGTATTCGATAGACAACATGTGGAAAGCTGATTCTTCACATTTGACACTAAGGTTTGAGTTTGAAACTTGAGACGTCTCCGGTCTCTCTGTTTATGTGAAATCAACATTTCTTCATGAAAAGGAACGTACTTTAATGAATTGTGTATAGTATTTGGAAAACCAAACAACAACACAGCTCATCAACTTCATCCAGGGTAAACATAAACAGGTTGAAGCGACCAAAAATTAAGGGAAATAATCAGGCTTTTATCATCAATGTGATCAAACAAAGGGGAATAACGCCGCCACCAAAAATTGAAACTTTAAACAAGTCGGAAAATTCTCATAAAAGGTTATAGCTTTGTAGGAAAATCATTTGCTAAAATAAAAATAGTCATAAACCCAGAAGAAGTAAACTAAAAAGGAGAGAAATAAGACTTCCTCGGAATGTTCTAGAAAGAGAACGAATTACTCACCCAAAACGGAGGAGTCAGAAGCAGATGAAGAATTCGAAAAAGCCAGAACGACTGAGGAAATTGGTTTAGGGTTCTTCAGTGTCTGAGAGAAACTTAAACGATGTCCTTAAAGGGAAAACAATACGACGTCGTTAAAGAGATATGAAGCAAAAAAAATATCCGTTGGAAGCGTGGCCCCCCTAACGGCTATATGCCCCTTCGTCTTCCTCAAGCAATTTAAAAAAAAAAAAAAAAAAATTCTCAGTTTCTTATCATTTTTCTCATCATTTTCTCTCTATAAACCAGGTCCACTAAAGAACAAGATGCGAGTATCATGGGTACAGACCCAACTAAAACACAATTGCTTAAGGAACAATTGGGTGAGACTCACACACTCTCAGAATGCCTGAATGATTTCGGAGAATAACATTGATATGACGACTGAGAGGATGAAATAAAACGTTGAAATATATATTTTTTAAAAACATAATTACTCACCATATGTTTTCATTGCTTGTAGGTGTCAATTATCTTTGTGTGGAATGTGATGAGACCAATGCTAACTTAACATTTTGAAATATCCTATGCAATCTTGAAAAATGTACACTTTTTGTGTGTCAACTTCTTAATTGGTGGTTTAACCTAATCCTAAACTCTATCTTTTTTGTCAATTAAGTTCACTGATTTTTAAACTTAAACATGATATTTTATCTACTAAGTAACAATATTTGAAAATAAAAGGAATAAAATACATAAGACCAATGAAGAATTGTTTGATGTGAGATATTCATTGAAAAATTAAAAACTGTAGACATGTTTTCATCTGAATGTGTGATATATAAAATGTGTGGATTAAATTATTCAGTTTAAAAGTGTTAGAATTTGTGTAATAACAAGAGGTTTATTTATGATTATTATAAATATAAAGAATCATTTCATAAATTCAATTTTTTTTTGTAAAACCATAATTGTTTTCTGAGTTTATATTTCTCATCAAGTTCGATGGTTTTCAATCTTAAACATAATGTTTTATTTATTACATGTAATGACTTTTTGAGAAAAAAACAATATACATACATCACTAAAGAAGTATGTGATGTATATTCATTGTAAAATTAAAACTTTAGATATCTTTTTTCATCTGTAATTTTCATATATAAAACGTTTGTATTACATCGTTCATTTTTAAAATGTTAAAATTTGTCGTTTATTGAAAATAAATATATATGAGATAAATATTTTTAATATCATAGAAACAAAATATTTTGAAGATTCTAAACTTTTACTGAACCATTCAATTTTCCAATTTGATCCCATCGAGCCATCTGCATTCGTGATTTAGTCAAACCAAGTGATCAAAGACACGAAAGTATGAAATTTCCATGAGTTGAAAACATTAAAACGTGTAACAATATAATTTTTGATTTTTTGGTTAATTTTGGTTATTATACTGTAGACACTAGACAGTGGATACTGGATGTGTGACGCACATATTAGATAGGCTGGTGTGAATAATAATAATCTTTTCTTTGCTTTGCTTTCCTTTGTTTTGGTTTGTTTCTAGTCTCTCTCTTTCTCATATAAGCCTTTCTGTCTGTAAAAATATATCTATTACGGAAGATCCATTAACACAAATTTGAATAGGTGATATTGGTGTTAATTTCTTTACCTATTATGATATTAAAATCTAGGTGAAATAAACTGTTTGACCAAGATTATTGTCTAGATGATCAATTAAAACTATTAATAAAAAGCAAAGAATATAATCAAATATATTTGGCAACTCAATAATAGATATCAATGGCTTGAACTTTAAAAATTAGTTTTTTTTTCCTTTTTCTTTTTCTTTCATAAATTGATTATAGATATGTGACATACATGTCTAAGTTCATGAGAAATGTTGAAGCTTTTCTATTGAAAAAGACAACGACTAGTTTTCTTAACAAGATGCGATGCTTAACACACACACACAAACTCCGTTGTTTCTTCATAACGAATTGGGCTCAAGTTAAACATAGGAGCGGTAGCGGCACTTTTTCTATCAGGATGGTTGACCATTAGGATTACCCAGGATGTAGTGTATAGTTGACTGGTTGCACAAAGGTTCTTGCATGCAAATTGTTTTTTTGCGACCTGTTTGATGCCATTTCATATCATCAACAATGGGTACACGTAAACAAGTATGCATATCTTTCGTGAAATACAAATTCAGTCAAAACTATGATGAATGTCGTTTGCTTAAAGGTGACAATTTAAACGAGAAAATACTATGTTTACAACTTTGTTTATATAAATAAAATTGGTTATACTGTACATTCGTTTTTTTTTGTTTGGAATTTATTTTTGTTTTAATCGTTATTGGATATAGTATTATTAAAAGTAACTGAATCGGAATCCTAAAACATAAACTTGCACTAGTTATACAAACTAATAAGAAAATTAATTGATCTTTTTTTATTTACTTAGTCTTGTTAATGTGTTTGTTTATGAACTAAACAGGACCAGTCGCACCATGTTTAATGGAAAATATCAAAGCGATGTGACATGCAATGTACTTTGTAGATACAAAGGTTACCCAGTAGGAGAGGTATTGTACATACAAGGTCGGCAAGAAAGGCCATTGTTGCTGCTGCTATGGTGAATCTCGAGTGTCTTCCATATCCGATGATACCAACGTACTCATAACTAATTAACTCCTAATGTTATATCTTATATGCATAATCAATTATCGTAATAATAATAATTAATATATGTTCAAACAAGAACAACAAAAAGGAAATTTAATTTTTCAATGTCAAATAGACAAATAATCAGAAAACCAGTATGAACATTTGTCGAATAAAGATCGGATTATCCTTTCAACATTGAAAATAAAGATAGGATTTTCAGTAACAAAACAAGTACTCAATTGCTTATGGATACATTATCTTGTTTCGTTTACACATTTTTAGGAAATGACTCTTCAAAATGTAAAAAATTTCATTATTACAAACATGAATCAGGCTCATTCGTGTTGGTAATCATGAAAATTTTACTAAACATCTAGAAATGGCAAAGAGTAAAGAAATAAAAACATTAGCATTTCTTAAAATCATAATCATCCAATTTACATTTCGATAGTTCTCCTATTAGTGGCTGCCATAATCTATTCACCATGGAACAGAGCTGAGTACAAGACACTCACTCAATGGATTACTTGAGAGCTGTCTTTCAGTTTCTGACCAAAGCAAATGTACACTTGACATGTCTCAGTCCCTTTGTAGGATCAGACTGTAACGACAGTTTCTCTTAGTTTCCTCAATAGCTAATGACGCTGATGCTCACTGAAATCAAGTTTCCAGAGACTCAAACAGATGTTGCTTCTCAGTTTTGTGTATCATCATTCATTCATACACTCCCTTGCTCAGGTACTACAAATTTTCAACCTTTTTGCATCTCTCTCACAATTCTCGTTCGCACTCTCTGTCTCATCCTCTGCAGCAGCTTCCGTTGAACATGGTGAAGAATCGATTTCCACTATGTCTTCTCCATTTCCTGAGCAGGCTCTAAGTTTCCCCCAACTCATTGACTTCTGACTCAACTCTCCACCTAAATTAGTACCAACTTCACCAGATTCATCAAGAGAGTTTCCACTAGAAGCATTTTCTTTCTGCACAACATTAGCATCATCCCTCTTCTGCAGATCGCCGAGTGCATTGATTTGCTTTTCCACAGAGACGGCTAAAGATACTGCGTAATCACGAAACAAAGAATCGCGAGGAGGGCAGTGAAGCAGATCAACCAAGGTCTGATAATACTGTAGGAGGCTAGCAGACTGCTTAGCAGCTCGGTTCCCGAGACAGACTTGTGTAAGTTTGACCATGTGCTTACATATGTAACCCTTCTCAGCCCAGCTGCAACTGCAAACCCCAAACTGTGAACCTGGATTCCACACAACATGAACTTCTTTGTCCCCTTCACACTCTGTTATCCTCGCAGACGTACCGGAGATAACAACATCAGAATCTTGTATACTCAACGCTTGACGGAAAGAAGTCAAACCACTCATCCACTCCTCTTTCCAGTACCTTGAAAAATCATCTTTTCCAGAGTATCCATCAAGCCAGAAGTAAGAATGTACTTTTGTTCTTAACTTATCGACCAACCAATCAGCACGTTGATAAGCTTCAGAGTCTCTTTCATTCAAGAGCCTACACTTCAGCTGATAATGGTAAAGCTCCATCGCTGCACAAGTCTCTTGGCTTGCCAATGGAAGAGATTGCAATGCACTTGTCCAAGCTCCTATTACAAGATTGGAGATAATAAAAAAGTCATTCTAAAGACAGTTAATATAGATGATCAATTAATATAGATGATCGAAAAGAGAGAGAATCGAAGAAGAACCTATTCTGGGAGACCAAACAGCTCTGAAGTAGTCCACAAACTCTGGACTATCAGCAAAATCCTCCATAAAACTCTCAAACAATGTAGCTGTTCCTTGCCTTCTACAGATTTTATCTACAGCTTCTCCCAGATGTCTTGAAATCTCGGCACGCGTCTCTGTCTCTGGACATCTCTTGATTATGTTCTTATGCCACGCATGTCGAATACGCCAAAACGAAAACAACACAGGACACTGAAACACATCCCTGAAGACATTGAAAGCATTAGTATCAATTTAGAGACGGCACATAGAGACTCACACCAAATATATTATTGACAAAGAGAAACATGCAAAATATGACCAACCTGATCGTTATAATGTCAGCAAGAGGATCATCAATTATGAAACCAGCAGCCTTCCACGAGGGATCTTTGGCATGGACTCGGTTACAGAGAGCTCTCATCCATTTATATGGATCTTCACAGGAAACACGCGGTGCAATGATCCAAGCTACTGGAATTGCCTTATTCTCTGAGTCGAATACAACAAGACTATGGATAGGATACTGAAAGCACACGCAACACAAAGACCTGAGAATCATCTTGATACTAGAAAAACCAAATTTTTAGCTGTAAGAGACTGACCTTGAGTTTATTAGTCCCAAACCTTGAATCTGAAGCCAAAAGTCTACTGTTGCCAAACCGAATCATCTGCTGCAACTGCCACTCCGTTTGTATACCCAAAGAAAAAGGCTCTGTCTCAGAGAACTCTTCACAGAAAAACACATTACTCTGATGATTTTCAACCCACATTCTGATGCTCACATCATCATCCTCGTCAAGCTCATACGTTGAACGTCGAATACTCCTCTCAAGTCTTCGAACATATCTATGAGTTAACAAATCATCTCTATTACTTGGACCACCTTGTTTCTCCACTGATTCATTATGCCTCTGCATTATAGTCTCCACAGAGACACCAACATAGAGCAAAGACGATACACGTAGCCTAAGATCTTCCGATATATATGGAGCAAACATGGCTCTTGTTCCAGCCGACTTTTTGTCTTGTGGACCGTGGCATGGCAAACCTTTCTCATCCACATGCTTGTCGCTGTTGTAGATTACTAAAGCCACATTTGGTTCTGCAATCAGGCGTTTCACAATGAAGTGACACCTGCAGCCTCTCTTGGAATTAGGCCGGCCTGCGTTGTTCTTTTTCGGAACATATGTGCTCCTACTTGGCCTCACAGCTCCGCCTTTTCTATTGTCATCGGGTCCAAAGGAACACCAATACCTGCTCACACCAAAACACTAATGTATAAATTATAACCAACGATAAGAAAAGCTGCACGCAAAACGCAATTAAAAACACATAAACGAACTACATTTAGTATGAATTGTCTAAAATGAGAACAATGTATGATTATAGCATTTAGTATATACACAACTGCTGGAACAAGAAGAATGAAGATCTTAGAGTTGATTCAGTAAACTTCCAGGAGATGAGACTACCAAGATATATGATCTAAACTTGTTTTGTGACCAAACAACAGAACAACAGAAGAAATGCTGTGACTTACAGAATATACTCCAAGATGCCATCAACCTTTGGCTTACATTTCTTCTCTTTGGTTTTACGTCGTCTGGCTTCAACATGGAAACTCGTAGGACAGTCTTTGTTAGCGGATTCGCCTCTTACGAAATCATCAACCCTCGCGTAAGGGATGAGGGCTAACCTATCTATATTGTCCCGGTAACCTTCAACCTTGGACCAGACAAGATCGGCAGAAGAAAACTCTGGCAAGGTTGGATTTTGCACAGGTAGGGAGAAAATCTGATCCCATCTAGCCATCTGCATTCATGATACAGGCAAATTAAGTGATCAAAGACACGAAATTAAGATATTTCCATGAGTTGAAAACATTAAAACGTGATCCTGGAACTATGTACTCCAACGAGACATGTCTAAGAAGAGATTTTGATTGCAAGTTCGATAACGTAAGACAACATGTAGAAAGCTAATTGTTCACATTTGATACTAAGGTTTGAGTTTGAAACTTGATTCGTCTCTGTTTATATGGAAATCTCCATTTCTTTATGAAAAGAAAGGTACTTCAATGAATTGTGTATAGTAATTGAAAAACCAAACAAGAACACACAGCTCATCAACTTCATCCAGGGTAAGCACAAACAAGTTGAAGCGACCAAAATTTAAGGGAAATACTCAGGCTTTTATCATCAATGTGATCAAACAAAGGGGAATAACGCCATTAAAAATTGAAACTTTAAAGATGTCGGAATATTCTCATAAGAGGTTATAGCGTTGTTGGAAAATCATTTGCCAAAATGAAAATCGTCATAGACCCAGAAGAAGTAAGCTATAAATCAGAGAAGTAAGACTTCCAGGGAATTTTCTAGACAGAGAACGAATTACATACCCAGAAACGGAGGAGTCAGAAGAATTCGAAAAACCCAGAACGACTGAGGAATTTGGTTTAGGGTTCTTCAGTGTCTCAGAGAGAATCGCAACTGTCAAAGAGAGAAACTAAAACGATGTCGTTAAAGGCAAAACAAGCTGTTTAAAACTAAATGAAAACCACGGCAGGTAAGCCCGTCTCGGCCTGCCTTGGTTAAGGCCATTATTTTCATTAAATGAAAATAAAACTAGTAATTTGTTTTTGTTTTATCTATTTAGCAAACTGAAAATTTGGAAAATTGAAGTATTGGAGACTTGAAAAATTGAAGTATTGGAAAATTTTCATCAGATCCGAATATGTTATTGAATCCATACCATTTTGATTCGGAAGAGCTAAAAAAAAAAAAGAATTATATGTGTTTATTGCATCTGATTTCTTTCTACCTTTCATTTACCCTGATTTCTATATTTTATTTACATTAATCAGGTTTATTTTAAGTGACTAACGATACAAAATAGAAGATTATTTAATACATACAGTATATCGGAAATAAATTTATGTATTAGCTTCTAAGTTTTGATATTTTCTTTAATTTTGCTTCTTAATGAAAATTTCGGAGAATGACATGGAGATTGAGAGGATCAAAAAGGAGTTGAAGGTACATAACTTTTTTTGGGTTCAATTTCTTTGTTTTATCAATCTTTGTGTGGAATGTGATGAGACCAATGCTAGCTTAACATTTTGAAATATCCTATACAATCTTGAAAAATGTACACTTTTTGTGTATCAACTTTTGAATTGGTGGTTTAACCTAATCCTAAACCCTATCATTTTTGTCAATTAAGTTCAATGATTTTTAAACCTAATCCTCAAGATTATCCGTTGGAAGATTACGATGTTGTTAAGGAAAAAACAATACGACGTCGTTAAAGAGATAGTATGAAGCAAAAAAAAAATATCCGTTGGAAGCGTGGCCCCTAACGGCTATATGGACCCACCACATCCTTTTGATTTTTATTTTCTTGTGATTTGCTTCTGAAATTTTTGATCTTTTCTTTAATCTTGCTTCTTAGAAATCACAACGAATGGAGATTTCGGAAAATGACATTGATATGGCAACTGAGAGGATGAAATAAAAAGTTGAAATATATATTTTTTAAAAACATAATTACTCACCTTATGTTTTCAATTTTTCATTGCTTGTAGGTATCAATTATCTTTGTGTGGAATGTGATGAGACCAATGCTAACTTAACATTTTGAAATATCCTATGCAATCTTGAAAAATGTAAACTTTTTGTGTGTCAACTTCTTAATTGGTGGTTTAACCTAATCTTAAACCCTATTTTTTTTGTCAATTAAGTTCACTGATTTTTAAACTTAAACATGATAAAAGGAATAAAATACATAAGAAGAATTGTTTGATGTGAGATATTCATTGTAAAATTAAAAACTGTAGACATGTTTTCATCTGAATTTGTGATATAAAAAATGTGTGGATTAAATTATTCAGTTTAAAAGTGTTAGAATTTGTGTAATCACAAGAGGTTTATTTATGATTGTTATAAATATAAAGAACCATTTCCTTTTTTTTTTTGTAAAACAATAATTGTTTTCGAGTTTATATTTCTCATCAAGTTCGATGGTTTTCAATCTTAAACATAATGTTTTATTTATTACATGTAATGACTTTTTGAGGAAAAAAAACAATATACATAGATCACTAAAGAAGTATGTGATTTGGATATCTTTTCATCTTATAATTTTCATATATTGAAAATAAATATATATGAGATAAATATTTTTAAAAATAATAGAAACAAAATATTTTGAAGATTCAAAACTTTTACTGAACCATATAGTTTTCCAGTTTGATCCCATCTAGCCATCTACATTCATGATTTAGTCAAACCAATTGATCAAAGACACGAAATTAAGAAATTTCCATGAGTTTAAAACATTAAGACGTGTGACGAATATAATTTTTGATTTTTTTTGTTAATTTTGGTTATTATACTGTTGACACTAGACAGTGGATACTGGATGTGTGACGAACATATTACATAGGCTGGTGTGAATAATAATAATATTTTCTTTGCTTTCCTTTGTTTTGCTTTGTTTCTAGTCTCTCTTTCTTTCTTTTTTTTCATCTGAATATATTCCAAATAGTAAACAAGGTAAGAGATAAGAGTGGGTTACAAAAACGCTCAAAAGATTTACCAGATCTTACAAGAGTCTAGACTCATGAAGAACACCAAACAAAAGAGATCCCAAAAAGCAGGTATGAACAACCTGTAGCAGATCTAAACAGATGTCAAACGTTTCTCATTGACAATCAACTCATGAAGCCAATTGGGATGGCTACAAGAAACAGGATTGACAAAATCTCTTCTAAGCGCCTTTGAGCAATGAGAAAAGCGCCTATGTTTTTCGATCTTGAAACAATTTCTATCTTCCACTCTGCTATACTAACTAAAAACTGACTAAACTCCAAGAACTGAGCTTTGTAAGAAGGCCACACCTTTGGTCTGACCAAAAGATTCAGCAGATCAGCGGATTCCACTTCCACAAACACTCACTTAACCTTATGAGCCACCATACTCTCCAGAGTCCATAACAGACACACCAGCCTGGCATCTTCAAGGCTGCATATAGCACTAAAAGACCTTTTGCTATGCAGTAAAACCACTCCCTTGTGATCCCTCAAAACCCATGCCCCACCAGCTGTCTTTGTTATGTTATCCCACTTTACCGCCGAGTTACATTTTAACCAAGGATAAGGGGGAAGTTTCCAGTCTCTCTCTTTCTCATATAAGTTTTTATGTCTGTAGTTCTTTTGGTTGGAATAAAAATATAGCTATTACGGAAGATCCATCAACATAAATTTGAATAGATGATACTAGTGTTAATTTCTTTACCTATTATGATATTGGTATACAAAACGTGAGGTGGATGAAAACAAAGAAAAATAAGCGGTTGGTAGAAATTAAATGAAGCTAAAATTTTTGGAAAGTGATGATAGTGATAAGAAAAGAAGAAGCATAAAGAGGGCAAAGATGAGCACCTTTAAAGATAGAGAATATTGAAATATGTAGAGATTATTGAATCATGAGGCCTTAATTTCTAGAGAGTGTGTAAGATTAAGACCCATGTCAGAAGTTGTAAAGGACATAGAATACTATATAAGAGATCGAGGCCTTTCCACTTATTGCTAATTAGTTTTAGGTTGGATGTCAAAGAAACTTAACATGGTATTACAATATGATTTGTACACTCTCGTGACCCGGCTCATAATAAACGGTTTTGACACTTCAATCCTATGACTGATGGTCTAAGAGATTAAAGAACAGAAAGACCATTATCTCAAAATGGGACATTAAGATATGTAAAAGGATAATCTCTAGAAAGTGTAAATATTAAATTCCACATTGAAAGTTGGTAGGGATTTTGAACAATATGATCAGAGAAACACATGATCACTTGATCACTGAAGTCTGAAGCAAAGAGATAGTTGATTCATCAGATATTGGGGATAGCAAAAGAGGGCGTTATGGGAAACTACCTTGGGATTCCAGAGAGTCTAGGAGGAGCAAAGACTAAGATCTTTAGTTTCCTCATCGACAAACAACACAAATGGATTAAAAGATGGAATTCAAAATGGTTGTCAAAAGGGGGGAAAGAGGTGTTGATTAAGTCTGTTCTATCGGCGATGCCACTGCATAAATGTCATGCTTTCGGTTGCCTAAAGGAGTTACAAATAAACTATCCAGTGCAATAGGTAGAGTAGTAATGTGCAGACACGTGGGATACATTGGGTGGTTTGGAAGAAACTATGCCGTCTTAAAGCAAAGGGGGGTTTGAGATGCGGTTGTTTGTATTCTATAGACTCATTATTTTCACTGGTTTTCAAAGGTCGGTATTATCGGAATGCTACCCCTTTGAACCCCACTAGATCATATTTGCTTTCCTATGGATGGCAGAGTATGGTTTCGGCTCGGCCTTTGGTTAATAAAAGGTTTATTAAAAGACTTGGTTCAAGGACCTCTATCTCCGTTTGGGATGAACCTTGGATTCCAGCATCGCGCCCGAGGCCAGTCACAGGTTCCAGGGTTCATTTTTATCCTCATCTTCGGGTGAGTGAATTAATGACACCTGGTACATCAACATGGAATTTACCACTATTTAATCAAATTTTTGATACTACAGATGTCACTTTCATTTTGGGGATCCCGCCTTCACAAGCTAGTAGACAGGATTCCTTGGGATGGTTCTTTACAAAATCGGGTCAATTTTCGGTTAAAATGGGATATGTTTTGGCGCAGCAATATATGGTCAACGATTGGTCCAGATATAAGGGGTCTTCAAGCACACACGTGGAAGGTACAATGTACTCAAAAGTTACAACATTTCATTTGGCAAGTATTAACGGGGTGTATATCAGTAGGAGCACGTCTACGGAGTCGGGGTATTCAGATAGATCCGCAATGTATGCGATTTGGGATGACGGCAGAAACGATTAATCACATGCTTTTCTAATGTCCACCAGCGCTACATGTTTGGGCATTATCACCATGTCCAACGGCTCCCAATCGTTTCCCGACAGAGGCTTTGTTTGCAAACATCGCCTACTTGCTCTGGAATTTACCAGATGATGATAGGATGAGAATGTACCCTTGGTTGATTTGGTTTATTTGGAAAGCAAGAAATGAAAAGGTTTTCTCAAATGACGATTCGGATCCGAATGACATTATCAGCCACGCGGCAAGAGAGGCGACGACATGGAGGATGACACAAGTTAAACGAGCAGTAGTATCAACGGCCTTAGGGGTCTCGGGTGGAACCACCCCCCCCAGGGTGACGTTTGTCAGGTCGATGGGTCATGGAAATTAACGCAGCAGGCCTTGGATGGTTTTACTTAAATAGGGGATCGGAAAAAAACGACCATGGGTACTTGATATTTACAACGTGGTCGCTTCTTCAAACGGAAATTGAGGCACTGTTATGGGCTATGCAGTGTATGCTAAGAAAACACAGGTTAACCTATATGTTCGAAACAGATTGTTTCGATGTGTTGAAGATGGTGTCTAACCTTGAGGAGTGGCCGGTTTTCGCAACAATCTAGATGAAGTATGAAGATGCAAAACAAATATTCACCTCCTTCTTTATTAGGCACATACCAAGGAAGAATAACACTTAACACGAAGTGTTCGAGCTCTACATACTGATGTGTATTATGTAAACTCTATTTCACCGACTTGGATCACTCCAAGAATAGAGGCTGTCAACAAAAAAACAAAAGAGATAGTTGATTTTCAATTTTTTGATTTGTTTGTCAAGTTTTTGTTTTTTGTGTTGTTCTTGCACAGAAACTCAATTTTGTAAAATAAAAGATTATTTGCGTCTATTGAATGCCACATTAGCCTTTTTTTTGAAATTTGTTCGAAGAAGGAACTAAAATCTCAATCTCAATCTCTTTCGTTTCATCTTTAATTTCGGTTTGGTAACTGCTTTCCGGTGATACTGTAATCAGTACGATGGAGATCAAGGAAACCCTTAAACTCACGAGAATGGTAACAAACAATGGAGATGCTTGCAGAGTAAAGAGGCTAAAGTGTAATTCTTGTTTGGTGTGTGTGTGTGATGGAAAAGACAAAAGGGTGCTATAGTGCTATGTCACGGAGGTGAATGTCCCCATAGCAGCTGTATCTCGAATAAACCTGATTTTGATGAATTTGGTAATTTCTACGAAAGAAGCTTAGGGTGATTGACAAGTCTATAAAAGGTAGAGAGACTTTACGAGTAATAGATTTGGGTTTAATGATGGGTGAAGTTAGTGAACATGTTGTGGAGGTTTATGTTTAAATTTACAGTCAAATTACATGTGTAGAAAGAAAAACAGGTGAGTAATACAAACAAGGCTACTCAAGGTTTAAAGTTTAAACGATGTTATAGTCCAAATGCTTCATTACTTACTCAACCATATACATATACCAAAACCATAGACCATACTCGATCGCCGATGTAACCTGAAAAAAAATAACAAAATGGGTAAATTTTCTAAGTTTTTACTCAACTTAAATGGGTATGCATTGCATTAACATACTCCTAACCAATGCAGAATGATTATGAAACTACCAAGATACTTAACATGTCTATCACCAAGCAGTATAAGGAAGCAAATATATGTATAGTTTCAAGGATGTATTACCATTTCGGTACTTTATAGTGTCAGCTGCTCGATATTTTCTGTGTTTCTGGACATCATATTCCCGTTTCGCCTCTCTTCTTGCTCTTCAAATGGGTTTCCTCTATAAGTAGAACTCGCCTCTTCATTATCTGAAGACCCTGGCCTTTCCGTTAAGAAGTTTTCCCAGAACACATCATTCACTCTCCCCGGAGGAGCTGCATTTCCTTGCTTACCTCCAACAGCAACCTCTTGTTGACACCGGTTTTTCTCGCTTCCACTTGTTTCAACCGAGTTGAAGTTTAACTCCTGACTTTTATGAATCGTCTTAGCTATCTGAGAAGCTGTCTTCTCCGGCAACGGAGCAGAAGCAAGAGTTAGATTTAAATGACATGAGAAGCTACCATCAGTCTCCTCTGAAGACGTAAGCCTCTGTGGCAAAGTCTCTGCTCTTGCGCTATCATTGATCAGTAATCTCCCCGGGCATGACCCTGTATCCGCAAGCTCCAACGCTTCAGGTGCAAATGGCAAGACATCTCTTCTTGTTTGTCCAGCTTTTGGATCGCTTATTCCTTTGGGACTCGCTCCTTCTTCGTTGGAGCTTTGTATGCTGTGTGAAACCATGTTCATATCTGAAACAGCCGGAGAAAGCTCTAACCGAAGTTTACTCGAGAAACTCTGATGGAAAATGTTTCCAGACTCAGGTCTCGAGCTACCACTGCTGTTATCAAGATGCGAATCTTCTGAAGGCGGCTTCGAAATCTCAGCTTGAGGCAGCCTCCGCTTTTTGTTGTACGCCGAGATATCCAGCTGCTCGACTTTCCGGCCGAAGTTCTTGATAAAGCTAGGGTTCCGTATCGCCGTCTCCAAGAAATTCAGCAGCTTCTTCTGCCGTTTCTCCATATCGTCGACATGCTCGGTCATTTCTTCTAGGTGATGCTTTGCTGTTGACTTCTGCTGTTTAAACTTCAAAAGCTTCGCTTCGATCGCAGCTTTCTCGTGCGTGAGCTTGTCCATTTGCTCTTGCAGCGCCGCTCGTTCTTGATCTATTGACGATGCTGGTGGATGGCTGTGGCTGTGTATTGGTTTCCTTCTGTGTATGTTCTTGAGAAGTTGCTTCTGATCTTTGATGAAATCGTCATTTGAAAACTCCCATCTCTCTGGATCAATCTTCCGAAATCCCTATCAACAACAATTCACAAGAAACATTCAACACAAATCTACATTTCATCTTCTTATTGAGTTTATTTTTGCAGATTTGAGCTCGAAAATCAGATCATTTGACAATTGCAAGACTTTGAGCTTCAACGATTCACGTAATCAAAACCAATTTCGAAATGTGATCTAAAACCCTATTTTGTTTGAATTCCTGACTTTAATTTAACGATGAACGATTAAAATCAGGTCAATTTCAAAATCCATGGAAGAGAAGAGAGTTGGTGAAATCGGAGAATTGAGAAATGACTCACATAGGTATTGAGCTGGCGGATGAAGGAAGAGAAGTTGTTGTGCTTGAAGTAAGTCGGGAGAAGGAGGCGTGAGAATTCAGCATGGTTCCAAACGATGAAGCTGTTGTTGGTGGAGCTCCAGGAGACAATCTGATCCGTCGACGAGTCATCTACCATCTCGTAAGTCTTCACCAGGAAAGGCGCCGGTCCTCCAGCTCCTTCTCCACCGCCGCCGCTCACAGAGGCGGACGAGTTGCCTAATGCGCCGTTCATCGATGAATCTAATCGGAAGCAGAAGGAAAGAGATGGCGATGGCCAAGCAAGGACCGAGAAAGATCCTTAGCCTGTAAATAAAACACCTTTGTGGTTTTTTTATTAATAATACCTGAAAAGTGCTACTTTAACCCCAAAATTACCTAAAACAACATATTGGCCCCATTTTACTAAATTAGTTTCAATTGACTTTGTATTACAAACTTTGAATGTGAATGGTAATAGTCATCTCATTCAATTTTGGAAACAAAAGCAGATTCAAAAAGGCATTACGTTCAAGAAAGAAGTTTGGATTCCATATTTCAACATGGAGAAGCTTCAAAACTTGTTAGAGGAGAAATTAGCACATTTCCCTGAGCCCGTCATCATTAGTAAAGTCACAAAGCCCAATCCGATTTTAGGCCTAACATCTTCAAGAAAAAGGCAAGACTTGAAGAGAAAGGCACAATCCATGGAGAAATGTAAATAAATCTTCATGCCGACTTAAAGAATGGAAAAATCCAAAAACAAGAGGAAGTTTTCCATATCGCAAAAGAGGAAGTTTTCCATCTCGCCTGAAGGAGAATATTCATCATTCGGCCGACTTATCAACGCTATATATTGAAGACCCCCCCATTGGGGAGATCCATCCGAAATCATCTAGAATCACTAGGCTTTCACATTAGCTTTTACTCTATCCTCTTGTTCATCACCATAATCTCGCTAGGCTTGTTAGCGAGATTGCTCTCTTGTAACTTCTTGATAATCTAAGAGTCGAATTAAGCGTTCCAGTTTCCTAAACTCACATCTTAGATAGCCCGTCTTGACGAGTGCTATCTCGGATCTAACAAAACTGACCTAGAATTTATTGATGGCTTTTCTTCCTCTTGTTATAGCATGAAGTTTTCATGTAATCTTACCACCCAAAGTTAGGCTACAAGTGTTGAAATCTTTGCTTGCAAAAGACTTCTTAGGTTTAGTAAGCTAGCTATATTTCTGAACTATTGTGTGAAGTCAAATATGTGTATTTTAAAACTTGTTTATAAGAAATACAAGTATATTAAATAACCATCTTTTATAAAAACAGAAATGATGAAAATCATTTATATCATCTAAATATATTTCATAATTATTCGTTTGATGATTACGGATTACCTGGTAATGAATTATGTGAAAACACAAGAACAAAACTACTTCCCCCCCCCCCCCCAAGTGCGTATTCCCCCGTTTTTTTCTATAATGTTGTAGTATGAAAAAGAAAAAGAAAAAACATTTAAGAGTTTTGGTCCAAAAGATCTTGAAAACTGATGTTAGACTGAGATACATACACCTGTGACAAGTTGACATGGGGAGTACCAAAGAACCAAAACAAGTGACGTATGCAAAGACGTCAAAATTCATTACACAAGACAAAACTGATCCTACCATAATATTTCCTGTGGATTTCTATTCTGTTTTACCAGAACTATGCTCTAACGATTTTAATTCTTTTTCTCTTTAACAACTTGTCTTCTAAGTCTGTATCACAACTCCAATACCAATAGTATAGTTTGTTTCTTTTTTATACTAATATTTTTATGCATATGGATAACATCCTTCTTTTGTTCTCGAAACATTCCACAAAGCGAATAACAATATGCATTCTTAAGTCTACTAACTGGTGGACCATCAACCCACGTGTGTTATGAACTTATTTACTCACTTTCTTTAACGTATAGACCCAATGCATTAACAAAATTATCCGAAAATCAAATTAGATGACGTATGCGAATACGTCGAAATTCATTACCCAAAATGATATTCCAGCCATAAATTCCTACGCTATATATAGATATGTGTATACGACGAGGAAAACCAACTTTTACTTTTCTACGAGCTTCAGAATCTTTCATTTATTTTTCTCAAAACATCTCATTTTCTTTTCGACCAAGGTCAAACATGAGAAGTAATTCTCGTAAGCCCCATGTTCTGTTCTTCCCTTTCATGGCTCATGGCCACATGATACCAACTCTAGACATGGCTAAGCTTTTCTCAAACAGAGGAGCCAAATCAACAATCATCACCACACCTCTCAACTCCAAGATCCTCCAAAAACCAATCGACACATTCAGGAACCTGAATCCGAATCTTGAAATCGAGATCAAGATCTTCGATTTCCCTTGCGTGCAGCTCGGGTTACCAGAAGGATGCGAAAACCCTGATTTCTTCTCCATGAACAACAGTGAAGATAGACAGTACATGAGCTTAAAGTTCTTTTCGTCGACAAGGTTTTTCAAAGACCAGCTTGAGAACCTCCTCGAGACAACGAGACCAGACTGTCTTATTGCCGACATGTTCTTCCCGTGGGCTACTGAATCTGCTGAGAAGTTTAATGTGCCAAGACTTGTGTTCCACGGCAAGGGCTACTTCGCTCTGTCCTCTGAGTATTGCATCAGATTGCATAAACCACAGAAGAGAGTAGCTTCCAGTTGTGAGCCATTTGTGATCCCTGATCTCCCTGGGAACATAGTGATAACTCAAGACCAGATCTTAGACCGGGACGAAAAAACTGAGATGGGAAAGTTTATGACTGAGATTAAGGAATCGGAAGTGAAGAGCTCAGGTGTTATTGTGAACAGCTTCTATGAGCTTGAGCCTGATTACGCCGATTTCTACAAGAGTAATGTAGCGAAGAGAACGTGGCATATTGGTCCGCTCTCTGTTATAAACAGAGGATTCGAGGAGAAGGCTGGGAGAGGAAAGAAAGCAAGCATCGATGAGAATGAATGCCTCAAATGGCTTGACTCCATGAAACCTAATTCAGTCATCTACATTTCATTTGGGAGCTTAGCTTGCATCAAGAACGAGCAGCTTATGGAGATCGCTCTAGGGTTAGAAGCTTCAGGAGCAAGTTTCATCTGGGTTGTTAGAAAAAATGCAGGTACTAAAATTAACGTTTGAAACAATATGATATAACATTACCGTTTTTTTTTGGGGTTTTCTCTTGTTTTTTATCTGAAACAAACTTTGGTTGTGAACAGGTGATGAAGAAGAATGGTTACCAGAAGGGATGGAGGAGAGAACGAGTGGGAAAGGGATGATAATTAGAGGATGGGCTCCACAAGTGCTGATACTTGACCACCAAGCAACCGGTGGGTTCTTGACACATTGTGGCTGGAACTCGCTTCTCGAAGGAGTGGCTGCAGGGCTACCGATGGTGACGTGGCCGGTTGGAGCGGAGCAATTCTACAACGAGAAATTGGTTACACAAGTGCTGAAAACGGGAGTGAGCGTGGGAGCCAAAAGGCATGTGAAGGTTATGGAAGATTTCATCAGCAGAGAGAAAGTGGAGAAAGCGGTGAGGGAAGTTCTGGTTGGGGAAGAGGCGGAGGAGAGGCGGAGACGGGCAGAGAAGCTGGCGGAGATGGCTAAAGCCGCCGTGGAAGAAGGAGGGTCTTCGTTTAACGACCTAAACCGCTTCATAGAAGAGTTTAGCTCATAAACCCTTATAAAATATTTCTGTCAAGAATCTCTCACATTATGTAAAATTTGCATCAGAAAGTGAAATGAGGTTAATTTTAGTGTAATATATAAGGGATATGGGCTAAGTCATATTCACGGGTTTGGTTCCATCTCAGTTTAAGATTCAATTCTGTCTTTTCTTGAATTTTTGTCATGTAGAGTTCGCAAATAGAGCTTCAGTGTCTTTGTGTAAATGTAATTAAGGCTGCGGTATGTGCAGCCTCTTCTCCATTTTAATGAAGTATCAATCGAATCCTTTTTGTTTCTTTGGTAACAAACTCCAAGCTTCTTTCCTCTTTACCTTTTGTACTTGAATAAAGCTCAACCATGAGTTATCTTTTCGTCAAATTTTACAGCGAGATTATTCTTCTTAATTCATTCGCCATCACTCGTATTTAGGTTTAAATGGTTTTTGTTTTTAATAAGATCTTGATAATGTTAGCAAAGGTAAAATGGGCATGCAAATAATTAACCAAATATGGCTGAGCTTTATCCAAATATACATCAACATGAAGAAAGAAAGAAGTATTATGTGAAAACACAAGAATAACACTACTTTTAACCCAAAAGTGTGTATTCTCGGTTTTTCTATAATGTTGTATAGTATGAAAAAAAAAACTTTTTAGAGTTTTGGTTCCAAAAGATCTTGAAAATTGGTGTTAGAACAGAACTACAGCTGTGACAAGGTAGACACAGGGGTCAGGGAGTACCAAAGAAACCAAAACAAGTGACGTATGCAAAGACGTGTGGATTTATATTATGTTGTAGCATAATTATGTCTTAACGTTAGTTTTTTCTTTCTTTCTTCTTTCTAAACAACTTGTCTTCTACGTCTCTATTACAAACTCTCAAATAGTATAACTGTTTCTTTTTCATTAAAATCTGCAGCTTTTGCGTATGGATAAATATCCATCTTTTGGTCTCCAAACATTCCACAAAGCGAATAACAACAAGTCTACTGGTGGACCATCAACCCACGTGTGTTATGAACTTATTAACTCACTGACGTAAAGACTAACAAAATTATTCGAAAATCAAAACAAGTGACGTATGCGAAGACGTCGAAATTCATTACCCTAAATGATATTCCACCCATAAATTCATATGCTATATATAGATATGTGTTAGAGGATGAGGAAAAACAACTTTTCTACGAGCTTCAGAATCTTTCACTTCTCTTGAATATTTTTCTCAGAACATTTCATTTTCTTTTCGACGATCGTCAAACATGAGAACCAATCCTCATAAGCTCCATGTTATGTTCTTCCCCTTCATGGCTCATGGCCACATGATACCAACTCTCGATATGGCTAAGCTTTTCTCAAGCAGAGGAGCCAAATCAACAATCATCACCACACCTCTCAACTCCAAGATCCTCCAAAAACCAATCGATACATTCAAGAACCTGAATCCGGATCTTGAAATCGAGATCAAGATCTTCGATTTCCCTTGCGTGCAGCTCGGGTTACCAGAAGGATGCGAAAACGCAGATTTCTTCACGGCAAACAACAATGATGATAGACTCTACATGACCTTAAAATTCTTTTTGTCGACAAGGTTTTTCAAAGACCAGCTTGAGAAGCTCCTCGAGACAACGAGACCAGACTGTCTTATCGCCGACATGTTCTTCCCTTGGGCTACTGAAGCTGCTGAGAAGTTCCATGTGCCAAGACTTGTGTTCCACGGCATGGGCTACTTCCCTCTCTGCTCCGAGTATTGCATGAGAGTGCATAAACCGCAAAAGAGAGTAGCTTCAAGTTGTGAGCCATTTGTGATCCCTGACCTCCCTGGGAACATCATGATAACTCAAGACCAGATCAAAGAACTCGACGAAGAAACCGAGATGGGGAAGTTTATGATTGAAGTCAAAGAATCGGATGTGAAGAGCTCAGGTGTTATTGTGAACAGCTTCTACGAGCTTGAGCCTGACTACGTCGATTTCTACAAGAGTAATATAGCGAAGAGAACGTGGCATATTGGTCCGCTCTCAGTTATAAACAGAGGATCCGAGGAAAAGGCTGGGAGAGGAAAGAAAGCAAGCATTGATGGGAATGAATGCCTCAAATGGCTTGACTCCATGAAACCTATTTCAGTCATTTACATATCATTTGGGAGCGTGGCTTGCATCAAGAACGAGCAGCTTATGGAGATCGCTGAAGGGTTAGAAGCTTCAGGAGCAAGTTTCATTTGGGTTGTTAGAAAAAACACAGGTATTGAAATTATCACAACCTATATAGTATAATACAGTTTAATTTTGTGTTGATCTGTGTTTAATGTGAAACAAACTTTGGTTTATGGACAGGTGATGAAGAAGAATGGTTACCAGAAGGGATGGAGGAGAGAACGAAAGGGAAAGGCATGATAATTCGAGGATGGGCTCCACAAGTGCTGATACTTGACCACCAAGCAACCGGTGGGTTCTTGACACATTGTGGCTGGAACTCGCTTCTTGAAGGTGTGGCTGCGGGGCTACCGATGGTGACGTGGCCGGTTGGAGCGGAGCAATTCTACAACGAGAAATTGGTTACACAAGTGCTTAAAACGGGAGTGAGCGTGGGAGCCAAAAAGCAGGTGAAGGTTATGGAAGATTTGATTAGTAGAGAGAAAGTGGAGAAAGCGGTGAGGGAGGTTTTGGTTGGGGATGAGGCGGAGGAGAGGCGGAGACGGGCAAAGAAGCTGGCGGAGATGGCTAAAGCCGCCGTGGAAGAAGGAGGGTCTTCTTTTAACGATCTAAACCGCTTCATAGAAGAGTTTAGCTCATAATCCTTATAAAGATTTCTGTCAAGAATCTCACATCACATGACATCAGGAAGTGAAATGAGATTTAGTGTAATATATAAGGGGTATGGAGTTATGGACTAATCCATTCACGGGTTTAGTCCCATATCTCACTTTAAGATTTTGACTTTTCTTGAGTTCTTGTTAAAGCTGTTAGAATAAATTTTCAAACTGTAGAATGAATGAATCTCCATCAAATGGTGACTTGGCACTTGTTGTAGTCGGTTCTTTATTATATTTGCGAAAGATTCGCCATCAAAAGAAGTTTAATACGGATGTGCTAAGAAAAACTTAATATAATATTTGCAATGAATTTACTACTTTTTATGTTGTTGGCAAGTCTTCCTTTTCTCCTTCATGATATTGATTCTGATTTTTGTTTTTATTTTTCCTTTCCTTTGTATCGTTTGAAACTAGATTATACTAATTAAGCGTCAAATTTATTGTCAGAATTTAATTCTTGTGTTAGTCAGTGACACAAATAAAATGGATGCACAAAGTCTATCTCTTGTTCTGTTCATGAGCGAACTTGGAGAAATATCATAATTTTCATCCTCATAAACAGCCTTAGTCAGTAGTCACAAAGCTTAATCACTTTTGTTTCAAAGCTAAATTTTAACAAGTACAGGTAGAGTAATACTGTTCATCATCCTATGAAGCACATAAATTCTAAAAATAACATTACAGTAAAAGTTCCGGTTTGCGTGATTTACTTGCTTACTTAGTTTTCTTTGATTGTTTACTTTAATCTAGTGAAAGTAAAGTGATTGGTTTTGGTTTCCCATTACTAGACGGAAGGAAACAATCAAAGAAAACTAAGTAAGCAAGTACATCACGTAAAGTTTATGCAATCAATGATTAGAAGATTAACCATTACAAACTAGACAATGGATATTATGGGATGAATCATCAAAGTAAGGACATGTCACATGCATTGGGAACCAGCCACCCTTGAGCGTACTGTATTTTAGATCCCAATTTTTCGATTAATCATTTTTCAACGTCATCGTATCCAGCTAGTGGAGTTTTATTTAGTCATTTTGGGAGTTTTTGGGTGTGGTAAAATATGTATTTTAAATTGGAAAACAAATATTGAGAAGAAGACATGGTCTGAGAAGTAGTGTCTTGGTAATAGAGTGGTGGATTTGGGAGGCTATAAGATAGTTAATGGTGCAAGGAAAGGTAAAGGAACTAGAGTTTACGAGAAATTTGCTGTAACACAGGTTTAACTGCAGTGAGTGATGCAGTGATAGATCATATTGGTGGAGAAGAGTTGGTTAATGTGCCTCAAGTAACTCTAGATGAACATTTTTTTATCGTAACTAGAAAGTAAACATTAAGCACACTCCCTTAGATAAAGGAAGCATTTTAATTCAATCTTTTGTCGGTGGTCATATTTGTAGTTTTTTAATATTCGCCGGGATTAATGGTCGGTTGAAATCTTTATATATAATTAGGGAGTTGCTCTCTCCATCTAGAGTGTCCACATCAGCACAAAAACATTAAATTGTATTTAAAATATTTATTAAATATATGACTATTCATATTTCTTTACATTTATTTATATTTAATAAAAATACAAATAAATAAATTAATTAATAGAAAGTATGTGATAATTTGATGTTAAAAGTTATCAAAAAGTTGGAATATAAAATAGAGATGGAGTAAAGAAATATTTAACTTCAAATAGTATATATTTACCTTTTTATTCAAAGGATTATCCTATCTAAAAATGTTATAGGATAATAGAAACTAATGAAAAATTAGAGTTAGAGTTTGTTTTTCTAAACAAATAGAAATGAGTTTTATATGTAAATTTAATTGTAGTGAAAAACAAGAATATGTTTACAAATTTTAACCTTCAGTCAAATGATAAATGCATATACATATTTATAAATTTTAACCTTTAATCAAATACATATACATGTTTACAGTCTAATAGAAGTTAAAAAAATAATATTTATAACATGATAAAATTTTAGAAATAGAAAAATCGAGATAAAGCGGTGTTAATATCTAATAAATTAAAATAAATAAAAAACAAATTATTCATATTTTTTAGTGTTAGTGGTTGAGTTAACTCAAAACATAACAAAAACATGAAAATTAACACAAAACCATCATAATTCAAATCAACAAGTATAAATAAAATTAAATAAAAAACTATCGCAAACAACCCCGCGCTTGCGCGGGGCTTCAAACCTAGTTTAAATAATTTCTTACTTCGAACTCATCAAATCTCAAAACTTCAATTCCTACTTTCCCATATGAGTTTAGAGTCATTGTTTATCACCAACCAATTAAACTTTAATGTTGTTTACCCATTGTAGATCAGCTTTTTAATATTTTTCCTTGCAAAATTAAGCTTTAAATACTGCATTCAAGTTTTTTTTTAAAGATTAACTATGGAAAGTTTAAAGGAAAATTTCAAATGATATTGGTTCAATCATATGTTTGCACATTTTCTTTATTTATTATTTTTTTTACATTATTTCATTACTTTTCTCTATGAAATTCACCTTACTGAGTACAAGATTAGCAGTGGAATAAAATGAAATCTCAACATTCATATTTAATTTTTAATTAGCCATGAATAGAGCACTATTTTTAGGTTGAGAGAGAGAGAGTAGTGAGAGAAAAGAGAATATGGCTTTGTTGACCCGACCCCATGTGAAACTGTAACTGAAACTCTCTCTCTAATTTAATGTGCCGACAATGAAACGGTCACTATGCTTCACTCGACACATACCATATGTCACACTCTTTACTCTCTAACTCTTCCCCAAAATTCATGGTGACCCACACTTCCTTTAACCTCTCAACAAATTTCTCATTTCTCTCTTTTTCTTCCAAATTTAATTTTTTCTAATTCGATTTTGATGAAACCCAAGACTTTTTCCCAGATGGAGAAACCCATCTCCGTCGTGACGGGAAAATTGCGCAGCATCAACAACAACCATAACAATGTCTGGTTCGTCGTCCCTCTCTTCTTCCTCCTCTGTTTCGTCCTCCTCTGTTTCGACTACTCTGCTCTCTCCGGCACCGGCACCGACACAGACGAACCCGCTTTCTCCTTCTCCGCCTCAACCCAGAAATCGATTCCCCGCGAATTCACCAAAGAAGACAACTTTTCCCGATTACTCGACGACCCACTTCCCGATTCTTGCTCCGGTCGCTACATCTATCTCCACGATCTCCCCAGTAGATTCAACAGCGACCTCCTCGAGGATTGCAGCTCGATCACCAGAGGCACCGAGAAAAACATATGCCCGTACCTCGAAAACTACGGCTTCGGTCCCGAGATTCAGAATTCCGAGAACGTGCTCTTGCATCAGAGCTGGTTCACGACGAACCAGTTCATGCTCGAAGTGATCTTCCACGAGAAGATGAAGAAATACAGCTGCTTGACAGATAATTCCTCTCTAGCCTCAGCGATCTTCGTCCCCTTTTACGCAGGTCTTGACATGAGCAAGTATCTCTGGGGTTTCAACATCTCCGTGAGAGACTCTTCCTCCCACGAGCTCATGAATTGGCTCGTGAAACAGAGAGAGTGGAAGCGAATGTCCGGTAGAGACCATTTCTTGGTCGCGGGGAGGATCTCTTGGGATTTCAGGAGACAGACGGACAACGAGTCCGACTGGGGAAGCAAGCTGAGGTTCTTGCCCGAATCTCAAAACATGTCGATGATGTCCATCGAGTCGAGTTCTTGGAACAACGACTACGCCATTCCGTATCCGACGTGTTTCCATCCTTCGTCTCTGGACGAGATTTCCGAGTGGCAAGAGCGGATGAGGACTCGAACACGCGAGTATCTCTTCGCCTTCGCCGGAGCTCCGAGGCCTGAGTATAAAGACTCTGTTCGAGGGAAGATCATAGATGAATGTATGGAGTCAGATGACCAGTGTTACTTGCTGGATTGCAACTATGGGAAAGTGAACTGTGACAATCCTGTCAATGTAATGAAAGTGTTCAGGAACTCTGTCTTCTGTCTTCAGCCGCCGGGAGATTCTTACACGAGGAGATCGATGTTCGATTCGATCTTGGCGGGTTGCATCCCTGTGTTCTTCCATCCGGGGACAGCGTTTGCGCAGTACAAGTGGCATTTGCCGAAGAACCACAAGAGCTACTCGGTTTATTTACCGGTTAAGGATGTGAAGGAGTGGGATATTAAGATTAAGGAGAGGCTGCTTGAGATTTCGGAGGAGAAAGTGGTGAGGTTGAGAGAGGAGGTGATCAAGTTGATACCGAGCGTGGTGTACGCGAATCCGAGGTATGGATCGGAAGGGAATGAAGATGCGTTTGAGCTGGCTTTGAAGGGAATGTTGGAGAGGATTGAAGAAGTGAGAGAGATGATGAAGCAAGGGAAAGATGGTAGTGAAGGGTTTGATGATAGAGATGATTATAAGTATACTTTTTCTCCATATGAGGCTCAGGTTTTAGGGTAAAGAGGAAAATATGTTATTTTGTGGGTTTAGTTTATATATAGGTAGATGCAATTTGCTCAAAAAAGTTTAAAAACAGATGATCTTTGAGTTTTGTTCAACAATTTTGGTTGAGTTCATTGATACTGAAGCATCTAGTTTGGTCCACTGGATTTGGTTTGTGTAGTGTTGGGAAGGCTTCACAAAATTGTGCAAAACAATATAATGAAAATTCATATATCATTGACTCTTGCTAATAATTGTGGTTGATAATATTTAAAAAAAAAATCATCTAACTAAAAAATCTGATCTACAAGAAACTGAACAATACCAAATAATCTATTTATTTTTTTTTAATCACAAATTTAGAAAAACCCGAACCGAACCATACCAAAATCCGGATTGAACAGATAAAAAGATATCGATGGGTTTACTGAACCGATAAATCCAATCTTGTACCGACCGGTCCGATAGTTTTCTATTTGCTTTTCTCTCTCTGGCCTTCAAGGAGTTGGAAGTTGCTGCCGCCGAAGCATTGTCGATGGCGACGAATCCGACGTTTCAGCTTTTCTCTTCTTCGAACGATAAATCTTCTCAAGGTTTAGGGTTCTTCGATTCACCAGAGCCAGCTCTTCCTCCACCTCCTCCTCCTGTTGAAGTATTATCCTCAGAGGTATCGTCTCTTCTGCAACTTCACTGCCTTCCTCATATGTTTCCCTGTAATTTTTCCCTCTTTTGATTTCTGGGGACTTCGTTGCAGTAGGCGTCTTCCTCAGTCGATTTCGCAGTGGATAAAGTGACCATCGGCGACGTCACTCTTTTGAAGGTGTGAAAGCTTCTGTTTTTTAGTTGCCGAGAAAATTCACCAACATTTGAGAAATTGAAACTCTTAGATGATAGAAAACTTCAAATCAGAGGAAATTATTGTAGAATCCTTTAATCAACACCTAAAAGATGTTCAACTCGTAACTTGAATCAGCTCAAAGCTAGTCCATTTGAAGATGATGATGTTCATGGAAGTGAGTTTATTTATTTTTCTGGTTTGTGTTTTAGGGTCGTGTGAACACTAAAGAGGTCTTTGGATTGCCTAATTCGGATTTGGTTCCTGGAGTTTATGAAGGTAAATGCTTATATCCATTGCATTATGCATTTTTGTTATTAATCTTGATCATCCTCGAATTCCATTTCATCCAGGCGGGCTTAAGCTGTGGGAAGGATCAATTGATCTTGTCAAAGCTCTTGAAAAAGAATCACAAACCGGAAACTTGACATTCTCCGGAAAGCGAGTTCTTGAGGTAACACTCGTTCCTGCCTTTATATCAATCCGTAGAGGGAATAGGTTGTATCACATGTTCATGGTATACTAATCTAAGTCTTTAAAATTAATGGTTTCAGCTTGGATGTGGTCATGCACTTCCAGGAATCTATGCATGTCTTAAGGTAAGTTGATGCTCCTAAGCTTCCATTATACTCTGTGGCCAAGACCCATCTTCTTAGATCTTTCTACACTCTTTGTTGTCTAGGGTGCACATGCCATTCATTTCCAGGACTTTAATGCTGAGGTCCTTCGATGTCTCACGATTCCGAATCTGAATGCTAATCTTTCCGAGAAGTCTTCCCCTGGCGATGCAGAAGTACGCTTCTTTGCTGGTGAGTGGAGTGAAGTTCATCAGCTTCTTCCATTAGATAATGATGATGGTGAGGCTGATAAGAAAGGTGGTTATGACATCGTTCTAATGGCTGAGACAATATATTCCATCTCTGCTCAGAAAAGTCTCTATGAATTGATTAAAAGGGTACACTCTCGTCTTCTCCTGGATGGCGTAGACTTTTACAATTGCTCTTAAAGATTCATTTGAGGTTTTAAATTCTTGATTCTGGCTGTAGTGCTTGGCTAATCCTGATGGAGCAGTGTACATGGCTGCAAAGAAGTATTATTTTGGTGTTGGTGGAGGGACGAGGCAGTTCTTGTCTATGATAGAGAAAGATGGTAAGAATGATCTTTTCGATATGAACCAATGGTTGCGTTTGCTATATACACATGTACTAAGACGGCATGGATTTAACTTCATTGTAGTTGTTCTTGCTTCAACATTGGTGTCTGAAGTCACAGATGGTTCCTCAAATGTCAGAGAGGTATGGAAGCTTTCGTACAAGTAACTTCAAAAAGTTTTACCAGAGATTCAGTGTTGCTCCATTATAGTCCAACGTTTCATGAGTCTAGTGGGGTTTGTGTTTGCTCATTAGAAGTAGAAACTCAAATCTCATCCATGTTTAGCTTATAGATTCTGTTGACTTTATCAACTTGTCATCGCTTGGTTTTGTACTTTGATAAATTTACTGATTAAGATTCTCACTGGACTAAAGTACCAAACTGTGCTTTACATGGTAATGATATGATGTGGATGGCTCATGATTGTGTTTTGGTCTCCAATTGAAATTGAGATAAGAGGCGTAGCAGTTGGATCCGACCAGGTCAAAAAGTCAATAAAAAGGTAAAATGTTTTTCAGAAATCCGTTTAGGACCGAACACTTTTTTGATCTAACAAAGGGAACACCAAATCCAGAGTTTTGACTTTTGAGTATTAAACAACAAAGATTCAAGAGAGATTTGTATACTTGAAACTAAAACAATTCAATTTCACCAACAAGAAAAAGAACATCTGAGTATACAATTGCGCAAAAGGGATGTTTAAGAGTCACGAGCGCAACGGTAATGCTTAGAGCAGCCTCTACTGTAAGGGTTAGACGGCGGAGGAAGACATTTATTGGTGTAAGACTCACCGCGGTTGCCACCGTCACAAGCAGGCTCATTCCTCCTTAAAGCTCCGTATGAAAGCTTACGTCGCTGCTCCTCCATCAACCTCTGACTTGACCACGGCTCCATTATCACCGTCACTTCCTCCGACTCCACCACGCTACTACTGCACTCCGCCACCGAGCCATTACACAAAGATGATGATGATGCTTTGGTGGTGACGTGTGCAAGAAGGCAGACGAAGATGATACTGATAGTAAAGAAGATCTTAGATGGTTTTGTCTCCATTTGTTAAGATTCTTGAAGACAGAGTATTGTTAAACCAAGAAAATTATAAAAAGAAGAAGAAGAAGAAGAAGAAGAGAGTGAATTGTGAAGGAGAATCTTTTGGTTATATGAGTAATAAATAATAAAGCATGGAATGCCACATTGGGACTATTTTCATCATAAATAGTATTTCTAATTGTAAAAGATAAAAACTTAGTGGGAGCAGCACTTGAGGGACCGCACTTCACCTAACACACTGCTTTACTTAATTGAGTACGTTTGTGTTTTTACATATATCGGATCAGTATGTGTATCTCTCTAGCTATGCGTGTGTTTAATGTCAAAACTTATACATTTTTAGTGTTTGTGTATAATATGATGTTGTTTCGTAAAAAGTTCGAATCTGGATTCTTATTGAATCTCTTTTATCAATAGAGCCATAAGAAGAAGGGCAAAGTCTTTGGAAAATTCCATTGGATTTTAAAAGAAATATATCGGAGCAACTCGATGAACTTCTTATATCCTTCTTAGCTTATTTGAATAGAAATTATCTCAATGGCCATATGTTTTTTCTTGTGTTTATACAATCTCGGCGAGTATATATATAAATAAGAAAAAGAGAGAGTTTTTTTTGAATGAGATCAACAACGTGATTTAGATTTACCATTGTTTGCGCGATCCACTTTGTCTTAACAAAGATGCAAACACTCTTTCTATCTCCTTTTTTTATGACAACAGGCCTTTGTGAAATTCTACAGCAACAAAAAGGGACAAATAGATTTGGGTTTAATCAGTTACCATCACAGACACATGATAATACAAAAAAAAAGAATAAGAAATACACCCATCAGATTTAGATTTTGATGGTAGATCTAAAATAGATGTGACTATCTTTATCGTTGTGATGGTAAAATACACACCCATTGACGTGAAATCCACCGTTTGATCACGTTGTGGATATCATCTAGACGTGACTTGCTTTATCGAAGAATTGCAAAAATAAGAAAAAAAAAGTCTATAAAACCTTAAAATAGCATGTTGCATGGAAACCGATTTCCAAAGAACGTTTCTCCACGTTGTGGATATCATCGAAGAGATCTAAGAAGTAAACAAAACGACATTTATGGACACATTTTTCATAGACGAAACGTTTCTGCTATCTTTTGTTAGCTACATGGTGAGCACTTTTATGGGCTAAGTGGTGATCCATATAGATATGGAAACTTCAGAGAAAGAGAACCAAAACGATTGGCTTAATCAGCACGATGCATAATCCTAGCAAAAATTAATTCAGTACGGTGGAATTTATTAACAAAGATACATGGATTGAGCTTATATAATCCCAATATGTAGATGATAGGCAATCCATTTCACCCCAGCCATTGTAACCCACAAGTACTCAAAGCATCATAATTATCACGGCGGAGGTCGTTTAATATCACTCCTTTTTTCTTGTGATGAATGTTTGTATTTATAGGTTAAGATTGATTAAGTTATTAGGGTTTCTGCGTAAATCTTTATGATATTAATTTCAAATTGATTGATTAGCAAAAAAGGAAAAATATATTCTTTATTTATTTATTTGTTAATGTTTCAGTTTTTTTTTTTATAATTAAAAAAAAAAAGATTTTTTTTGTTGCTATCTATTTATATAAGACAAAGTCGGTTAAGAAATCTAGGTTTTTTTTTCTCTTTCCAATTTTTTGAATTTCCTAAAGAATTGTGGCGTGTGATATGGTAACTAGAATTATTATCGTTAAAAATTTTAATTAAAAATATAAATCATAAAATATTAAAAAAAAAATTATTAAGATTTAAAAATAGAATTTTTATTTAGTGTATGTGGGTAATCAACCAGTTGAGATTGAATGTGCTGGCTCTAATCGAAATTTTTACTTCGCAAATAATATATTAGATTATTATTCAGAACATAACTTTTCGATGAAGTTTACCAAATACACAAATAATAAAACATGCAAAAACCCATTCATTAGAGATAGTTGGATTTTCTAAGGGCTCTTATCATGTGGTAGGCAGAGGAGCTTTCTGCTTCTTTTTTCTTTGGTTTTTGGTCTCCCTTCATATACAAGGTCGTACCTTCTTCACTTTGGATCTTTATTTTAACTGAACAAACAAATCCCTTCCTATTTACCAGCCCTCCTTCTTCCTCAACACTGTAAAAGAGTTCCATACACAATAACTAAATGTTTTAGAGCATATATGATTTTTCTCTACTCTTGGATAGAATTAATAAAATAACAAATTTTGCATCTCTGAAGTATTGTGGGACTAAGAAAGACATATACCTGTAAATAGGTTTGGGCCATTTTTGCTTGGAGCAAATCTCAAACAACTTCCTTTTGGCATCTTCAATGTAAATCTCAACACTATCCTCATCAATAACCATATCAATAGGCATAACTTCCCCCAACTTTCTTATTGCTTCCTTAACAGCAATCAGCTTTGCTATATCTTTATTCTCAGCACGACCAGAACCAAAACATTCATCATCAAGATACACACCAGCGATACTGCTTTTGCCGTCTTTCAAATACCTGATCTCGATTCGCTTGTCGTGTTTATGACAGAACTGAAAAAGCATACTCACTGGTTGAGGTTGCTGCTGCAGATCACCCAGTGTCACTATTGGCTCTAAAAGATCCCTGATGATCTACAAAATCAACAATAGGAAACCTTATCAACTTCAGAATCATGTAACTTAGAGTTAAAGACAAAGACAAGACACATCAGTAAGATTTAAAGAAGAAGTAGACACAGACCACCCAGAGTCTTTGTAGATCAAAATTCAGATCAATATAAACAGCTCCAGCTAGAGACTCTACAAGGTCAGCAAGAACTTTCGGAGCTTTGACTAATCCACCATAAGCAACTGAATCATCTTCTTTATCCACTGCCTCTGAGAACTCTTTAACCTATGTAATGGCACACACACACAAAAAACAATTTGATGTGAATATATATCATAAGAATATGTTCTCAATCAAACATGATAACTCAATATAATGCTGGTACATCTAAAGATAGTTTAAGCTTTCACTTCAAGAATCAATCTGTTCCAGCCAAAGGCTTCAGAGGGCTTTTGAATGTAAAAATATATAAAAAATCAACCAAAAACATGTTTTCAAAGGGTTCCTAAATGCAAAATCAAACAAAAATATGTTTTCAAAGGGTTCTTGAATGCAAAATTCAACCAAAAACATGTTTTCAAAGGGTTCTTGAATGCAAAATTCAACCAAAAACATGTTTTCAAAGGGTTCCTAAATGAAAAAAAAAAACCAAACAAAAATATGTTTTCAAAGGGTTCTTGAATGCAAAAATCAACCAAAAACATGTTTTTAAAGGGTTATTAAGTGCAAAAAAAAACAACCAAAAACAAGTTGTATCACTGAAATTTCAGACTAAAACAGCACAAGGTTTGTTACCTTTTCATCTAAGGAAGGAGCATTGCGTCGAACAAACCGATAGAGCCCGTGGTTGAGTGCGACACGAGCGAGTTTCTCTGTACTAACATTAGCAGCTCTCAAGAGAGACAGCTCGCGAGGCTCGATCTTAGGATACGCAAGGTACAAGTAATTCGTGAGAGCCAGACCAATGGCGCTATCGCCTACGAACTCAAGCCGCTCGTACGAAGGAAAGTCGACACAAGAGGTGTGCGTTAAGGCTTCCTTCAGAAGACTCTTGTTCACGAAACTGTATTTCACGATCTCCTCCACGGCTTTCATAGACTCCATCTCCGGCGAAAGAGAATGATGGAAACGGTGAATTTCGGGTGAAGGCGGAGTCGGCGACGATGAGACTGGAAGATAGTTAAACGAATTGGATAAGTTTCAGCGAGTGATCGTTTAGTGGTGATCGAAAGTGATCCGTGAGAGAATATGATTCTTAAAGCGAAGTCGAAGGGATCATGTAGACAAAAGAGTCGTTTCTCTATTTGTTGTATTTATTGTCTTTCCCAATTTAATACTTTTGACTATTTTCATTGACTATTGACTAGTAGTAGTCTTCTTCCGTATAAATAAATAAGGAAAAACAGAGTCGCAAAAGCATTGAATACACAGTATTTTTTATTTTAGGTCACAAAAACACAATCTTTTAAAAATTCGTCCTTAAAGGGAAAAAATTGCCTAAAACCCTAAACTAATTTCATCATCAGTCTTTGGGTCGATGAAGTGTGTGATTTGTTGATATCACGATTGTTTTGCTTCCTTTTCCGTTTCTTCCGCGTTTCACTAAAACTAAGAACACGAGGGATTGATTTTGGTTTTGTATTGCAATTCTGTGACTGATTCGTGTATTTGAGATCGTTTTTTTTATATATTTTTTTCATGAAATTAGGAATTCGCGTTGTGATTATAAAATGATTTCCGAGTTTTGTTTGATTGGCAATAGGGTTTCGGTGTGATTGTAGTGTTTCTAGAGAGTTTTTGTTGTAATGTTGGCTAGTTTTAAAGCTGTGTTTTTTTTATTTTTGGGTTTGGAATGTAGGTTTTGTCATGGAGGGAGAAGAGCTTTTGTTGGATGCTATAAATGAAGAAGGCGAATTTGAAAACATGGAAGATGTTGACATGGTTGATGTGGAAGAAGGCGAGATTGTTGTGGAGAATGACTTGAATGATGAAGTCAGAGATAAAGAAGGGGTCGTGGATAAGAAGAATGGACAGAATCAACCAAACAAGAACAAGAATAAGAAGAAGAAAAAGAAAAGAACAAACGGCCTTGTGATTGGGAAACCCATGGGTTTATACAGGTTTATATGAAACTATATATTGTTAAAGGTTGCAACTGTTCTGGTTATAGGCGAACGGGTTAAAAACGAAAAGGCACGACGGCAACAAGAATTACAGCTTAAATCACTTATATAGTGACATAGGTAACACATGTTGCATGGAATGGAAGTATATATACTCACCAAACTTATTTTATGATTATTAATTCATATATTGATTTGAAATTTTTTAATCTCCGGAGAGATTAGTTACTTCAACCCCTGCATCTGTAGTACTTTTCATGGCCACGGTGGTACGGGTTCGAGGGAAAAGGAAGAGCTCTTCCTCCGCCACCGGAAGCTGCCGGAGCCGGTAAGTCATGTTTAAGAACTCCATAGTTGAGATACCTAACTTTACTAGACAACATCGTACTCGATGAAGTCACCATACCTTTTGTTTCTTGATCTTCTTCTTGTTTTATGATCAGTTTGTTCACCTTCTCTTCTCTCGACCCATCTTCTTCATCGCTCTCGTAACGTTCTTTGACCCAGGTGTTCTTCACGTGATGCTTTCCCGAAGCACGATCGTCGTCGTTTTCGGTAAATTCTTGAGAAAATGTGTAGTACTCCATGCTTAATTTGTGTGCTTGAATTTACACTGAATTATATATTTATAGGTTGGAAATACATCTATTATTTATAGTGGAAGATATTGGTTTGTAACTTGTGTGCCTAATTGATCCTTTTTATTTTCAAGGATAACCTTTTTTTATAGAGAACAATAGTTTCATATTTTGCTCCTTTTCCAAAAGGTGATTCGAGGAAAAGCAATAAAGCCATCCATTTTTCAGAAAATAAGTAGTCTATGTGGTACCGTACGTAACACGTCTTCTTTTAGTTATTCTTTTGGATGACTTTTAATAATAAATGTAAAATGATACTTTATAAAGTCAGAACTGAATAATACATGGGCAAATTCGAATTGATCCTGATTATGCGAAGATATTATTATCTCTTGGAATCTTATTCCAAGATATGATAGTGAGACTATGACTTATACGATTCTAAGAACACTTGCGCCTAGTTAGCTGATGTCTCAAGCAACGGTCCACGTTACAACTGGTATAAACTATTATAAACGGTGAAGAACTTATAACAACTGTGGTTAATGGGTTGGATTAATGATACAAAATGACAAATGTTTAAAGTGAGAAAAACAGTAACTGGTACTACAATAGTTAAAAGAGTAAAGACATAACAGTAAGAGAAAAAATTTAGAAAGTTTTATTACAAGGCATCATTAGCCACATGAATACAAGTGTACAAACAAGTAAACTGTCTGGATCACACAACACACGAAATCTAGTGACCTCTTATTACTCGCCTTTTATTCACTTCAATAATACATACAAAAACTAATAAAAATCAATTTAAAGTTTAAACTTACCATTTAAAGCCCCTCTTAACAAGCCAAACTCAAATCCAGATATCGGAGGTGCAGTCTCCACCGGGATATCTCATCTCATGGGCAAGCGCAGGACCATCAGGTTCATCACCAAAGTCCACAAAGAAATTAGGGTTTATGGTGAGACCACCTTTCTCTGTATCAACATCAATCTGAATTATGTGTGACCCTTTCTCCATTAGTTCCGGGTAAAACTGACGATCCCATGCACTAAAGAGCGAGTTTGTCGCATACAATCTTTTCCCATCAAGGCTCAGCTGAATCATCTGAGGTCCTCCTCTTAAAGTTTTCCCCTGAAATTACCAGAGAACAAACTGTTATCAATACAATGCAAAATGTAAAACTTAGATAAAACCTAAAACCACCCAAAATAAAAGATTACATTTTGGCACAAACCTTGATCTGGGGAACATCAAACTGGAAAGTATTGCCGTCTTCTCCAACAGCCTTAACAGGACTGCCCTTTTGCAGCAACCCTCCAACCCAAATTTGTCCAGTTAAAACAGGGTTTTTAGGGTCTTCAATGTTGTACTGACGAATGTCTCCATGAAGCCAGTTCACAAAGTAGATGAATTTGTCATCGAGGGAGATCAAGAAGTCAGTGATAAGCCCCGGCATTTCTGGAAGAATCCAGTTCTCTACTTTCAATGGTTTGACTGATATAACCACCTACAAAAATTGCGGATTAATCATAGATACGAAGGAAAAAAAAAAGGTTTAAAGATGAAGATTTAGAAATTACACTTGCCTCATGACTCCATGTTTCATCACTGTTCTTGAAAAATCTTATCATATTACTCGACAACGCACTCCCTACATACCCTGTATCTTTAGACGGATCATGCAAGAATCTAATCTGGAACCACCACATATATATCAAATTATGTTAGAAAGGTCATAGATATCACATTTATGTGACATGTTTGATGATGTTACCTCCAAAGGCAAGAGACCAGTCTCGCCAAGATCAACCAATTGTTTCATTTCACCTCCTGGCCAGCTATAAATATGTAGGTGTCTTCCGTACAAGCCATCAGCAACATCCTGGAGGTTAAAGCCTTTGGTAAAAGCCTTAGGTGCTCCCCAAGAAGTACTGATCATCGTCTTGTGACGAGGTTGGTACCAAAAATCATACCCAAACAAGGGACTATGTCCTGGTTTCTCCCACCTATGACATCCCACCAAAAAACCATACACATCAAACATTATTTTCTCTACACAAGAACATGATATTCCATAAGAAAAAAAGGAGAATGATTTGTTTTTGCAATAAGATACCTATTCTTGATGTTGAAGTCAGAGTCAAGAAGAAGAAACCCATTCCCCTTAGCGTTTCCTTCTTCGTCTCCAAGACAAGACACCAAGATTTCGCTGGAGGCAAGACAATGAGCCGTGTGTGGATACGCCAATCCGGTCTTTTCAGCAATCTCTTTAGGATCTACATACTTATACAAAGAAGGTGCCCTCGGGTTTTCCTTTGTGTCAATCGCATAGATACGGCCAGATCTTGATTCAAACAAGAAAAACAGAACATTACATTTATTTGGTCATCCTCATCAAGAAAGAAACTCAAGAGAGTAAAAGGGAAATAGTGAAGGGTCTTTACACAAGAGATGGTAACACGAGATAACGTCTATCAGCAGAAGCATCACCATGGCAAGAACTACAAGAGTTCCAACCAGAATGATGAAGCTCATCACCCAAGAAAGGCATTGGCAATCTGTGAATGACACTTGAATATGTTGATGAGCTTGGATCCACATCCACCGTCGCCAAGTAATCCGGTTTCTCTCGTCCCGTTCCTTCAAAAATCAAAAACCGATTCAAAGAAATGAAAACAGAGAAATCTCAGGGTATTATGATTCGGATCTGGAATCTTTGAGATTCCGTAGGACATACTTAAGATTTTAATTAACGTTAAGAAGTAAACATTATATCTCAAAATACCTACGAAAACATTCGATCTTGATTCTTGATCAGTCAAAAATATTAAAAAACCGTAAAAACGAATTAGATACAATCAAATGTGTACCAGTGTAGACGGCGGTGACGTAGATGAGATTTTCCGATGGGCCGGACATGGCGGCTAGTGGCGTAGCGTAACCAGGGCCCGATTTGCAACATCCTTGGACTCCACCGTTGGTCACCGGAGCCACCACTTCAGTTTCCGTAGCCATTTCTCTGTCTCTCGCTCTCTGTGAAATTTTGTAATTTAATAGTATGTGGTAATCCTTAAGCTACACGTCTCTGACGTTGATTTTTAGTTTATCACAAAGAGTCACACGTATGAGTTTGTTAACGATACGTCCGCCCATTATGGTTTTTGGCTGTATTAAATATATAATGGGGTGACTTATCGTTGTAATCTAATGATGTTAGGCTTATGTAGGAAAACAATAATATACTCCTAACATCATTAGATTCAATCTTTTTTTATTATATACTTTTCCTATTAAAAAAAGATTGAATTTTCGCATTTAGACGTAAACAAAATTGGTGGGGATGTATTTGAATTAAAAACACGTCTCCATGCAGAAAGACAGACTGTATATACTTAAACAAATCTCTCGTCCGTTGACTAAAGATATAAGACGAAGAAGAAAAGTAAACAAATCTGGTCTAGTACATGTGCTGCATGCAAAGTTTCATTACTTTTCTTTATAATAAAAAAAAGAACTTTCATTACTTTTTTTGGTTTAATTTCTAGTTTGTGATTGTTTGTATAATTGCAATTTTTTGCGTTGGTTATGGAATTACAATTAAGGGCTATAAGCCTATAACTGATTTATGTTGTTATGCAATGTTGTTTACAGAATTTCATAATCGGTTTCAAATTATTTTTATATGAATGTCATTGAATGTTTTGGGGTCTCAAAATGGTCTAAAAAGCGTTAATTTGGTTGCTAATTTTTTTGAATTGTTGGTGAAGATTTTAAGTCAATTATCATTTTAACTCTATTCCAAAACGAGGGACGCAAGATATATAAGTGTAAAGATAACTAGAAGAACACTTTTCATTGTCTTGATAAAAACACACGAATTAGCAACCTTTTATTTATTCCAATCTACCAACACACAACTATGAATATAATCCCAGCTCATTCTTATAAACAAGCCAAATTCAGATCCAGATATCGGAGGTGCAGTCTCCACCGGGATATCTCATCTCATGGGCAAGCGCAGGACCATCAGGTTCATCACCAAAGTCCACAAAGAAATTAGGGTTTATGGTGAGACCACCTTTCTCTGTATCAACATCAATCTGAATTATGTGTGCTCCTTTTTCCATTAGTTCCGGGTAAAACTGACGGTCCCATGCACTAAACAGCGAGTTTGTCGCATACAATCGTTTTCCATCAAGGCTCAGCTGGATCATCTGAGGTCCTCCTCTCAAAGGTTTCCCCTGAAATTACCAGAGAACAAAATGTTTCAAAACAATACAAAATATAGTTAAAACCACATCAAAAGAGATTACATTTTGTGGACAAACCTTGATCTGAGGAACATTGAACTGGTAGGTGTTGCCATCTTCTCCAACAGCCTTAACAGGACTGCCCTTTTGTAGTAACCCTCCAACCCAAATTTGTCCGGCTAAAACAGGGTTTTTAGGGTCTTCGATGTTGTACTGACGAATGTCTCCATGAAGCCAGTTTACAAAGTAGATGAATTTGTCATCGAGGGAGATCAAGAAGTCGGTGATAAGCCCTGGCATTTCTGGAAGAATCCAGTTCTCAACTTTCAATGGCTTAACTGATATAACCACCTACAAGAAACCATTTAAAAAATTGCTGATTAAACGTAGAGATCAAGAAACAAAAAAAATGTCAAAAAAGAAGATTCAGAAACTACACTTGCCTCATGACTCCATGTGTCATCACTGTTCTTGAAAAATCTTATCATATTACTAGACAAGGCACTCCCAACATACCCTATATCTTTAGACGGATCATGCAAGAACCTAATCTGCAAACAACAACCAAACACAAGATTATACTACACACCTTGGTAACACATAATCATCACATTTTATGTAACATTCTTGAAGTAATGTTACTACCTCAAGTGGTATGAGACCACTCTCTCCAAGATCGATCAGTTGTTTCATTTCACCTCCAGGCCAATCATAAACATGTAAATGACTTCCATACAAACCATCAGCAACATGCTGGAGATCAAAACCTTTGGAAAACGCTTTAGGTGCACCCCAAGAAGTGCTGATCATAGTCTTGTGGCGAGGCTGGTACCAAAAATCATACCCAAACAAAGGACTATGTCCTGGTTTCTCCCACCTTCCCTTGACATTGAAATCAGAATCAAGAAGAAGGAACCCGTTTCCTTTAGCGTTTCCTTCTTTGTCACCAAGGCAAGAAACCAACATATCTCCTGAGGCAAGGCAATGAGACGTGTGTGGAAACCCTAATCCTGTCTTTTCAGCTATCTCTTCAGGCTCTACAACTTTATACAAAGATGGAGCCTTTGGATCCGTCTTTGTGTCAATCGCGTAGATGCGACCAGATCTTCATTCAAACAAGAATCCATTAGAGATGTGAGAGTAAAAGATAAAAAAATGCTTAAGCAAGGTTCTTTACATTAAGCCTGGTACGACGAGGTAACGTCTATCAGCAGAAGCATCACCATGGCAAGAGCTGCAAGAGTTCCAACCAGTGTGGTGAAGCTCATCGCCTATATAAGGCATTTTCAGTCTGTGAATGACACTTGAATATGTTGGTGAGTTTGGATCAACATCCACCGTCGCCAAGTAGTCCGGTTTCTCTCTTCCCGTTCCTTCAAAGTTCCATAAATATATCAAAAACAGAGGATCCAACATTTTTCTTCAATTTAACTCCACAATCAAAAGACATAGACTCGTATGATATAAGGAATTTAATTCACACCGGAAGTCAAATGGTATATATGTAGAGTAGTATATGAAAAACATAGACTAATCAAATCATCGCCAAATTTAACAGAATCAAAAACAGAGAAATATATTCAATAAAAAAAAAACCAGAAAATAAATAGGGGTTTGTGATTTGATGTTGAATCTTTGAGATTCAGCAAGATTCAGTCCAAAAACACTGAAAAAGACGTTTACTAGGAAAGAAAAAAAAAAAAGAAGAATATGAAATGTGTACCGGAGTAGAGAGCGGTGACGTAGATGAGTTTTTCAGATGGACCGGACATGGCGGCAAGAGGCGTCGCATAACCCGGACCGGACTTGCAACAAACTTTTCCTCCACCGTTGCTGACCGCCGTCGCCATTTCTCTCTCTCTCTCTCTGTAGAAGTCGTGAAGCTACACGTTTCTGAGTAAATCGCAAGCACAAGCACACATGTGATGATAATTTATGAGTGGGTAGGATGTTGACTTGTTTCGTTGTTATCTATGTTTTTATGGGATATAGAGAGATCATGTGACAAGAAAAGAAAATACATTAACTCTTTTTTGTTTTTTTCCTATTTTATTTGATTAATTCTACTTTTGCTAAGACCGTTTAATTGCTAATTGCAGCTTAAGGAGCTTTGACAGATTTCTGTGAGTTGAAGTTGTAACCGAAATGTACTTGGATTTGTTTTGAGTTAAAATACGTATCCATGCAACTAAACTGACAACTGTTAACAAAATAAGAAAACAAAACTAGCTAATGGTGATTGGTGTCTATGTACAGTGAATCTGACCTAATTGGTCTACATTGAATTGAAACTGACACCAGTTTTGGTTTGATTATTATCGGTTCAGTTTTGATCAGTTTAATTAACATTATTGTTTCACTTTTGAGTTCACCTAATGAATGCGATTTAGCAAATTACGGTGTTGTATTGACGACTCGACGTTATACAAATAATTGTATTTGTATGTCACTTGAAATACCTCAAACCAAACGCTCTTTTCTACACGTCAATTTAACGGTTCAACAAATTTTGCGTGACAGGAATTACTGTTTTTTTAGTAGTAAAACTAAAAACAATCTCACTTGTCCCGTGACCGATCATGTCCTACAAAAGACAATTCAGTAATCAAATTCAATTTTAATATAATGAAAGTAATTTTCTAGATACTTAGAAAAGCAAAGCTGAAATCACATGGTATAGAACGTATAATCACTTATATATATACCATGAAAGTACAGAAATTTTGATTAAAACAAAACTATTAGAAAATGATTACAAATTTGGATGTGTAAAAACGTGATTCTTCTCCTTATATTTTTTTTTGGTAATCTCCTTCATGTATTATTCAAACATTTAATCAAATCTTACAAAACGGGTTCGTGTAGAGCCATTGACATCCTCCGTAACCAACTCTAAAACATCAGAGAGGACAGAAGGAAAGGAGTGGAAACCTAATGGCAAGGAGAAAGCATAGTTTGCTAAGCTATCTGCCACATGATTCGCCTCTCGATAGTCATGCACAACACGGACTAACCAGTCCCTCGTAAGAAAGCCATAGCACAGATGTACTAGGAAAGACAGGGGATGAGTATCTTTGATCCCTGACTGAAAGAAACCCACAACAATATCTGAGTCCACCTCCTTATATGACGACATGTCAGTACGTGCTAAATTGCGACATGTCATATGTGCTAAATTGCGTTTATCCAAATTTCACTGTTTAAAAACGTGATTATTCTCGTTATATGACGTATGTGTTAGATTTACATTTATCAAAATTTCATTGTTTAAAAACGTATGACGTATGTGTTGAGTTAGATATATCAAGATTTCACTGTTTAAAACGTGATTCTGCTCATTATATATGACGTCTGTGTGTTCGAAGCATCATTAAAAAAATGACGAAGTCAATAATCTTGTAAATAACTTATAAGTTAACAACTAATGAGAAAGAGACTTTTCTAACAAACTCGTATCGTATGTTGTCGTCATTCCATTGGATAAGTGCTACTGAATTCACGAGTTAGTGCGATTTCACAATTAACTCTTTTGTTGTTATCTAATTAATAATATCTATCACGAGTGTGAAGTGAACTCTCCACTATTTCGTCTTTATTAAGGATACTACCAGTGGCGAATCTAGAAGTTATATTCAGTGGTGGCAAAAATAAATATAACAAAATATTTAAGGAAACTTGTATATAAACAGTTTTAATTAAGGTAACTAATTAAATATGGGCTCATAACTAAAGTGAAATAATTTTAATTTGTAGAACTTTATGCTTAAAATTGATTTAAATAAGTGTTATGAGAGCAAAAAGTATATATTTTAATGGAGGCAAAATTTTAAATTCATAAAAATTACATCAAAAATTCTACAAAATCAAAAGTTTAATGGTGGCAGCTGCCACCTCCTTGGCTAAGGTAGATTCGCCACTGGATACTACAATCCAGGTTTTTTCCGTGACAGTCACGATACTCATTCCTATAAGAAAATCATACTAGAATAGAGGTATAAATGAAGAATAATTGAAATAAACTGAATAATTTGTTAGAGAATATACCAAACAGAATATTATCAAAAACAAACAACAGAGAAACTTGACTTACCAAAAGTCACTACATGAGCATTTTCCTCCTTTAAAATGATGATATCTAGTCGCATCTCTCACTATAATCTCTCTACCCGTAATCTCACTTATATGTTTCATAACAACATGACAATCTCCACAAACCTTAAGATTCTTCACAATCCTTATCGGAGTCCCCTCAACACCTCTAAGCAATCCGTAAGCAACAGCAGAACTCTCACTATGCCAAAACAAAAGCTGAGTGTGATGAGTACTGTTGTGTTTTTCTACACATTCGTTGTATGATGGGGAAGGACTTATACATGAAGCCTGATGCATCGTGGCTATACGACGATAGAAAAGTAGGTCTTCTGCCCAACAATCAGCATATGTCCCGACCTTTTTGCGCCTTTTGTGAGGATCGTTGTCCATACAAAATAGTGTTCCAGCTCTCTCACTCTGGATTAATATTTTGTTCCATAGGCTGTATGTATTGTCGTCTTATAAGAGATATTACGGAAGCAGCTTGATGGAAATTGCTATTGTTGTAAGAAATATTATCGAATTATTAAATATGTTTGCATTCCTTAGTCAAACAGTGAGATCAATTCCATCAACTTCATGGAGAGATCAGATCCATCAACTTCCTGCAAAAGAAGAAGAAGCCCAATGTGGAACGATTTATCAGCAGAAGCCCACTTCAACATCATACCAGATCTTGTCAACGTTTTATCTTTAGGCGGTATGTTGTTTTGATCCCTCCTTTATCATCACATAGAGACAACAATCCATAATTGTCGGATTATCATCAGATTATGTTGACTTGGATTATGGAGTATTGCCAACTTACCGGCATATCTCTGAATCTACATCCGCGGCTCTAGAGTATTGCCAACTTACCGGTGTATCTCTGAACTCGCTCCTCTCCTCTTTGGAGAAAGTCTTTAAACGCTCATCACAAGCCATCATTGTTCACTTCTCTTCAACGACAGAAGAACTTGCCCTTTCTAAAGGGATCTCGGTTATTTTCTACGAATCTAACCTTCTATCTATCTTTAGCATGCTTTATACTTTACTTTTCGCATCTTGTTCGGACTCCTTGGCATCGAGCTTCCGACTTCAGTTTGTAACCTGGTTCTAAGTTTAATATGAACCACCAGTTGTTCAAAAAAAAAGAAGACGTTTTTTCAATCTGAAACTCTTTTTAGTGTCTCATATGCTCCAAAATTTTCCACCAGCATTCTGTACAATTGACTGAGGCCGAAGTAACCGGTTTAATTGGTTCCATTCTGAACCAATGTTGACTCTTAAAATTTGTAAAACAAAGTGGCCAAGAAGTAAGTAGGCCAGCTTAAGGAATAAGGGTAATAGCATGTCCATCGGTGTATCTGAGAGCAAGTGCAACACACAGCTCGGGCACGGTTCTTTAGGAGAACAAGGAAATAAAAAATAAAAAAATAATGATGTGCCTTAAATTTTTCTCAGAGCCGTCTTTGTGGGAAGAGGTTTTGCCGTTTTGGAATCGTCTCTGAAGCCGAGCTCGCCATGTGTCACTACATGATTCGTCGAGCTTTTTTTTTTTTTTTTTTGAAAAAGCATAAATTTTTCGAAAATTAATTTTTTATTATTTCTAAAGATACTCAGCTCTGTCCGCTGCACTTGCTCTAATGGCGTTGCTCTATCCTCCTCCTCCTTCAAATTGTAGAAGCTTCTCTTCTTGTGTCTTCTACCGCATCTCTTAGAGAAATTTCACCATCTTATCTCTACTTCAAAACCTCCAGCTTCGAAAAAAGTGAAATTTCACCATTTTTCCTTCATCTTTGGAAGGTATTCCATCTCTTCTACTACTCTGTCCTAAGAAACAAACAATAAATTATTTTTTCTGTTGGAGAAAGAATTTAAAATAAGTCATTTTTGAGCTTCTGGCTCCATTGAGCAAGTTAATAATCTTCTGTTTATGGAAAAATATATGGTCAGTGATGGTTAGGGTCTATTAGAAGACATTTGCAGTTAGATTTCACTTGGTAATTGAAGTTACTGAAGTGGTAGGGTTAGTTAACTTCTGTAATACGATTGCTTTAGGTTTAGTTACTTCTGTAATACGATTGCTGATTTTTCGGGTTAAATTCTCTGGAAGGAAAAGAGGGAATGCAATAAATCAATCAACTATCCCTTCTGAAGATTTTCGAACCATCTTTGAGCTGTAGCGAGGATCCTTGTGATCTCTGGTGGGTTCTTGTGGGTTCAATACAGCAACGAAGCAAAGATATAAGTCATTACTCATTGAAGAAGAATATTGTAATGAATGATTGAGCATGAAAGTATTGTAGCTATAATGGGAAAAGTTTATATTTGTGGTGGGGTCCCTAGAATATTAAGATAGGATCTCTGTGGTGTGAAGTACTAGTCACGTTGGGACATTATTGGCACATTGTCGTCTAGTCACTGAGACTATGGTTGCTTCTAAAACTCACTTTCAACTTGAGAGAAGTTTTGAGAATCTGAATATCACATCTGGATATCATGAGAGAGACAGTAGCTTGGAGGTACTTTAACAGAGACGTTCTGCCATTTGGTGCAATGATCGTAGTGGAGTGTACCGCGGTTGGGTCAAACACATTGTACAAGGCTGCAAGCTTAAGAGGATTAAGCTTTTATGTCTTTGTCTTCTACATGTTCGCCGTTGCTACACTTGTCCTTCTTCCACTTTCTCTTATCTTTGGAAGGTACTTGATATCTCCCCAACCAATCGTTTTCACCAGTGTAAATTTTTTTTCAAGAAATGTGAGTTTCTTTTTTACATGTGCAGGTCAAGAAGATTACCGTCAGCTAAATCTCCTGTCTTCTTCAACATTTTCTTACTTGCTCTTTTCGGGTAATCAAGATTCATGCAAGTATATACACTCAACTCACACATTTATGGTTTTATCTTTTCTAACTTGGAGATAACAGGTTCATGGCAATGATAGCTGGCTGTAAAGGTATAGAGTATAGTTCTCCTACTCTTTCCTCTGCTATCAGCACCCTCACGCCAGCCTTTACCTTCACACTCGCCGTTATCTTCAGGTTCTTGCCTCTTTACTCTTTCGGGAAACTTAATCTTACTGAGTATGTAACTCTTATACTTGTTCTGCTTTCTTTGGTGACTCGTAAAGAATGGAACAAGTAGTGTTAAGGAGCTCTGCGAGTCAGGCTAAAATCATTGGCACCATAGTATCTATATCAGGTGCTCTTGTTGTTGTTCTTTATAAAGGTCCAAATGTTCTCGCTGCTGCCTCTCTTACATCTTCATCATCTACCATTTCGCATTTGACTTCGTTTGATTCAAGTTGGATTATCGGAGGGCTTCTGCTCGCTTCACAATATTTTCTTCTTTCAGTCTGGCTTATTCTTCAGGTATGGAAAAGACTTTGGATTTGTTGGTGGCACATAAAAAAAGCTCTTGCTAAATTTGGTAGCTCAATATGATTTTCAGACTCAGGTCATGAAGGTATACCCTGAAGAAGTAACTGTAGTATTCTTGTACAACTTATTCGCAACTCTAATCTCAGCACCAGTGTGTCTATATGCGGAAAAAGACTTGGCTTCTTTTCTGCTTAAACCTGATATTTCTCTCGCTTCCGTGTTGTACACGGTGAGAATAAAAACCCTATGTATTTGTATGTTGCTTCAACTAGTGACTAAATTTTTAAGCTCAGAAATTAACACTCTGTTTCAGGGAGTCGTACTTTCATCATTTGGCGTACTTATACTCTCATGGGGTCTGCATCTGAAGGGTCCAGTTTATATATCCTTGTTCAAGCCTTTGTCTATTGTTATTGCGGTCGCTATGAGTGCTATGTTCCTCGGCGATGCACTTTACCTTGGGAGGTACGTACCATATATATCTATGATCTATCAATTATTCTTTTCCTTTTCAAGCATGTTTTGAATATTTTATTACATTGTTTCTTCTATCAAACGACACACAAAGTTAAAAGTAGCTTTGGTTTCATGTAGTATATCCATGGAATTTAAAAGATTTAAATGGATTTTTTTTTGTTCTGACTAATCACAACTTAGCCTTCATAGTTACTTCAAAATGCAGTGTCATCGGTTCAGTGATTCTAAGCTTAGGATTTTACGCTGTGATTTGGGGCAAATCAAGAGAGGATTCAACCAAAACTGTGGCTGCTTGTGAGCGCTCACCTTTGTTGCTTACACATACCATAGAAGATGAAGCCATAAGATTAAGACACACTAATGTTTAGTTACATATCTATATTGACATAATGATTTTCAATTTGCATTCGTGTATTAAGTATAAACATTAATTTTTTTAGCATGGGAGGAAACAAGCTCATGTCTCACATGGCTGCTTAAATAAGAAGAACAAGAAATCATATATGTTTAAGAAGTGTACCAATAGCTCCGGTTTAGATCTTGTTATAGCATTTGGTTCGATTCGGGTTGGTTATTTCCGGTTACACCTAGTTGGAACTAAAAGAAATGCAGGTCGTTACTAAATTCGTGAACGAGTTAGTCCGATTTCACATGACTCTTTTGTTGTTTTCTACTACTAATAATTTCTATCACGAATGTGAGTGAAGTTTTCAACTGTTTCGTCTTTCTTAAGGATACTAGTACTACAATTCAGTTTTTTTTTCCGTGACAGTCGTTACTATAACAATCACTACCAAATTTTGTTATAAGAAAAAAATGTAACAACAACAACAGAGAAACTTCGACTTACCAAAAGTCATTGCAGGAACATTTTCCACCTTTAAAATGATGATATCTAGTCGCATCCCTCACTATAATCTCTCTACCCGTAATCTCACTTATATGCTTCATAACAACATGGCAATCTCCACAAACCCTAAGATTCTTCACAATCCTTATCGGAGTCCCCTCAACACCTCTAAGCAATCCGTACGCAACAGCAGATCTCTCACTATGCCAAAACAAAAGCTTCTCCTTCTCTTGCTCATCCATGTCGTGCAAGATCCAGCTCGTATCCGGAACATAACCATTTCTCCTTCTCATCTCTTCCTCCAACTCCTTAAGCAACACAAAGATCTCTTCTTTAAGAGGATGAGACGTTTCTCCTGCGTAAAACACTTCCGTTTCTCTCCTCACCTCAACGCTACTATACCCTGGATCTTTCCTAACTTCCATCTCTCCTAGCTTCCTTCTCGCTTCCGATACTTTCCCCCACAAACAAGCACTCGCGTAGATATTCGATACAAGAACATATGTCGACGGATCTCTCGGTTTAAACTTGCTTAAAACCTGATCAGCGATCCTCACACTCGTCTCACCTTGTCCCTGGCGTTTACAAGCGCTAAGCAAAGCAGCCCAAGTCGGTTCATCAGGAGGAAACGGCATCGTATGAATCAAGCTCTCAGCTTCATCAACAAGTCCAGACCGACCAAGAAGATCCAACAAACATGTATAATGCTGCAACGACGGGCTGATTCCGTAATCCTTACTCATCGACTGAAAAATCTCACGGCCTTTCGCTACAAAACCGACATGGCTACACGCATATATCAACCCAACGAACGTGACCTCGTTAGGCTTCACACCTTGAGAAACCATGTCATCGTACAAAGCCAACGCCTTCTCAGCTTGCCCGTGCTGAGCCATTCCAACTATCAGAGACGTCCATGAAACAACATCTCTGTGACGCATTCTACTGAAGATATCTTTCGCAGCTACAACATCGCTGCATTTCGCGTACATGTCGATGAGAGCGTTACTAATAAACAAACAAGAATCAAACCCTAGAGATATCACCAATCCGTGAACCTGCCTCCCTGCTATCGAAGCTGCTAAGTTAGCACAAGCGCCGACGATACTCGAAAGGACTAAAGGATCCAAAATGTCGACTCTTTCTCTCCTCATTTCTGTGAAAACAGAGAAAGCTTCAAGCCCTTTCCCGCTCTGAACAAACCCAGAGATCAACGCGGTCCAGGAATACAAGTTCTTGACTGGGATCTCCCTGAAAAGCTCCAAAGCTTCCTCCTTTCTTCCGCTTTTCGCGTACCCAGACACCATCGCGGTCCAAGAGATGGTGTTTTTCGATCTGATCGAATCGAAAACCGATTTCGCAATATCGAGAAACCCGCATTTGGCGTACATGTCAACCAGCGAAGACTTGACAACGTCGTCGTTCGAATACTCAGAGACTGTGAAACGGCAATGGACTTGCTTTCCGTGGTTGATAGATTCTAAGTTAGCACAGGCTTTGACAAGCGCAGAGAAGACGAAATCGTCGGGACGTAGTCCACCGCTGGAGGAAAATACGGAGAGGGTCTTACCGGAGAGATTCGATTGGTTGAGAGCTGTGAGAACAGAGGCCCATGCGATTTGGTCTCTTTGAGGCATTTCGTCGAACAGCTTGAGAGCGTGAGGAGCGTCGCCGCATTTGCCGTAGACATTGACGAGGGTGTTGGATAAAGGGCTAGATTGGATGATCCCGAGCTTGATGATCTGGGCATGGAGGGCTTTGGAAGTGGTTAGGGTTCGATTTCTCGCGCAGAGCTTGAGGTGGTGAAGATAGTGAGGAATAAGCATTCATTAGCCGTTTGTTGTTTATGGCTTCTAGAGATTGTTTTTGGACTAAAAATTAATCTAAATATGGAGACGGATCGGGTTACCCGACCCGGGTCTATTTTCTGTTCTGTATATGGAAACGAATCGGGTATGAGACGGATATCCGAATTAAATTTTTGATTTTTATTACCTCTTGATATTTGAAATGGTCAAACCTTACTTACTAACCAAACAAAATAATGGGAATTTATATTTTATCTTTTTGTTGTTTTAATACATATCAAATTCATAAACTTGAAAGTTTCAGTAAACAGTTTATTTATATATATTGGTATGGTTTATTAGCTTAATAATATCAACAAGAAGATGAGCAATTATAATAGTGTTTGCTATAGTGGAAATGTTGTTAATTGTAAAGTTTATGTATCTCGTCTTTGTACTTAGCCACCACTTTGTCCCGTCTAATCTTCATCGTTGGTGTCATAAGACCGTTGTCTATCTGCAATGTAGTGTCACAAAAACAGTTTCTTCATTAAGTTTTCGAGTTTTTCAACTCTAAATATAACCCAAAACATTAGTACGAACGGGTTAAAAATAGGTATATTTACCGTGAAGGGCTCGTCTACGATCAAGATCGGTCCAACTTGGAACGAGCATTCTGATGTCCTGCAACATTGTAACAGAGTAAAAGTATAAGATCTTAATACTTTTACCTATAGTTAAAAATTTTTTTTTTACCATTTTCTTAGTTCTTCGTAGAACAAGCTCTTTAGTTTTTCTTTGCCAAATTTGGATATTTCAGGATCTACTTTTTCTGCTTCCTCTTTGTTTGGGATAATGATAGCTCCCAGGCGTCGTTGATCCTGTGAAATGAGATTTTTGTTACGAAAGCGAAATACAATAGTCAATATTAACATTTTTCTTGTAATTTCAAGCAACCTGTCCAATAACCACGATTTGATCAATCAAACTGCTTCTCATTGCAGCTTCTTCAATCTCCAATGGTTCAACGTTTTCACCTAATAGTAACGATAATGATATCAATGCAAAGACTTGTTTCTCTTTTCTTTTAATGCATTTGAACATGTTTTGTGACTTGCATTATATACCTGTGGAAAGTACAATTGTGTCTTTAGCACGGCCCTCAAGAACGATGAGACCTCCACAGCGACGACTCCGTCCTGTTGAGTGATGAGGAGCGATCCAACCCGTGTCTCCTGTATTGAACCATCCACTCTCATTTAGAACTTGCTTTGTCGTTGATGGATTCTGAAGCACGCAAAAACAGAAACATGAGTTTTGAAAACTTTGTAGTAACATATATGATTGAAGTGAGTTTATTAATTTAAAAACTACCTTATAATAACCTTTCATAATCTGTGGGCCTCTGACTTTGACAATGCCCTTTGAACCAGGAGGAAGAACATTATTAGTCTCAGGATCTACAATCTTGAATTCTGTGCCTTGCATTGGATACCCAGCTGAGCCAAGAACCTTCATTTAAAACAAGAAAGACAACATTTTTTTGCTAACACTCAAAAGAAAACTTGAGTTCAAAACTATATAATATAATGGAAGCAGGAATGACTTACATTACAGCTTAGAGTCCGTGCACACACAACCGGCGAGGTCTCTGTCAAACCATAACCATTTTGTAGAATCACACCAATGGCCTGCGCAATTTTGTAACCAAACTCTTTTACATATTGAAACTACTGGTTATTCAAAGGCAAAAGAAAAAAAAATTGTAGATGGCTAAACCTCAAAAAACTTGTCGATATGAATGGGTAAACTACCACCTCCGCTAATACCAGCCTGTGGAAACCAAAACCATATCAGTCTTAACTAGAAATGTTATTGGTAAGAGATATAAATATAACAAAAAAAAGCTTAACATAAAATAGAGTTTGTGTGTACTACCTTTGATATCCCAATAGACGCATGGATTTTCTTGTAGATAAGCGCTTTAGCCAACATATGTAATGGCCACAACAAGGCAGCAACCACTCTCGCCCACAACCAATCCACAAAAGCAACAATAAACATTGGAGGCTTTTGCTCTTTTGTCAGACACATGCCCTGTAAAACCAGACCAAAGACTCTTAAAACAAACTGAAAGGTAAGAAAATATGTTAAACATAGCATCATATGATGAGTCATGAAACCTCATAAATCCTCTTCATCTCCATATATGCCAGGCTAATTTTGATCAATGTAAGTGCTAGAAATTTACGGGCAGCAGAACTTGAGGAAATTTGCTTCTGAATACCGCTGCAATGCTCAAAGAGGAAACAAAATTATGTTTCACAACCAAGTCAGGTTTGAAAAATGCTGAGAAATAGTTAGCGATTAAATTCATGGACTATGTTTTACAAATATGGAACCGTTGAACAGAAACGCTGAAGAGGAGGGTACTTCCACATATGCATATTGTATTTATACAATCCATCATTAAGATATATATGAGTACCGTGCAAACTCTTAACTTGAGAAGTGACAAACCTGTAAAGTGTCTCATATACTAAAGGAACCGAAATAAGATAGTGTGGTTGATACCGCTTTAGATCATCCTATACCATAAGAAAACAAAATGCAAACGAATTATATCCAAAAGGAACAACGTTAAACAATACACTTCAAACATTCTTCAGTTGAAATTTTCATATTTTCTCACTTTCAAGTGTAAGGTGCGTGTTTCAAAACTTTCATGACACAATGATATGAAAATTCATAAAAATGGCTGGTGGAGAATTACCTTTAAGAATCTTATAGATGTATACATTTGTTCAACTCCACATGTGAATATGAAGTATTCACAAGCACGTTCATAGGCATGCCACGATGGCAGCATGCTTAGAAATCTATCTCCAGGTTCAGCAGGCACATACGCGGATAAGTGTTTTATCTGCAAAGTAATAAGAAAATTTGGTATATTTCAAAAGAGACAGAGTCACCAAATAAACCCTTGTAAAGAAGTATTGAGCTTATTGGCTTTGAACCTGATGCAAAAGATTCCGATGAGAGAGCATAACGCCTTTCGGATTTCCAGTGGTACCACTGGTATACATAATCGCTGCTGTATCATCTGAATTGATGGTTTCATGGTTCCCTACAGTTACTCATTTGTTAGTATCAAGGAGTTTTATTCTTATAGTGGCCTTAGAGAAAAAACATAGATCATCAACGTACTGGTTATACCATTAGATCCTGAAAATTGTGCACGTCTCTCCTGTCCTAGGTTTTTAATCTCTGTGTAAGTGTAAACTGGAATCTGAATCCCTTGCGTAGCCAATGATGGTTTCTCACCCCAGAGAAGTATCAGAAACCTCAGAGATGCCTTGGAAGTAAATGTCTCGGCAATGCGGTTGAAAAACTCTGGATTGTCCACAACAAGGGCTACACTGCAATACATATTGCCTTGAAATTTTGATTCTATATTGCATAACAAATTTGCTACAGATAACTTAAGAGACACAGTAATTGAAGGACGAAAGATTTTTGTCTATCATCCAAGAATCATTGTGATACCAAAACTTTTCAATCATTAAGAAACATTAGACTTCAGCAGCAACATCAGATACATGTGAAGATAAAACATACTGTACAGAAATGAGGTTTGTATACCGTGATAGCATACCTTTCAGAGTGACGGTATATCTGAAGTAGCTCTTCAACAGAGGACCTAGATCCTCTTACTACATTGACTGCTCCGGTGGCCATTATACCTAGCATCAAGTGATAAACTAGTAAATAAAGATACTAATATCTATAGGAGAGGAGGAGAAACGAAAGAGCAGTGTATATTAGAATTATTGCACCAAGAAGTGAAGTAAAACTAGCTAAGCCAAGCACAGATAAGTGATGGAACATTGTAATGAAATCAATGAGTAACAGAGGACTGATTTTCGCACTAATATTGTAGAGTGTTCCATATACCATCAACCACATACCTTGATCTGAGACAAGCCATCGGCAGGAGTTATCAGCAAAAAGTGCAATCTTCTCATCTGCTTTCACTCCAACTACTCGTAAGCCGTCAGAAAAGTCCAAAATCTCTTGCTCCAACTGAAAATTAAGTAAATAAAATGAAGGCTTTCGTTGCTCACCGAGAATAAATATCTAGGAACAGAGTATATTTCCTTTTTTCTATGTTATTTAAAGGGGTGACTGGACCATCTAGACAGACTACACGTTTAAACACGAATATAAAATGCAGACTCTGCTTTCCTTAATACAGAGCTCCTAAATCATAAAACAGATGCTCATGGTCATGGGAAATTCAAGAACGATTAGTAGGAGACCTTACCTGCTTGTAGGTCAATTTCAAAGGCGGATCATGATAAGGATCTACCAATGCAACTCTATCACCATACTTTTCTGCAGATGATTTCCATATATCCGGAACAGCCTTCCATTCATTAGAACGCAAAGCAGCATCTCCGGAAAATGACGAGCTTTCAACGATTGGTGAAGATGGCACTTCCTTTTCCTGAATCATACATACATTAGATTAGATATGAACCTCATTGCAGATAAAATTACAATGGCAAAAGACGTGTAAACATATCACAGATGACACATATCTGAAAAAAGTATTGGGGAATGAATTTATCGTTTTGGTAAGAGCAAGAACATTTCAGCTTACAAAGACACAAACTAAAGATTCAGAGTTTCAACGAACAGTTGAAAGCAAAAAGAATCAACAAAATGCTACAAACATATGCATCAATAATAAAAAAATGCAAAGGGATACGTTTTACATAATCAGTAGGAGTGATCTCAACAGTGACAATGACTAAACTCGTAATGATTACATACATTAAAAAAAAAAAGACTTTCCTCAGATTAAAACTACTTTCGAAATCAAAACTAAAAAGAGTATTATTCAATTCCAAACCACCCAAAAAAGAGCTAAATTAGATTCTTAAGATAAAGCAAATCAAAAACGAAGAATCTGAAACTCGCCTTGGTCTCGCAGTGAATCCGAAATCGCCGGAACGAAGGAATTCGAACTCGGTGGCCCAAAACCAATCTGAACCGGAAATCTGGAAATTCACGAGAAGAAGAGCCGTAAGAAAGTAGCGTCGAAGGTCCCAACGAAGTCGACGTCATCGGTGATGCGCGAAGCAATGAGGAAGAGGATATGAAGAAGGAAGAATCAGGTTTCAGATGAAGTGGCATTTTGCAGATTACGACAAGAGTAAGATGAGGGGGACCTCAAAGAAGAAACAGAACAGAGAGAGAGAGAGAGAGAGAGAGAGATCTCGAAGCAGGTAAGATACTAAGTAACGCAATCATATCTTGTCATGACTCATGATTGTAGACAATCTTCCTTCACTGTGGTAAAGAATAAAGATCATGGCTCCTACTCTCCTTCCTTACTGGAGAGAAGATTTTGTGGATTTTATCAAAAAAAATTCCAAATTGTACTGCTTGTGCGTTTTATTTTTTAGTTAGCTGGTACGAAAGTATTTTTGCTCTTTATTCAATGCAATCACATGCCATATGCTCCCAATATGCGATATTATTTTATTTCGTGACGAATGGTTCGGTTATCAGATTTTGATGATCCATTCCAAACATGTCTTTTGTCGATTCTTTACATGTAAATAATTAGTTTAAATTATTTACACTAATTATTAGTTTTCTTTAACTAAAAATAAATAAAATAATTATTTTTAAATTCTTTTGTTTTTACTGTTTTACGAGGTGGTAAGCCCGCGGCATGCGCAGGCAGGAGTTGTTTTGAAAATAAAAACATCTATAAAAAAAAAAATCATACTTCAAATATTACAATAATTTTTCTAAAACACTGAAATAAAAAGAAAACTATCAAAATATGGTTATTAATATAATTTAAATATTCAAACCATATCAAACGTTTTAGAAAACTTCTTTATATCATTTGATCTTTATAGTATTAGTTTAAAACTTATTTAGGTGATGGTCATGCACCTTGTCCGGGTATAATATTTTTTTAAAACATTAATAATTAAATATAAGTAGTAAAATTTATGATTGTATTCATCATTTTTATTTTCGCCAATTTCTTATTCTTGTAATTTTGATATGTCTTATTTTTGTCTTCTCTTTCTCATTTTTTAACATAATCCTCTTCATTTGTTTATAGAGACACAAAATATTTTCCACTTCTTGTTTCTTCTTCCTCTTATTCTTCTCCAATTATCCCATATTTTTATTTTTCTTTCAATTTTGTGCTCATTCTTATCATCTTTTTCTTCTTCTTCCAATTTTTTCTCTTCAATATTTTCTTGTGTCTTCATATCCTCCAACTCACTATTCAACATTTTTTTCTAATTTTTTATACATTATTTTCCGGTTTTTCTTCTTCCTCATTTCCCCCTCTCTCTACCTTTATCATCTTCATTTTCTCTAACATCATATTTTCTAGTTTTTATTTATCTCTTCTTTGTCTTTTTTCTCTTCACATTCTATTTTTTTTCTTCATTGATTTCTTTTTTCTCATGTTCGAGTTTTCTTCTTCTTCTCCAAATTTCTCATTTTCTTTTTCACCGTCTTTTTTTTTACTCATGTTTTTATTCGTTCTTTTTAATGTCTTGTATTTCACTTATCAATTCATTTGATAGTTTAGATTTTCAAAGATTTGAAAAAAAGTTTTATCTTTATATAGTCGAGATCTTTTTAAAATCTGTTGCTTTTGTTATCTTTCGATTCTGGATTTGCTTTAATTATTTTAGTTTTTTTCTATTTGCAAATGTAAATTAAGAAAGGTAGATATAGATTTATACTCATTGATTCTTAATTTTGAAATTCTTCCATAATAATTTAATTTTTTAAAAATGTACCAAAAACTAAACCCTAAATCCATTAATATAAACCCTACACTCGAAACCCAAACCCCACAGTGTAACTCCACCTCCCCCTAAACAACCCTACACCCTAAACCCAAAGCCCATAGTGTAACACCACCCTCCCCCCTCCCCTTAAACAACCCTACACCGTAAACCCAAACCGCACATTATAACCCCACCAAACCGCACACCCGAACTCCACATTTTACAAATTAGTTCTAGACTTTTTCTTTTAATTTTATTTATTTCTTAAAAATAGTTTCTTTTTGGTTTTAATCGGTAATGTAGTGTATTAAATTTTCTTAAAATGCACCAAAAGCTAAACTTTACGCCAACAATATAAACTGTACATCGTAAACCCTAACCCATTTTTATCTTCTTCTTCTTTTACTTTGTCTTTTACTTCTTTCATATTTTTTCCTTCTTTGTTTTGAAATTTTGAAATTCTTCCATAATAATTTAAATTTTTAAAAATGCACCAAAAACTAAATCTTAAATCCATTAATATAAACCCTACACTCTAAACCCAAACCCCACAGTGTAACCCCACCTCCCCCTAAACAACCCTACACCCTAAACCCAAAGCCCACATTGTAACACCACCCTTCCCCCCTCCCCTTAAACAACCCTACACCGTAAACCCAAACCGCACATTATAACCCCACCAAACCGCACACCCGAACACCACATTTTACAAATTAGTTCTAGACTTTTTCTTTTAATTTTATTTATTTCTTAAAAATAGTTTCTTTTTGGTTTTAATCGGTAATGTAGTGTATTAAATTTTCTTAAAATGCACCAAAAGCTAAACTTTACGCCATCAATATAAACTGTACATCGTAAACCCCAACCCATTTTTATCTTCTTCTTCTTTTACTTCTTTCATATTTTTTCCTTCATTTTCTACTTTTTGTTTTCTTATTCTTTTCAAACATTCTAATCTCTTTTTATTTCCTCTCTCTTTATCGTCATCTTTTTATTTTATGGTTTTTATTCGTTTTCTTCCTTTTATTTACAATTTGTTTTTTCAATTGGCTTTGTGTTATTATTCTTCGTTTTTATCTTTTGATTTTTCCAACTTCTTTATTGTTCACATACTCTTCAATTATTTTCTTACTTTGTTATGTTTCTTTCGTTTTTTTTCGTCTTCGTCTTCCAACTTTTGTCTTTTCTTTATTTTAGTTTAGGTTTTTCTTCTTATTTCATCTTGTATTCTTCATCATTTTTGTCTTCTCTGACATATCTTATTCAAGTTTTATTTATCTCTTTTTTGTCTTTTTTTCTCTTCACATTCCATTTTCTCTTCTTTGATTTCTTTTTCCTCGTATTCGAGTTTTCTTATTCTTTTCAAAGTTTTCCATATTCTTCTCCACCGCCTTTTTTTCTTTTACTCTCTTGTTTTTCATTTTTGTCTACTTCTTGTATTTCGCTTATCAATTCATTCGATAGTTTATATTTTCAAGGATTCGTGTAATATTTTTTTATCTTTATATAGTCGAGATCTTTAAAAAAAAAATATTTGATTTGTTATCTTTTGATTCTGTTTTTGTTTTAATTGTTTTGGTTTTTTTTTTTATGTATTTTAGAATGACATATATAAATTTATAATCAACCATTTTTAATTTTGATATACTTCCATAATAATTCAATTTTTTTCTAAAATGCACCAAAAACTAAACCCTACACCCATCAATATGAACCCTAAACCCAAACCCCACATTATAACCCCCCCCCCCAAACCCCACATTACACTCATCAAAAACTTCCATAATAATTCAATTTTTTTTAAAATGCACCAAAAACTAAACCCTACATCCATCAATATAAACCCTAAAACCCCACATTATAACCCCGCTCCCCCCCTCCCTCAAAACCCCACATTACACTCATCAATATAAACCCTACACCCTAAACCCAAACCCCACATTATAACCCCCCCCTCTTCCCCTAAACAACCATACACCCTAAATCCAAACCCACATTATAACTCCCATAAATCGCACACCTGAAGTCCACATTATAAATTGGTTATAGACTTGTTTTTATTGTTATTTTTAAAGGAAGTTTTTTTTTTGTTTTTAATTGGTAATATAGTGTATTCAAAAAAATTTAAACTCACGAAAAACTAAACCTTACACTTTTTCTTCGTAAATGTGGGACCATCTTTAACACAATACACAGAAAACCCTGACATCACCCTAGGTTTAGACAAAAATTAGAGTTTATAAACCTATACACAATACCACAAATTACAACCGTACATCCTAAACCCCAACCCCTTTTTCTCTTCTTATTCTTTTACTTTGTCTTCTACTTCTTTCAGATTTTTTTTCCCCTTCATTTTCCCCTTCATTTTCTACCGTTTTATTTTTTAATTCTTATCCAACTTTCTAATCTTTTTTTCTTCATCGTCATCATTTTATTTCCTGATTTGTATTTGTTTTATTCATTTACATCTACTCTTGTACATCTGAAATACCATGCTACAACATTTTTCTTTCCATAAACATTCTTGGTAGCTTCTGTTTCTGCATTGCTCTTAGAGCAAGTGAACACGGAAAACCAAATCCATTTTCTTTTACCTTCTGTATCGGTCATAACCAGGACTCTTTTGTCTACCAATCTGAACTCCCACGTTGTTCATGATTAAGGTGATGGATTCCTGCATTGTCCATAAGATGTTGGACACCTGTAGGGATGTATCTATCGTATTGAGGGATTCGAGGACGACCAGGGCTAAGAGATCTCCCTGGACTACCACCATTGTCTCTTTCATCATCCTTTACCACATACTCAATGAAAACAACCATGTCCAATATTTTGCTGCCGACACAAAAGAGATTACCAATTGTGGAAACGCTTGGGAAAAACTTATTTGTTTTTTTTATCTTTCCATTGTGAGTAGTTTTGCGGGAGCATTTTCTTGTTTTGGAAATTGAAGAAAGGAGAAGTTGCGTCTGATACAGGTTGATGAATGATGATGGCCATACCGTTGGGGTTAGTTTCTCTAAGTTTGATGCAATAAACTTGGTTTCCAAGATCCTTCATCTCCAGGCCAGCTTTATTGAAACCACTAAAGAATAAAGACTAATCGTCTTTCCCGACTCTTTGTCTCCAACTCACTCATTAAGAACACCGACCGAAGCAGATTCATGTCTACTCGTAATGGTGAAAAGATTAATGTGAGACAAAAGTAAATGAAGGAGTTAAGGGATATGATACTGGCTATTTAGTTTGCACTCTGTTAGAGTATAGCATTGGTGTCTATTCATTTGTAGTTTTTGAGAAGAAAAGTGAGAGACTTTATCAAGTTTGGGTACTGTTTCACACCCCAAAAATAGAAGGAAACAAAATGGAATGGGAGACTAATTAATTAAAATCATGAAAAACATGTATAGTTTTCTGATAGAGAAAAGGGTATTACGTAGAAGGATATCACCGGCTATGATCAAATCCCATATCTGGTTCAGAGACCGGAAATGCATCTCCCCTATATACCTGTCATAGTAGAAAATCATGTGAAAAAGAGCTAAAGCAATCAACCAGAAACACAATTTCCTACACTATAATGTGACTTACGATTGATAAGTATGCGTTAAAGATAGGTTTAAATTGTTCGCATTATAGTTATGAGCAGTATTGTCATCAATCTCCTGATTATCGAAGACTGAAGTAGTTATACCAAGATTAAACTCTTTCTTAAGAAATATAGCTAGAGAACATGTGCCTCTGCCAATTTCACGAAAAAAGAAGAAGATAACTGATTCGTGTCAAGAAGAGTGGCATATAAGCAGCTGTAACTAAGACTCAAAGAAAAAAGTTTATGGAGAATACAAAAAAGAAAATTAGTTAGCTAAGCGTGATACACTTAATTATACACAAATTTTCCTCTAAATTGAAAGCTAAATACCTGAAGCTTCCTAGCTGGGTGACAAATTAACATACTTGAAGTGTTTCAGATTAATAGGATGGATAACTCCAGATAGCTAATCAAGTGACTGTGTTATCATGTATTTCTTTTTTCCATCTACAAAGTAAGTTAGCATATATCATTGTTAGCACATTGTCCTTACTATTTCCTCAAAAGAAAACCATATAAGAATACAACAAACCTTTCACCATGGATGGGGGAACAGAGGTAGGAGCATATTTCTCGATATTTAGAGTGATGTCACAAGGATGGATACGCTTTTTTCAGTGTTCCCTTATGAAAACCAGGCCATAAGAATTGTAGAAGAAAGTAAAACATACAATATTGGCAGTCAAATTGAAGCCTATCCAAACCTAAAATGCAAGTTTTTAATGGTATATACATGCAGAATATAAACTGTAACAACCTTCGAAATCTCCTCGACTTCTGAATAGCCCAGGAGGTTTAACTTTAAGATTCACAACCTAAAAGAGAAAAAGCTATGACACAAATAAAAGACTATTCATTGCAACTTTTAAAGGAAAAAAAATGTTTTACACAAAATCACTTTACGGGAATACAAAATTAGCCAAGTGAAGAAGAGATCACCATTACATGAAGTCATAGTTGTTGATAAACTGCCATCGCTGAAACTATCAGCCAGGCAACATGACTCAACAACAGAGGAAAATTGTAACTCAATCGGATATCCAAACGAAAAGTCCATATGTGTTCCCATTAATTATTTGCCAAAATAGCTAGGAAAACTCTTTTGATTCCCTTCTCTACTTCTGTGATATATTGGAGACTACAATGGAATCACACCAAGACATCTTATTGAAGCCTCAAAATAATGTGTTACTACAAATCTACACAACACAGCAAGATTGAATGGTTAGTTGCAGAAACACTAAACTCTAAACCTGAAATATCCATCCTCTTTAAATCTCGTCAAGAAGAATCGGTACCAATCATAATCACTAATACAAAAACTGAAGCTGAAGAAACTGATCCCCATCAATAATCAATACTCAAACACAAAGTTTCGTGCTTAATCATTAAGCCGATCATAGCGTTTACTACCGAAAAGAAATATATAGCTTGCCTCGTTATGGCTTTGGAGCCTTTGGAGCGTGTTGGCGAAGAAAAAGAATAGAATGATCGATTTTGTATATCAGCTAGGGTTTTATACATATATATAGAGAGAGATTTAAGTTTATGTTTTAGGTTCTTTCTAATTTTATATTTTTTTAAATATTTATTTAAGTGATAAATATAAATCGAGGGGAAAAAAGGATAATTATCAATATTTAATAAGGAAATAATGAACTTTTATATTAAAAAAACAAAATCGTGAAATAATTAAAAAAGGAAATTCAAAAGATTTAATAATAGATTTTCATTAAGGGTATCTCGCTAATTCCGGGGCTGAGAGTTAACGTGGTGCCTCCATTCGAAATTCTGACTTCGCAAATAATAGTATGATAAGATACTTTTGGAAAACAGAGATGCAAACAAAAAAAAGAAAACAAGTTGTTATTTAATACTAGTACTAGTAGAGTATCCGCACGTTTGTGCGGTGTGACGTTGTGGTTTTCTTTTATCATTTATCTTTTTTTAAAATTAGTACACTGCACCATTAGAAATACTAGGTTTGAATCTCCGCGTAAGCGCGGGATTACTTGTAATAGTTTTTTTGTTTAGTTTTATTTATACTCTCGGAGCTTCGGTCAAAAATGAATTCGACTTGATTCATATAGATAGAATCAATGATAAATAAACAAAAGATCACATCGAGATGTCGATTCGTTTTCCGCCTCCAATAAGCTCTGATAAGGAGGTCTCTATTTTAGAACGTTAATTTGAATTATGATGATTTTGTCTTAACTTTTATGTTTTTGTTATGTTTTGAATTAATCCAACCACTAATACTAAGAAAGTATGAATAATTTGTTTTTATATTATTTTATTAGAATATTAACACCCAACTTTATCCCGATTTTTCTATTTCTAAAATTTCAGAATGTTATAAGTATTATGTTTGTTTACTTCTATTAGACTATAAACATGCATATGAATTTGACTCAACACTAAAATTTGTAAATATAATGTAAAATCGCATTTGCACTGGAAATAAGATGAAGAAAATCATTTATATACTTTTTTACATATCTATTTTGATATGGTAGTATGTGAGGCTCATAACCATTGATTATTTTCTATTATGTTAGTTTTGTAAATATAAATTATATTTTTGAAGCAAACATATCACAATCCTTAAAATTTTCACGTTTTCCACTACAATTAAATTTACATATAAAAACTCGACTTTGATTTGTGAAAAAGACAAACTCTAACTCTAATTTCTCATTAGCTTTCTATTATCTTAATTAATTTATATTCGACTTTTAACTTCTAAACACATTACATTATATTTATATAGGATAAATCGTTTGAATAAAAAGGTAATTATATACAATTTCAAGTTAAATATTTCTTTACTCTATCTTCATTTTTCTGTTTGATAACTTTTAACAAGTTATCAAATGTTTTATAATAATTAATTCGTTTATTTGTATATTTTTCTTAGTTTTATTTATATTTAAAATATGAACAATGTAAAGAAATATTAATAGTCATGAATCTAATAAATAATTTAAATAAAATTTAATATTTCTGTGCTGATGTGGACATTCTAGATGGAAAGATAACTCCCTAATTATATACTTGCCTCTGTTCCTTTATAATGAATTTTCTAGCAATTTTATGGTGTTTCATAAAGGAAAATATTCTACTTTTTTTATACACTTTTTCAGATTTCAAGATACATTTATTAAGAATAAATATATTTCTTGAATTTTTATTGGTGTGACATTTTGAAAGTAACATTTTCTTAATAGGTCTGAAAAAACTAGAAAATTTATTTGGAGGAAGCATAAGATTTTGTTTTTAATATGTACATTTTCCTAAATTAAATAAATGAATCAGAGTCATAAGTCAGTAAACCTTAGTTGAAGAACATGCTGATAAAAAAATTGCTCATTGATTCATTTTAACCATAATGCTTACTCTTATGTGAATGATATTTTTATTCTCACGATAACTTTTTTTTTTCCATTAGAATTAAAATTTTTAATAATTATTTGGTTTTTTTTTTCTCCTAATGTTGATTGTTCTTTGTTCTGATTTTGTTTTTCAAGGAAAATCACAATTTTTTTTCCTTTTCCATAAAAATTAATTTAAAAAAATATTATTTGTTATTCTCTTTTTTAATCTTCAATATTCTTTTTAATGATTTTTTCATCGTTTTACAATTCATAAAGAAGGGAAAGAAAAAGAAAATGATCTGTTGCCAAAAAAAATATATATATCTTAATGAACTAGAAACGTTATATGAATAAAGCAGTTGAATAAAACACTGGTCAAATGTAATGAGCTACGAAGCAAAGACAAAAATGACATAGCGTTAACATTTCCCCCCTCACATGTTCTCTCATGTCTCTTGTAATTTTAGTAACTGATATCGTAACCTCTAGTTTATTAATTAAATTGTATACATCTCTCAATGGTCTTGTGAGTTTTTTTTGACCAAACAATGGTCTTGTGAGTTGTGAACCATAATGTGTTATAATTAGCGGATTTGTCAATACTTTTTTACATGAACCAATAAGAAAACAAAGAAGAAAAAAGAGAGAGAACTCAAGAAGGACAAAAGACCAAGTGACCTAAGCAAGCATAAATAGGTTCCAATTTTCGCCATCGCTGGAGAAAAGAATAGCATAACTGAAGTTTTGGAGGAGAAGACTCCGAGCTCTGTTCTGAACCACGCACAAAACTTTTTGAATAATTCTTGGATAAAGCAAAGTAATACCAAAATGGATTTGTCAACATTTGTTCAATCAAAACACCAAAAATCTATTATTAATTTGCATCAGATTTACTTCAACATGAAATTCTAAAACCATACATTCAGTATAATATAGAGATTAACAATAATTCATTTTTGTTTATTTTTCTTGTAAACAAGATTACTTTTCAAGTGGTTTGAACGAAGTAAGATTCATAAATTTCAGCCATGGTTTCTCCCAGATAATCGCTTCGTAATTGTTGCTCTCACCGGTATGATTCGCTTTTATCACAAGCTTGTAATTCATGCCAGCGACTACCTGATATTCACCGCTAACAACTGTCACAAATTTGAGTTCTGATTTCGTCTTCTTGACGTATTCAGAGACGGCAAATTCACCGATTTCTGTGACATGAGGGTCCTTGATGTTTTTGATGGGCCTATAGCCGTCGGTACGCGCTGCAGCAAATGCGTAGAGAGGGAGGAGGACTAGAGATAGGAGAAGAATGAAGATTGCTTTGTTATTATTCATTTTGAAGTATTTGTGTATGATGTTTTTTTGTTGATTGATAATAGGCAGAGAGGAAAGGTTTACAGACATTTTATAGTAAAATGTTTGACGCAAGACATGACGTGGCACATACTTGTAATTTTTTGTTCATTTCTATCATACATGCATGGCTACAACGTGGAGCAAAATGTTGAAATAATCAATGCTCATTTATGGAAATGCATTATAATTAGAACTTATTTTTTATTTTTTATTTTTTTTGTCAACTAATTAGAACTTATTAAATTCAAAATCTAAGTCATAACAGTTCTCATAATTTGCATTTAGATTAATCAATCAGTGTTAAAAAAAAAATCTAAGTTATAGATATAAATTATATTAATGCTAAAAGCTCATTTATTATTAATTTTAATTAAATAAATTTATTTATATTTAATTAATTTTTTATTATTCTACAAATGATCTGCAGTTATATGTTTTAATATTAGTAAACAAATTTAGGGGTTTTAAATACCAAATCGTACCCACTATTTAGTATTTACCCACATTAAATCGTCTGAAGAAATTGAGAGCGAGATGACGTAAATAGTGTATTAGGATTTTAAATCTAAAATTGAATAACACCCCTAAATGTAAATTAGTTGTAAACACAGAAATGAGAAACCAATCGATTACTTAATTATAAATCTCTGCATTCATTTGAACCTTGATAACTGATTGAGCATGTAATCTTCACTTTTTGTAAAAAAAATATTTATTAATTATTTGTTTTTTTCTTCTTCTCAACATTGCGAAACTAGAAAGAAGAAGCAGAAAATGTATAATGAGAAACAATCTTCAGTAAATCCGAATAATCCAGCTTTAATCATCTCTTAAATCTCTTTCAGTCATCTTCCTCATAGAGTAACGCTCGGAAACTTGCAGCGATCATTTCCTATTAAAAAAAAAACAAAAGCTTAATTAGTTACAAAACATTGCACATTAATAACCTTACGGTCACATGAATAGTTACAAAAATATACGAAAGCTTAATTATTTTTTGGCTCACCAGGGTTAGTCGTGGTCTCATGAGCGAGTCCATTGAAGTAACATCGAACGCTTTGGTTACGGAACTGAGCCCAGTACGAGCTAACCGCATAGCTTGCGTGCCAAAAAACAGACACCGGTTCGTAACATTCTCTTCCCGGAGCCAAAGCCGCGCACGTCGTGTTGTTTTGGCCACAAGCAATCCTTAAAGTTTCCTCAAGCTCAGCTTCATTGGCTCCTTCGACCGGTACGCACCACACTTGACCCTTGTACGGAACATTGTTCGTCGGTTTAGGCAAAGGGTTAAAACCGGTTAATGGTTTCTGACCGGTGAAGTCAATGTCGTAGATCGGTGAACCGTCGGGATGCAAGATACCCCAATGTCTCTGTGTCCCCGAACCGGCTTTCTGGTTTTCGTTGAACAAGGAGAAAACAAACGTCGGTATAGGTAAACCGGGTCTAGCTGGCGTACCGATTGGTGGATTTGCGGTCATTTTCTTGATTAGATTCCGGTTATACGTCGCGGCGTTGAGAACGTTGGCTCCGGTTTCGTCGATGTCGCCGGAGTTAGGCCACCCGGTTTCGGAGATCGCGATGCGGATGTGTGGGAAACCGAGTTTGGTACTGGCGTAGATAACCGAATCCAACATTTGGTCTAGAAGGTTATGGTAAACCAAATGGGTTTGAGGATCGGTATAAGTTGAGTTTCCTTGGAAGAGAGTGAAATCCAAACTGGTGTTCATAGGGTTTCTTGACCAGCGGAAGTAAGGCTGAAGATTGACGAAGAAGTAAGAGTTTGTTCCGTTGAGAAACTTCAACAACGGAGACATCAACGGTGCGGCGATATCTTCCCGGAAAGTCGAGTTCGACGGCGGAAACGTCGACCGGAGAGAATCCATGGACAGAGGTGTCCCGACTTTGATGTTGTGAATCCCGTGAGCTCTGAGAGAGTTCACGATCTTTCGCATCGCCGGCACGAGATTCTCCGTTACGTTCATGTCTTGAACGGAGAGGATATCGTTTCCGACGAGGACGAAGCGGATTTGGGTTTGTGGATAGTAAGGGATGATGTTGGTTTGGACCCATTCCTCAGCTCTGGTTTGGTTGGTGCTGAGAGATATGATTTGGTGGTTAGGTACGGTTATGGTGACGTAGAGATTTGTTTGAGAGAGGAGTGTGAGAGATTCTGGATCTGCGTCGTAGAGCTTGACGTGACCGGCTTTGAGGGATTTGATGAGATTGATGGATTGGAAAGGAGATGGGAGGTTGTTTCCTTGTCTACCATAGTTGATACCAATCTTGCTTGCTAGATCAAGCATTGTTTTCCTCTGTATGTACCTGTGCTGATGCTGGAACCGAGTCGCTGAGCAACATGAACCTGTCAAAAACCAAAGAAAACTATGCTCAAATGGATGAAAACAAATGTAAAATGTAAAAACATTATGATTCTTGGTGACTTACTAGAGAAGACAAGGAGGGTGAAGAGGAAGAAAGCAAGAAGAGCCATTGTTCTTTTGAGTTTGGTTTGCAATGTGTTGTTAGTGATGATCAGGTAGTGATTTAAATGGGAAAGGTGTGGAAGTGGAGATGATGCATTGATGTATTTAAGTAGGAGTAAGGTGTAGTTTTAGTGTGTAGGTTTATAGATTTAAATTTGAGTCATGCAAGAAAAGCTTTTTGGCTTTTGGTTTATTCTTTTTGAAACCTCTCCATAGTTCTTTTGTGCAATGGTTTTTAAAAGATTGTTGGTTGGATGGTTCAAATTGAACCAAGAAACGTTCACTTATACATCTTTTTACATGTTGTGAAATTTGTTAAAATACATTGGTGATTGTTAGAACTGAGAAAAATACCTCTATAACAATTCGGTTGTGAAGACTTTTTGTTTTTATTTTTTTATTTTTTTTTATAGATTGAGTTAAGAAACTAATGAACATTCCTACGTCATTTTGTTTACTCCCAAATCAATTTTATAAATTCTAGTTAATATGTATATGAATATATCGTAATTTGATATTATTATTTGAAGTTACAAATTCATTGAATTTTTGAAGTGTACAGTACAGAAATAGGAGAATTTTACTATTTAAAATGAAATAAAATGAGGATTTAGCTTGGCGCATGAGCCAAAATCTCACACGCTCGCACACAATCCAATCCAAATGGCTATCAGACGACCACCGATACTAATCGTCGTCTTCCTCGTCATACTAACCGCCGGCGTGAGAATCGCCACCGCGGATGAGCCGGTCCCTGCGCCATGGCCGCATCAATTCCACGCGCTAATGTTCATGAATTACTCCGGCGACCTCTCGATGATCGACCTTTGGTACGACTGGACCAACGGTCGTAATTTCAATATCATCCAGGAGCAGCTCGGTGGCATTACCTACGACCTCGAATGGAACAATGGAACCTCCTTCATCTACTCGCTCGACGAGTCAAAATCGTGCCGCTCCGCTCAACTCGAGGTCGGTACTATTTTTCTGTGCCCGAACTCTGTCACAGATCTGAGAATTTCGTTTGGCTGTAGAATAGGAACAGAATTCGGATTTTAGCTTATTGAGTTCGTACTTTCTGTTTGGATTGAGTGATTTCACTGAGAAAATAGAGTAAGAAACCACAGAGATTGCTCCAATTTTAAGCAAAAAGGAGCCTCATAGGATGAAATTTTACGAATTTATAGTGCTTGAGTGTGAAATTGAAATCCTTTAGGTCCTAACGAAACTACAATATTATTGTATTTAGCTAAAGTCAGGTGACTTCATATTCATTTGATGAAGATAAAGCTCTCTGCAAATATTTAGTTTGAAGTTCTTTCTTGTTTCTGAGTCACTTCCTCATCACTTTGGTCATTCGTTTTTCAAACTTTTCAAGTGTTTGTGGCATTTCCTTGTTCATTGACCATTGTGCTTAGATTCAGTAGCAGTGTGCAGGACTTGGTTTCTTGAATTACCTTAAGGACTTCTGCAGAGTATAAACTCTAAATCTTACTTAAACTTGGTTATTTAATTTGAATATTAGTCAAGTTACACCTAGAATGGCCCTGTATGTAACTTGTAATGCTTTTGTGACTTGCTGAAAATGCTTGGAAATTTATGTCGGATAAGGTTGGAATCCTGCGACCGAATTGGCTAGATGGAGCCAAGTATTTAGGTCAAAGACATGTGAATGGGTTTCACTGCAATGTATGGGAGAAAGTAGACTTTATATGGTACTATGAAGATGTCGAAACCAAGAGACCCGTGCAATGGATCTTCTATACAGGTGATCTGAGACATACCATCCTTCGCAATATGCCATTGTTTACTTAGTGAAACTCAATCTGAAATGAGAGGGACAATTTGATTGCAGGGAGAGAGGCTCATGTGATGACATTCGAGGTTGGTGCGGTCTTAGAGGATGAGAAATGGCAAGCGCCGGTTTATTGTTTCAACAAAGAGAAGAAGAAGAAGAAGGGTTTATCTTTAGAGGGAGGTTTAAGAGAGTTTAAAGGATACAAAGAAAAAGCTGTTTTGTAATGCTAATTAACGAGTGCTTTTTTTCTTTCTCTTCTAGGATCAACAAATCAGTGAATAAATGGCGTTTATGGTTTTAGTGTTTTACTTATGAGTTATCAGTTATAAGTGGATAACTCTTTAAACTCTGTTCTGTTGTGAAAATTGGAGTAGGTTCAAGTCAATCTCTTTCAATGTATTCACTGTAGCTGAATTGTAAGATCAAACGAAAACCTAAAAACAGGAAATTTCTTTTTTTTTTTTTGCTAAAATGAAAAGGAAATTTCCTTTTTCCTTCCGTCGAACAAAACTGAGCAGGAGAATACAAAAACTTGTATAAACTTGCAGGAGAAGCAAACCCTAAATTTCCGAGGAACATCAAAAAAAAATCTCTCGAGGCTTGAGCATTTTTTCATAAGCATAGTACAGTTTCTTCATCAAAACCCCGATAATGAGAATCATCCGTAAGGATATTGTTCGTAATGGAGCCGGAAGCGTTAAGATGGTGCCGGAGGAGTCCAATGATCTCTGGTATGCTTATAACCTGATTGCACCTGGAGATAGTGTAATGGCTCTCACTGTCAGAAAGATTCAGAGAGAGGTAAACGGTATTGTAAGAGACTCTGAACGTATTGGACTGAAGCTTGAAGTACAAGTTGAGGAAGTGGACTACGACAAAGACGGTGCCGTTTTACGCGTACATGGTAAAAACATACTTGAGAACGAGCACGTAAAGATTGGTGCGTACCATACCTTGGAGCTTGAGCTGAAACAACGTTTTGTATTGAGGAAACAAAACTGGGACTCGTTGGCTATTGATACACTCAAGACGTCTTCAAGTTCTTCTGCGAGTGGTGATTTAGGTCTAGTTCTAATCGGAGAAGGGCATGCAGAGATCTTTCTTGTAGGCTCGAGTGTGAGTAGAAGGGTTTCACAAATAAAAACATCAATTCCTAATCTGAAGCGTGGAGGAAGTGGTTACGAGTCTGCTTTGAAGAAGTTCTTTGATAACGTTGTGCATGCGTTTTTGAGACACGTTGACTTTAGTGTCGTTCGTTGTGTAGTTATCGCAAGCCCTGGTTTTACGAAAGATCAGTTTCATCGCCACTTGTTGTTGGAAGCAGAGAGAAAGCAGCTGAGAACTATTATTGAGAACAAGTCACGTATAGTTCTTGTGCCTACAAGCTCTGGATATAGTCATAGCTTAAAAGAGGTAATGCAAAACCCTAACGTGATGAATATGATCAAAGATACTAAAGCAGCGAGAGAGGTCAAAGCTCTCAGCGCTTTCTTCGTCATGTTTGATAAGAATCCAGATCGTGCATGTTATGGACCAAAACATGTGGAAGTTGCTCATGAACGTATGGCGATCCAAACACTTCTCATTACGGATGAGCTGTTTAGGTGTTGTGACGTGTTAACAAGGAAGAAGTACGTTGATTTTGTGGAGTCGGTGGAAAAATCAGGTGGAGAGGTTTTTATATTTTCTTCGATGCATGTTTCAGGGGAACAATTGGCAAATCTGTCTGGTATTGCAGCTCTTCTCAGGTTTCCTTTACCAGATCTCGATGACATTGAGATGTAACAAAATCTACTTCGACTATGAAATTCTCATGCTGTAATTTATAGTTTCTGGTTTGTTTGTCAGAGATTTGTATTGCGTTTCCATTTGAAATTTCTATTGGTTTTCTTACTTTTTAATTTTCTAAATGAGATTCCGCTTGTGTTCACTTGTTCATCTAAATGGTTTCACAATTAGAGGAATTAATCTAGAGTAATTGAACATTCAACTGAAAAATTCCACTAATTCTGCTGGAAACTGAATTTGTGAAGAAAGTAATTTTCTTCTAAAATTATATTCCATTAATCTCTATTCCACTAATTCCTCTAGTGATAACCATTTGCATCTTCAAGAGAACATAATGTAAACCAAATTACAAACAGTACTGTTACGTATACAATCATGTGGAGACTGGCGTGACAAAACTTAGAATGCACACAAGCTCTAGTAACTTGCAAAGATATTTTCCTGTTAGCAACTATTGTAAGCATAAACTTGATCAACTCATATATCTCTACTACAAATAAATGTTTGCATTATTACTCAGAAGTGAAAATTTCCCTAAACATATATCGGACGTCTACACAAGATTAAAATGAGAAACAAACAATCCAAAGCCAAACTTCTGAAGAGAAGCGATACCAATATAATTAAGCATAAACTCAAAAGCCTTTCTGGTCTCCTCTTGACCCTCTGCCCCTTTATTGTCATAGACCTTTCTGATGAACCGTTCTACGTAATCGGAATAACAGACCTTCAATTCAGTCAATGGTGACACACGTAATCACTAATCTGAGATTCAATCAGTGTTAACTATCCTCCGCCCAGCCTAGCTAAAGCTTCTGCTTGCTTCAACGCCAATAAGTTTCGCCTCCAGAAAGGGCACGTAGTACCTGGGATCGCAAGAGCAGAAACCGGCGGTGTTATAAGTAAACCCTAATCTCAATGTCAACAGTTTAACACTCTTTCGACGAGTCTGGCCGAAACACGGTGGCCGGCGAGAACCTATCGCAGTGATGCAGAACGGAGAAACTCAAAAGCCACAACCTTTTATTCAGTAAAGGAAAAAAATTCAGCGGTTCACTTGAGGTTGATCACACTCAACTATATAACAAAACTAGGAGGTGATCCGGAATTTATATTATTGTGTTAATTTTATTGTTTTTCCGCAAATTTAGTTTATTTCTATTGTTTATTATTGTTTCAAAAATATTACACATATTAATTAAAAATAATTAGGATTAGGCAAAATTAACGTACGTCTTGTCCCATTGTATCCCATTTCGTTCATTTTCATCATGTCTGTTCTTTCTCGTCTCATCCGTCCTGTCTGTCCCGTCCCGTCCTATCCCATTATGTTCCTTTCCATTTTGTTATGTCCCATCATGTTCCTTCCGTTTCTTCTCGTCCCGTTCCCTAAATATAACTAAGGATAGACAAAATTCCCGTATAGTCCCATCCCGTCCCATTTCATTCCTTTTCATCTTGTCCCGTTCTTTCCGTCCCGTTCGCCATGTCCGCCCTATCGAGTCCCATCCTATCCTGTTATATTTTTTTTTTCCGTTTTGTCTTGTCTCTGTCCGGTCCCTAAATATAATTAGGGGTAGGTGAAATTTATGTCCCGTCCCTTCTCGTCCCATTATGTCCCTTTCATCCCGTCCCGTCCAATCCCGTCTCATTCCGTTTTTTCATCTCGTCATGTCTAATTTGTCTGTCTCGTCCAATCTTATCCCATTTCTCTCGTTATGTTTTTTTCGTCTTATCATGTCCGGTCTCGTCTCATTTCATCCCAAAATAGTTAAAAAATCAGTGTTCTTTATATAATATCTTGACATCAATGTAAATTATATAATCTAACAAAAATAAATTTACTAAATAATAGTTTTTGTAGATCTAGTCTTTCTCCTTTTTTAAAAAATGATTTTCATATTCTTGTTAAATTTATTATAGTAATGAACTACGTTGCATGGAAACGGAAACGCGGAAGCGAAACGTTTCCGAAACGAAAAACGTGTATTTTCAAATATATAAGTTTGGAAACGTTTTGAAACGTGTATAAATATAAATAAATAAATAATATATATATATATATATATTAGATATTAAATAGTTAAACTAAAGATAAATATTATAATGTCTCATGTCAAAATTAAAAATATATTATTATTATTATTATTATTATGCATTTCATGAATCAAACTATCTTCAACTATTTTCATCAAGAGGAAGATTTTAAATAATCAAACTCAATATTTAATAATAAGACTAGTTTTCATTTAATGTATCAAATTAATTAATTGTCTCAAACAATTAAAACAATCCATTAATAATATTATTTTTATGTAATTATAAAATTATTATATTTTCAAAAAACAAGCAGTTAATTTCCCTAAATAGGGAAACACAAGTTTCCAAAATGGAAACACGAGTTTCCAACAAGTTTCCAAATTGCAAATTTTAGGAAACGTGGGAAAACGAGTTTCCGACAAGTTTCCGAGAGTTTTCGTTTTGGGAACGTTTCCGAAATGGGAAACGCGACTCGGACGGAGTTTCCATGCAACGTAGGTAATGAATGCTAATTATTATGAAATTAAAATATTAAAAAGAAAAAATATAATAAGCCAAATAAAATGATGACATGGCAAAATGGTGAATTTAGAAGCAACGAGAAGAGAGGAACATGAACTTTATATATATAGATATTGGCCTATTGGGCTTAAATAGTGAACCCATATAAAGGATATGGCCTTTTACACCTATAATTAAATTGTTGAACTTCAGATTAGGGTTTACTAAACTGAGAGTGGTATAAAAGAAAATCTATTTTTTATTTTATCATCCACTAATATATGTTAGCCGCCAGAGTAGATTTAGGGATCTAGAATCTAGTGGTTTTGTAGGTTTAGGGATCTAGAATCTAGTGGTTTTGAGTTTCCTGTGGGAACTTGAATATGCCATTACATTTGTCTAAGTTCTCAGTAATGAAAGGTCACAAATCAGTTTTCTTCTCCAAAGGTTTGAAAAGCTTCTCTCTTATATATCTTCTTTATACTTCTCAGCAAGCATCCTGTTTTTTTTTGTATCCCGAAACTCACTTTTATCATTTTGTAAAAATATGAAACAGATGCAATCAATCATACGGATGTCTATGGTGACATGGAAATTGTGTTACGTTGGCGATTAAATAGCTTCTCCATGACATAATATGGTTAGAGATGTGGAAACAATATTGATTTCCGTAAGTATTTAGAAATGTAACGGTAACTGGAATATGGTGAAGGAGATTTATGTGTTTTTCATCTGATTTTGATCATGTTTTTAATCTTAGGTTTCATTGTTTTGGTCATGCTCATTAAGTCATTAGTTGCGTAATATTTGCTAAGAAGATGAAGATCCACCTATTCACTTGAAAGAAAATAGTTGATTGTTATGTTTTTATTAGATTGCAGAAGATCAAGTTTAATCATTTTGTTTTAACTTTTTCATTCTAGACTTATAAAATGATATATATCTAACACAAAGTAAAGGTTTGCAACTTTTTACTTTCCAGGGTTATCTACTGACGTCCTGGTGCTCATGCGGTTTGTGGAGGCGGAGAATATAAATCTCCGAAGGATATGATCCTCTTCTCATTGGTAAAACGAAGTTTCTTAACCCCCTTAATAATGTTGAATATTGCTTCATATATATAAGTAACGCAGCTGGTTAGTGGTTTATGTTAAGCCGTAACAAGTTGGCTCGCATATGTTAAGTCTTTATAATTACAACAATGATGCTTTTCTTGATATATATGAGCATGGGATTATCTACACAACCATACGATGTGTGATAATTCGAAATGAGCGTCGGATTCATATCATGCGTTATGCATCTATATATACCGAATGTTAGCTAAAAACATAGATTAAGAAATTTTAGCTGTCTATTACTGTCGTACATGTTGGTCAAAGGTAAATATAATATATGCATGAAGTATGCATGGGTAACTTCATGCATGGCGTGGGTTTGCATTTTGATAATGATGCGAGCGCATACCAGTACTTGTGTTTGCGCTTGTATTTTGTTTGATGAAGTGTTTGCGCTTGTATTCACAGGTTGCGTTTCGTAGGCCTAGCGTTTCGCTCCGACAAAACAAAAGAAAGTATGGGCGTGTTTTGGCAAGGTATCAAATTTTACATTTTGTTTTGGCTAGGTATTAAATTTTACGTACATTAGAAGCTCTAAATTTATGGTCTATCTTTTACCTGATCAGATTTCAGTTATTCAATATAAGTATTTATTTTGAGATGAAACCCTAGAAACTAAACTCTTAAACCCTAAAAACTAAACTCCTAAATCCAAATATTTACCCAAATCCAAATATATAAATTATAAAATCTCAAAAATTAGTCTCACATTTTACCACAAATAAATAATTTAGACATAGGCATTTTGAAAATAGGTATACACTACAAGGAAAGAGAGAGAAACTCAAGATAGTTGTTGGAAATTTTCTAATGAATCTCCAAATACACGAAAATTTTAAAAGAATCTTGACAAAAAAAAAATTATCTAATTTTTGTAGGTAAAAATTCTTCTCTCTTTTTTTTTGAACATCTTCTCCAAATTCTTCTCCAAATGAAAGATTATCTTAAGTTAGTAACTATCGAAACAAGCAAGTTGATCTAATATTCTCTTCAGTTCTCGATTTACCTTTTTCCTCCCAATTTTTTTTTTTCTGATCGCTCATATCTTCTAAAGTTCTTATCAGTCTAACTTCCTTCCCTTGTACTTTCTTCTAACACAAGGTTTCTTTTTTCGAGTCTCTGGTCAGAAGCTTGTCGACTGTTCTTATCCAGCTCACATGAACCAATATAACCAAAAATGTGCAACTCATGTCTTTCATCATTTTAATGTTATGAAGTTACTACACTTGTAGTTAAAAGATCTTATGCGCCATCTTTAATCGTCAAATAGTCGATGTCACCGACCATTTGAATGTGAAAGTCTATCTTGAACGTTTCGCCCCAATAGTAAAGTATATTGCCAACTTGTATTTATTAGGGATCCTTTGTCCTTTTCAAATTGGTTGTCACCCCCATATTATTGCAATTTGATTGCACGGTTTGAAGCACTTTTTCGAATCAAGATAGCACAACCAATGTCTAACTGTATCGAACCGCATCAAAACCGAATCAACTAGCTCATGGTTTCCGGTTTCTCTATCAGCTTTAGTTATTCCCGAGTCAAAATACGGATATATCACTTTTTATTGGATCATAACTTTTCAATTTCTTTGCCGGTGTCAGCAAATTTTTGGAACCTTTTGGTCTGCCACGTCCTCTTTTGATCGGAGCAGTACTAGGACCAGCTTAAGCAGAGGAAGACTTGTTGTGGGAGCCATCAAATGGTCCAATGGTTGGAACTGGTGTGACCATTTGAGGAAAAGATGTTGTTGCGTTGGGTCTTTTATCATTGCCGTCATCATATGTTGTAGATGGTGTAACCGTTTGAAGTTGTATGATCATTGGAGAAGGAGGCATTGTTATGCTTGGTGGTTCATCATTGAGATCAATGGAAGCTGAAAATGGTGTGACTGTTGAAGAATGAGGTGTTGTTGTACTTGGTGGTTCATCATTGAGATCAATGGATAATGAAAATGGTGTGACCATTGGAGAATAAGGAGTTGTTGTGGTTGGTGGTTCAGCATTGAGATCAATGGATGCTGAAAATTGTGTGATCAACTCCTTTAGAGCTTTGAATGATCACACCATTTTCTGCATCCGTTGATCTCAATGATGAAGCACCATGAACAACAACGCCTCATTCTCCAATGTTCACACAATTTTCATTATTAATTGATCTCAATAATGAACTACCAAACACAACGACACCTCATTCTCCAATGGTCACACCATTTTAAGCATCCATTTATCTCAATAATGAAACACCATGTACAACAAAGCTTTATTCTCCAATGGTCACATAGCTTCATACATTTACACCATCTACAACATCCGATGATAGCAATGATAAAACACCCACCATAATAAATTTTTCTCTTCAAATTGTCACACCACTTCCATCCATTAGACCATTTGATTGTTCACACAACGAGTTTTCCTCTGCTTAAACTGGTCTTAGTACTTCTCCGATCAAAAGAGGATGTTGCTGACCAACAGGTTCCAAAAAATTGCTGACGTCCGCAAAGAAATTAAAAATATATGATCCAAACAAAGAGCTAGTTGATAGAGAAATTAAATATATGCTTCTACCATGTCCGTATTTTCACACGGGGATAACTGAAGCTGATAGAGAAACCGGAAACAAAGAGCTAGTTGATTTGCTTTTGATGTGGTTTGATGGGTTAGACGTCACTTGTGCCAGCTAGAATAAAAAAAGTGATATGGGAATATTGGTCGATTTTTGAACCATAATTGTTCACCAAATGTTATGTGACAACAGGTTAAGTGTGAAGAGAATGATGAACCGTATGTTTGGGTTGATTTTTTTTTGCGATTAAGCATATTCCACCATTGACGGAATTGAGGTATGACTATAGAATGTCTTGTGTAAATGAGGAGGTTGGAGAAGATGGAAGGAAGCTTTCTAAAAGTAAAAAGATTTGTTTTTGTGATTCACTCATATATTGTGACTCTTACTGGTGATTTTGAAAGAGAATTATCTAACTCTGTTTGGTATACTTTCAATGAAAAATCTTACATAAAAGTGTTTAACCTCATAACCAATATAAATTTAACTCTCAATATACCCTCATATATCGTAGCTCTTATGGGTAAGTTTTGAAAGAGCCACAAGTATATTGAGGGTATATTGACAGTTAAATTTATATTGGTTATGAGGGTTAGATCCTTCTCTGTAAGGTTTTTGATTGAGAGTATACCAAACATGGTTAGATCCTTCTCTTTCAAAAATCACACATAAGAGCCACAACATTTGAGTGAACCACAAAGACAAATCTATTTACTTTTAAAAAGCTTTCTTCCATCTTCTCTGACCACCTCATCTACCTAAAACATTTCATAGTCATACCTTAAATCCATCAATGGTGAAATATGCTTAATCGCAAAAAAAAATTATATTCATACATACAATTCACCATTCTTTTCACACTTAACAGGTTGTCACATAACATTCGGTGAACAGTTATGGTTTATAAACCGACCAATATTCCCATATCTTTTTGCATTGATCAAGATTGGCAACAGATGATTAAAAATATCAGAGACTTGTTCACAAGAATCCTTGCTCACAATCTCCGACTCGTAGTTCCATCTGAAATGATTACTAACCGAAAACTATTGTTGCTGAAGTTTCGTTTTGGTTTTGTATTATCTTTTGAAGCATTAATCCAGAACTTTGGGTGATGATACTTTTTAGCTTTTGCCCAGTTCCCAAATCGGGCTTAAGTTAACTCAATGCGTTTATTTTACTACAGAAAAAAGAACCGTAATTAAGTTAAACCCCAATTAATTAAGTTGTATAATAACGGAGGAAAAGGAAGAGACTCTGTTTTTTTTTTTCTTTCTTTGGCAAGTCTACTTCTCGGGTCAATCTCTTTCCTTTGTTTGATTTTCATTTATATCTGTTTTAATTTGGGTATTAGGGTTTTTTTTCGTTCTCTCTGGCCTCTGCCCTTTCTCTTCTTTCTCAAGGTGGAAATTTCTTAGATTTTTTTTTTCCCGCAATCTTCTTTAGGATGAAGATTTGAAACTTTTGTTGACAAAAGAAAAAAAGATTTGGTTTAAAGGAATTACCATTGGTATACCCAAACATTGTTTTTTTAGGTGACAGTATACCCATATGACATGTTTGACAATTGGTATACCCCAAGGGGTGGTTAATGACCCTTTTATCTTCTACGAACAAACAATAAACGAGCGACGCAATTACCAATTTACCCATGGTGTTGAAGTCTACGTAAGACGTCAACTAAAGTAGACTTCAAAACGAAGTCTACAACGCCTTAAGATCTTAAATTTTAATTATAAAATTAAAGAAAAATATTTAAACCAAAAACATTATACACAAAAAAGACCTTGTTATTTAGCATCTATTAAAAATATTTTTGCTTGAAAATGTATTAGTCTAAATACACAAAGGCAAAGCATGCCACAAACCTATAAATTTGGAGAGAGTCTACTCATGAAGTCTACTTTTTACGAAATCTTAAATTTTAATTTAAAATTTATAAAAAATATTTTGCTAACAAATTTTTGTTATTAATCTAAGTAAATACAATGTTCATATATAGGAAAATACAAACTCATGAAAATGTATAAGTTTATAAGTTTCATGAGTATTTGGTCCATCAAGGATAGAGTTTAGGTTTGAAGTATAGGGCTTGGTAGTATAAGTTGTTAGGGTTTAGCCAAATATTTTTTGAAAACCAAGTTTAATCGTTGTATAGTCATTTAATGTTCATATATGTGTTGATTATAATGTAATTTGTGTATATTCAACGAAAACTATTTTATTCCATAAGTTTCTTTGTGTAAAATATTTGATACAGGGTTTAGGGTTGGAAGACTTCTTAAGTAGACGGAACATGTAGACTTCAAAACGAAGTCTACATAACCGGAATTTTAAACTAAACCGGGATTACCGACCTTCATATATATAGAGAGCGTAACCCTAATTTTGTTAAATCTGCGGAAACGAATCTCTCTCTAAGACGGCGCAGCTTCTCTCTCTAAGACGGCGCAGCTTCTCTCTCTGGTCCCCTCCCCAGTCGTCGTTGTCGTCGTATTTGTGGTAAGCGGGCGACGAATTATTTTTCTTGAATTGTCATCATGTCGTTTCTTCTATACTGAGACTAAATATCTGATTTCTTGTTCGTGGAAGGGTCGGTCGTGCTTCTCTCTCATACTCTCGTGTCCAGATCTGCGACGGAAACCGGTAACGGGTGAGCCTTAGTATGCAATAGTTGGAATATTTATTGTTTTGATAGTTGTAAGCTAATTTGGGCATGGGGTTCTGTTTTGGCGTACACAGGAATGGGGCGGTACAGCTACAGTCAACCTTCAAGCAGCTCTGTTAGGTTGATTAGCCCTGACGAAGCAGATGTGAGCTCCACCAGTCGACACTATGGAATTCCTAATTTATGCTATTGTGGGTTGCCGACGATGATGAAAACAATGGACAGCACAGATGAGTATCCGGGTAGAATGTTCTTTGGATGCAAAGATTATAAGGTCAATCGAAAGGTGGTAAGTTCCATCAATTGTCATTTGTTTCATGTCTACGCATCTCTATGTATCGTGAGACCCATATGTCGTTTTTATAGGGTTGTGACCTGCATCTAGTGAAGTGGTGGGACGAGGCTATGATGGAGGAATTCGTTCTCCTGCGACGTGCTACTGACAACCAAGGAGATTGCGTTCGTGTCCTGAGAGTTGCTGATCGGATTGAGGCAGAGCTAGGTGAACTGAAACGCCTAGCTCTTACGGAGAACAAGCGTCACAGGGGAGCGGTACTTCACATCGTCATTGCGCTTGTCGTCCTCCTCGCCGGCATCATCATAGCCTGCGGATGCATGATTATGTTTAGATAAGTTAAGGTGTTTTCTGTGTTCTTGATGTTTGAAAAGATGTTACGGATATGTAATGAAGGATCCCGTTGGATCTAGAAACGTAAAACCCAGAACGGGCTGTATAATATTTGTTGCATTTTGTCGTCTAAACAGCCTACAAATGATGACTTCCAATGTTGAGTGCTAATGTAGACTTCTAAAGTAGACTGTTAATATTGGTTTAAGAAAGTGGTTTACTACGATGTTAATCTACGACCGTACAGTATTATTGCTATAACCATACTAAAACAAGATGTAAACAAGATGTTAATCTACGATCAAGATGTAAATTACCAACGTTACCGTCGAATGTATAGTTTTTATATTAAGATGTAATCTACGAGTGTACATTGTATTCGGAAACTGGAACGTGTTTAAGGAGACTTCCCTTGTTGACTTCATGTGTATACGTCAAGGTGGAGTCAACAAATTGAAATTAGAAAAGCGGGAATAAGCGGGAAGAATTCGCGGGTTTTTGACATTTAGGGTTTTTACCAATTATTTCGCGATCCCGAACCGATAACCGCAGTGATAACCGATAACCGCACCGAGAACCGAAAACTGCACCCATAACCGATAACCCAACCGATAACCGCCCCGATAACCGGTAACCGCTCCTGATAACCGCATTGATAACCGTTCCCCACCGGTCCAAATTTAACTTACTTTCCTCATTTGGTTTCATTCACTTCTTTCAACCCTAAAAAATATTCTCTCATCGACCACGCGATTCCCGACCACTCAAACGCCGTGGAGGATTCCTGATGACTAAAACGCCTCCCCTCGTTTTTGTACCGAAGTAAGTTACTTTCCTCGGCGACCCTCGATGAACCCTCGTCTTCATCGATTTTGAAAACATATTATTCACTTATATCGGCTCAAATCCTCCTTACTCACGCATTTTCTTTGTTTTGACTTCGTCCGCCGCCGTAATCCGTCCTCCGCCGCGTCAGTCGTAATACTTGACCATTCCGTCTCCGCCGCTGTTTGTGGCCAGTCCCCCTTGTGGTAGCGAATCGAAGGTAAACAGTCGATTCCCGCTTACAATCGTATGGAGAATTAGGTTGTATTCCTACGTTTATGAATTAGGTTGTAGATTTCTTTGGTATACTTCATCAGTAGACTTGCACTGTAGACTTCGTCAGTAGACTTCCTTTGTAAACTTCTAATAATGCTGCAGGATGGAGAAGCCGTCATTTCCTAGAAGGTTTTTCAGCAAAGGTTCCGAGCCTGCATCCGAGAAGAGCATCGGATACTACAGCAACAACACTAAGCTGTTTGAGAGTCTTGTCGCTCTCTTCACCGACGATGAATGGGCTGAGCTCGAGGGATCTCCGCTCGGTGTCTTCTTCAGATTCGCGAGGAGGACTTTCAATTGGGCATCAATGATTGTGAAGTGTATCCTTACATGTCAAATAGCGTGCAAGAAACCCTTTGAGATATGGAGTGTGGTTGGGCACAACCCTGTAAGGTTCTCGTTAAACGAGTTTGCACACATAACCGGTTTGAACTGCGAGTACACGGAGAATCTCCAGACCCCCTCCTGTGCTGACGTTGATGAAGATGAGTTCTCTGAGTTTTGGCATAAACTCGGTGTTCCTCTCACCAGTGGTCCTTCAATTGATAACCTAATCCGAGCATGCGGATGGGCCCAAGACTGGTCAGCGGAGGACAAAAAGAGACTGGCTTATTTAGCCGTGTACGCTGGTTTCATTATCGCAGCGAGGGAAAGTACTGCTACGCCGCTGGGGATGGCAAAGTTGGTAATGGACCTAGAAGAGTTCGAGGCTTATCCTTGGGGGAGGGTAGCCTTCTTGAACCTCATTCAATCTGTGAAAAGCGCCAACCTCAGCAAGCACTACGTTCTGTGCGGGTTTGTTGAAGTTCTTCAACTGTGGACCTACTACGCTATGCCCACCTTCGGCGAAGAATACGGTGATCCCTATGCCGCTCCGCAATCTCCGCCTTTGATGGCATTCAGGGGAATGAAAGGGCGTAAGAATATAATGCCTCGACTTCTTGCGCAGGTACGTAATGAGTTCAATAAGAAATGGTTTAGTTATATCATAACATCCCCATATTCATCGTTATGATCGCAGGTTGAGTACAATCATATGGTGATGGTGAGAGGGAGGATGCTTACCCTAGGTGGGACAACGACGTGGAGGATGATGACGTCGATAACGTCATCAAGGCCTTGTATGGTGAGCTGGGTGGAGTGTGGAGATGGAAGCCATCCGACTGGATCCGCGAAGGAATAATGGTTTTGGATAACGTGAAGGCAGAGAAGGGTTTTCCCAGGAAGAGACTGCTGGATTCAGATGACCTGTCCGTGAAGAGACCATGCCATGCCTATGGGATGGAAGGACAGTCCTCCGACGCTGGTTTGGGGACAATCCAGTCCGCATTGCAGGCAATGTTTGATCAGTTCACTGTGTATCAGTCAGGTCAAATCACCAACCGGTTCGATAGGCTCGAATACAAGGTCGAGCTCCTCACCAACCAGGTGACCTCGCTGGAGTCTGCTGTCGAGAAGCTTAGACAGGGCTCATCGGAAGATACAGCAGATAAGGAGCATGACAAGTCCAACGAGGCTGTTGGAGGAGAAGGAAAGGAAGAAGAGCCGGCCGGTGCTGCAAAGGTTCACGCAGACGCTAAGGTCCCCGAACCTTCTAAGGTTCCCGGAAGCTTCTAATGTTCCCGAATCTTCTAATGTTCCCGAGCTTCTAAGGTGCCCGAAGCTGCTGCCCCGGTTAGTAATGATCCCTTTCACAATAAATCTGCTCGTATTGCTGCCAAAAAAAAAAATGAAATGACTGAGAATCCTAAACCAACTAGCAATAAGGCGGGTAGAGGTAGAGGCAGGAAGAAGACGAAGTAGTCATGAAGATTGTTGTTTGTTTAATTGCAACTCTCCCTTAATGTTTCGTGTTTGCGTGCGAACATATTATATACATTTCACATGTACACTTCACATGTAGACTTCACTTGTAGACTTCACATGTATACGTTACATGTAGACTTGTTGCTCATTGAATCGCTTATTTCTATGTTAACACCCCTTAATAATTACGCTACGTTGTTGCTGTTTATCGGTCGGTGTAGAACCAGACAGCCGAGTCCTGCGAGAGTGACAACGATAAGGACGACAGCTGCGAGTTCCTGAGGCAAGTTACGCCGTCGAAAGCAGACACGATCGAGTATCTAAAAAGAAGGCAACCGAAGGACACGGCCAAGATATGGATGCGAAAAGGCGGAGGACAGAGAGGATCATGACACTAGCGGAGTCACAAGGTGGTGTTTACATTGGTAATAGTACGGCGAAGCGTATAGTACCTAACGATGGAGCTAGAGGACGTGGATATGATCCCTTCGCGCCATTGGACAAGGGGACGAAGAAAGCCGTCATAGAGTACTGCAAGAAGCTTCCGTAAGTTGACTTCACATGAATATTTATATGTAGCCTTCGTGAGTAGACTTAGTATGTTGACGATAAGCTTATAACCTCATTGGCCTTATGCTATGATTTGTTCCCAGTGGTTCAGGAAAGAGGAAGACCATAAAAACAGCCAAGGAGTATCCCATAAGATTTTGGTGGTATGACCTTCTGAATCAGAAGGAGTGGCTGGAAGACACGGTTTGTTACCCTTTCTAAAGTATATTTAACTTCAGTTGTAGACTTTCATTAAGTTATCTAATCCGATGTTCTCGACAATGCAGCACATAAACGCCGCAATTTATTTACTGAGGGCACGCTTGATGGATCACCCAGAGTGGTTCAGAAGTGATCGTATCTGCTTTGTGGACACATACTTTGGGCACTACTGGAGTGCAAAGTACGAGGAGTTCAAGCTGATAGAGGCTAACGAGAAGGGCGAAGGGAAGCCCCTACCAAATCTATCGTGGGATTACTATAAAGGTGCACAACCAGAGCCTCGGCCAACAAACAAGATTTGGGGGGTCGACATTGACGAACTTTACGTCCCTTTCAACGTGAAAACTGACCATTGGGTAGCTCTGCTCATTTCCTTGCCGAAGAGGCATATCACTGTGTACGATAGTCTACCCCATCACGTGAAGCCGGAAGAGTTACCTGCACTCTTAGAACCATTGGCGGTGATGTTTCCCTATTTGATGAGGACATGCGTTGACGAGGACATGAAGTACTTGTGGACTCTGGAACCGTTTACTTATGACCGGCCAATCGGCCAAGAGATCGTGCCACAACAGAGCAACGACAATGACTGCGGAGTGTTCACGCTGAAGTACATTGAATGCCACGCCCTTGGTATGGAGTTCCCGCAGACGCTGTGCCACGCGAACATACCTGACATTAGATTGAAAATTGCTGGTGACTTATTCCATGAGACAGGGGTTCGCGGACCAAAGGAGCGTGACTGGGCGGAGTTGGACTAATCAGAGTCGATGATGTGGGTGGATGTATGTATTAGGTACAGGTTTAGGCTGACGAGGGTTTTTGGTTTAAGGTATTTTTTTGGCCAAACCTATCAAGTAACAGGTTTTCGGTGTAAATGGGTGGACAAGTACTCTTCCGATATTACTACTTGTTTTGTAAAGGTATTTCTGGGAAGGGTTAATGTTAACTTCTAATGTAAACTTTGTATGTTAACTTCGTCTGTAGACTTCCGTATCACTTTTCTGCACTATTTCTGGTCATTGAAAATATTTGATAAACCATGATTTGGAGAATGCCTACACTATTTCAAGTCTTAAACGTCAGTAGATTTGGCAAATTACGCATACCCCGAATATAACCCAAATACACTTACAATAACATACACTTAGAATACCTACGAGACTCGATGGATCTTGTGGAGTTCTTATGAAGACTTATGCGGTAGACATCATTTGCAGACTTCAGTCTGAAGCAGTCTTCAATCCAGGAAAATATATGGTTTACCATTAGGACATGAATTTCAAAATCAAGAAATGATATGCGTGAAGGAGATCTAGTATTACAAAATACTTACACATTTTGGCCGTGTATGACCTGGTAATTTGCACTTGGAACACGTGTACTTCTTTGGCATCTTTCTCGGTTTGTTGTTCCTCTTCCGTGCCAACTCTAACCAAGTTTGCCACCTTGATTTCTTTTTCCTGCCAGGGGCCGGTGCAGGCTCCGGGGACGGCAAGGTTCCTTTTTAACGAATGAAAAGTTTGATGCTGAAGGATAGAGCGGATGCGCATAGGTAGCGTGTACAGTGTTTTTATTGTACGCTGGACTCACGTATGAAGAGACAAGTAAGCGCGCGTCGTTAATTGCAGCAATGGCGTGTGAGCAAGGTATCTTCTCAACTTCAAACACCCCACAAGAGCATGTTCGGAGTTCCAAATCTACATTGTACAAGCCTGCTCCAGACTTGACACTGAACTGCCAATCGTCTATGCGCTCTACGTCCATAAAACCGGCATAGTGCTCACGCACGGCCAACAAGTACTCAACTCCTTTGCTGTGGAGTGTGGTGAGAGTTAGAGCATTTTCACGCCTCTTCATGAACCAGTGGCTCAGCTTTTCTCTGATAAACTCTAAGAGAGAAGGTAATGGATATCCCTTCGCTTTCTTGACAGCAGAGTTGATTGACTCCGCTATATTGCTAGTCTTTATGTTGAATCTTTCCCTGGGCAATGCACTCGGGACCATAAGGCCGGGTTGGCTGTCTCCAAGTATGTTGCAAGAGCAGGTTTTGCAGCTCTGATTTGGTCCATATACCAGTTGTATGTATCAAGGTTGTGCGCATATGCCGCACCTTTCACCATATACATGATATCCTTTGCATGGTAAGTTCCGATGATGTTATTCTGCATATGGTAATAGCAAATCCCTCTTGTTGCCCATGGGAAGACAGTTTCAATTGCGTTTGCGATAGCTGGGTGTCTGTCAGAGACAATGACAAGTGGGAAGTCCTGAGTGAAGCAACCCTTCAGGTTATTCATAAACCACCCCCAAGACTCATTATTCTCGGCATCTACGACAGCAAAAGCCAAAGGGAAGACTTGAAAATTACCATCCTGCCCGGCTGCGACAAGAAGTGTACCACCATACTTCCCCGTCAGATGAGTCCCATCAACAATAACCACTCGCCTGCAGTACTGAAAACCAACCATGCAAGCTCTAAAAGATATAAAGCAGTACTTGAAGCGATCAAGTTTATCCCGGACAAGGTCGGTAATAGTTCCAGGGTTTGCTTCCTTCGTTCTATGCAAGTATGAAGCCAAGTTCGCATACCCGTCTTCAGGTGTCCCTCTGACGTATTCATGAGCAGCTCTCAAAGACCTGTATGCTGTCGTATAGTTCAGCTTCAAGCCGAACATCACTTTCATGGATATGACGATGTGTTCAGGCACAATTCCCTCGATAATCCCAACCCTCTCTATGAATAAGGCGCCGATATATTTTGGTGTGCAGCTTTTCCGGTTCGCTACTCGGTCTGCGACAGAACAAGTATGAGTACTCACATACTTTGTGACGAAAAACGCGATTGCCTCGTTCTTCAGAGACGCCCTAACTCGCCATGCACATCCGTTTACGTTGCAAGTGGCAACAAAGAGAGCTGGTGAGGACTTGAAGACACGAAACGAGAATCTGTGCACTACAGCCATCAATCGACACATATTTAGAAGTTCATCCTTGCTTGCAAAACGCTGTCCAACCTTGATAACGGCGTCCCTATACTTATCAAAATGTCCTCCTTCATTATAGCAGCGTCCTTTGAGCCGGATATCATCAAGCGGAACCTTTTTCTCGCGCACATCTTCGTCTGGGACTCTGCCATACTCACTATAATCAGCTTCTGCTTCATCAATCTCACCATTGGTCCAATCGGTTGTTGGTCTTGGTTCATCTACGGGTTCATCGTCTGCATCATCGTATTCGTTTGCCTGTGCATCCCAATCTTCATCATCAGTAGACAAGCCCCACTCGCTATCCGATCCGACATTATCACCATCTGGTAAATCGCTTTTCGCAGTATTCATCCGCTTGCTCGAAACACTCAGCCGTATAACATGCAGTCGACTTAGTTCTACCAAGACTTGAACTTGCCTATCAGTCGTTACAAACGTAGGAGGAGAATCGATAGGTACCCCCTGGATAATATCAGCTGGAAGTGGGTACGAAACCTCAATAAGCTCAGAATTCGAATCAACCCCATATTCATCGTTTGCCATTTCAACAAGCTCGCCATGGGTACAACCATCTCTCAATGAGAACAGTCTACCGCCCTTGTCGTCATCCACTACGAAGAACCAAGTCCCTTGCTCTCTCCTCTCCCATTTCCCGTAAACAGCCGCTACGTACACCATCTTCTGCGAAACAAATAACACAACGTCAATGAACGATTATAAGTACACTTCGATATGAAATCAACATGTAGACTTCATTGTGCAGTCTACTACATTTCACCTAAACTCCACCAAAAACTAAATATTTGATTACCTTCAAAATATAATGATTAAGCAAGTCAAATTGTTACACAGCCAAATAAACAGATAAAAACAACTTACTGTCCAAGAAAATCTTAAAATTAGTTATTCATGTAGCACAAACACCTAATTTACAAAATTGTAACAAAGTAGACTTCATGTAGAAATCCACATGTGGACTTCAGCAGGAAGTCAACTTAGGGGTATACTTTTGCAAGAATATTTTGGGAAGTCTACAATGGAAGTCAACAATTAGAGGGGTATACTTTTGCAATTGACCAAATCACGACTTTTTGAAGTAGACTTCTTTTTCTAAAAGTAGACTTCCCTCTGAAGTCAACAGTGATAAGTAGACTTCAATAAGAAGTCAACAACAAAAAGTAGACGTCATATCGAAGTCTACTGCCAAAAGTTGACTTCGTAAAACAACGTTTGCAGTTGGTGTACCCCGAGTTACTATTCATTCGTTGACCAGTTGACTTCTTTTTGAAGAAGTAGACTTCACCGTGAAGTCTACGCTCAAAGTAGACTTCACGATGAAGTCTACACGTCAAAGTAGACTTCGCGGGGTAGTCTACAGACTAAAAAAGAAGTCTACATCAAAAAGTCGTGATTTGGTCAATTGCAAAAGTATACCCCTGATGCGTAGACTTCATATGTAGACGTCATTACCGAAAGTCGTCGTCAAGTCAATTGCAAAAGTATACCCCTCCCGAAAAATAGACTTCACAATGAAGTCTACACATGGGGTCCACCTTTTTTTGTTGTCAAAGGATTACTGTAGACTTCTCAAGGAAGTCTAAAAATCCAAAAAATTTGAAGGCGTTTGCAGTTAGTGTACCCCGCGTTCACATGTAGACTTCTATATGAAGTCTACAACGCGCCGGAGATCTGAAATTCACGATAAACGAACGGAAAATCACCTTGATTTGCTGTTTGGTTGCGTCGACGGCGGATTGGTTCGATTTAAACCTTCAGCGGAGAAGCCCAGCCGTTGCCGTGAACTTCGTGACCGGAAATGGCATCATACAAGAACTTATATTTTTGAGAGATGGATTATAGAGTTTTTGTGATGAAATTGGAGAGAATAAGTTAGAGAAGAAGGTTACAAGAGCACATTGTGTGATTATGGTGGTGTAAAAGGGAAGAAGAAGCATTAAAAACCTTGGATATGGTTGAGAATGGTTGTTGGGTGAATTGAATTTGATGGCATTTCTGTGAATAAATGAAGGAGATGAGGTTAGTTTGGAAATTAGTAATTTCGAAAAAAATGGAAAAATAGAAAAGATGATGGCATTTTGGTATATATGATAAGAGGGTAAGGATGATATAGAGAAAAGAGGTGTAAGTATTAGAGGGGTATACCAAAAACATTGACCACAAATTGGGGTCTACTTTTGCAAACACCCCTAAAATAATAGTATCCGTAACATTGTATTTTAATCACATAACTTTACACAGTTTACGTAGACATTTTCTAATCTCAAAGTCTTACTTTAATAATGCATCATTTAAACTTGAAAATAATTAACAAAAATCTAAAAACCAAGTACGTGTGCGTCTATATCCCAAAAACCTAAATATTTAGCAAAGCAAAAAAGTAAAGAAGTGTAAAAGAAATTTCCTTTTTTCTTCTGCGTGTTCTTTCGCTGAACAAAGCTAATTATAAATAGGAAACAAAATAACCTAAGGAGTTAACCCTATCTATATAAACATAAGCAAAAGTAAGAGCAATCACCTAAAACTCTCTCTCGTCTTCTTCAATCGTAAATTTGAGTTGTTCTTGAATCCTTTTCTTTCTCTTTCTCTAAGAAACAATTGATGGAGACTGCAACAAGTGTCAACCAACATGAGCTGATCTCATCATTCATCGATGTTGCTGTTGGTCAAACCATGGAAACCGCAACACGATTCCTAAAGGCAACAAGCTGGAACCTGGAAGAAGCCATTAACCTTTTCCTCATCCATGGACGTGATCAACCTCTTTGTTATCAAAACTCGTCAGAAAAGTATTGGAGAATTTATCAACAAGAAGAAGAAAAAGTCCCTCTTCCTAAACCATCGATTAGGGATACTCTCTATGATTCTTCTTCCATGTCTAAAACTCCGGTCAAAGTATGTCCTGAAGAGATCTGGGAGCCGGACACACCAGAACCGTCCGGTTCGGCCTCTGTTGGATCAGATGTCAGTTTGTTTTCTTTGTACCGATCTCCTCTGAAACTTCTTTTCCAAGGAACGTTTGAAGACGCTAAATCAGCTTCTTCTAGAAAGGATCTGTGGTTGCTAGTGAATCTCCAATCCAAGATCGAGTTTGCTTCTCATGCTCTTAACCGAGATCTATGGTCAAACGAAGCCGTTTCTCAAGCCATCGAGTCTAGCTTCACCTTATGTCAAGTTTATGATGATACCACTGAAGGACAGAAAATATCTACTTTTTACAAGATCGAATCAGCTCCTCCTGTGGTGCTTCTCATCGATCCAGTCACTGGCCAGAAGATGCGTTCCTGGAGTGGCGTGATTGAAGCTCAGGGTTTTGTCGAGGATTTGATGAAGTACATCGATGCTGGTCCTCATGAACACATTGCTTCTCTGACAAGTAACAAACGCATCAAAACAGAGAGGATTAGTTTTCCACACAACAACAAGGCTGATGATCAAGACATGGCTACTTTCTTTGATAAGGATTTTAAAGAGTCTTCAGAAGGAAAGATATTAAAAATTTCCGAAAAGGAGGAGTCGTGTTCGTCAAGCAACCATATTGATCACATCATGGCACCTTCTTGGGGTGAAGAATTTGAAGAGTCTGCAGAAGTGGAGGAGGAGGAGACTTGCTTAGAAGAAAAGTTTCCGGTATTGACAGAAGAGCCAAAGGGAGACTGCGATCGAAGCATTGTGTGCAGTCTCTGCGTTCGATTTCCAGATGGGAGAAGGAAGCAGAGGAAGTTTCTCAAGGCCGAACCGATTCAGCTGCTCTGGTCTTTCTGTGATTCTCTCATGGAGGCATCCGAGAAAAAGGCGTTTAAGTTGGTGCAAGCGATTCCTGGTGCTTCCAAGACTCTGGACTATGGAGATGACTTGACTTTCGACGAATCCGGGATCGCTAACTCGATGATCTCGGTTACTTGGGAATGAACATTTCAATCTGTTGTTCGAAATTATGATGGATTAATCTTTACGGTTCTTGTAATTCCATGACTTTTTTTTCGTTGGTTACTTCGAATATGATAAATGTACATTTTCACAACGTAAAAAGTAACTATGAAGATTTGCAAAAATTTGTGGTTTGGTGTAAACTACTTTATTCTAACCATAATTTTGAGTCTATAGTACGTAGTTTATTGGATAAATTCTCTAAAATACAACACATACAAATATATGATTGCTATATGTTTTTCATTTTTCTATGTTCTTAAAGTAACAACCTTTACATTGTAACACCATGACTTTTATTTCGTTTGTTACTTGAAATACAAAACAAGGAAGGAGATGAGAAACCTGACAAGACTGCAACACAAAGTCTCCAAGTCGAAACATGCATGCAACGTTTTACTATTGATGGCTGATACATAGTTTTTTTTTTTTTTTTTTTTTTTGGTATCTCTGGTATCCGGGTCCGAGTCGACTGAACGGTCACCGATCAGTCCTGGGCCCAAACCGATGGTCTGAACTTTGTCCAGCTGTATACAGTTATTCCGAGGATTTAACCCGAACGGAAAACCCAACTATCCCTCGAAAGGGGTCCAGGGCCCCAACCGAAGGGATGTTAAATCCGTTGTGGCCAAGTGGTTTCGAACCCGGGTCCGTATTGGGACTTACCTCCCTCAAGTACCACTGGGATACGACCACTTGGTTGGCTGATACATAGTTCTTCACGTTTATCATCAACCCCACCCCCCCCCCCCCCCCCAAAAAAGAAAATTTCCTTTTTTAATTACTTTTCCTTAATCGTTATGTAAGTCGGAGCAAGAAGAAGGAAACTAATCCAAAGAAGTTTTCTCTTTCTCACTATATAAATAGAACCCAAAACCTAAGCTGAAGCTCGCTTCATTGAAGATCACAACTTCTTCGTAAGTTCTTCAATTCGATCGTCTTTACTCTTTATAACTTTTCCCTGAGACTTGGTGACTTTTTTTCTCACAGCAAGAATTATGAGTTCGGTTATAAACTTGACCGATCTCATGTCCAAAATTGCTATTGATGATATTAATAAACGTATTGATCAAGAACATCGTGATCAGCTAATCGCCTCCTTCCTCGGAATCGCTGTCGGTCAGACCGTCGAAACCGCAAGATATTTCCTACGAAAAACAACTTGGGACATTGGCAAAGCCATCAGTCTCTTTCTCTCCGAAGACGACGATGATCCACGTACTCATGAAACCCTTCACGTTCAGGCCAGGAATGCTATTAAGCAACACCATGATCAACAGATCTCGTCGTTCTTACAAATAGCTGCCGGTCAGACCGTGGACACCGCAAGAGAGTTCCTAAAGAAAACGAGTTGGGACGTTGACAAAGCCATCGATCTCTTTGCTGTTTCCATACATGAAGGCAATCGCGTCCTAGTCTCGGAGCCACCGTGTAATGATTTTGCATCAGATCCTGTCAAAGAGGAAACGGTATTAAGGCATAGACTTGAGCATCCAGTTTATGCCTTAATAGATCCGATATTGTCTTCCTTGTTTAGTCCTCCTTTCGATCTGCTTTACGACGGTTCGTTTGAAGAAGCCAAGTCTGTTTCAGCTGATGAGAATAAATGGTTGTTGGTGAATCTTCAATCCAGAACAGAGTTTGCTTCTCTTACGCTTAACCGAGATGTATGGTCAAACGACATCGTCTCGCAAGCCGTTGAGTCTAGTTTCGTCTTGTGGCAGGTGTATGATGATACAAACGAAGGTCAGGAAACCTCTTCCTTGTACAAAATCGAATCTGCTCTTCCGGTGGTGCTTGTGCTCGATCCCATCACTGGTCAGAAGATGCGTATGTGGAGCGGAGAGATTGAAGCTCAGGGTTTCCTTGAGGATTTGATGAGGTATATGGAATCTGGACCTCATGAAGACATTGTTTCTCTAACAAGGAACAGAGAAGCAAGGTTTGAAAAGGAGGAGACTTGTTCCTCAAGGAACCACACCGAATTTGGAGTGGAGAAGGAGGAGACTTGTTCGTCAAGCAACGGCTTTGATTTCATCCTGGCTTCTTCATTGGGTGAAGAATGTGAAGAGTCTGTGGAAGTGGAGGAGGAGGAGGAGACTTGTTTAGAAGAGTTTGAGCCAAAGGATGACTGCGATCCAAGCATTGTGTGCAGTCTCTGCGTTCGATTTTCAGATGGGAGAAGAATGCAGAGGAAGTTTCTCAAGACCGAACCGATCCAGCTCCTCTGGTCTTTCTGCAAATCTCAGATGGACGAATTTGAGAAAAAGGAGTTCAAGTTCAGGCTGGTACAAGTGATTCCTGGTGCTTCCAAGACTCTGGACTATGGAGCTAACTTGACTTTCGACGAATCTGGGATCGCTAACTCGATGATCTCGGTTACACGGGAGGGGAGAGTTCCATATGAGTAAAGATTTGGTGTTTATTTACCGAGAAAACAAAAAAACTGGATTTTTAAGTTTAAGATCCTATAAGTTGCTGTTGTTTTCTTGGTAAAATACTAAAATTCATTCTCAAGAAATAATGTTACCTTCTTTAAAAAAAAAATCATGTTACCTTTCTTAGTTTCTTCTGTTTTATAATAGTGTGTCCCGTAGTGTTCTAACAGTTTTCTTGCATTTTCTCCTAAAGATGCTCTTTTATCAAAATTGATAACAAACGGTATTTTCTCCCTAAAACGTTTAATAATTGATAACAAACAGATTTCTTGATAACTAAAGGGTTTTTGTCCAATTCATCTTTAGTTTAGTTAAGGACTTTTATTGCTATAAAGCTTTGTTTGTATAACACAAAATAAATTTGGAACACTCCAGCGGACTGCCCCAAAACGATCTCAATCCCAATTTCCAACTAATTGTTTCATATGGATCGATCCGCTCCCATGTCTTTCTTCGGGATTTAGCCCGAACTGTTCGGCAGATTCCCACGCCTTACGCACCCGTTCGCCACTTTGTTCTCAACTCTTCCCACCTCCTCGGGGCTACTGTTTGCAATTTAAAAAGAAAAAACGTAAAGTAAGGCCCCTAAAAACATTTGGTAATTATTCCACTCGTGCTGAAAATGTTAAAATTCATTTGAACTAAGATGACAACTATCAGAAGACAGAACATGTCTCATGATGAGTCATGACAAGTACTGATTCATTATTTCTATGGAACTAATACATAAATCACTAACGTTGTGTGTTTGGTTCTCCCGCTACCACCTGCAAACGCAGCGTTTGTGCAACGTTTGCGGTTTGTAGCGATTTTTGGCGTTTTATAACCATCACGACAACCGCTTTGAACCGCTCTATACCACTGCGTACCGCTCTATAACACTGAAAATCAAAAGCTCATTTCCGTAAGCGTTTGCGGTTGCAAGCGGTTACGGATTGAAAAAAAAATCACAAAATTTCCAAATTTGAAATTTCAAACTTGGATAATTATTAAAAATTGAAATTGCTGAATTATTTAATTAATAAAAATAAATTTAAATAATAAAATAAGATATCATAATTTGATTTTGATGTTTTTTCATTTTAAACTAAAAAACATTTTTATTTCTAATTATCTGCTAAAACATTTTGTATTTTTTGTGGTTTTATATTATGGTTTATGTATGATATTAAAGTTGTTTATATAAAATTTTCTATACATTTATCAATTTTTTAAATTCTAAATTTTATATAAGTGAATAAAAATAATATCATTCATCATAATATTTCCGAATTTTGTTTTTAATTAATAATTATTTAGTAATGTTTTGTTAAAATAAAGTTAAAGAAGTCTTTTTACATATAAAAATGTATTTTTCAAAACAGAAAAAATAGGGTATTGTTCAAATATTTAAACATAAATAGCGTATTTTTCAAAGAAACCCTAGTTATATATTATGTTTATTTTAATAATTTTTGGTTAAAACGCTTTTGCACCCACTAACCAACCAGTCAAAAATATCCCGCAAATGCAATTGGTATGAATAGTTATAGCAGTCGTACAAACAGTTTAATTACGTTTTTAATCGCAAACTCCCGTTTCCGCAAACTCCAGCTACCACAAACTCCCGCAACCACAACCACAGCGTTTAAAACCAGTCAAGCCTTAAGTCATTAAGCTTTACTCTTATCTTTGCCGGCTCACAGAGGATAAACTTACCTTATATATTATTTTAACATATCCTATCAACAAAACAACTTTTATGACTAACCATATTTGGTATAAAATCTTATTATTCCTTTTAGGTTCTTCCACAGATTGTACATTCTATTTATTTTCTAAAATGAGATATCTCTAAACACTTTTTATATGGGAAATTTATAAAACAGCTTCTGAATATTTAGCTAATTATTAGCAGAAATACAAAAGTTCTTTCAGAACAATACTCCATTATATAATTCATTTTTTTTTCAAATTTTCTGTAATTTTCTATTTTCTATAACTACCATTTTTTCAAAATATGTTAAATTAAATTAATTTATTTTCTAAAATGAGATATCTCTAAATACCTTTTCTATGAGAAATTTATGAAACAGGCTTCTGAATATTTAGCTAATTATTAGCATAATACAAAATTTCTTCCAGAACAATACTCCATTATATAATTCATTTTTCAAATTTTCTGTAATTTTCTATAACTACCATTTTTCAGAATATGTTAAATTAAATTAATTTATTTTCAGCAATATTAAATACATTACAGAAATGCATATCATTTTTTGTTTTTAAGTAAAACCAAAATGTCTTTTTTTCATAAGGAAAATATTTTGAAAAGTATAACATTTCATTTCTTTTTGTGGCATATTTCTTTCCTAATACATAAACACCAAAATTGTGTATGAATTCATTGTAGGAATATTCACATTATGAATATATATGTGTGCGAGCGCGTGTGTTTACACGCGCATGGATGTATATATATGTATATGAGTATTGTAAAAATCCAACAACCGAAATAAAATAGTGTTCCGGCCAGTAACAATCACCAGTGCAGCAAATCTTAAGGTACTTGTTTTTGAATTATTTTCTTAAATTCAATGGCGGACAATTCGATCCGAGTGCTATGTTTGAAACCAAATGGTGGTGGGCTAGTGATTTTCATCAGGAGTTGCTTTCGATCTATTTGATTACCCAAAAAAAGGTTTATCCGTGAGCTACATCTCCCCCAGAGATTAGTCGGAGCCTCTCCATACGCTTGAGATGTACTAAGTTATTAAAAACTAATATGTTTGAAAATTGTTTAACTTTAGTTTAAGTTTTTTTCTCTGGTTTAGGTTTTTGTCAGAAATATTCCGACCAGTAGGACCCAACAGTCGAAAAACCTTGAGATAATGATCTTCATATTTTAAATTATAGATTATTACCTTAAAGACTATGGCAGATCGTTCGATCCGTAGTGCTAGACTTAGAAGTTGTTTTTCTCCGACTTAGATTTTTATTAGATGGTTGACAAAACCAATTGTATCTCAAATTTGAAATAGTTTTTTTTTTTTTTTTTTTTTTTTTTGAAGTTTAATAAAATTTTGAAATTATAAGCAAGATAAATGTCTGCTAAAAATTATAAGAATGGTTAATTTGTAACCAATTGTTTTAGTATGATTGAACATGTTTCTCCATTTTAACATGATAAAGCTTTGACAGATTATGTCTCATATGCAAATTTCGGTCTTTACCAGTCTCTCCCGGGACATGAGTATTTTCGACTCGGGAAGCAGGTATCTTCCAAACTGTAGTACCTTTGTTTTCATTCTCCCTGTTTCTGTTTTAGTACAACCTTTAGTTGTATTTGTTTAGGTCTCAAGTTTACAGTTTCTATCGCTTTTGTTAATGGGGACAAAATCAAATCCTTATAATCTGCAAAACTTACTTGTTATTAAATCTTTTATAGTCTTTACCCTTAAAAGTGATCAACCACATTTTACTAGAACATTATGGTTATAAATCCTGCTCTAACGAGAAAGAATATTTAAGCCATAAACTAGATTCTATGTTACGCTATATATCGAACACCACTTTCTAGGTACTAACATGATGGACCATGTCCATGTTGATCGTCTTGCAGCTCAAGTCAGAATACAATAGGTTCAGCTAAGAAGAGGAAAGTTAATCCAATTTTTGGGAGTAAGGTTAGTGGGTTTGGATCATATGGTTTGGTAAATTATGGCTATGTAACCCTAAGTTTAACGTTTTAAGATTCTAATAAAAAATTAGGGAGCGACTCTCAAGAGTGGCAACCTAAGAGAAGACGTAAAACTACCTCTTGGTGAAGACATCAACGAGTGGTTGGCCACTAACAGTTAAGAATATTCAACTCTACTTAACCACTCTGTTCATACTTGATTATCTATTTTTTAATATTAACTTTATATCATGTCTTTGGTTTGTTTTAGCTGAAGATTTTTACAACCATATTAGCGTTTTGTACTCTACTCTCGGAGAGTTCTGCACACCGGCCACTTGCCCAATCATGGATGCTGGATCCAAGTAACTCTCTCCTTCATTCTTGAGTCTCATCCATCAATCCAAATCTGAGTTAAATCATACAGATTCGGTTTTTGTTGTTGTTGTTGCAGAGATGAGGATACTATATTTCTGCCAGTAACTGTAACTGTTTCAGCTCCTGAATACGTTGAGTGTCTCATGGATTGGATTGGAACTCAGATCGATGACGAAACCATCTTTCCGCGAAAAACTGGTAGCTGCCAAGCTAATACACAGTTTTAAACATCTTTAATTAAGTTATTTGGTTTAAATTTGACACACTTGTTGACGAATCCCTGTTCAGAAGCACCATTCCCACCATACTTCAAGGATTTTGTGAAGCGGATTTTGAAGGGAATGTATCGTGTTTATGCACACATCTATCGTTCTCACTTTAAGAAGATTGTGCATCTCAAGGCAGAAGCTCATCTCAACACATGCTTCGAGAACTTGGTTTTCTTCGTAACTGTGAGTTGATGAATCTTCTTTAGATCATGTAGAGTTTTTTTTAGGAAAATGTTCTCATAGTTGATGTTATAACGATTATGCGTGGGTTTTAATTGTAAGTTTGTAACATGCAGGAGTTCCAGGTGGTTGATAAAATAGAGATGGATTCTCTCAAAGAGCTCGTGGAGAAGATTCTTGATCCATAGAGTTGGATGTTTTCAGGGGGAGAAGAAGATTTTGAGATAATCCACCAATTTAAAACATCCTAAAGGAGTTGATGGATTATGTTTAATTTCTTCTGCTTTTTATAAATTGAGGATTATGTGTGACCTTTCTTCTTTTTACAAATTGAGGATTATGTGACCTTTCTTGTGATGGATTTCAATTGAATAAATAGGGTCATTTTCGAATAATAAAATTGTGTATTTTTTAATGATGCCTAAAGGTTTCTGTTATCTATATAGTCCGCAAGATATTTCCTACTGACAACAAATTGGAACATTGACAAAGCCATCGATCTCTTTCTCTCCGAAAACGACTATGATCCACGTACTCATGAAACCCGTCACGTCAGGAATGCTGTTAAGCAACATCATGATCAAATGATCTCGTCGTTCTTATAAACAGCTGCTAGTCAAGACCGTGGACACCGCCGCAAGAGAGTTCCTACAGAAAACGAGTTGGGACGTTGACAAAGCCATCGATCTCTTTGTTGTTTCCATACATCAAGGCAATCCCGGCGTCGTCTCGGAGCCACGTCTAATGATTTAGCATCAGATTCGATATTGTCTTCCTTGTATCGTCCTCCTTTAGAGCTGCTTTACGACGGTTCGTTGAAGAAGCCAAGTCTGTTTCAGCTGATGAGAATAAATGGTTGTTACTTGTTAGTGAATCTTCAATCCAGAACAGAGTTTGCTTCTCTTCCTGTGGTGCTTGTGATCGATCCCATCACTGGTCAGAAGATGCGTATGTGGAGCCAGGAAACCCTCGGAAGAAGAGAAGCGCTTGGCTGTTAACTGATTGGTCGTAGGTTCGAAGGAGAGATTGAAGCTCATAGTTTCATTATAGAATCTTGTCCACATGAACGCATTGCTTCTCTGTCAAGGCACCGACGCCCTGATACAAAGGTTACTTTTTCGTCAAGCAATCAAGTCCTGCCTCCTTGGGGTGAAGAGATTGAAGAGGAAAATAATACATCAACTGAATCTCTAGAGTATTTGCATCTGATATACAAGACCCTACTATATTGGTTAACTAGAGTATTTGCAACTCAATTTTTTCTTTTGGTATTTAACGAAATGCATAGAGCTGTGGTAATTAACGAAAACACCTCCAAATTGTAGTATGTATGTGTTAAACTTTTGACGTTTACTGAAACACTTCTAAACTTTCAGAGGACTCGGACCTCTTCCAAAATTGGAATCTGAATCGTACTAAAATATTACGTACATGCCATTACAATTTGAGTACATACTGAAAATTTGAATTACAATCACTTTACAAACCTTATAACTTTACTAAACATACTTTATAAACAAAAAAACGTATACTGTTTAATTGATTACAAAAAAAATCTTGTACAAAGTCGGTTGCTGCTCAAAAATAAATTAAAAAATATGTTGACCTCGTTTGTGTGTTTTGGTGTTTGTGTTGACTTTTGAGATTTTTTTATGTTTTTATTTTGTTAATGTTTTGTTTTAGACATGTGGTTAAGTTCTTGTGCGTTTGGTGTATGTGTTTTGGGTTTTTCTTTGTTGTGTTATTAATTTCTTAATGTTAAATTTAATGTTTTATATAGACATGTAATTAGTTATTATGCGTTTGGTGTTTTGACTTTTGAGTTATTTTTTTTTTTTGTTAATGTTAAATTTAAAAGTTTTGTTTCTAGACATTGTAGTTAAGTTTTTGTGCGTTTGGTGTTTGTGTTTTGAGTTTTTTGTTGTTGTGTTTTTTTCTTTTTAAATTATTTTGAGTGTTTTCTTGAGTGAGAGAACGAATAAAGAGTTTCTAACCTAACCACCACTTGTTTTACCAATCATCTCCGAATTCCAGCTTAATTCCAAACCTTCTCCTAAAAACCAAAACATTTTGAAAAACAAGACAACGGTTAATATTGAGTCTAGAAATGAATCATCATATAGCGAAGAAAAGAAAACTCACACTAGAAATGAAATCATCTGAGTATTTCCCGACGAGGTTACTTACTCATACTTTTAAGTTTTAACCTGAAAAACGTAATCTAAAGTGTTGTCAAACTACAGCAGATAAACTGAAATCATTAAAAAAAATGCTTAAAGAAACATAGAATGAAATCAAATTACCTTTAAAAGATGTTTGACTCTTTGAAGAACATATGTGTCTAAGTCAGCGAATCAGCAACAAAGCAGAGGAAAAACATAAAAAACATAGAAAACCCTTTGAGTAAGTCAGTAAACATAAAGCGAATAAAATACAAAATAATGAGCTAAACAAACAACAGTTACCGAATCTTACAGTTTAGCTAACCTGGTCCTTTTGCATAAGTGTAGTTTAGCTCTGAGATGGAGAGAATAGGCAAACATTATTTAGAAAATCATGTAATATCTTGTGGACACTAATAAATACATATACCAATCATCTCCTATTCATTCCCACAACACCACTCAGCAACCAAAATACTTATAGGCTTTGGCCGAATACTAGCTTATAAGGCTTACCTTTCAAAGGATTTTGAACAAGTGTATATGTGACTGTTGCTGCATTAGTCCTCCTGCAAGTCAAAAAAAAAAAAAAAGTAGACACTTCACATACAATTATGGAAAACACTAAACACAGACATCTTTTTGATCTTTTCTGCTGCAATATGTCGATCAGCAGGCTTTTATCTAGCTACTCCTGCAAGTTACAAATAAATTAAACACCTTGACATAAAGTTGTTAAAAGTACGTAGAAAATTATACATTTCTTCTAACGCACAGCAAAACAGAGAATGTTACCTCATATACATGAATGAAAGTACGCCAGATCACATTAAGCACAAAAAAGGTTTTACAACATATACTTACTACGCAATCAGATCCAAAAATCAACAAAATGTCTGATTTGTTGATAAATGACTATTCACATAAGAAAATGTATGCTTCAAAGTAAGTGATATATTGTGTTGAAGTTCATGGAATGTGAATGTTTTGATCATAGTGTTTTGAGTTTTACTGTTTGTGTTAGAATTTTGCTATGATTGAGCGTGTCTTGATTTTTCCCTTTGTGTTTAAATTTGCGTTTGGAAGGGTGTTTGTGTTCTGTTTTTTTTGTTTTGTGTTTAAATTTTGTTTGAGGATAGTGCATGCAAACATGTAGAAAATGCATGCTAACAAGCCCAACCAAGAAAGAGAGACATACTTCACTTTAACCCTTGTACTTGGTTAGCGAATGGTCACCAAAACTTTCATTTTTTGCAGCTTCAAGATCCTTTCTAAGGCAAAGAAACCTTATCGGTAAAGTCAGTACAGAAAGAGCGGATAGAATACAAAAGACTATACCAAGAAAGATAATATAATACCTTAGAGGGTCCTTTGGCTCAGCTTATGTTCACATGACTCCATGAATAAAGTTTATACCTCTTGCATATCTAAGTGTTGTTAACTATGAAATAGAGATGAGATAAACATTATTTTCAGAAGCAGAAACAATCTTATATGAAAACTAAACAGTAAAAAGACCCTCTCCTTAGTTAAACAAGTTTTAGACTTTTCATTCATGTTTCTAAGTAAATACTAGCTTCTAGACCTTTTTATTACCTTTCAATGAATATTTTGAAGAAATCTCTTTATCTTCTCTAACGAGATAGGACAATCAGCAAGTTTTATGTCCTCCTGCAAAGAAAATTATACTAATAATACTTAGTCATGTATGTAAGCCCGTGGACGAACCTGAGACAAAGCACTTAATCAATGTTGAAAGCCAAAATAATGTCTCACTAAAGAGACAGACAGATATGCATAACAAGGTCCTGTTTTTAGAGAGTTGATATACTTCACCTTAACCTTTGTATGTTCTTGGCTAGTGAATAGTCTCCTTTTTACTCTTTGAAGCTTAAGGATCCTTTCTCTTTAATCAAATAAGTCAGTCAAGGATCCTTTCTCTTTAATCAAATAAGTCAGTCAGCGAATCAGCAACAAACAGAGGACAAACATAGATACTTTATCAGTAATCAGTAAACATAGAGCGAATAAAACACAAAATATTAATAAACTACATGATTTTACAGTTTGGCTAACCTGAGTTCCTCTGACCGTTTTGCACGACTGTTGTTTTAGCTCTGAAATAGATAATACGCAAACATTATTAAGAAAATCAGGTATGTGTGATTAAAATAATAATATACCACAAGACAGCAACCAGATACTCATAATAAGCTTTGGCCATATACTTTGAACAAGCCTCTTTGTGAATGTTGCTGCTGAAGTAATTCTCCTGCAAGTTATAAACAAATTAGACACTTAATGTCAAATCTTTGAGATCGTTTCTTCTGCAACATGTCGATTAGCAGGCTTTATGTACAGCAACATAGAGAATGTTACCTCATATACACAAAAGTCCGCTAGATAGTAGAGACACATTAAGCACAAAAAAAGCTACAAATCAGATCCAAAAATCAACAAAATGTCTGATAGCTTAGAAATGACCATTCACATAATAAAATAGATGCTTCAAAGTAAGTGATATTGTGATCGAGTTCATGGAATGTCAAAATTTTGATTTTTACTGTTTGTGTTAGAATTTTGTTGTGACTGAAGCGTGTGTTGAGTTAGTTGTATTTGTTTTGTGCTTGAATGTAATTTTGGAAGTGTGTTTGTGTTCTGTTTTTCGTTTTGTGTTTGAATTTTGTTTGAGGTGTTTTGCGTTTACTGTTTGTGTTAGAATTTTGTTGTTATTGAGTTTGTTTTTGTTGTTTTGTTTTGAGTTTAAATGTGCGTGTGAAAGTGTGTTTGTGTTATGTTTTTCGTTTTGTGCTTGAATTTTGTTTGAACGTGTTTTGCGTTTCTTCTCTAACGTATTAGTTTTGGGGGTTAGTGAAAACAAGCGAGACAGAAAAAGACCGGTATGTCCAGCTAAGAGAAAGAGAGACATACTTCACATTGGACCCTTGTATCGGTCGGTGAATGGTCTGAACCTTTATTTGTTTGCAGCTTCAAGATCCTTTCTCTGGAAGGCAAAGAAGATATCA